TACAAATACTTATATTAAGTTGTTCAAATAATTCAGTGTCCCTTAACCCTAAAAACTTGTTTTGAGATGGGGCACATAATTATTTGAACAACATAGCAATATTAAAAAAGTTTACAATCACATTTAACAATTATCATCTCCCAAGTCACGCCCAAAAATGCCCTTATCAGTAACATGTCTAATACGTTGTAAACATAGCTATTATCACCAACATACGAAGACGTGTTATCAGTTCACCACCCAGCTCGTGAAACTACACGAAATTTTCGAAAAAAGTGCGAAACGATTCCGTGGGAACACTTTGGCTTATCATGCCGGCAGCAAAAGGAAGGTGTGAGGGAAGGAGTTGTTCAAATATAAATCTCAGCTTGTTTGCGTTTCCTACCTCTTCAGCCAGCCCCGGTTAGGTAGGGTTCCGTTAGGCGGGGGTTCGGTTAGGTGGGGATTCGGTCAGTCTGAGGGCAAATTTGGGTAAATCTACTTGACTGGCGCGAAGGCGGGCGGGCAGGGAGGGGATAATGTTTGTTTGGACAATAGATTTTAAATTTTTCAAATTTGAATTTTATTTTTATAAACTTTATTTTTTATCTTTTAAATTTTTTTAAATTAGCTTTTAATACACGTTTTAGGCTTAAAAATACGTTTTTTAAAGTTTTTTAAATTTTTAATGTTTAAAAAATGGGTTCATATATAACTGCATGTATTAAAATTAATGGTTTTTATTATTTTTGGTATTTTCTAAAATTTTTTTTGCAAAGTTTGGTTTTTTATACAGTGAACTCACGGTATAACGAATCGGCTTTCGTTATATCCGGAATTCTGTTATTTAAGAATCCGTGTACTGGCCAGTGAAAACTTTTTTCTAGGGAATCTAAACAAATTCGCTATAAAGAAAGTTTTTTTTGTAAGCGGAGTCCTATTGGGGTTTCACTGTATTTTAGTCAAATTTAATATTATTTCTTTTCTTTTCCTTTATTTTTTGAATAAAAATGTGGATTTTTATATGATTTATGTTTAAAATTTTATTTTTATGCTATTTTTGGGCTTCTTTTATCTATTTTTGTAAAATAAAATGTAGGTTCTATAGTATTTTAGGTAAAAAAAGCAATGTTTTTTTATTAATTTTGACTCTTTTTATCTTTTTTGTAAATTAAATTTGGCTTTTTATATTATTTTAAGTATAAAATTGTGTTTGTTGTATTACTTTTGACTTATTTATACCTATTTTCGTAAAATAAAATTTGGGGTCATACCTTATTTTAAGTATCATATAAACCTTTATTTTTTAAATTTACAATTTTTAATAATTTTTGAAATTTTTTATTATATTTATACATTTTCATACTTCATTCTACGCTTTTCAAATCTGAAAAGGTATTCCGTGAAGCAGTATGTAAAACCCCCTTCCTGACGGTGATTTTAAGATCGCGACAAACCGGACCGACCTCATTACCTTGAGCACGCGCCCAATTACCGGTCGTATACATGTTTTTTAGATGAGGAACTACTGCCGGCTGTGATGAGTACGATGTATGTGGAGAATCCGCTGCTCCAAGTCGGTCATAAGGTAATTTGCAAGCGTTTTATTTTATTATAGTGGGTGTAAAATTAGGTAATACTATAGTAAGGTTGAGCATTGAAAAGTTACGTTATTATGAGTAGGAGAGGGGACGAAGGGGAGGATGTGCCAAGAGAGGGGGAGGGGGGACGATTTAAGTTTCTTAAAAATGGATGAATAAGGTAGGGGTAGGGCTTGGGTTGTAATGAGAGGGGGTGGAGTTTTTTCACATTGAAAATCTGAGCAGGGTATGCTTGAGCTAAGGCTAAATGTAGAGGTATAGATAGAGGTATAGCTAAAGCTACAACTAGGGCTGTGACCTAGGGCTCTGGGCTAGGGCTCTGGACTAGGGCTCTGGGCTAGGGCTTTGGGCTAGGGCTCTGGGCTAGGGCTAGGGCTCTGGGGTAGGGCTCTGGCTAGGGCTCTGGGCTAGGGCTTTGGATTGGGGCTCTGGGCTACGGCTCTGGGCTAGAGCTATGGAGCTTTGAGTGAACAGTGTCCACTTACGTTTACAAAGCTGAGGGTATAGCTCAAGGAAAACATAAAAAGGAGAATTTTGATTTTTAAGCCTTTGGGCTTTAAAAATTCTAAAAATGAAAAACTCGCCTACAGTAGTCGAATTACGAGCCGGTTGTACTTGTATAATATTACAAACCGCTGTAATTTGAATGTTATTTACAAAAGCGAGGTGCTCTCTTTCCTCTGATCTCGATTTGTTTGCATTTCGAGAGTCAGCGCAAAGCCTTCGCGAAACCAACGGCCTGGACTGGAAACGAGAGAAAAGAGGAAAATCGCGCAAAAGTAGTTGAAAAACTTCAGGTACAGAAACGTGTCCCCACTTTCTTGCGACACCGTTTTTCGTTTCGAGATTGCAATTTTTGAGTTAGGGGGGGGGTTGTTTTTGGTATGTAAGGGGTATGCAAAAGGTAGGTATAGGGTGGGGTTGGGAAGAAGCAGGAATTACTGGGCATATTGTAAGGACCTTCAGGTGATTTCTTTTGCTTTGGAGCTAGAGGAGGAAAGAAAGGGGAATAAAAAAAGTGAAAGGGGAGGGGGAGGGAGAGGTTAAAAAACTGGGTGAGGGTGGGGGTTATTTTTGGGGTACTTAAGAGGTAGGGTTGGGATGTGGCAGCTTACTGAACAGAATGTAAGGGCCTTATTTGAATTCTTTTGATTTAGTTCAAGGGTTAGGGGGGGGGGCTCATTTTGAGATAGGTAAAGTAAGTGACATGATTGGAAGAAGGCAGGTAACTGAATGGAATGTAATGGGCTTTATCTAAATAATTTTGCTTGAGGCAGAGAGAGGATGACACTAAAACTTAAGCATTTGGCCTGTAAAGTTCTGTACCTTGTGTTGTACAATTATATGTCATTTTCAATTCTTTTTGTTTTAAGGTATACCTTTCTGGATTTAAAAATTTTATTAAAATTTTTTTAAAAATTTTTTAAATTTGCTTTTTGTAGTTTATATAAAATCTGTAGCGTACAGATTGTTTGCATGTAACAAAGTAAAAGCGACATTGTTTGTAACGTTTCTAACTGTGGACACCGTTTGTTCAGGCTGTCGATTAAAAATTGAGAATTGTAGGACATGACCTAATTCTATTTTAATCTAAACTAACGAAAAACCTAGAGTTTTAAAAATTCTTTAAAAGTTTGGTATAAAAAGAGGAAATGTAGCGTATACTTTTTTTAATGAAATATTCCAGTAGATACATGTATAACTAGTTATAAAATCTGGGCTGCGCAATCTAATATTGATTGGAGGCTGTGCTAGGTAGTTTACAATTGTGGGCTGGATAGAAGAATATAGATTTGAAGAAGTACTATGCTATTCAGGTTTGAAAGTGGGCCTAGTAGATCGAATCAAATTTTAAAAACGGAACCAATTTTTCGGCCCGGGCCTCCTTTTTCAGGTCTAGGGCTGAGAGGGTGGTTTTGGCTTTCAAGGGGCTGTAAAGTAGAAAAAAACTTTTAATTTAAAATTTTTTTTATTTTTAAACATTTTAAAGCCACGTTTAAGAAACGTTCAATTTTTACAAAAAAAAAATTTTTGAGGTAGGAAGGGCAGGTTAAATACAAAAAAGTAAAGCATCAGGGCAGGAATGATATTAGAGTAAAAAATCAAATTCAAACCCTTTTCGAGACCAATTCTGATTGAAAGGCTTTTTAAACGTGAATGGAATGAGGACAAAGCACGGTCGATTCGCTGTGATCGGGGCTAATTTGGTTGCGAAAAGACGTTGATATTATTCTTGGCCATGAGTCACGACGCTTCGCATGTCCGCCAGCAATCCGTCTTTTCCCGTTTTGGGGACTAAACGGTTGCTTCGGTATTATTAACAGTGGGAACGCACGGTTAGGGGTGATTTGGAAGGGAATGTTGCTTTAGGGGGTTGGGGTTGAATTTTGAATTTTTTTGAAATTAAGTTGTTTTTGAAATTTTAAAGAATTTCGGTAAAATCTTGGATGGTTTTACTTTTTTTATAGTTCTTGAAGATGTGTCAAGTAAATTTTAAAATTTTTTGAAATTTTGAACATTTTTAAAATCATTGCATAGTAAGATAGGGTGGTGTAAGGTAGAGTAAAGCAACACAAGGTTCAGCCGGACAGGTTAAAATAAATAAATTTTAATATGATTAGATAGAACATGGTAGAAACATCAATTGCTCTATCTCTTTTTTGATTTTGTGAATTTTAAAAGTGAATTTTCGATTTTTTAAATGAATTTTGATGATTTGTAAAGGGAGATTTAATGATAAGAAGATATGGTAACGTAAAGTAAGATAGAGAGCGATAAAATACAGTATGGCAGGATAGAATAGGACAATGTTTTGTATGATTAGGTAAGGAATGATAAGGTAGAGTAAGGTAGAATAGAGCAGGGTAGAGTAGGGTAGACTAGGGTAGGTGGTACATAGGTAAGAAAGGGTAATGATAGATTAGGTAGTGTAAGATGGGGTAGGGTAGTGTAGGGTAGGGTAGGGTAGGGTAGGTTAGGGTAGGGTAGGGTAGGGTAGGGTAGGGTAGGGTAGGGTAGGGTAGGGTAGGGTAATTAAATTTTAAATTAGAAGTTATAATATAGAGCGACATATTATAAATGCCAGTATTACCTTACTCTACCATCAATATTTACAATGTTTGTTTTGAAACTAAAAATACTTCTAATTTTTAAAAAACGACTTAATGTCACATATCTAAAGTGGCATTATGTCACTTTCTTCACACATATAACCATATTACCGGGGCACGAAAAGTTTTGATGTCTAGTGTAATATCGGGAGTCAGGTGCGTTCCAAATTTATTTAAATTCTGATTTCGTGTTTCCATGGGAATTCTGGCCTTTCACCTGGATTCATCGTGGCGATCCTTCTCGTTTAATTGTTTTACATTTGTTTAATTGTAGGGAAAAAGAAAAGTGGTGCACTTTGTGCGGCACTTAATGCCAAAGGTAAGAGATGGGTACTTTTGGGTAAATCTGTTAATTCTAGGAAAAAGTGGTACTTTTGGATAAAAGTTGTACTTTTTAAATTTAATTTGGCGCGATTAGGTGTTTAGGGACGGGTTAGTAAAAACTGGTACTTTCAGCGAAAAAATAGTACAGTTTGAATAAAAAATGGTATTGTTTATATTAAAAATGTCATGTTTAAAAATGGTACCGTTTAGGTAAAAAATGCTACTTATATGGCAAAACTGGTACTTTTTGAATAAAAATGCTACTTTAGAGCAAAAATGTTATTTTTTAAACAAAAAATGGTATTTTTAGAAAACAAAATGGAACTGTTTGAACAAAAAATGGGATTTTTAGGGCAAAAGTTGTACTGTTTGAATCAAAAACTATACTGTTAGAAAAAAAACTGGTACTGTGGAGATAAAAAATAGTACTCAAAGAAAAGAATGGTATAAGTGTAGGATAGCCTAAAGTAGTTTAGGGCAGGTGGAAGAGGAAACGAGGCTAAAAATGATTCATTTTAAACTGGAACAAAAAATAACAAAAGTATAAGTTTAAAAATCAAATTTAAGTATCTAATATACGATTAGTATTGGTGTTAATTTTGTATCAATTTCAGCGAGCGTCGGAAGACTTGGTAGGCGCGGCTTGTTTCGATGAAGCTTTCAGCATCTTCATGAACACTATGAGTGAGCCAAAAAAGGTAATTTTTAATCAAAATTTAGCAATTCCTTTTAACAAATTAAAATAAAAATAATTTTTCTTTGTTTTTCATTATGATTTTTTATAAAAACCTTAAAAATGCTAATTAAATTTGATTTTTTCGAAAAAAAGGTGATTAAAATGGTATAAAATTTAATTTAATTGAATTTTAAACTACAGTAAAAGAAATTGTACGCACAGTAAACTCAAATCTTTTTCTCAAAAATTTTTAATTAAAAAAAATTTTTTTCAGCTCAAACTAGACCCTCTGGCCTTTATTTCCGCGCCCGCCCCAGCCAGCAAATCGGCTTCGGCCGCCGCCGCCGTCGCTGCCGCCGCCGTCCTCAACTTCAACTCAACAGCTTCGGCTTCGACTGTCTCGGCGCCAGATCCATCAGGAAACCCACCATCTAGGGTAGTACATCTTCGCAACATTCCAGGCGACATGAGTGAACTGGAGTTGATCCACTTCTGTATGCCTTTTGGAAAACTTTCGAATTATCTTATGCTGAAGGGGAAGAACCAGGTAAGGTTTGTTGAAACTTGTGTAAAGTTTTGTAGAAAAACAAGGGTAGGGTAAGGTAGAGCAGGGTAGGGTAAACAGATAATTTTTGACTATGTTCTATAAAAAAAGCACTTGGAAATTTGACATGTTACGAAATGTCACAAGATTTATTCGATTTTTATGAAAAAATTTTTGAGTGAAAAGTAAATTACCGTTGCTTTTTTTTAATTTTGAACTTAAATTTTGACATTTTTGTTAATTTTTAAAAACAGTAAAAAGCTATTGACAATGTGGCGAAATGTCACAAAACTTATTGGTTTTTCATTTTCTGTTTATTCTATAGGTTAAAAAGGGATTTTTTGTAAAAAAAACACGTTAACAGTTGCTTTAAATTATATTTTGTATTTTGCATTACTAAATGGTAAAAAATATATAGGTTTTTTTGAAATTTATATTATTTTGGTGAAGTACTTTAAAAATATGTCTAACCTTAACTTAATCTGCCTTTAAAATCCAGAAACTTTTCTGAATTCCAAGGAAAACAAAAAATTTACATTATTCCATTTCAGGCCTTTGTAGAATATGAAGAAGAAAGTGGAGCCCAAGCGATCGTCCAAATTGCTCATGCTTATCCAATGGCAATTCGAGGGAAAACGATCTTCTGCCAATACAGTACGCATCAAAATCTGAAAACCGAGAAAAAACTGCCAACCAAAAGTGGTGCTATTCTTGGAGACCTTGTGGTACCGCCGGTAGGTTTTAACTTTAACGTTTTAAGCCTTTTTTTGTTTAAAATTTGAAAATTTTATAGAAAGTTAACAAAAATATTTAAAAATTATTGTGGTACTGTATTCTTAAAATTTTAATGGTACTGCAGTTTTCAAACCTATTGAATATTGTATTCTTATTGTGTAAAAAAGAATTAGGTATAAAAAGACTAGTTTTTAATATTTTCGCGCCAAGCGGAATCGAACCCAGGTGCTTCGGCGCGTTAGTCAAACGCTTTTGCCACTATACTACTACAAAGTGACGGTTGAAAATTGACCTTAATTTATATGTTACTAGGGCAGAATTTAATGCTGAATTCAAATCTGTAACCTATTCTTTGTAAGTTCGAAAAAGAAAAAAGGTATGACCAATTTTTGTGGTTAGTTACCTAAAACAAGGTTTTGTGGCTATTTTATAGTTAAAATAAGGTTTAAAAATCAAATTAAAGCAAAATTTGGGACTTACGTTTTAGTCTTAAAAGCCTTACTGCAGAACCCTTACAAAGTTAGGCTAAGATACGATGACAACTTACTGTAGTAAATTTGCTCGAAAGTGCAAAACATAAAATTTGTTTACAAAAAGCTTGTTGTCGAAGGATATTTGTGGCCTGCGGGTGCGTGTTTTTGATTAAATGGAAGAAGCAGATTAATGGTCGTCAGGACAACCGGCTAATAGTCATGATATATCCTAATTAGAGCGGGCACATTAGCGAGATGGGCCAAGAAACGCGAGGGATGGGGGCCAGGAATCCGTACAATACTCGAATACAGGGTTTGGTTTGGCATGGCACGCATTCTTTTGGTTGTATATAGGTATTGAAGGTCGTTTTAGAGAGTTTTTGACATACAAATGGCTGTGTTTGGGACAAGTTCTTAGTACAAGATTGTTTATTAGAAGTACATTGTTGTAAGCTGTATACAGGGGCTAAGGGGGGACGCTAGGGTTTTATAAAAAATTTTTTTGAGGTTTGTTAACTAAGTAGGGTAAATTAGAGTATGTTTTCATTTTCACCTTTTTAACTTAACTTTATATCTTTGTGTGTTATCTCTACTTTTCGCTCCCCCCCCCCGCATCCTTAGGTCTATTTAAAAAAAACTGTAATTTGTGTTTAAAATACGCGCATATTATTTATGGCCGCTGGCTTTTAATTAGAAGTCTCATTTATCAGTCGATCACATTTCGACTACTCGGCCCATTTTCGTAGGGGGGGAGGGTGCATTTCAGCGGTCGCGTCCTTTTCCTCGCGATTAATTAAAAATGATGCCCGTTGGCTCTCTTTCGTCAGCCGGTTGGAAATTATTCGAGGGAATTTTCGGCGCATACATTGACTTCAGAAGGCCAAAACACGGCTGATGCGCGGAATAATAAACAGCCTACGGTTATGTTAGGCATATTATGGATAGGGAATAATATGCCTAACATGTTGTTTTAGGTTAAAGGGTAGGGGAGTATGTTTTTGGTTTAGTGAGAGAGGGGCAGGTTTTATTTGCAGTTTATGGCAGGGTGTCGCAAAGCTAGGTAGTGTAGGCTAGGGCTGAGGCTGATACTGAGGCTAAGGCTAAAACAGAGGCTGACACTGAGGCAGAGGCTAAAGCTAAGGCTCAGGCGAAAGAGAATACTCAGACTAAGGCTAAGACTAAGGCTAAGGCTCGAAAAAAATCCAAAGTCAAATGCACCTCTTTCCGCACCCAATTACTGATGCAAAAAGAATGGCACTCTTACATTTGGCATCTTTAACCAATTCCAATACTCCCATGTTGAATTAGGGCTCGGAAACATCTGTTACGTTTATGGGTCCCATCTGATATATGTTTTTACTCCATCTTTCGCGGTTCAACCACGGTTTTGTCGTAACTTATCGTATATGAAACTTGTGTATTTAGTCTGGGGCATTAAGATTGGGGGAGGGATCTAGTTTTAAAAAAAAAATATTTTTTGAAGAAATTGATTTTGGTCCTCCCTGTTGAATTTTGTGAAAACTTTTTTTTTCGTGAAAAGTTGAAAAAAAACTTTTTTGTACTTTCCATCGCTGGAAAGATGTTTTGTTTTAAACTACGAGCCATAGCCAAATTTATCTTTTGTTATAAAAGTTTTTTTAAAATAAAGATTTAAAAAATTGTTCAAAAAAAAATTGGCGTGGTCCCCCCCCCCTACTAATTTTTCTGAAAAAAAAATATTTTTATGAAAAAATGCTATTTTATCCTCTCTATTATCAAAAAGATAGTCTGTTTGTAGACTAAAATTCATTGCCACATTTATTTCCTTATTAGTAACAGTTTTAAATTTTTTTTTCAAAAAAAATGAACGTGTTCCCCCCTTTTGATTTTTCCTCACAAGTTTCCAATGTCAGTTGACCTCGGCAAAACCGTGTATATTTTGTAAACCGATTGAATAACTCTGTATAATGTTGTACAAACTGACATGTATGGCTTTGTATAATGTTATACAAAGTTGATTTGGAACGATAATGCGATCGTACGAATGATATTCTTTTTGCTGTGACTTTCACAAAAAATGGCTTAAGTTCGCTTTTGTAATCGCCCGAAAAGTTGTTTTTGATCCCTAAAAATATTTTTTTAAAACGTGATTTTAGGCTTTTGAACGTGGATTCTGAAGGGTTTCAGAAGTTTTAAAATTTTTTTAAAAAATTTTTTATTTTTGAGGGATTTTTGGGTAAAATACTAGGTATACAGCGCATAGCAGCCAAAAATTTTATGCAAAATTTTTTTAAAAAATAAAAAATCTCACGCAAAACCCTATCATGCCTACTACAACATCAACAACTATCCTCACATGCCTCCAGAAGCACGCAAAAAATTATTCAGAATGATACGAGTTGAGTGGTCGACCTTGAAACCTCCGTTTTTGTCGCTTATGTCGAGATCTTTTGTCGGTTTTGAACTGGCGTGTAAAAGAGGAGTAACGTGAGCTGAGCGAGGGCGACCGGAGGAAACAACAGAGGCCTCCTGCGCCTTTTGTAATACCCTTTTATCATGCAGTTGGGGATGGTGGAGGGAGGGCAGGCGGTAATGTCGTTTTGGGAATTCCATCATGCGGTCATCACGGTGGCTTCGGAGGATTCTGAGGGTTTCGGATGATTTTAGAGGATTCATAGGTTTGCAGATGATTTTAGGGGGTTCTGAGGGTTTTAAAGATCCATAAAGTTTTCAAATTTAAGAGATTTAGGGTTTCTTGATGTTTTAGGGATTCTGAGCGAGTTTCAAGTAATTTCAGGGGATTCTGCGGGCTTTAGACGATATAAGCTGATTCTGAGACCTTCAGATGATTCTATAAGATTCTGAGGTTTTCACCTGATTTTAGAGGCTTTTGGGTGTTTCAATTTAATTCAGGGCATCCTCAGGCTTTTCAGGTAATTTGCAAAGAATTTTGAAGGTTTAAGGATTCATAAACTTTTAGAATCCAGCAGTTTTAGGATTCATTTCGCTGTTTTAGGGGTTATCATACACAACGTATAAAGCTTTCATTTTAGGTTTTTTGTGGATTTGTAAAGTTTTAGAGTTCAAAGGATTTTCTTGTTTTTTGATATTTTGGGGTTTCAGAGGAGCTTATTGATTCGAAGTTTTAAACTCTGCGGGTAAGGTAAAAGGGATCTTTAAAATTGAAAAAAAATTAAGTGTAATTATTTAAGAGACCGATGTGTTTTTGAGTGTGATTATGATTTTAAGGCTTGTTTCATATTATAGGTTTAAAGGTATTAAAATTCATTTCTTAAGTGTGAGTTTTAGAAAAGATTTTAATTATTTAGGCTATTTTTCATGCTCTCTCTCTTTCTTTTCCACACGTTTTCTAAAGATTTTGAAAATAAACTATGTTTTTTAGTTTTTCATACAAAAGTCATTTTTTCTAGTTAGGATTAGATAGGACAATGTAGGGAAATGTATCTATGCCAACTTTGCCTCCAGTCATAGCTACTTTTATTTTTTAATATACCCCTCCCAAACATATTACACCGAAAAAGAATTCCAAAATAATCATCCAAAACAGCGCTTCATGAATATTTCAATTTAAGAAAAAAGGGAATGAATAATGGCAGGATGTGTTAACCATCTAATTTGTCAATTTTCTAATTATAATTCTTTGATTAGTGACATAGACTTTACAGTAAAAACTGGGTTGGCATGAGGTTGTTGGCACGATATTACTTTACAATGTTTAAAGGTTAACTTCACTTTGACTTGCATTTAACTTTAGTGTGGTATACTTCTTTAAAGCTTGAGTATCAGGGTAGGGAATTGAGTATAATGGAGGGGATAATTATGAGTTTTCAATCGGGGCGGGGGGGGGGGGGGGAAGAAAAAAAATTATTTTATTTGGACATTATTTTTCGTGAATTTCCCTACCCCTAAATCAAACCAAAATCACCCCGCCCAACTAGTTTTTTTTTTTAAATTAGGCATGATGTAAAATTGAACTTTTCAGTTTTTCTTTAAAATTTTCTTCCCCAGTATTACAGTATTATTTTGTTCAAAAAATTCTGAGCCCCTTGACTTTGAAAATTTGCTTTGAGAGCGGGCTCAAAATTATTTAAACTACCTAATATTACCTAAAAATATAACCTGAACGTACTTTAATATACCCGAACGTACTGTGATAGTATCCAAAACAGTACGAATAGTAATAACCTTTGTCTTTTCCTCGAAATAGTATCCGTACTGGAAAGAAACCCTCGAGGCAATTTATTATTTTCTTGGCCCATTTGCGAAGCTGTTTACCTTTTTTGCTGGGGCCCGCCGCAGTAAATAACACCTTGCACAACATAAATGAAATTACATGCCTTAGGGCTTAATTTCAAAGTCAGGTTAATTTAGTGGCGAGCCGAAACGAATGGGGTGGGGGTCGGCCCTCGAATTAAGGAAATTGTTAATCTGGACTGTGCACGCTCGTATAACCGACTACTGAGCCTACGCCAGCACGCGGCCCTTAAGAGAAAAGCGGCCCGAGAAGGGGGGGGGAGGAGGGGGAATGGAGCCGGTTTCACTGCCATGCCCATGGAAGAGTTGGGCCGCTGGAAGAAATTAACGAATCGCTGGGGGAGGGGGTTTTTATGAAGGGTTAGGGGATGGTTTTTTAATCAAGTAGGGGTTAGAAAAACGTATTTTTGAAGGGGGGGAGATAAAATTGCCAAGGTTAAGGTCAAAAAGAATAAGTTTTAAAAGCAAAATTTTAGGGTAAGAGGGCTTATTTAAGTTTAGGGGTGCAATATTAAAAAATAAGGTAAAAAGCTACGCTCAGGGTAAGGGGATTACTTTAAGTTAAGGGGTGTCAATATCAAGAATAAAGGCCAGATAGCGAGGAAGGGGTTGGGGAAGAGGGGTTGTTGGGAGTAAGAGAAATAAGTTAGAGTAAGGGGGTGGAAAGGCATCATTTCACGCTAAAAAGCTAGTGGGTGGGGTACCAAAAGTTCGGCAGAGGGGTAACAAAAGGTAGGATAGGGGTGTATGAGGTCCAATTTAGGTTTTGAAATTTAAGAACATGAGTAAATGATAAGAGATGTATTAAAATTACAAAGTATTAAGAAAGGCCATGAAAAATTCAAAGTAATTTAATGAGGGGAGGGGGAGTGGAGGAAAAATTAATTTTTTTAAATTTTTTTTTGGTTTTTTTACTTTTTCAAAAAAAAAATTTTTTAATACTTCCTCGTCCCCCCCCCCACTCTACTCTTTGCTTGTCACTCTTCTAGCTACCGATCCTGATACTGCATAATTTTTTAAAAATTTTTAAAATACTGAAGCATAACAAGCTTAACAGTAAAAAAGTAACAGTCAAAGGAAGTAATGAAGCCGGGGAGGGGGAAAAAATAAAAGGGTCGAGACTCGCGCACTCCTCATTTCCTCTGCCCTCGGGCTGATTCCAGGCTTTTGTTTTAATTAGGTGTGCGCGCGGGTCGGCCAGGAGGGCCGAGTAGTAATTGCCCGAATTTGGGGCCCGGCCGTTGCCGGCGGAAGCCGTGCCACAACCGCCGAAAATAGGAAAGACGAGGCGGGTGCGGGCGGGGTGTTTGGCGGAAGGGTTGGTTTTTTGGTGCTTTAGGGTATGTAAGGTTTAGTATAGTACTGAGGGGTGCTTAGGATTGGTATAGTAATGGGTGAAGCTGGCAATAAGTAATTAGTATAGTACTCGGAGTAGGGCTGTTCAGTTCCGGTCATTAAAAGAAGAGGGAGGATAAGGGGAGGGGGGGGTACCCTACCCTATACAAGAACAATATTAATAATAACCGCGCCATGGCCTGACTATCAAAGATTGCTTAATAAACTTCCCAAAATGGTCTTCCTAAGCCTTTAAGTACAGATAGAAACGGCAATTTGAAGCCAAAACGTTGCCAAATATGGCCAAGTCCATTATCCTTAACCGGCGTTGAAATTGAGCGTAATTGCAGGATCTGGGGCAAAGTTGCACGGCAAATGGCATTTTGTTCAAAGAGTATTTTAGTATCCAAAAACAACTTCAGTAGGCGAATGTTCATTAAAGTTTGTTAGTGTTTAGACGGTAGGGTAGTAAGATTTTTTTGTAAAAATTTTAGATTGTATTGGTTAAGCTATGTCTTACTGGTTATTTTGGTTTATAAAGAAAGAGGAAGGGGTGTGGAAGAGAGGAGAGAAGGAAGGGAGGTAATTTTTCAATTTTTTTTTATTTTTAGAGAGATTTACGAAAAAAATTAATTCGAAAAAAAATTTTTTTTAAATCACCCCCCAAAAAAAATTTTTTTTTCGCTGATCGATCCGTCCTAAAATGTCTTTGCTACTAATAAAAATCTTATTTTCATGCCTAATTTTATGAAATTCGTGGTATTTTACTTTAATTTTTTGTTCCCCCCCCCCCCCCAATTCTTTCTCCCCTACCCTCACTCCCTCCCCCCCCCCTTTTTAACACTAAGGTCTTTCAAAAAGTTGAAACCCAACGATTTCTAATGTGTTTGAGGCCCAGTAAGAGGTTTTTATGCGTAGTGACCGATCTGTGTCCAGATGTGGCCAAGGGTCGGTGCGAAGCGATCGGCCTGCCCTTTTGTGTTTTGTTTTGTAGTCGGCTGTTCCGATCGTTTCCAGAGTGTCTATCACTGTTCTATGAATGTTCCCTATCACGCTGAAGCCGGGTGAGGGTCGTTCCAGGGGCTTTGGATCGTGTTTTCGATTGAATTTGATTAACTTTGTGGTTGGGTGGGTACAGGGTGGAATTGGTGAAGAGAGTGGTAGGGTAGGACAGGATAGGATCAGGAAGGTTATTTTGGATTTTGGGCTTGGTGGCAGTAGGTAAAACGCTCAATTTTGTTAAAAACGGCAAAGCGGTGGGCCTTTAAAAAAATTTAAGTGATTAATACGGCATTTTTAAATAAAAATTTAGCGATTCCAAGAACTTTTGAACCGCTTTTAAAAAAAAATTTTTAAATAAATTCTAAAACACATTTCAAAGCCCAAAAATTTCGATTTGAATATTAGATTTTTGGTTTTATAGGCCATAAAATTCCAACACATTAAAGCTTTAACCAGACCAATTTGTACCTAAAAACGTTTTTTTTCAACTTTTTCATTTCAAAAAAGCCGTATTCTTGGGATTCTTAATACCAAAACTGTGTCTAATCTAGACTTCTAAAGGGACCGGGCCCAAATCTGCGGCCCAATCCACGGGCGGGCTTTTGATTTGGGCTCCGGTTCTTTAGCGGACAAACTTATGCCGGCCTGGTTCCTTTCAAATTTGCTTTGGCTCAGCCTAGCTTCTTTGTTGTTTTCATAAAAGTAGTGGGTTTCTATTAAGGGTAGCTTAATCCATTTTTGTTGATATATCAAACCTCCAAAGCTAGTAATAGTACCGTATATTACTCATACTCACAAGTTAGTACAATACATTAGTACCGTTTGTTTGTAATTGTCGCGATTCAAGTGTTTTCAAAATATTCAAATTTGTATTTCTGTAGGACGAAAACAGGACGCTTAATCGACGAAAGCTGGCAATTAAGTCAGCTGTTTACTGACCTCAACAACACTATTGTTAGTACTATTTTCAACATAGCTTCTACGTACTATACAGTACCTAATTTTTATAAGCTTCGTGGTACCTTGATCTAGTACTACATACTGTTGGGTGTAAAGAATTTAGTCTATACTAATTTGGGTACACTATAGTACTGTTTAGTACTTAGATTTCGGCAGGATTTTAGGTTATTTACTAGCATTTAGTATATAACCTAGTGCAACATATTACCTATTGATCTAACACAGAGTACCTAAAACCCTATTTTCTTCTCAACATTGGACTAGCCCTACTCTTTTCAACCGTAGCCTAGTCCCACCATCCAAGGCTTCAACTAGCCTCCACTTAACCCCATTCAAAACGGTTGCGGCAACTTTTTTGGCCGCAAACTCGACAGCTGCGACGGCCGCGGTTCAGCTAGCCGCCGTGACCCAGCCCACAGCCGCCACGATCACACTGAGCGCCGCCGGCCTGAAACGCGCCCACTCGCCGAACGATCATCTAGCCGGCGCCCCGATCGTCGACCAGTCCACGCAGATCGCGCTGGCTGCCGCCGCCGCGGCGGCCACCAACTCCGGCGTCACGAATCCCGCCCTTCAGCCGCCGTTCCAGGCCTTTCAGCCCTTCCAAACGCAGCAACAGGTGGTGCAACAGTTGCTGCAGTCGCAGCAGAACAATTTGGCCTACTACGAGTCGTTGAACGCGAAGCGATTGAGGTTGGCCGCGCCCGTGGCCAGCTCTTTTGCTCCGACCAACTTGTTGATGACGGCTAGCGCGCCGCTCCGCCCGCTGATTCAGAATAATGTGTCTATGACACCCTGCGATCAACAGCAAATGGTAATAGTGGGGGATTTGAAGGAGAGATGGTGATGTAAAGGATAAAAATTTGAATTTAGTATCATATGCTATCACATAAAGTTATGTTATAGTACATACAGTATCATAATAATTTTTTTTATTTTGGCAAAAATCATTTTAAAAACTTCAAAATTTACTTTGTAAACCTAAATTTATACCTAAAACAATGGCAATATGATAAAAATCCTTATTTTATACCTAAAAGGGTCAAGGTTAATATAAAAAACTCATAGACCACATATAAACTTGTACCTACAACAATATAGTCAAAAGTATACCAATAAAAACATATGTAAGCCTATACCTATGATAACATAACATTTTCAGTCGAATCTACTAGTACTAGGAGGAGCAGCCACACCGACCGGTCAGAACTCAAATGCTTTGGGTTCGACGTCGCGAGGATCGGCTACACCTGGCTCCGCTTCAGCATCACAACTGGACATCTCCACCAGTACACAACAACAACCCAACTATGTTCTGAGAGTCATAGTGGACAATATGATATGTCCAGTCACCTTGGACATTCTCTACTCCATCTTCTCGAGATATGGCAAAGTCTTACGCATAATCACCTTCTCTAAGAATCGTAAGTTATCGTTAAGGAATGGTAGAGTAAGGTAGACATCGGATTGGGATAAGGTGGGAGTAGAGTACGGTGAGGTAGAGCGACGATATAAAAAAATTTAAAAATTGAAAAAAAAACAATTTTCATTATGTTAACCATGCCCTTTCAGACACCTTCCAAGCTTTAATCCAGTTTTCCGAAGCGAATGCGGCCCAAACCGCCAAGAGCGCGTTGGATGGACAAAACATCTTCAACAACTGTTGCAATCTTCGCATCGACTACAGTAAATTGGCCACTCTGAATGTGAAATACAACAATGACAAGAGCCGAGACTACACCAATCCTCTATTGCCTCCAGGCGAATTGTCATTGGAGCAACAGCTTAGTTTAGGTAGGTTTTTGGGTTACTAAAGATAGAGCTGTGGTAGGCCTAGGGTAGCTGGTTTTTCAAAAAATTTTGAAGTAAAAAATGAAACAGCACGGGCTGAGCGTGATAATATGCATTATTTAGGGCAGGGCAAAAAGAGGGGGTCGTATTTTTTATTTTTTTTGAAAATGTTACCTAAAAAGTTAAATTATTTTTTAAAATTCAAATTCTTACCTAAGAATTCAAATCTCCCCATTTCCAGCCCAAAACTCACTGGTAGTCCCATCGCTTTTGCCATTCGCCACCAACCCAGCCAATCCCGTAGCCAGCATCTACAATCAGCAAAACGTGCTAGCCAGCGGGCTGGGTACCAACATTGCAGCCCTAATGGCCGCCTCAAATGGTGCTAACGGTATTGCATCCCCTTCGCTGAATGTCACCGCTCAGACCTTGCTACAACAACAACTTGGATCGTTGTTGAACACCACGCCCGTCGTGTTGGTGTCCAACTTGGACCATAAGGTGAGTTGCGACATCTTCTCGTTAGTTCTTCTCTCTTCTTGTTTTTGTTGGCGTGGTATAACAAAAATTTGTTTTTAAATCGTCAGAGCCTTTAGGGGTTTTGAAATTATTGTTTTTTTCAATTCAAATTTTGAGAAAATTTTTAAAAATGGTTTTTTGATTCAAAAGCCTTTAGTAAATGATATACATCGATGTATATATGTAATACTACGAAGTTATACCACGCTAAACTGTAATTGTATTAAAAACTTCTGGAACGAAGCTTTATTACTGTAATTTTCTCTCTCTTCCAATCCTTAATTTTATTCGACGTTGCGGAGCTTCAAAGCCATACCTTTTCTTAAAAAATTAAATTTTTGAACATGAAGCCTCATTACCTCTTCTCAGTAATTTTTGAGTAATATGGGGCAAAACTGGGTTAAAACAAGAGCAGGGTCTGGGTAAGGATAGCGGATACATTTTATGGGTACAATAGGTGAGGATAGGCCTAAAGTAGGACTAGGGTAAGGCTATGATAGGTCCAGATCGGCTTACCCATTGTCACGTTAGAGGGGTGGTCAATAACTTCTGCGGGCAGTATAGATCTATGACAGTTCAAGGGAAGGTAGGCCTAAAGTAGAGATATGATAGGAAATGTAGGGTCATGATGGGCTTAAGGTACGGCTATGTTAGGCCTAAGCTAGTGCTATAGTAGGTCTACGGTAACACCGTGATAGACAAGTCTATAGCTCCACCTTAGGCCCAACATAGTAATGCCCATGGTCTATCACGTATTCATATAAGGCCTAGGGTAGGGCTATGGTATGATAAGGGCAGGATACGTACATAAGTGTAGGTGTAAGATCTACAGTACACCAAGGGAATGGCAGTGATACGATTCGGGTAGAGCAATAGTACACCTACGGTAGTAAAATGATTGTTAAAAATGAAATCTTAGGTCATTTAATTAATTCTGTGCTCCTTTCAAAGCAAAATTTCAAATTTTTGGGGCACACAATTATTCGAACAACCTAACACAAGCTCCGCAACGCCATTTTACATTTACAAGATCGTGTTTTTTCACACCTATCGCTCTTTCGTTGTTTTCAGAAGGTAACTCCAGATGCGCTCTTCACACTTTTCGGTATGTGGCTTTGAAACTTCTCGATTATTGCCCGGGAGTACTGTAACCCATTATTTCACTGTAATTGTAAACCGTGGTCAGGTCCTATCCTGAGTTCAATTTTTAGTTTTTTTTACTTTTTGTGTGACCAAAATTACTGTGGTTTTTCGATTTTACCGTTCTGTAGCTGGGGTTTGCTTATACGTACTGGTGGGGTCAGTGTGACATGGTCATACTTGTGGTATGTTAGTATGTATACTGATGTATATGAAGACAATATCGCGATATATGTGGTATAACATACACGATATATGTCACAAAGACATACCCATAACTCCACCATATATATACAACGAACCCAGCTACAAAACTTACTGTATCATTTATAATATACGATTGTACTCTTGGTATTGTTGTCCTGTTATAGGCGTGTACGGTGATGTGCAACGGGTGAAGATACTCTTCAACAAGAAGGATAATGCTCTTGTACAATATGCGGAATGTCAACAAGCTCAGCTGGGTGAGTAATTGTCTTAGCCACAGGTTTTATATTATCCATAGGGATCAGAGGATATTATCCTTAATCGAAATACTAAAAGTTTAGCTAAAAAACAAAAATTTACGTAAAACAATTCATTGGACTAGGCCTACAATGTCATCCTACATCAATCATTACCCAATGAGCCAATGAATTTAACAAAAAGCCAACTTTTAAATATTACACATGACCGTGTAATATAACCCTTAAAAATCATGAATCAAACCAAATTTTTAGAAATAAGTAATATATATAGCTTATAAATTTAACTTTTAACCACATTAGAAATTCAATTTAAAGCTTTGCTGCGTCGCATAAATAATATTGACTGTTTTAGCGATTCAACACCTGGACAAGGCGAAATGGCACGACAAGATCATCAGGGTCGCTTCATCCAAGCACACCAATGTCCAGATGCCCAAAGAAGGTAAAACAGAGTTTTTAATACATTTTTAACACAAAAGTTTACCAGTCGATGTGGATTCACAGGTTTTATGAGCAAAAAATGTACCCTATGCAAAATTTTAGGTATCTAAAGTCAAACAACTCATAAATCATATAAAATTTTTTAAAACAACGCAAGTTTTTTCTCAAAACTTCACTAGTCCTATATCAGTCCAAAAAATGCATTATAATCCATCAAAATAACTTACCAACTTTTCTATAACACAAAGTATATTATCCATACCACCAAAAACAATCATTAACATTCTAGGCCAACCAGATGTCGGATTGACCCGTGATTACACAAATTCGCCGTTGCATCGATTCAAGAAGCCAGGAAGCAAGAACTACATGAACATTTACCCGCCCAGCTCGACATTACATCTGTCCAACATTCCACCAAATATTACACTTGAGTTCTTGAAGGGCGCTTTCGAAGAGAATGGATTCGTCGTCAAAGATTTCCAATTCTTCCAGTAAGTTATTGAATTTAAATTGTTTAGGCTAACTGTTATTTACAAAAGAAATATTATTTTGACTACATTTTTCAAGAATTTCAACGAAATGCCAAGGAATAATCGGAAATTTTAGAACGTAATGTCTAAAATAGATTTTTAATGTTCCACAACAATTTTATAGCCGTTTTTTTATATAAACCAGTTTTAAAACCTATTTTTAATTTCAGACGTGACCACAAAATGGCACTAGTTCAATTAGACGACGTTGAATCGGCGATCCAAGCCTTGGTGGTGATGCACAACTTCAAGTTGGCCGACAACGCTCACCTGAGGGTATCCTTCTCGAAAAAGGGTCTTCGCGTATAGAAGAATGAATCCAGAGTTTTAAATTCATACCTTAATATCATTGAATAGCGCGCACGGTCTTTATTTATGATAATTTATTTTGTGTTAGGTTTACAGCCGCATATCCTACTGAATCGTAACAAAACGTAGTCGTACTGAACTGTCTTTGCGTTATATCTGGTGATTTCGATGTCATACACGGTATAATGATTAATCTTCACTTTTTTAATAATATTTTAGTTGTTTTGTCGTATTTTGTGGAGTTATGGCTCTGTAAAGGTGTGTGGTACTTAAAAGTTGAGGTAGATGTCTATCTCAACTTTTTTTTGTTGCCATGTTCTTCATGGAGGCCTATCCCAAGGTATGACAAATTAAAATGATTGCAGGGTATCTTAACATTGTTTTAGATCTAATTACATAGATATAAATCAGTGTAGACGTGCTTTACAGTCAAATCTCCACCTTCATGTCATGGTTAATACAAAACTTTAACAAAACTTTAGTTTCCTTTAATTTTTACTTTAATATCCTGAACTTTGTGGTCATAATAGGTCATAATCTATTCCTAGTTGTCTTTGTAGTTCCACTAGTAATCGAATCATATAAAAAAGAGAGTTGTAAACGGTGTAAAACCAACTTCAACATCTCCGTTTATTTTATGATATCTGTTAATTTGCGTCACAAAAGTTGTAATAAAGAGTTTATTGAATGTCTGGAAAGATTAGATAGTAATTGTAAGATTACAATTGCAGAAATAATCCATTTTAAAGCCAATTAAAGAATGTAAATTTAGATGGCAGAGGATGTGATGTGTAATATCCTTCAAGGATGATATTCTGCTAAAGATTATTATAGTTTTTTATAGTGTTATAGTGCTGGAGGTTATAATAGTTTTACAGGATACTATAGATCTATTAAATTCAAATCCATAAAGTCTAAAAAAGAACAAATTAGTGAGAAGATATTAAGTTAGGCTAAAAAAGGTATTAAAGTAGAGTAAAAGATATACTTTGGACGACAATAAGTATGTTGTAAGACGTATTAAAGTATGGTTCTTGCTCTCAGTTTTTTTATAGAGTTCTTTTTATGGAGAAGGTATTATCTGATACCTGGAAATCAGCCTAGGAGGGTTAGATTTAGGTAATAAATAGATTAGATTTATGGTGTTCTAGTTTTCAGAGTTTGTTACGGAACAAACATTTTGCAGAGTTAATGTCAATTTGTTTGGAAATACGTCTTTGCTGAAAAAATGTTTTTAAAAAAAGTTTTTATCTAGAACTTACTTTTCTAAAGATTTGGGATTGGTAAGAGAGGGGGATATATATATTACGGATGCCTTTACTTGACCTAACTCAGCCTTAGCTCTAGCTTAAGTTCTGGACGTAATTCTAGCTCTGAGCCCTAGCCCTAGAAGCTCTAGTTCTCAGCCATAGTTCTAACATTGACCTTTAGTCATCCTCTTACAATTTGTTAGCCTTCAGCTTTAGCCCTAGCTTTAGCGCTAGTTTGAGCCCTAGCTCAGCTCTAGCCTTAAGACACAACCCTACATCTTAGCTTCAGCCCTAGTCCAAGCCCTGGCTTTAGCCTTAACTTTAGCCCTGAGCCTTAGCTAGAACGTTAGCCTTAATTATAGATCTTGTCATATTAACCTAGTACTATATACAGCTTTTTAGCCTGTTTTTTGGTCTCACTGTTGACCTTTTCATTGTCAGTTCCTTCTTTTACACTTTTTTTCCAATTTTTATCAAATTTTTAGGATTTCTATTCGAAAAACTGACATTTCTTTTGTTGTGTCAGGCGGAATTAAATTTCGAAACATGGGTTGTTAACTATGATGATATGCTTATAATACCATAATTGAATTTTCAGTTTATTCGGTTTTGGTTTTAGAGTTTTGCACATAAATGGCAGTTTTACAGGTCTTTCGAGGTATCAGGTGTGTAACTTAATGTTTTTAATACAGTGGAACTACTGTGTAGTAAATTATGTTTAAAATCTATATAATATATACAAATCCTAATAAGGCCAAGTTCAATTTATATTTATATATATATATAGTTGTAGACGTATTTAGTTATAAATATTCGCGTTAATCATTGATATGCAACTTGTTGTATAGGCTGCCAACTTTACTTCCGGATGCAATAATGTCTTTCAATTTACAGAAGTGTAAGGAAGATGACGTAGAAGTCTTGCTTCGAATTATTTTACATTCATAAACAAGTTCTAAATATTAGCGTCAAGTACAGGGTAAAGAATGGCAAAACACAACATTTTGAAATGCTTTTTTGACTCGTTTTCACTGCTTTTTGGTGTTTTTACTGTACTTTTTAATAAGCAATTTTGAAAATTAAAAAATTTAATTTACTGTACTATCGTATAGTTGACTCTGCTTATAATCAATGTTAAAGTATTGGCATTTTGTTTTAACTAAAGCAGAGAAAATTACACTTACAAAGGGCATACGCTCAATTTTTTTGGCTCGAGATCTAGCCAGGCCTTTGTTCGGACTCTGGCACTCAAGCCCACCTGTACCGGACCGGCCTGGCCTCTTTAAAAATTTCTTTGGCTTTGCCTTATTAAACCTGTAACTCGAATAAGGTCGACTTCAATTTTTCGCGCCTTGCCTGCAGGCTTGGTCTTAATTTGAACTCCGGCCCATGGGCTCATGGTCTTTTTAAAATTTAGACCGGACTCGGTCAAAGATTACAATTTTTTAACATTATTGAGGTAAATATATTTCATATTATATCTATAACCGCATTGCTTTTTACCAAAACGTCGCAATGTCAAAAAATCAATAAATTTTGGGACACTTCGCAACATTTTGAAATTAAATCGTGTATAATAAGTATAGTAAAAGTAAATACAATACTCCCTTTATATAATCAACCAGAAAAGACCAACATTTTGTGTTTACTATAAAGGGTGTTGTCTTTACAGAAAGGCTTTTTAGTGAAAATTGACTTGGCTGGACCAAATTTCCTGTTTACGATAAGGAGAGTTGCTTATACAGAGATACCATTGTAGTAACAATTGTTTCCAGATGCAATAACTATTCAATGTAGTCCTTTTTCACAAATTTTTATATTGAAAATGGTTTCCATGAAAATATTTTTAATTTTTCGATTTAAAAGTGCATTTGGCTCATTTTTAAATGTCAACTCGGATAAAACCTTTACTATTATATTAAGTACCAAGTATTAATATAATTCATCAAGATATGTATAAATATTTTTATACTTGCTATACTTTACCTTTACATAGTTAGAAAAAAGTATAGTAATATAGGCAATACAAGATATATTCTAAATAGTTATGTTATATAAGTCACTAAGGTTCCACAAATTCCTTAACCGGCTTCTGCCATCTAATTTTACATACACCATGTCGTTGAGGAAGGTTGGTGTTTAATCCATTCTATTAATACAATTGTAACATCCACCGAATCCATATGTTACATTCGTATGTACATGATGTTATACACGATTGATGGGCTTTATTGTCGTACAGTCGTTGTGAAATACGATGTTAATACGATGTAAATTTACAAAATTGTTGTCTAAACTTTTGCTATTTATATTGTTGATGTTATATTGGTTATGCTATATGTTCATGATGATGTTGTCAGATATTCTATTAGTAGCTGATGATGTTAGAGTAGGTGGATGGTGATGTAGTTTATCTAAAATTGCGGACTGTTCTTGGTATGTGATGTTATACTGTTTTGTATGATGGTATGGGTTAATTTTTAAAGTGTTGGCACGTCTATATTACTGTAGCTGGCGCTGGGTCTGAAGCTGTAGCTGGGCTAACCCGGGCTGGACTGGGCTGGGCTATGCTGCGCTGGGCTGAGCTAGACTGGGCTGGGCTTATCTGGGCTGCGGCTGAACTAGGGCGGGGCTAGGCTAGGGTGGACTGACCTAAGCTGGCCTAGATTAGACTGGGCTAGGCTGGGCTGATTTGGGCTGGGCTGGGGCTGAATTAGGGCAGGAGCTAAGACTAACATTGTACTTAAACTTTATGGTAATGTGATCCAGTACCAAGCGTAATGCTATTAAATATAACATTAAAGCTATAACAACATTACGCAAATTGCTTCAAATACCACATGTTTCTCAAGTTACATTAAACTTGCAATTTGACTATTAGGCTTGATTTTAAATGGCAAAAGTCCAAAAGGTTACGGTATCGCGCAATCTACCGCATGTAGTATTATAGATATATATTATAGTAATGCAATTACACAGTAAAAACGCAAAACTTTTTATTACCCCCAAAATAAATACTGTTTACTACACCCACTCCTTTCATAACCCCTTCTCTAGGTCCCCCTAGCATTACAGTATAAACAAACAAAGAAAATCCATGTTATCTTGACAAGCATGACATAAACATGCTAATACATAGTAAACTGCGTAGATTGTTTGTACATAAGTTTGTAACAACAGCTAATCTCTGGAATGAATCCACGTATCAGATTATCTGATGTACAATAACTCGCATTAGAGGATGAGTAACGGTATTTTTGAAACTCGAGGAGCTCATCCTTTTTTAAACGTGGGCATTCTTTACAATAATATGTTGACATGTTTGCTAGTAGAATCTTACTGCATCGTACATTTTTTCGAATTTCGGGCCCACGTGTGTAGGTTCGACCTGACAGTTGCAAGCCCTAAGCTTGGTCCCTGTAAGCTTGATTTAGACACAGCCTGCTTACATATTCTGGTCCGGCTTTTTTAAATCTGCTTTTGACCAGGCCTAATGAGCCCCATTATCAAGTCAACTATAGTAGAATAACAAGCCCTCGGTCATTCTTAAAAGAAGTAACAAGTTATGGGCAGTAAACTTAAAAGCTCAGCGTTATTAATATAGTACTCAGCACGAACTGACCATTAAAAACCTATTTATTCCCCACAATAACCTTACAAATATATATTACACTATTATTTACTAGAGTAATTCTCAAATCATAGCATATATTAGCCATAAAATCCTTATAGACCTACTATAAGATGGAGATGGTCATCTTCAAAACCGGTTATTATTTAACAAAGTAACTATAACATTATATTGTATGTTAAAAACAGTAAATTTAGCATGATTTCGTATGTTAAACGCACTAACTTTAGCATTACATTGTATATTAACCACAGTAACCCACTAACCCTACTATTTATATTTGGCTCGTTAAATTACTCAAAAGTATTACTCTTTGTTTACCAATAAGAATGATATCACACTTGGTTATGACCAAACATTTGCATTATTAGTTCAAGGAACTTCCGACTCAAGACATATGAACTTAAAATAACAGTTGCACTTTTAAAAATATTGACAAACAAAGTTAAATCACAATATTTACATGCTCCAAGTGCACGATTCTGGGAAATTGTAGGAATTGTGACCTGTTGGACATAATACTGTATGCTTGTACTAATTTTGACATTTTATAGATCATAAATATTGGCAGTTTTGCAATTTTAAAAGGAAGTTTTTAAACATTTGCTTTTAGAAGGGGTACAGAATTATGTGGAAAGCCTAAAATTATTAAAATGTTAAAAATTTTTTAATTTTTTTCGAAAATTTTAAAATTTTGTAAAAATTGATGACACATTTTGACACAACTTATGTTAAGCTGCCTAAAGCCACCCAATAAGCCAGACATCTCTGTAGAATGTTGTTTATTATAAACAAAAATAGAGCCAACTTTGATAATCGTGTTAACTTTATTTTTATCCTTATTGTTAGAAGTTTGATGAAAGTATTTTTATGAACAAACTGAACCGAGAAGTAGTCAGTTGAATGTAACATTTTTCTAAAAACTTTAAATTTTTTAAATCTTTTTTTGTGTAATTGATAATGATACTTCAAAAGATACTAATTTTTATGATATAGAGCTTATAAACGTATATATTTTACATTTTCTTTAAAAACATAAAGTGGCATCTCTGTATAAGGGACTCCTGTATAACAAATAACTTTTGAATCCCTGGCTAACACTACACAGTTCATTTAAAACTGCTATATAACGAAACCACAACATAACAAAAAAGATTTAAATATCTTAGCGATTTGTTATACAGAGGTACTACTGTGTTACGTTAAATTTTTAATTGTACATGTCACCAGTTACCCATAGCCGTAGCTCTAGCCCTAGCATTAACCCTAGCCTTAGCTCTCGCCCTAGCTCTAGCCTACAGCCCCTTTGATTTATTCTAAGTTTACCACGTAGATTCCAAGCCAACATAAACAATATATAATAGTATATTAAAATATCCACGTGTTTCTCTAATCCACTTCTTGAGCTTGTAGCGTTTCTCTAATAATACTGTTTACTATCAAGATACACCGCTTTATCTGCCGGTAATCGTCTTCTACGTTGCTTTAATACATCCTATGCTTCTTTGTATTTAAATTTTTTTAAAGTTCTTCTTTGTATCATCTATTTGTGTTTACTTTCTTTATCTTTTACATGTTTACGATACATTTGATCCCATATGTTATTAATGCTGGTGAAATTAGGAAGTTTGGCACAAACAACATTCCTAGTATTATCATTGTATCAAGATTAGTACTAAACAAAAACACTTTATATCGCACAAACATATAGCATCGTATTTGTAATCTTCATAATCTTACTGTAATATACAATATCCTTGTACAACTACATTAATATAATGGTCCATCTATTAATATAGGCGTGAAATGTAACCATAAACATACTTGCACTACCTTACTACTACTATTACTAATCAAAATTATCAAAGTTACAAGACATATTTGTCGTACTTACACCTACTATAACATAATCGTCGTATATTATTGTGACGTTTACCGCGGTAGCAGCGAGATTAAGGCATTGCGGATGTAAATACTTCTGAAACCTTAGACTCTTGCGCAATTACTACTTTTTTGAATTCTTTTTAGTAATCTCCCCCCCCCCTCTTTTTTGCGGCCCAAGGCCACGCCCACTTTTTGGTCAAAGCGTTTTAAAAGATTTTTAATGTAACTGAGCGCTGTTACATTCGGACGAATATGTGTCTGCGGATCTATGTCAACTTATTGTTACTCACAGTTATTACGACAGCGGTAAGTTTTGTGAAATACGTTGGGGTTTTCGTATGATATTTATATGACTACATATAAATGATGACTATGTTTTTTAACGTTTAAAATTTAAAAAAAATTAATTTATAACTTTTCTTCGCCTTAGCCCTAGCCTTAGCTTTGGCCTTAGCTTGAGCCTGAGCTTGATCCTTAGCCTGAGCCTCAATGTTAGCTTTAGCCCTAGTGTTAGAAGCCATAGCCTTTGTATGCTTTTACAACCTTATCCTAGCCTTTCCCTAGCCCACCTCTAACATTATGTTGACCCTAATCTAGCTCTACTCTAACATGGTAGTACGTATGCTTATCCTATCCCTACCATAGCCTTACCTTAGCTCGCTACTAAAGTTTTTTATCCCTATCCTAGCCTTTCTCTACCATTACTCTGACCCTACCCTATCCTTACTTCTAGCCTTGCCCTAGCTCTCATTTAGCCCTACACTAGCGTTGGGTATAGCCTTATCCCAGCTCTATTCTAGCCCTGCCTCTAGCCCAACCCTACCTTCCATAACTCATAGCAGTTTACTATTTATATCCACAACTCCTAACTTTTACCACAAATTTCAGTGTAATATATATAACTAATCGCAGTAACTTTTTATGCGGAAGCGCTTAACTTGATTTATGCTTTATCACTATTGTGACAAAACTGTAAACAAAAATAACATAACACGTGCTTAGACAGTATAATTACAGGAACTTATACCAAATACGATACTCAACAAACGGCAGGCCAAAGTAGAAATTAAAAAAGTAGGTTATCATTACTAATAAAATATATGTTTTTGTCTAATTTTGCTTTTTTTAATTTTATGTTTTGAAATTTTGACGTTTAAAAACTTTTCTAATGTCTATGGTAACATTTTACATTGTTGTCATGTACATTATGTTTTATATTGTTATTACTAGTTCTTAAAAGTTCAAATACCACAGAGTTAATTTATGTACTCTTACGAGATTTCCTGTAACTCATTGGCTACTTTTCGACATTCCCTAATTTATGACACATTTAGTTGTATTTCAAAAACAAATTTCGAAATAATGAAGACTTTTAATGCTTTTACATAGTAATTGAAGAGCTACAGTCTGTCGGGACCACCTATCAGGCTTCCTTTGGTTCTAGAATGATCTACATGACATATATTCTGTCTATTTCGAAAATCATAGGTATGACATTGCTTATCACTGCCTTGCCTTGCCCTGCCCTTGTCATGCCTTGCACTGCTTTTGACCCCTCCTTTCTTGCTCTGTCTTGCCTTTTAACCCGCCCAGTGCACAAGCTTCGCGCTTGTTTACCTTATCGTATAGCCTGTTTTACAAACAAAACTTATTTATAATATTTTTTGAGAAGTTCAAAAACCATAATATTGACCTTTTATACAATTTCTCGCAATGCCACTTTATACCTCATACTAATCTTTGAATTCAAAAATTTTATTCCGTTTACATAGCTAGACCATTTTTGAATTTGCTAAGACTTCCTTAAAGTTTTACAGAAGCCTTTCACACATTTTTCGAATCATCTTTCATATATACGGAAGACTTTACATGACTTTTTGGAATATTATAAGGTTGCTTTTGCTATAATTGTACTATAACATCTGTTCAAATTGTAGGGATAAATAGGGTCTTCAAAACCTGCTGTATCCCTAGCCCTACTCTACCCTACTCTGCCCTACCCTACCCTACCCTTATGTACCATTCCTTTCTTAAACATACTTATAGTGCTAAACAACTGATTTTTTCTGAACAATCGGAAACTTCTTTTTCTTATTTCGAGTCTGACTTTACTGCACAGTAAGTGACAAAGCAGTACTGATTTAGATACTAACAAAATGGTATTAATTAGAATACTAAGCTTAAAAACCTTCTTCTCTTTTCTGTTTTTATTGTTAGTACGTTTTTATTCTTCATCTACAACAAAAAACACAACTTTAGTGCTTCTTATGTTTTTTATATGATGTTACTGATTACATTACAGTATTCTCTGTTGTTTGTTTTGCAAATACTGTGAACATTGTTTTTGCATTCCTAAAATAACCATAAGGCTTCGTAAGGTTTTACACTGTAATATTGATTGACATCTTATTTAATATAACATGTAGATTACATAGTAACTTTAGAAAGTAATTACATTATAATTTTTAAACTTATGCATAATTTTTAACAGATTTAAAATTCAAACCAAACTTACTATTAATAAAATAACTGAGTAATTACTATTTGCATACCTATATTACTCATTTACATATTTACATTACCCTTTAACTATGCAAATAGTAATTATATTACTCAGCATTTCAAATGTTTCTGTACGGTAGTTTCTACATAATATATAAGTTATAGCGCATATTACTCATGGTGAATTGCTAAGTGGGCAAAGAATAGTTTAGAAAGACTAGTCGTGGCTCTAATTTAACAATAAGGATACAAAATACAGTATCAATAGCTAAGCTACGGTAAAAGTAAGATTAGTATATGTAAAGGCTAAGGCTAGGTATACATACAGCTCTAGCTATAGCTAAAAACTTTCAAAATTTGCAAATTTCGAAAAAAAACTACAGTAACCCAGCGTCATTTTCCATATAAATCATGTCATGTTTGCCCTAATATAATGGGTAAACAGCCATATATTAACATTCTCTTTAATCGCTCGCTTATTCAGCATTAACATTTGCAGGTATTAATATTAACTTGTTGAAACAATTTTTTCAAATTTTGCTTTTTTGTCTAACCTCTCTTCGTTTTTCATTGTCTTTCGTGACAGATTAAAAAAAGCTTTTTAAGTTTGGCATAAAGGCATTTTTAGGCAATATTAGGCTTGTCTTCAATTAAAATTAGCAATTTTCTTTGAAAAATTCCGAAAAAAAATTTTTAACCTTTCAAAAATTCATTATTAACTTATTTTTAAACCTAAATGTATGAAACCCTAGACACCCAATCTAGAGGGAATTAGCTATAGTTGTGCCAAAATTCAAGATCCTCACTTTTAAAACAGCAAAGGTGTGACTTTTTAAAGTTCCAATACCTATATTTCTATATAAAAAAATGAAAATTAGCTTAAAAACGTGCAAAAAACCATTCTAATTAGCATCTTCGTTACTCTACATTAACATATACACTTCCTTTACTAATCTATAAAACTAATAATTCACTTCTTATTTTATCATATGCAACTAATTATCATCCTTAATGTAAAATCATCATCCTCAATATAAAGCTATCATCTCCAATATAAAACCATTACCTTTAAAAACATAAAATTACCAGCCTTAATATCCATTCCTTGCTTCAGGACAACATGGGATACTCGGACGAGATGTTCAACATTGACACGCTGGCCGGCATTGGCTTGGGCAAACGGTCCAGTCCGTCACCGCGACACCACAACAAACCGCACTACATCCTGATCGATGTGGACGATTTACAGGAAAGGCTCAATTATCGACCGAAATTCAGTCGTTTTCACCAGATTAACTTATAAAAAACTGCAATGTATTAAACGAGTAACAATAAGAATTGGCATTTTTTTAATTAAAAAAAGTTTAATCATAAATACCATCAGACTTCAACAATTGCAAAACCCTCATCAAACTCTATACTGTAATGTAAAAATACTTTATTCTTGAAACATGATTAACATAGTACTGTTTTGCATAATTCTATGAGATTAAGAGTTGGACCGAATGACGCCTTTACAGTGTTGTAAACAGCGAGTTTGCAGACATTTTGCTGTCAATTTGGCTAATCCGTGCTCGGCTTGATGAAGGTTGTTAAGGGCGTGGAGTCGACGTTCGGCTCGATGAGATCGTCTTGCTCGTCTTCTAGGCCTGAAAGAGTTTACATAGTAAAGAAAGAAAGTATTTCAATAACTGACAAAAAAACTTTCCTCAACAAAAATTCATTTAAAAACGGCTGATAACAAAGATAATAACAAAGAAAAAAAATTTTTTTTTAGCCTTCACGTAAAATTACCCCGCCCGGTCCAGAAAAAAAATCTTACTGTTATTGCACTTTTAACTTTGTTTTTCCCATTAAATATGTTTTAAATTTAAATTCAGAAAAACTAAAATATTAAAGTAGACCAAAACAGCTGAACCTGCAGCTGTCCGATCTACTATAATATTTTAGGCAAATTACTCATTCCTGTGCGCATATTTGGTTGAACTGTTCAAAAGTATTTTGGAATCCAATTACAAACAATGTTTTATAACTAACATTAGTCATAATTAAATGTGTTATTTGCAAACACATTCAATTTTAGCCAACTTTAGGTATAAAAAAACCAAATCAAGTGTAATATTTATCTTAACATACTCTTTTTTAATAGCAAACTTGCTCTCAAAAACTTAGAAAAACATTGAAGATTAGCTAATCCTGTACTCTTAAAAGTATTTTTGGTAATTAAAATCGTAAAAAATGTTTACTATAACATCCTTTTTGCTCTATATTACACTTGATATCCACTTCATCACAAAAAATTGTTCGTAAAAAATAATATTTTTATGATAATATACTTACTTATACCTATATATAAAATCTTTAAAACTCCCCCAAATCAAAATCTCTTTATCAGCTAAAGAAAAGTGATAATCAATGGTAAAGCAAAGTAAAAACAGATAAAAACTTACTAGAAGTTCCAGCATAAATTTTGTGTGAAGGTGCGTACATGGCCAGCAGTATCAGCACATATATATTCCACATGCCAAAAGTGCCAGTAAAGAAGGCAGAGGCCGGTCTGCTTAGCCATGATTCATCGTGATCGTCTCCGTGAAGCTGCGCTTCACCGTACTGAAAATTTAGATTGCCGTCATTTTCGATCTTCATTAGTTCTTTATATTCTCCATTTTCAGTAATTTTTTATATTGTTATCGCTATTTACTTTATTATAGCTATAACTATAGATTATTTTAGGTAAAATACGATTCAGCTATACAACGTCAAATTCAGTGTTGGATAGTTGAATTCTCCTTTATTTTTTAAATTCAAAATCCAAGAATATTTATAAATACCCAAAACAACATAAAAAACCTACATGCTTGACAACATAACTCAAAATCGTCAATCCAGCACAGGCCAATGTCAACAAGAACAAAAACTTGAATCTGTAGATAACACCTTGAACCTTAAGTCGATTCAACTCCTTCAACCGGTATAATTCCGCCTTCTTGTTCTGAATCGCCCTCCACGCCTTTGACATTTTGTATGATAAAAATACAAAGTAAAAAGCGGCCGAAAACGCTGCCAAATATACTGTCAATGTAGCCATTGATGAGCCGAATTCAGAAGCCCAAATGCTGTGAAATGGATTCCGGAGCTGAAGTCCTCGTTCGAAAAGATCGTATAACAACAAACTTGTTGATGCCACAAAGACTGAGGTCAAGTTTCGCCAGTAGGAGGTCTAAAATTAAATTTATATTACTTTAAATTAACTTTTCATCAACATTTTATACTGCAAAACTTATTCTCTGTAAAATAATAAACGATTTTTGCCTAAATAAATATACAAATCAACTTACCAAAGTATGAACCTTCTGATCTACTACATTCTCTCCTGTGAAAATCAACCAAAATGAGAACAAAACCGTGTAGAACAGACCAAGTCTAATATCACTCAACAAAAGCAGATACCAAGCCTGTGAGTACAAAGTTATCCATTCTACCGGAACTAAAACAATATGTTAACAATAATTGCATTACATACCTTCAGAAAACTTCCAAGAATCTTTAAAATATTATGACATTAAATAAAAACGCCTATTGTTTGAAAAAACCATCAAAATAAAATCAAAACCTTATTTTAGCAAATTTTAATACCGTCCAACACCTTTTTCATCATATTAAAATCAAAACTTACAGTCCAAAATAGCCATACATATACCCAAAGTTAAAATACACTTTTCGTTCAAGGTTGGCATCCGTCTCATCCCATTCAACCGGTTGTAATACCACCAAGTAGCCACAGAAACAACTGGCCATATCAAGGTCTTCATCCACAGCCAAATCAATGTAAATCCTCCGTTCTGATGTATTGCTACCACTCGCAGATCTTGGATCAATCCAATGCGACAGTTTGGACCTTGAGGATTAATACTACACAAGGTTTGATTCACTGGGATTCGTATGTTCAGAAGATACGACGGATAAACATTGGCACCTAGTTCGAAGAGGTCGATTGTTGAACAGTTGTACAAATTTCCTTTTGCTCGCTGTAAAATCCAAAAAATTATGTAGGCAATGTTAAAAAATGTTTCACTTATCATTTCTATAAAGAAATTTTTTTGGTCCAAAAGTTGTTGACCTATCTGCACATGCAACCTTATTTTATTTTATTACACCGTTTTGAAAAAATGTTTTCAAAACATTTTTTCAAAACTAGTTAAGTAGGCTTAAAAACCAAGCGAATATGTAAAAACTACCTTATCTTGATCCACCGTGCACTCCAGACTCCTTTGGATCGTGGTTTCGGCCAGCGAATTCCACTTATCTTCACCATGCTCTTTGTATCCCATTCTAATCTCCAATTGAAAATTCGCAGAAGCAGGCACAGTATAAGCCTCATCGTAAGCTATATCGACTTCCAGCAATCCTAACAAAAATTGGAACCATGGAGAATATTGAAGTTCTACACCGTTTCGAGCATGCGGCATTTGAGCGACAAAAACAATATCGCGGACATCGGGAGATAGAGAATTGTGTGTGGATAGGTCATCTATGATGTTACATTCCTAAAATATGTAGAAATACGTTTATATATTTACAGGTTTTTGTTTATAAATTTTGGTGAACAAGAAATTTCCAAAAAATAGGTCATGATAACAGCTAAAAATTGGGTTTGATATCCGAAATAAAACTTAAAACTACACAGATTGAACAAAATGACATTTATAAAATATAAATCTAGCCATTATCCCCAAAATTATGTCAATCTTAATGACACATTTTCTGGACAAAACAAAAAATTGTCGGATAAATCTTATTTTTACGGATTTTCGATATAAACTTGAAATGATTAACCAACGTCTTTGGTAATATAGTAAACATACTATATTTTTAGACACTTACCATTGGCCGGACATAAAACCATGCACTACTTCGACCAGCAGTTCGATCCAGACATTTTGTCATCAGAAATTCCATGGAAGTCGACGGATTTGGAGCTAAAGTAAGTTTTTTTAAGTTCATTCTTTGCTATTGGTATTTAGAAAAAGGTTAAGAAGATCATGTAGTTGCTATTTGGTTAAACATAAGAGGTAAAATACGAGATTTTGTGTAGTATTAGTGAAATCTCATGGTTTAGTGTACTATCAGGTAAAACAAATTAAAATCAACTGTTTCTAACTAAAAAATTTGAGTTTCTTGTATAGATTGGATTAAAAATGACCGTGAGGATGTTTTTTATAAGCTCATGCCGCCTAAACCTTTTAAACTTACTGAAATAAGCTCCGATGAGGACGAAAACGCTGAGGATCGAGGCGCATATTGACAGAATCCCCAGAAGTTTGCGCGTACTGAGATTCTCGATCACGGCGCCGTTCGCCATGGCTTTGCCCTGAAAAGAAAAAGGTATTTTGGTGAGGAGAAGAAAGGAGGATTGCTGTCAGAGTCCCCTCTGATCTGACACATGTTCCGCGTCTCGAATGCAAACAGCCATTTGTGTTCCGCCGCGCAAAACCCATAAAACATTTACGGCCTTGGGTGCGGCTTTTCGCTTAAAACAAGCCCAAATCCCGGCACCTTAATTGGTGGCCATTGAGGTTCATTTCCAAGTCTATACCTATTTTCTCAAGAAAGTTATGATCAAAACAATAAGGTTAAGCATCTTTTTTGACAATTAGTGTAGCAAAGCGTAATTTATGGCCAAAAATTTTAATTGATGACCGAGCGTTTTAATTGATGGCCCGGGGCTTTGAAATTATGGCCAAGACAAAAAGACGCAATTATTTATGAAAAAGAGTTTTGATAAGAAAAACACGTCTATTTGACCCTTTGAGGAAAGGACTTGAATAGCGGAGGAAAATTAAACACAAACTGTAAAGGTCAGGCATTCATGTCATGTTATACTGAAGGAGATTGGATAGGGTATGTGGTTCTTGGCAGCTTTTAATTGATTTGGAATTGGTTTTTGAAAATTGCGAAATTTAACTGTTGAATTAAAGCAAAGAAAATGATAAAATAAGCACAAAAACTAATTTTAAATAAGGATAAAGCAACAAAAAATAAAATAACTATCATTGCGGTATACAGAAGAGACTAATAACAGCTACAATATAATCTTACCCCATGGGCTTTATAAAAATCTCTGCGTTACCTTATATTTTAATAAAAGAAGAGCTTATGATTAGTTTCATTACACGACAATAGGAATAAAATAAATGTAAATAGATTGGCGCGCGATAAATAATTTGCATAACAGAGCAATTTGCCGCTAAAAGGCACTTTAATCTTGTTATACATGGAGCTGCTCAGAGATTTGGTGAATTATTTATGATGTCTTTAAGGCCTAAAATAGGGTTGTACTTGTTGATTTATGGAGTTAGCGTTGATGATTGTAAGATCGGTTTTGATCATTCGGTGATTTGTTATAAAAACATGTGTTTGTCTTAAAAAGTTTTATGTTATTCTGACCAGTAGAAAGTAAAATAACATAGGCAATGATAGGTATATTATTATATATTAGGTTTTTCAAATAATTCTTTACTTTCTAATCCCAAAATTTGCTTTGAGAGGGCACAAAATTATTTGAACAACCTAATAGTGATGTCTCTAACATAGTATAGACCTAATAATATAGTATAGTCCTAAAAACAGTAAAATAACTTGGTATTCTTTATATGTATTGACGTTTTTCTTGGTCTTCCTATTGGTAGACTGAATGCAGTTTCTTGTGAGTGAGGTATTGTCAAATAAGTTTTGCCACTTTTCTTGATGTCGAGTTTGTCAACAACTTCTAAAGAAAAGAGTGGTTGCCTCCAAATTTTAAAATATTTATTGTTTGTTGGCTTGTTCAAATAATTCTGTGCCTCTTCTTAACGCAAATTTTTGGGGTTATGGGGCACATAATTATTTGAACAACCTAATAAAAGGGAAACACGCTTAATTTTTTTTTAAATTTGAGTGGTGTAGGTAGACCATCCTTCGTCAGGGAATGCCGTAGCAACCTTTTTTGGTAACCGTCAGCTGATCTTTGTTTTCCAAGGTTTCTATATAAAATCAGTCATCCTTAAATTTTGTAAAAAATTGATACGAAATTGCGAATTTCAAGCCGAATTTCATCGGTAAATTTAAAATTCTTAACAGAGTGTTATCTAAATATTTCGAATTTTAAACTGTGTTTACGTTCACAAACTGATGCCCAATTATCAGTGTTAATTAACAAAAAATAGTAATACAAAGATAGATTTTTGTAATATGTCCTTAAAACAGCTTCAATTAGGAGTAGTTTACAGGTCGTTATCTATTAGGAACGTTTACAAGTCGCTATCTAATCAGTTCGTGTTGTGTTTGGATTTAAAGAAGACACAAATGATACACTAGAATATTAAAGTATTAGGTTGTTCGAATAAATAAACGCCTTTAATTTCAAAAATTTGCTTTTAAAGGAGGTACAGAATTATTTGAACAACCTAGTTATTTTGGTAATATGTATGTTTGGTTGTGTATTAATGTACTCTTTTGATATATTGTTTAGTGAATCATGATATATTGTTGAGTAAGTAAATTTAATTTTAACTGTGAAAAAATTAGGAATCAGATTGCCGTTTTACGAGTTTTGAAGGTTTTCTGATAAGCTACAAAGTAGAAAAGCCATAGTGTTTGTTTGGACAGTCTCTTTTGGGAAAAGATATAAACATATTATGATCGTACGTATTTGCATTATACACTTTTTTTTGGAAATTGTTAGTAGTTTTGAATTCATGAGAGATTTAATGCTTAAACGTGATATTTTGAACAACATATTTTTGTGAATAGTACAGAAAAATATGAAGTTGATATTAGGGGGTGCTTGGATTTTCTATAAGCGGTAACTTACGATAGGTAAATTATCAAATGGGGTAGTAATTTAAAGAGAGAGTCATATGTCATGGGCAGGGACGTCGCTACATATTCTTTCTTGTTTTTCGACCGGGCCCATCCCTGAGGTTTTGTCCAGAGTTGCGCTCCGGAATTAGGGCCGGAGCTACAATTTAAAAAACGGCGGAGCCGGCGATTTTAAACTTGGGAACTTTAGTTCTGTCTTATGTGAGACTGACCTATCATAAAATTTTTCGAAAAATTTTTTGAAAGATGCTGTAAAACTTTGAGACAATAATAATATTGCTCAAAATACAAAAAAAAATCATGCAAAGTTATTACAAAAAATAATAATTCCCATAATTTTGAATAGCAAAGTCTATTTTATTTATGACAAATCACGTTTTTCCAATTGATTCAAATTTGGAACTTTTTCATTTTCATTTTTACAGATTTACATTTTTAATTTTTCTTTTGATAAGACTTTTTTTGCTTGATCGGCTCTTTTACTTTATATGTTTTGTTTTTGCAGAAATTCACAGTACTTTTATACTTATTTTTTATGTTACGGCGATTCTTTTTCCTTATGTGATGGCGATGGTATTTTGATTGTAAAGTGTAATGAAGCGAAATAAGGTAGTGTTGTTTGTTTTAGGAAGTGCGAAGTTGATGGAAAGAATTGTAATTGATGACTGTAGATGTTTATAGTAAGCTTTGTTGTAAAAAAGTTGCAGAATTTGAGGTTGTGGTAGGTTTAGGGCTTGTGTTAGTGTGCAACGGTACTGGCTGGGGTGGTAAGTGATTTGGGGCAGGCTGTACAAAAAATTCTGTGCTTCTTTCTAACCCCAAAATTAGTTTTGAGAAGGGGCACATAATTATTTTAACAACATAATAGATTAAAACAAGGTTTATGCTGGCTTTTCTATGCACTTTTGGACCTAATTTTAGCGATTTTGTCTGTTTAGCAAAGTAATAAGAGGGTTATACTGACCTTGTGTCCTTGTTTATTTACTGTTTTTTCGTTATTTTTTTTCTAGAACTAGATCTTTTGATGTTATCAGTAGTATTTTGAAGCTTTTCCCTTGTTTTCTGGGTGTATTCTGAAATGTTTGTTGATATGGTAACTCGAGAAACAACAATTGTTGCAAAATATTTGCACTTTTATGGCTTTATCTCAAATTTTGTTATTAACCATCTGATTGACAGAACAGTTGCTGAAAGCTATCAAACACAATATGTTGTAGTAGTTTACTTTGTTTAAAGTTTGTTTAATGGCAGCATGCAGCTAGATGATTGAAAACGTATTTGCACGTGGTGGTTGGGTGTTATATGGTTTGATAGCGATCTCGGCTTATCAATACAACAAACCTACAGAGAACAACTCAAACGTGGTGTTGTGTTTGCTTTAAGGTTGTTTATGGGTTTCATTTGAATTCTAATGGACTTGGGCGGAGAAAAGATTGAGTGTAGATCGACTGGTCGAAGTGGATGGTTTAGGCAGGGTTGAAAAATTACTTACAAGGAAAGTGCTTGACCTGCCCCGCTCTGATTGACTTCAAACTTTTTATAAAGAAAGACCATGTAAATATAAGGTCTTCACCAAAGTACTAAATCACGCTTTTCAGGAAATCTCGAGAAAATCGAGATTAAAGAATGACATTTTGAATTTCCCACCAACTTGGCATTGTGTTTCAAGCTTGTAACTTTGTCATTTTTTGTCTTTTAAGAATTTTTCTTTAATATACTAGTAGAAAACCTTTAAATAAACCTACATTTTTAAATTTGTATGCGTATCTTGTTTGGAAAGGCGAAAAAAGTGCTTGAAACACAATGCCATAGTTGCCAAATTGGCGGGAAACCCGTATAATTTAAATTTAAAACTCAAAAGCGCGAGCTAAAATTTTTTATGGGTGGTGGTACAAAGAATTCATATAAAAATTTTGAGCTGTTTCTAAGCGGGGCAGGTAGGGTACTTTCCTTGTTAGTTTTGGTAGGGTTGAATCACTAGAATATTCTTGGTGGTTTACGTGAGTGGCAATTACTTTACCTAATCTGACCGTGCTGTTCCTAGAGTTTTAGCCGCACTTTGATGATTAAGTTTATATCGACCGGTCGAAGAGAACAGGTTAAGATATCATCTTTTACTCGAAAAAATAGGTTACTATAGATCGACAGGACAAAAAAAGATGATGACAAACAGAATAGACTATCAGGAGGTTGAAAAGTTAGTAGAATTGTATTGTAGTTTAGTTTTGGCCAGAAAGTAAGATTCTACGTAGTTTTTGACTCGCTGAAGTTAATGCAACCGTTGAGGTTGCATCACTTTGACGATGTAAATTTCAGTGATCTGTTATGTTACTACTAATTGTAAGATAAAATATCATTTTCTAGAAAGATATAGCATATTATTCTACATAACATTAGTTGTCTTTAAAATTCGTTTTCCCTTTTCTGTAACAACTCACGTTATCTTTGCAAAACTCTTCGTTTCCATGATTTGCTTGTTATCTTTTTGTTTCGATTCTCAGCGATAAAAAGAATCACGTTGGGGCAGCACGCTCAGCACACGCGGCCTCCAATATAAATACGTAGCGAACGTTTGTTTTGTTTCAGAAGTTTCATCGAAACCATAAACACCTCAGCGTATCATGTTGTCGCGCTTTGCCATCACATCGTCTCGGAGCATCGTGCGAACGGCCGCTTGTAGTCAAGCCGTGCCGCAGCCAATCCAACAGTTCGACGACTTCCTGACCAAGATCTTCATCAACAACGAATGGCACAACTCCAAGTCGGGTCGAGTTTTCCCAACCATCAATCCGGCTACGGGCGAGAAGATTGTGGATGTTCAGGAAGGAGATGCGGCTGATATCAACGATGCTGTTCAGGCGGCCAAGAAGGCGTTTGAGCTTGGTTCACCGTGGAGACAAATGGATGCGGCCGATCGTGGAAAGTTGTTGTTCAGATTGGCCGATTTGATGGAAAGGGACAAGGTCTACTTGGCTGTGAGTTTATTTATATTGTAGTGGGTTTTATGTTGATAAAAATTTGAGGATTGATGATTTTTGGGTGAGTTCAAAAAGATAAGGGAGTTTAAAAGGTAAAAAAAGTCGTTGTTCATAAAAAGCGTTTTTAATATTAACGTAGACAAGTTTTTAAAATTTTTGATCTTTACCTTATGAAATTTTGGGATTTATGGTTTCAAGGCATTTCGATATTATTTTTGATTTTTCAGAGTTTGGAAACATTGGACAACGGAAAACCATACGCTGTTTCGTATCTTGGAGACTTGCATTTGGCTATTGAATGTTATAGGTATGTTAAGGTAACTTTGTAGTCTATAACAACTTTTTTGATTAAATAAGTTAGTTATAGCTATTTTACATTTAATTTTTCAATTCTTTAATTTAAAATTGTCTTAAAAAATTTGCTTTTAGGACTTTTGTTACCTAAAGTTTCAAAAATTAATCAAGAACTTATTTTTATCAAATAATGTCTTTGATGATTTATGTTTTTATTAATATTTTTTACATTAAACACCTTTTATATTCAACTTCATTTAACGGTAATATTTTAGATACTACGCCGGTTGGGCCGACAAAATCGAAGGCAAAACCATTCCAGTTCGTGGAAAGTACTTCACCTACACTCAACACCACCCAGTTGGAGTAGTTGGCCAAGTAATCCCATGGAACTTCCCTCTCCTTATGCAAGCCTGGAAACTTGGCCCAGCTTTGGCCGCCGGTAACACCGTGGTGATGAAAACGGCCGAACAAACACCATTATCAGCACTTCATGTAGCCAAATTGGCGGCCGAAGCCGGCTTCCCTCCAGGTGTCATCAACGTTGTTCCTGGTTATGGTCCAACTGCTGGTCATGCCTTGGCTGTTCATCCTGAAGTCCAAAAGGTAGCGTTTACTGGATCGACTGAAGTTGGACGATTGATCATGTTGGCGGCGGCCGAAAGCAATTTGAAGAGAATCACTTTGGAATTGGGAGGAAAGAGTCCGAATATTGTCTTTGCTGACGCTGATCGTGAGTTTTTGGTTTGGATTTCTCGACTGGTGTTTGATAAGATCTATGTTAATATAGAAAAGCTAAGATTCTTGCATGAATTTAGATTTAATTTTGCCCAAACTTTCAGTGGATCACGCTGTTAACACCGCATCTCAAGGCGTCTTCTTCAACCAGGGCCAAACGTGCTGTGCCGGTACCCGAACCTTTGTCGAAGCCAAGGTCTACGATGAATTCGTAGCCAGAGCCAAGGCCCTTTCAGAAACCAGAAGACTTGGAGATCCATTCAACCCCCAAACAGAACAAGGCCCTCAAGTTGATCATGAACAACTGAATCGCATCCTCAACTATGTCAACATTGGAAAAGACGAAGGAGCTCAGCTTGTATCAGGAGGAAACCAGTACGGTGATAAGGGATACTTTGTAGAACCTACAGTGTTTGCCAACGTTGATAACAACATGAAGATTGCGCAGGAAGAGATCTTTGGCCCCGTAATGTCGATCATCAAGTTCGACAACATGAACGATCTCATCAGCAAAGCCCATGCCTCGATTTATGGTCTAGCTGCTGGTATCATCACCAAGGACATTGACAAGGCTTTGTATATGGCCAATTCCCTGGAAGCTGGTACTGTTTGGGTCAATTGCTACAACGTGTTTGATGCTGCGGCTCCATTCGGCGGGTTCAAAATGAGCGGAATTGGTCGCGAACTGGGAGAGTACGCTTTGGAAAACTACACCGAAACCAAATGTGTCACAATCGCGATCCCGGAGAAAAACTCGTAAATGGTGTATATTGTACTATATTTATATTGTAATAGATAAATAAGTAGATATTTGATATTTAAATGAGGAAATAAGGAGGTTTTCGATGTTGTAGTAGATCAATCTTGAAATATCTGTTGTTTTTAACTGTAAATAAGGAGGTTTTTTTATTTTATTAAACGAATACGACGATTATGGATGTTTTAGTAGCCAAATAACTAGTTTTTCGATCAAGAATTTGGTGGTAAAAGATTTTTGATGTTGTAGTAGGTTCACGAGTATATATTTTATATGGAAACAGATAAATTAATGTTTTTTCTTGATTAAACGTTAAATAAGGGGTTTCTTAATATTGTAGCAGATGAAAAAGAAATGTATGTTGTGTTTTATTGACGAAATAAGGAAATATTCGTTGTTTTAGTAGATGAATAAGTGAAAATTAGTTGTTTTAATAAAATGAGTTGTTTTTAAACCTCTGATACGTAACCTTTTCAAACGTAATGTTACAAAGCCTAAACTATAATTTTAGACCATTTCAAACCAAAATTTCCCCAGTCCAAGCCAAGAACACCACTTTCCCACCGCTTCCCGTGACATCGAAATTCGGACTTTTATCGAATCCACTGATGACCGAAAACGCGTTTAGGCCGCCTGAATAGAGTTGCGCGATTTTATGGCCTTTGGGCAAAAAGTGCGCAAAGCCTTAAATGAGTCGCGGTTTAGATTAGGTTTTTTTGCTCCATTGCCTTAGGTTAACATAGGGGAAAAGGGCGTAGAAACCCGCGGCCAACGTTTCAATTGCGCGGCAAGTTTTTTGGACTATAATATTGTTTGGAAATGTCTGGGTTGATAAGGTTTTTGGTGTAAAATACGGAACATGTATCTTTAACTTGATTTTTTTGGAATTTTTAAAGGTTTGCCATTATGAAAAGACGTTTTGGCTAGCCAAAAAAAAGTTTTATATGAAAAATCGTCAAAAATTAGGTAACTACTGAACGTTTTTTATAATTTTTCATTGAGAAACTTCGCATCATAGATAATATTAGGATGTTCAAATAATTCTGTGCTCCATAACCCCACAAGAAAGGACACAGAATTATTTGAACTACCTACAATAACATGTAGAAACTAAATTGTGACGAATTTGATGGTATTCATCGTCAAATTCAGTTGAAGAAATGGCCTAAACAGTTAGTTCGTTCGCATCGCTGGCCTAAATAAGCAGTTCTACTGAATAGATGGCTTAAACCACTAGTTATAATATTATGATTCGCCAGCCTAAACTATCAGTTCTTCCGCACCAACCATCTACACCACCAAGCCCCGATCGCGGATGTTTATTCGAAATGATGGTCGCTCATTTCGAATTAATTCGAGTGTGTTACGTCATGAATGGCCTCCGGGAAACGCAAACGGCCGGCCGAAAAAACACACGCATCTCGGTGGACCGGAATTTGTGCACCGGAGCGGTATTCAAGGTCCGAAGAGCCCTGAGGGGCGAGGAAAGGCGCACCGTCATTGTGCCCAAAGTGGTTTTCCTTTCTTTTTTCCAGGGGGGGGGAGGATGAAGTGGGGTGGGGACCGGCATCTCCTCTCGCCTCTCCATCTCCTCAACGAAACCATCTGGTTTTCCGGGTTTGGGCCGCTTCCGGCCGCGCTCCCCAAACTTTTGAATTATCACCAACCTGATTTATGGACAAAAGTTTCGGTTTTGTTTGTTACGCTGTTCGAGTTGAAATATTACGCTGTTCGCTTTGTTTCTACAGTAAGACATGTCATTGGGATGAGTAAAAGTTTGGCGGGTGCTAAAGTGATGACAAAAAGAGTAAATAAAGTTTCTTTTTTGGAAAAAAACTATTTAATGTCAGGCTTCTCGTGAACAACTTTTTTCAAACTTCTTTTGGTTTGGAAACAGGGTAGTTTAGTATAAATGTCATAAGTTGAGGTACGTAAATACTAAAAATGTCGTAAATTAGGAGTAGATACTAAAAAAATTTTGTAAATTGGGGGATAGTTTACTGAAAATGTTATAAATTGGGGGTAGTATACTACAAATGTCATAAAGTCATAAATTGGGGTAATTTATCTGAAAGTCTCATAAGTAAAAAGCGTTCAAACGTTGAACATGGTCATTTTCTTGTAGATTTTTGAAAAAAAATCAAAAAAATTGGGACAGGTACTTTTTGTTGATTTTTTACTTTTTCCTCTCAGAATAAGATCACCAATCGCGAACTGGACATTTTTTTTTATTTTATTTATAAAAATTTATTATTGTTCAAAAATATCTGATTTAAGGCGCTTTAATTTGAGTGTGAACTATTTTTTTTAAAATACGAATCCGCATTACTTTTTTTTATAAAACATGAAAAAAGCAATTTCTAGTGTCTGTTGGAAACATTTTTAGGTATTTTAAGGGAGATATTACCTAAAATTTTTTAAAAATTGATTTAGAAATTTTATAGCTAGATATTAGTTTGTTCAAGTAATTATGTGCTCCTAACTTCAAAATTTGCTTTTGAGAGGAGCACGGAATAATTTGAACTGTCTAATAGTATTTTTTAAAAAGAAAAAACCGGTGAAAACTATTTATTTTTTACAAAAAAACCTTATAAAGCCTTTCTCCCCCCCCCCTTTCAAGGTTTTTTTGCCATTTTACTTCAAATTTTTCGTTTTTTTTTCGAAATTTATTGTGTCTGACTGACCCTCTTTTCGTGGCACACCTTTGCGGCCCAAATTGACCACCAGCCCTTAAACGGCCAGTCTATTTGCAGTAGGGGCCGGCCAACTGCCAACCGCTGTGATTTTCATGACGCCTGATAGTAGGAACATGAGCTGAGCCAGGTTTCAACCCACACGCACAGCACCAATCGCGGGCGATGGACGAGGAGCAGCGCAAAGAGATTGAACTACTGCTGGAGAATACCGAAAAGAACAACGACCACAAGTTGAAGAAGGTCAGTTCGAAGTGGCAGAGTTGGGTTTTTAGTTTGGGTTGGGTAGGGAGGGTAGGATAGGGTAGGGTGGGGTAGGGTGGGGTAGGGTAGGGTAGGGTAGGGTAGGGTAGGGTAGGGTAGGGTAGGGTAGGGTAGGGTAGGGTAGGATAGGGTAGGGTAGGGTAGGGTAGGGTAGGGTAGGGTAGAGTAGGATAGGGTAGGGTAGGGTAGGGTAGGGTAGGGTAGGGTAGGGTAGGGTAGGGTAGGGTAGGGTATGGTAGGGTAGAGTAGGGTAGGGTAGGGTAGGGTAGGGTAGGGTAGGGTAGGGTAGGGTAGGGTAGGGTAGGGTAGGGTAGGGTAGGGTAGGGTAGGGTAGGGTAGGGTAGGGTAGGGTATGGTAGGGTAGAGTAGGGTAGGGTAGGGTAGGGTAGGGTAGGGTGTGTTAGGGTAGAACGCCAAATATAAACAGCAAACTGCCAAAAGTCGCGAAATTTCGAAAAAATGAAAAAAATTTTAAAAATTCGAAAGGAGTGTAAATGCCCTAAGGGAATCGCTGCAAATTCTTTTTTTTTATTCGCCCATGAATCCGTGTCTACAACAAAGGCATGGCATGGCGTGGGTATTCGTGGAGGCAGCACCACCGTGCTCTCCAGCAACGCGACTTTCCTCAACAAGTCTTGATTAAGCTACAGCAGGTAGATCATTAGAACCTTCTTTTTGAATTTTTTAAAGTTTTAAAATATGCAAAGTTTTGGAATTTAGTTTTTGAAATACTAAATTTTTGGGTTTCCAATGGATTTCAATTTGTTTATCAAGATTTACTCTTTGATATATGGCCCAAAGGAGGTTTTACTTGGGTATATTTGTTGTTCGCTGTGATTTATAGACAAAATCTTGAGTTTTTGATTAACTAAAATGAGAAATTTGTTTTTATTTTTAAAATTTTTAAAAATGTGAAAAAGCATGGATGATTTTTTATCTTGAACAGTAAATATTTTCTTAAAACATATGTATTCTAAAATACAGTGAAATCTGTTTCAAAAAAGTTTCGAATAAGAAACAAAGATAATAACAATGGTTCTAATGGTCTACCCGTTTAGTACAGACGAGGAGGTGTTCGATTTGTAAGTTAAAAGGGCTAGTTTTTGTTTTTCTAAGCTATTTGTGAATTGTACGGCGGTTTTATAAATTTAAAACTGGGTAAACGCTATATTATTTACGAATTTTACTTTTGCAGTCATTTTTACTTTAAGTTTTCTTCAAGATCTTTAAGATTTTACCTTTTTATCACCAAAAAAGTCATTAGTTTTAGATTTCAATAGATTTTTTTATAATAGGTTGTTCAATTAATCCTGTGCCTCCTAACTCCAAAAATTTTTCTAGTGAAGAGGCACAGAATTATTTGAACAACTTAATAAAATACAGTTTATAACGACGATATTTTCAGTACCTTCGCCTCGTTCTTCCCCATGTCGCCCTTGTCCTCGTCGTTTGTATATACGCCATGGTAGGGGCGTTTATTTTTCATGCCATCGAGTCACCACATGAAGATATGGTAAGTCAATGTTATTTTAATGTTGGAATTTTTTTATTTAGTTTTGGTTTTCCGAATACTGTGAAAAATTTTTTAAAAAAATTTTAATTTAAAAAAATATATTTTTTTAATTTAAAAAAAAAATTATTTTTGTTTGAAATGTCAGGGCAGGTAGCTAAAAAAGTTCAATATAAAAGGACTAAAGGCAACATTAAAAAAGTTAAAAAAAAGGATATAAATTTTTGGCGCGAAAATGGAAATTTGAAATTTTTGGTAAAAAGTTTTGTATTTTTAAAACCTTTTTTGTGATAAAACTAAAAAAAAACAAACGTGAAGTCTATGAGCAATTCGTTATTCAGAACTTTCAGGTATGTTAATGAAGTTTTCATTTCAACGTGGAGCACGATTTTAGTTTTGGCGCGAAAACAAAAATTTGAATTTTTGAACTGACATTTTATATCTTGTCAAACCAAAATTATTGCCTACAGCTAGAAAAACGTTTTTTTATCGGAACTCTATTGTAGAAACCTTTAATTCAAAATTCCAGTTAAAACGAGACGGAATCAACAAGATCAATAACGTCCGATCCGACCTGATCGAGCTGATTTGGCAAAAATCGGGTGGGTCAGGCTACGAAAATCAAGAAGAATGGATAAGGCAAATGAGTAGAGCGCTAGAGAATTTCAATCAGAATCTGTACAAAGTCTACAAAGATCAGTACGTGCGGTATGGCGACGTTCGAATGAGTAAAGCTGAACGTGATCCTCGAGAGAAACGACATCGTTCCTCGTCGAAGAGTCGTTCCGAAGCTGGTGGAAAGTTGTGGACGTCGTCTAGCTCATTATTCTTTGCGGCTACTACGATGGCTACTATTGGTAGGGTTTTTTGGTTGATTTTTTGAAATTTTAGGAGGAATGCAAGGTTTAAAATGGCATTATTATGTACATGTATATATGACTCTTCAGGTTACGGAAACGTAGTGCCAGTAACAATGAAAGGCCGTCTGTTTTGTGTAGCCTTTGCCTTGTTCGGAGCCCCTCTGGCCATTATTACCATTGGTGATTTGGGTAAATTTCTGTCCGAGTGTACCATCTGGCTGTACAAAAAGATGGTTGATGGAAAAAGGTGGTGCAAGCTGACGATTATTCGAATGATGAATCGCAATGACAAACTGGATTCTGAATTGGACACGGAGACCGGCGAAACGGGCGAAAATGGTCGAATCGACTGGGACGACTTCGACCGGACTGAAGTGCCGGTCATTCTCGTCTTTGTTATCTTGTTGGTGGGTTATTGTTTGCTTTTCTTTAAGCTTTCAGGGGGGGGTGGGGGTTACTGTAGCTAAAAAAAATTTGATTTTTATAATTAAAATTTATTTTTAAATTTTAAAAAAATAAAAATTTGTTTTGAAAGTGTAAAATACGTCCTAATCAATTATGGAAGTAAATTAAGTATATATAAAAGCAGATTGTAATATAATTGTTTCACAATAATATAGACATTTCCAGTTATACATAGCTTTCGGAGGCGTTTTGTTTTCGTACATAGAGTCATGGAGTTATATGGACGCTTTTTATTATTGTAAGTTTATAGTTTTTTATTATGGTGACTTTGGAAATTCTCTGGTTGTTCTAATAGTTCTGTGCTCTTTAACCTCGAACATAGGTTAACGCACAGAATATCAAAGCAAATTTGCAGGATTGGGGCACAGAAGCGCAAAGCGATTTTTTTGGGTTAGGGGTGCAGAATTATTAAAACAACCTAATAGATGATAAAATATCACTCAACTTTAATTTATTGTTTATTGATTTTGTATTTTCATATTACTTTTAAAAATTAAAGCCAAAAAAAGTTTTTTAGGTTTTGCACGGTGCAGTGGAAAGTTTTATAAATTGCACTGTGCGGACCCTTAAAAATTAAAATTAAAAAAAAATTATTAAAATGTCTTGTAAATCTTGATTTTTAGGTTTTATGTTGTTTTTTTTTGTGTTTTAAAACAAAAACTTATCTTTTTTGCACTGTGCAATCTTACTTTTTTAATTTTGTTTTCACGGTGCAGATTTTTCAAAAAAAAATTTTTTCAATAAACATTTTTGTCATTCTGGCTTTTATAGCTTTTATTTAGAGTGTCTTGAAGACACATTTTAGGTTTTCAAAAAAGCGTTTTTTAGATTTTGCACGGTGCAGTGGAAAAGGTTTCGTAAATTGCACCGTGCAGACTGTTAAAATTTGAAATTTAAAAATTGAAAAATTATATAAAAATGTCTTGTAAATTTTGTTTTTTGGGTTTCAGTTTAGTTTTCTGTGTTTCAAAGCCAAAATTTCATTTTTTTAATTGTTTGCACTGTGCATTTTGTTTTTGTTTGGACGGTGCACTTTTAAAAAAGTCTTTTTTTTTAAATCATAAAAATTTTTGTAAATTTTGTAAAAAACTATATTTTATCATTTATATAATTCCAGGTTTTGTATCACTAACGACAATCGGGTTTGGGGACTTGGTCCCCGAAAGACATGAATATATCTTGTTAATGCTCATTTATCTTGGTGTTGGACTGGCGGTGACGACGATGTGTATCGACCTGGTCGGCATCAAATACATTCAGAAGATTCATTACTTCGGTCGCAAATTCCGCGGCACCGACATTCTGCAGATGCTGAAGAGGCGGCGAATGATCGAACGAAAGCTGGCCATGGGTAATACGGAAGATGTCATGCAGATGATTCATCATGTAGTGCAGGAACAGCAAAAGTAAGTCGGGTTAAGGAGGATTGTTTAGGATAGGGCAGAGTAGGGTAGGGTACAGTAGGGTATGGCACGTAAAATATAGCATTCTCACATTAGCCTAAATTTAAAATCACGTCTACTACAATATAATCCTTTAAGAGAAGTACAGCAAGCCAAGCCCCCACCACCCCAACTAAACATCAACTCAGCCAACGAGTTATGGCAACATGATGACCAAGAGAAGGCTTCTCTACGATCAGATGACGAAGTGTCATCGTGGAAAGCCGACGAAACATTGGTCAACACAGAATTGAACCAAGCCGGGATAACTGGCGATGAACTGATGGCAGAAGAGTCTGTCATCGGAATGTCATCACTCGAACCCATGACCGATTTGGCTACATCAGCTGATGTGGAAGGTCATGATGAACATTACGCTAAGCTGATGTCACGGCCAGAAACACCTCTGAGTAACTCATCAGAAGCTGGTCGAGACTGGATGTACAACAATTGGGATGACAATGAAGATCGGGCTGGATCGGACGTGTCTGGTCCAGCTATGTCGGACCATTGCAGTATACACACTTCACCTTCTGTTTGTGAACGGGAGCGAATGTTCGATCAGGATCACTCACCTCAGGGATCCGTCACCAGCTTCAAGTTCTCGTTCGATGGGCCTTGGCCTAACTTGAAGGAAATTGGTAGGTGTCTGCATTGTTTTATGTAGCGTAGGTTAGAGGGTTTTCCTCCGCCTTAATATGTTAATATCCCCACCATTTCAGCTACCCAAGCCCGCTCAGCCCGCCGTCTAGTGAGTTGTCCGGGCGACATCGAACGGCCCAACTCTCCGACCTTATACAACGCCGTCCAAGGCACCGAATACTTCCTCTCACAATCTTGCTCATCCCTCTCTTCGAATGTAAGACGACACCACTCGGAGTACAGTATCCCTTCCCTCTTCCCTCGCTTATTGTTACCTGCTTCTCATCCTGTCCTACTGTACCTTTCCCGCCGCTTTCCCCCTTACCTATTGTCCCATTTGGCCGCTGTTTCCGAGCTGGAGCAAGGCCAAATGTTATTAGAGTTTCGACAACATCCACACGTTCGAATGTTTCTGGAACAGCTAGTCCAGCCCGATATTGTTCATGCCTTTCCCGTCGCTTCCGCTTTCTCTGTCATACCCAACGAAGCGACCCGAAAGTCGCGAGTACTAGAGATGTTCACGGCAGTACGCAAACGCTGCTCTTTCGTACCTACGCTGAGCACGATAAAGATGGCTACACAGTTGACCGGAGGCAATATTCAAATGAATGCGAGTACCAGTACGAGTGGTACTGTTCCGCAACCAGAGCCAGTACTAAAGAGGAAGAAGAAGGCGCGGCAGGCGAGGAACAAGGACCCGATCGTGGAGATGGACTGGCTCAACATATCACCCCGCTACTTGATAGTGAACCAGCATGAGGACATGTCGAGTATAGCATCAGTGCCGAAAGATGCCGCTTATCACAACGCTTCCAACTTTTAGACGGTTCGCTTTTGTTTTCGGGTGTGGTGGCGTGGTTTCTTTGATTTTGTTGTGATTTATTTAAATTTTTTACTTAATTTTGTGATTTCTAATTGTTTTGTGATTGTACCAAGTGTAATATGACACTTTAACACAGCCTGCTTTGCCTCTATTTGCTCTGTCACTTCCTGCACTTCTACGAGTGGAAAAACTTATATTATAGTAGATTATAATTAATATTATATTAATTATATATTATTATATTAATAATATTGAAGTTGATTGTTACCTAAAACACCAAAAACGATGGAAAAATTTAATATTTTACTTTTAGCCGGCAGCTGTTACTTGTATTGAAGACTGGATTTCCTATGTACAGCTACTCGACGACGTACAACAACCTCTTTCTCGTGTTCGGTAAGTTACTTTGTACTTAATCCATCAGTAATTTGAAAATTTTTTAATCTTAACCCTTTACTCAATTTCACACTCTTCTAACCCTAACACCACCCCCTTCAGCTCCCCAATCTACCCCTATATCGACGAAATTTACCCTCACACCGAACTGCCCTTTGTGCCATTCGTATGGCCACCCAAAACGGGTTCCCCTGACGTACAGGTGCTTTCCCCCGTCTCACCCCAGGACGTTGCCTCGCCCGTGTTGAACTCGCCCATACCCACGTTTGTCGCCGCCACCCTTCAATCTCAGGCCAACGTCGCCACGCACCCGGAGCGGGTCGACGAAAAAGCTCAGGTCAAATGCTACACTGCCTTCAAGGGACCCATGCCCATCAAGCTGCCCACGCCCGAACCCTCCGAAGACACGTCCAGGTACGTTGACCGGTTGTTGTGTGAGATAGGGAGACAGGGATAGTGTAATATCGAATATGGGGTACTATAATATCTGATATAAAGGATAACATCGTTTTTCACTGAATGTTATAGTTAAGATAGTCATATGACAACTAACAATCCACCCTTAACCTCTATTACCCTACCGTTGTGCCTAACCCCACCCTCTTATTTTAGTTCACTTCTTCACGATACCTCTTCTAGTTCCTCCTACACCACCTCGCCCCTCTTTGACATTGATCTGGGCGGCTTTGAGTTGGTGGACAGCGGCCTTTCGGCCGAAGCCCTCCTCTCCACCGACGATCCCGTCATCTACCACCGTGATATGCCCGTTCACAGCGTACATCACGATACAGTACAGACCGAAGCGGCCTTGGAAAACCTGATGAATGCCCCAGAAAGCATGCTCAGCAACTCAGTACCACCAACAATGGTTGCGGACAACTATTGCTTCATCGTGGACGGTGATAAGATCCGCATGGGTGACATCATGGGCGACGACCAGTGGTGGCGACACACCTCACGACCCACGAAGTACTTTTACAGTGAAGACCTGAGGAAGTTTTACAGAGTAAACTGCATCACCGCCCGAGGCAAGATCATCTCGGCCAAGCTGGCCACAACTACTCCCATGTCGGGTGGAGCTAGCCTAGGAATGCCACCGAATCAAGCCGGTCCATCAACGAGTTCTAGTCTACCAACAACAGCAGCCGCCTCCAGTGCCACCACACCAAGGTCTTCAATGTCGGTAACCAGCAGAAGTCAGCGAGGCGAGAAAGTACCATTAGAACATGTGTACAAGGTGATACGATTCTACAGCTTCTGGAACACCTGCACGTCTTTCCATCGCATAGTAACCATGATAGATAGGATAGTAACGGCGGATAAGAACGACAATGTCAAGATGGACTTTAAAAGAAGGCTGTTTGTGCAATACCTTTGGAGAAATGCCAAACCATCTGATAAGGCCCGGGTTCAGAAGGAATTCGATCCCAGAAGGCAGCGGCTTCTACGGTTTGTCACTAGTCCGGCTGAAAGGAAAAAGGTCCGTTTATGGCCATTTTAATTATATTACGAGGTTTATATATCGATATTTACACAGATTTTACGTTAAAATTAAAGTAAAACACCTAAAACACAATTACTGTTTCAATATTATGATAGATTTTCCAAAAAGACATTATTTTAGATTATCCAAGCAAAAACCTTTTTAAATTTATTATTCTGCAACCTCCAGAAATTTGAATTGATAGTTAACACTCCCAAAACATCCTTTTTCAGATGCAACAACAATATCAACAACAACAGCAACAAAACGCGCAACAACCATGGGCTCGCGGGAGATAATAGTGAAAAAAGTTCTTGTAATGATTAATAATATATATGATAATTAATAAATTTTTGATGTAATTCGTGGGCAACATCATCTAAATAAAAGGAAAAAGGATGTTTGATTAAATACTACATAAATATGTCAATAAAACAGTCGAAACTGTCATAAATCCATCATTTTCCGAAATAATCAGGAAAATATTTAGAAATTTCCTCAGTTCGTCCAGAAAACCTGTCATTTCACAATTTTTCTCGACAAAATTTTGTAAAATTAACAATATCGCTCGGTTTTTTGAATATCCTTGTAAAGTTTCTTGAAGATTAGCCTGAAACTTTATATTTTTTGAAGTTGAGACATATTAGAACCCATATTGAGGTAGATGGACGGTCATGATAATCGTTGCCTGCTGGCGCATGAACGACTGAAGCTCCTTCAGAGAAATGTTGAGTATTTGAATGGTAAGTTTTACCAGACTTTCTTATGTTTTATATGGATTTTAAATGATTTAAATTGTTAATATTTGATGAAGTATACGTTCAACCTTGTTTTAGAGTAGTTTTCTTTAATGTGAGTATGTTGTGATCTTATGACAACATTTTTCAGATCGTGTATCCAAAGTTAACGAAGGAGATTGTGAAATCGTGTTTAACGATAGAGATTTTAGTGACTTCAAGATTATTGTTGGTCATGAGACCTTTTACGTAAGTTATTTTTGTATTATTGTTTTTGAAGTTTTAAGTCTCAATGACCAGAACGAGTCTTTGCAATGTAAAATCTGTGTTTAAGTTGGCAATTAAACTAAACGAACCTTATTTTAGGTATCAAAATGTTTGTTAGCCCAAAAATCGCCGGTTTTCAAGACTATGTTCAAGTCACGATTTAACGAGTCTATTATGGGACAGCTTGAAATGGTGGATGACCCAGAAGCTGTTAAAGCGATGTTGTTATTCATCTACGAAGGCAAGAAAGTTGACAACATTGACTTAGCCATTGATGTGATCCAGCTTTCTCATCGTTATGAAATTGACATTCTTACTGTAATTTTTTTATTGAAGTTTTTGTACCTTTAGGATTTTGTGGAATTTTAAGAGCCTAAAAATAAGGGGAGTAATGGCTATAAGGATTTAAAGAATACTTGTTTTTATGTGTTTCTCATAACGAAAGTATATTTTAATCACGTTTCTAGTGTCTAAAGTGTGTTATAGTGGACAATGAAAGTTCTACAACGTTGTACGTAATATAATTAATCTTAAAAGTCAATTGCAGATCCAGTGTGAGCTTTATTTGACGGAGAAAATCAAAATAGATCGTGCTGAAGAATGTCTGGCTTTGGCAAGACAACTAAACCTGGACTACTTGGCTCTGAAGTGCTATGAAGTTTTTTTCTTCAACTTTGATGTCAGCGCCGACAGAGTGCGTCAAAATTGGTCGGTATCGCAGCCGGTTGTGAAGAAGGTCGTTCTGAACGACGTCGTCGAGAATCTGAAGCTGGACAAGTTGAAGTTGAATGGAAAGAAGGGCTTTCTGCTTCAAATCCGAAATCAGTGTTATTCGAATTGTCGAGTTTCTTACCGTTTCGGATGGGATGTCAATGAAGTGCCGATCAAAGTGGTCAAGAGTGGAGAGTACTTTGAGACACATATTCAAGTAAATCCTCAACGATCGGCGACGGCTGGTGCTTCTTTTATGGTCTTTTTCAACCCACTAGGTGGCAAGAAACGTCAGGCTCATTATTTTGACATTTTCTTTTGAGTTTTCAGTTGTTGGAAGGTCATAATTTTATTTTTTATTTATTGATATTGTTACTCATTTAACAATTTTGTTTGGTTATTTTTGTTATATTTTGTTGATAACTTTCATATTCATTTTTTGATACTTTTTTGTTTATACAGGGTGTCCCAAGATTTTTGCGGAAAAGTAAAAGCTTGTTTCTCGAAAAGTACCAGTCCAAATTGGACGATTCTTTTTTTAGTACACTTGAAATTGCGGGCGGATTTGGTATTGGTACTTCGTTTTTTGATATTCGGCGGATGGTCGGCGGAGGCCGGCGGAGGCTACTTTTTTGCTTTGACCAATCCAAAACCTTCATTTTTTGGTTCCTATGTCACCTGCTGATTCGTCAAAACGCTTTCCAATCAAAACATGTCTTTCCCTGCATCGGCGGACGACCGGCGGAGAAAAACGGCGAAGGCCATAACTCCGCTCAAACTCAATATTTTTTCACCGGACAAAGAATGGAAATGTTATTTTAAGCTTTTTAATACATTTAATCAAGTTTACAGTTCAAAAAATTTCATCGGCGGACGATCGGCGGAGAAAATCGGCGAAGGCCGTATCTTGGTCAATTTTTAATAGTTTTTCTTCGGAAAAAAGTTGTTGGTACCCTAAGGTCCTTCTCTACCAAACAAATTTAAAAATTTTTAAATTTTTAAAACTTTTTTTTTAAAAAATATTATTTTTTTTATTTTTTTTATTTAACTTTTTAAAACTATTCCGATATTTTTTATAAAAAGTTTATTAACAATAACCTATATAACAACAACGCTAACTAATGAGATTGTTCATCGTTGGTTGCTGGGTAACTCCTTTCCACACTTTGACCACCAACATCAAGACACCGTCGCAATCGCTTCGGATAGTTGCGCAAAGCTGCGCGACACATTTCCACTGAAATCTCCGCAACCACATCGCGAACTTTTTGCTTTAGTTCGCGTAACGACGCGACTTGAACACTGTATACTTTTGCCTTCACGTAACCCCAAAGGAAAAAATCCATTGGGGTTAGATCGGGCGAGTTTGCCGGCCAAACGAACGGAGGAGGAGCGCCGCGACTATCCCGACCCATCCAGCGACCCGGCAGATGGGTGTTCAAAAACTCGCGCACAACTAAGCTATGATGAGGCGGAGCCCCATCATGCATGTACACCAAAGTAGCTAAAAAGATATAAATTAGTATTTTGCTTGTTTTTCGTACCTGAATTTGGCCACTGTAGAAGCTGTGGCAACACATCTTGCTCTAACAGCTCCAAATAACGTGCCCCGTTAATGTTTTCATCAATGAAAAAAGGCCCCACAACCCCGTTCCACCCGATGGCTGCCCACACATTCGTTTTGGGAGAATGCAGCGGCTCTGATACACACCAGTGAAGATTCTCTTTAGCCCACCACCTTGAATTTTGACAATTTAAGCGGCCATGGATATGAAACGTGGATTCATCGCTAAAAACTAGCTCTTCCAAAAACGCCTCGTTGTTTTGCAGCTGCTCAAGCATAACATTTGAATGCGATAAACGTTGTACTATGTGCCTTGGCAAGATTTCTTGCACTTTTTGAAGTTTGTATGGGTGGTACCCATCTTCGCGCAATTTCCGACTACATGTACTCTTCGAAGGTATACCCTCAAAACGGCTCAATTCTCTTACAGATATTCGCGGATTGTCGGCAATAGCATCCCCAATTCTAGCAACAACTTCAGGAGTGGCAACAAAGCTAAAGAAATGTTATTTTGTTAGTTGTGCTTACTTTGTTTTCACTTTTTCTTTTCTGAGGCAGTGGCGACGACTACGAAACTCGATAACCCAGCGTTTAATAGAATCTGCTGATGGACAGGGTGTACGAGGGCTACGGGGGTGATACACGGCCATGTACTTTCTACGAACGCTTTCAGGACTTTCCCCTAACTTAAAATACCATTCAACACATTCACTCTTAACATCAGCACCCCAAACCATTTTTTCTTGATCAAAGAGTTTTTAAAAAAAATAAAAATAATACCAAGTCAGAATAGTTTCAACTATGTTTTTATGGTTTTATTTGAAAAATATATGATCTCTGTCGATCGAAAGTAATCTTAACTATTTTTTAAAAAATTCACTAATTTCTGAATTCGTAACAGTTAGGTAGAGAAGGACCTTAGGGTACCAGCAACTTTTTTCCGAAGAAAAACTATTAAAAATTGACCAAGATACGGCCTTTGCCGATTTTCTCCGCCGATCGTCCGCCGGTGAAATTTTTTGAGTTTTAAACGTAATTGAAATGATTAAAAAGCTTAAAAGAACATTTTTACTTGTTTCCCGAAGAAAAACTATTAAAAATTGACCAAGATACGGCCTTCGCCGATTTTCTCCGCCGATCGTCCGCCGATGAAATTTTTTGAACTGTAAACTTGATTAAATGTATTAAAAAGCTTAAAATAACATTTCCATTTTTTGTCCGGTGAAAAAATATTGAGTTTGAGCGGAGTTATGGCCTTCGCCGTTTTTCTCCGCCGGTCGTCCGCCGATGCAGGGAAAGACATGTTTTGATTGGAAAGCGTTTTGACGAATCAGCAGGTGACATAGGAACCAAAAAATGAAGGTTTTGGATTGGTCAAAGCAAAAAAGTAGCCTCCGCCGGCCTCCGCCGACCATCCGCCGAATATCAAAAAACGAAGTACCAATACCAAATCCGCCCGCAATTTCAAGTGTACTAAAAAAAGAATCGTCCAATTTGGACTGGTACTTTTCGAGAAACAAGCTTTTACTTTTCCGCAAAAATCTTGGGACACCCTGTACTCTACTCATGATTTAATGGATTTAAAATCGCTTTGAATTTGCTAATTTCTCGTTGCTGATGACGTTCATATTAACCCTTTGTTTATGTTATATTGTTTTCGTTGTTATAAACTTTTATTTTGTTAATATTTGATTTACTATCTCAGTTTACAGTCATTTAAACCTACCTATACCTGCTCTTTATATACACGGCGATCCCACTTTTATATATTTTCTAGATAAAAGTGGAACCGCGGGCGCAGCTCGGAAGGGAAACAGCAACTTCCGGCGCGTTTTAGGCTTATGACGTTATATCTACTAAACGGTTAAAGTTATTGAGCTGAAAAAACACTTAAATCTTAAAGAGGTATTCCTTTTTCATTCCTAGGAAACAATTTTTCGATATTTATTCTCGTTCAAATGTTATGTGCTCTGCACTAAAATGTGGCTAAAGTGACCAGATTTACTTAAAGTTATACTACTTGAAAGAACGGTATATAATCAAAAATCGAAAGATGTTATACCTTACATAACTAACTATTCTATCATTTTGTAAAATTTCAGACAGAAATATGAAATAGTGTTTGAGAAAAACCCTGAAAACTTTAGCAAGCCAAATTAGCACTAAAATTATGTTATTTCGAAGTATAACTTTACATGTGGGCCGAATCTAACAAAAATTAACATGTTATACTTTGTGTAGCTAATGTATCTATAAACATAAAAAGTTTCATCCAAATCGAGTTTGTAGTTTTTGAGAAAAACACTGAAAACCTTATATTATCCATGATCACCAACGTAGAAATTTCAAAGAAAACTTTCAAATTTGTGAAAGATATGTTCAGATATTAATATATAACAAAAATACATCATAAAATAAATGTTTTTGAAAAGTTTCGCATTAGAATTCTTAAACTTTTCATGTTACGATTTAAGAACATTATGTGATATGTATGCATTACAGTAAGATTTAATGTAATAACTTAATTAACTTGTAAGTTAATGTAAAATTAAACATGCTATACATAATACAGACAAGAACCCCTGAATCTCAAAAGAACTTTAGATTTAAGAAAATCCTACTTTTTGAGAAATACGCTGAAAACCTTATGTTACACTTTAAAGAATAACCTTTAATTTTCGGCATAACTTGACTAATTATGAAAGATAAGAAAAAATATTGTAAAAATTATTATAAACGTATCGTATAGTTAATATGACATGTTTTTTATGCACCAAAAACAAATTTTTTAAAATTGCAAATCATGTTGGGGAACCTCTGGACCTGGAGTCTAAACCTATGAACAGTTAAACAAACGGATAGCGCAACTTTTTCGGACATATTTATGTCTGTTACTTGTGTACTAGCCTTTGTAGCAGCTTTTACCAGTCCACTGCACACTGGGAAATTTTCTTGGAGATCTTCATATACTAGCGGAAATTTTTTTTGATATATTATCCAGGTACTTCTTAATAGGAGTTCTATTACGAAAGACGGTCAGAAAGCTGTCATCAAAAATACTGAAATTATACTAAAGTTGTTTTAGTGCGACCTCAAAAAACTTTTTTTTTCTTTGTTTTTGCTTGATTATGTATGTGTATGATACCATTTTATTTAGGTATGTTTAGATACATTTGCAAGATATTATTTTTTAGGCTTAAGCTGTAAAATGGTTAAAACCACTAAATTCTGCAGTTTTTACCGGTTAATTTCTAATTTATAAGGTCCTTGTTATTACGTTAGTGGAGCTCGATCGGACGAATCTGTTCTTCCGTATTGTACCTATCAATTTAAGCAATCGCTACTTTTTCTATCTTAAATTTTATAATTTTGAAAATCAAAAAAACTCGTGTCTTTACTTGATAGCTTAATTATCACTGTTTCTTGGACGAGAAAGGTAGACTGTCTTGTTGGTCAGTCAATATACGGTGTTTCACCTTCGTGTTATTCCTTCCAAATAAGCATAGTGTATCTTTGAGGATCCTTGCTATCTTTTCGTTGTTGAGCTTTCCATTCGTTAAGATACTCTTCTTCCCACTGGTTTTATCGAATGAGAATCGTGTTGAACAAATGCTTGACACACCACAAAAAATAATCATAAAAAATTAACATTGATCCCAGCACTTCTTGTTCTCCTTAAATCAAAACAGTGGTTTAACCAAATCAATTCACACAAACCATAAACGACGATAATCTAAGATATGCCACGTCCTGCGCTTTCCCTGCAACCAGCAATCACAACATTGTTACGCCCTGCCCCCGTAGCTGTTCCCTTGCCTTTATCTCGAAGCACATCGTGTGAAAAACACTGAGTGATGGTGAAGATGTATTTGATTTGTGTGTTGACCCTACGACGAAACCGGCACTGGTTTTGTTCCGTACAGCTCCTTGAATGCCGGCGTAGTAGTTTCTCCACATCTGATATTAGCTCCAGACTATTTACTCGTAACAATAATAAAAGTTTAGATCGTAGTAATTACTATAGTAAGTAAAAATTATGGTTTTTATGAATTTATTGCGGATAAAAAGTAAATTTTGCTAGCTTATTTACCAAGAAACATAAAAATACCCGAAGAAAAAATAAAAAATAAGTATAAAACTTGGCGCAAATAAGAACACTCGACTCCTTTTCTGCAACCTGCGCAAAATACGCAGGATCCATTTATTTCTAGCTTTGGGATCGCCGTGTATAGAAAATTTTGTTAAACTCGGTTTAACATCGTATCTTTTGGCGCGATATTGGCATTTCTGGCATTCTGTTTCAAGCGGAAATTATTTTTTATAAAATTTACGGAATAATTTGTTGTAACTTTTCTAGATCGTATAGTATAACTTATTAAATGTCTTCTATTTCAAAAGAAGTTACTCTGAACCCGAAATGTTTTGATCACAATCAACTTTCATGTATATTTGACGATTCAACTATTGCGCACTTTAAAAGACATATGAGGGTAGGTGTAAGAGACTTTTCTGGACGATGTTTCGTATTGCAATAGTCTTTAAAAATGATTTTTTTACAAAATGTGTTAACTATTTTAATAAAAATTTTTTTTTGTTAACTTTCCTATAAAAACCTTATTTTTGATTAAAAGTCACTAAAATAAATCTGTTTGTGAAAAATATGTTAGTACCACTGATTTTAATGATTATGAGTCATTTTTAGGGTGCCAATCTTAATGTTCAACAGATTTTGGAAGATGAAGAGGTAAGCATTCTTTTCTTTTTTAGTTTTATATGCTTAGAAAGATTTACCATGGTATTTGGGAGGAGATGAAGATGTTATACCGCCTATCAATTTTAACAACGGCCCCGGCTTAATGGAGTTGGATCAAATTGAAATGAAAATGTAAGAGGCAGATTTAGACATGTTTTGACGACTAAAAGACGAAGAAGAGGGTTGGATAATAGATTTTAGACTTTTTCAAGGTGTAGTGCTTAATTTTTATGAATTGCAACTTTTGTGAATTCAAAGCAATACCTGCTTGAAGTAATGAACAAGCAATGTACAATAATCTTTAGTATTTTAGGACAAAAAATTTAAAATTGGACTTTTATACCTTAAAAGATGACGATAATACTTTGAAGTTTAAGGATAACCTTCAAAAAGCTTTCTACATTCCTCAAGGCTTTCTAATAGTAAGTTTTGCCTTTTTTGACACATAAAATTAATATTTTAGGTAAGATGTAAGGTTTTACTATTAAAAAATAATATTTTTATTTTAGGACCGTATGTACTACGACTGTACATGTGGCAAGATCGTAGGCAGAGATTCCGGTTTTGTTTTGCATTACATGGTCAACTACTGCGTTCATTTACTATCGGAGCACAAAAAGGAGAAGCAGCTGGTTGTGAAGGCTAGCAAAAACTTGAAACAGCTTTTGAAGGCCGTGGAAGTTGGTCGCAAAGTCAAAAGAGAATTGGTGTAGGTTTTTACGTTATCTGTTGACTTTTAGGACGAAGGAATTAATTGGATTTGACACAATGGATTTTGACAGGCTTAAAATTTTATATTACAAAATCGAAAGAACTAATGGATTTTGACAAGGCTTAAAATTTCGTTTAACAATGCCAAGAAACTAACTGATTCAAACTCAAATTAATATTTTAGATTGGATTTCTTGCCTGGCTACACGTTTTCTTGTTTGTTATTTGCTAAAGGAGGTCTAAAGACGTATATCTGTTCGGAATGTCAGTTTGTCATCTTTAATGTGGAACGTTTCTGGTCACATTGTCTTGGAGCTCATGGTGTTAAGTATGTTTTTAGTCACTGTTTTTAGTGTTTTAGTTAATTTTTGAGCTAAATATGGTCTAAAGGTGATAACTTTTGTTTAAAAATGATAATCTTGAGATAAAGAGTATAGAAATATATATCATAAAGTTTAACCAAAAATTGTGCAGAAATTTTAAATGTAATTGTTTTAGAGATTACACCAAAATAACTTGTGTGGATACGAAAAGAATCCATGGAAATGTGGCAACAACCGTTCAGAAAATGGCGACCCCGTTACTGATCGTACGTGATCAAGCTTCTGATATGTATAAATGGTACGTTAAAGATATTTAGAAAGCCGTAATTCAAAAGTGGCACTAGTATAACAAACTACTAAATTCAAGTTTAAAAATTTTTTTTTTTTTAAATGTGGTTGTAGGGGATGCTCACATTGTGATTTGTTGATAGAAAAGAAGAACAAGATTCCATTGATCATCAACGCTTATATTCATTTGTAAGTTAACGAATATTGAAAAAATCCTTGTCCCATCCTCCTTCCTATACTCTAAACACCATAACTGAGAAAGATCTCCTCTTTTCTACTAAAAGTGCCATACCCCAGAACCCTATAGCGACGTCCCTGCCCCAAAAAGGTCCTACTCTCTCCCCTTTTTTTCGTTGCTCTACTCGGAAAAATCCACTACGCTTTCCTTACTTTTCCAAATTGGTCGGGGTAGTCGATACTCATGACAACTATGATACCTTTAAAACTACAATTTACAGGTGTGTCTCCGATTGTGCGGTCACAAAGTTTTGGCTGAAAAACCGCAAACCGGTCTTTAAAAATATTGAAGCTGCCAAAGCGTCTGTCATCGAGGAAGCCAGTAAAAACTGTGGGAAAGTGTAAGTTTCTACATCTGCCCCGATCCTAATTTAAAGGGGAGCAACTTTTTACAATGGTAAAATACGTCAATTTTGCTTTTTACTTTATAAAGCTCGCGGAAGTTAAAATCACCATTTCAGTGCACTGTCATTCTTGAAAAGACTCAATTATTTTGATGTGGCCACGCTGATACGAACCCTCAGCTATGACAAGAAGTTCGGTGTTCAAGACCTGAAAGATGTTGACTGGTCTTGCATCACAGTCTGTCCATTTTGCTTGACCTTACCTTCAAAAACGAAAAAACACTTTAAAAAATGGTAAGTACTTTAATATAGCAACAGAAATCGTAAATAATGTTAGGATTGGGCGGGTCATTTTTCATTCCTGGGGTCATTAGTGGGGTGGCTGAATTTTTTTTTCGTTTACATGGATAATATTGGTTTTACAAGGAATGCTATGTACTAGGTTCCTCAGATAATTAGGTGCCTCGTCTCAAAGAAAATTTTCCGGATTTGGAGCACAAAATTAGTTGAACAACCTAAGATTATCAAAATTAGTACTAATTTGCTATTTAGTATTATATACTGGTACCATTAAGACCAAAAATGGCAGTTAGTAATAGTTGGAAGGAAAATATGGCTTTGAGTACTGTTATATAGTAAAGAGTACTATAGTATGATAAATAAGATGATAATTAGTACTGCTATGCTTTAGAAAGAAACGTTGAGATCACAGTACATATTCAAAGCATAGAGTTAAACTGAGTAAGCCTAATAACATACTAAACATACTTTTAAAAAATGAATTTTTCTGTTAATTTTTTACTCATTTAAGCCCATCTATGCCAATCGAAGTTGAACTGGTCATGAATAAATAGGTTTAATGTTAATATACTCATTTTTTAATTGTTACACTTGTTAATATTGTTAAATTTGTTGCTGTAAATAAATTTATTGTTACGAAAAAACGTTAAATTAGCTATAAAAGTAAAGTGAAAAGTTGAAATTTGTCAGGAATCACAAAGATACTGCAATACCCATAGTACTACACAGTATTAAGAATACAGTTCGGCACGATAACATTACAACTCGGTATGCAAAGCATACACCTCCTTAATGGTAGCTGGGTCGGGACAAGCCGCAGGTGACCTCAGCTTGAACTCGTATTCGCATCTGTTAGGCTCGGAAGCTTCGTACAATTCCAACTCCAATCCACACTCAATGATGACACGAGTCGAGCGTGGTGGACCGTTCCAGCAAGTTTGGCCGTCCGCGTATTTTTGGACCTTGTAATCCTCACCTTCCCATTCCTTCCACTCTCCCAACCTTATTTCATGACCAGATTTTTCCCTTTGGATGGTCTTTTCGAAGAGGCATACTCGGTAGGTGTATTGGGCTTGGTCCAGTTCGGCACATTGACTTTTGAGTGGGGCCCAGGCTTGGTCCGGTCCGTATTCGAATTGAAGGAAACGTTCAAAGTCACTGAAAATGGTTGGATTAGAGTTATTTTTTAAGGACAAAGCCAGTGAAACGTTATAATAGATCAATAATAATAGATTGTTTTTAAAAATAAAGCCACTCTACCAGTGATGGGCGGGGTATTTTTATTTGGGAAAAGGTGAAACGGCCAAAAACCTACTTGATTTTGTTTTCAGTCTCTCTAACTTTGTTCGAAGCTTCTCTATATTCATCTCTCTTCACATCAGCTTCATCTATCAACTTCTTAGTCTCTTCACTGTATTCTGGTTTCTTTTCAAAGTCGAATTGATCATCATCGACTACTGGTTCAGGATCCAGCATGTCATCTTCGTCTTGTTTATCAGCTGGCTCTTCTTGCTTCACTTGTTTCTTGAACCATTTGCGGATGTCGTTGATTTTGTTGAGCAAAACTTCTTCTGTGATTTCATCTTCTCCGAATAGGTCGCGAAGCTGGTCATCTGTAACGTCTTTCTCGCTTTCTGATTTGACGGCTGTTTTGAAGTCGTCCTTGGTGATTCTGAAGGAAAAGAACGTGTTATATGAGTGTATATATAAAGATAAGGTAAAACTTCTTCATATTTAGTATGATATTTTACAGTACACAAAAAAATAAATCAAAAAATAGCATTTTAAGTAACAAAAAACTTTTTAATCCAAGCGCTTCAAGGCCCCAAAAATCATTCTTACTTTGCATCTCCATCCTTGTCCACCAATTTGAAGAACTTTTGAGAATCGCTCTTCCTATCTTCCTTCACTTTCTCATCCCATTTGTCATCCTCAGCCTTCTTGGCCTCATTTTCTTTAGTTTCAGCAGCTTCTTTTTCAATTTTCTTTACCTCTTCTACAGGTTTAAACTCGTCCAATTGCTTTTTCAAGTTCTCCAACTCGACCTTCTTCTCTTCCATTGACTTCTTTCCTTCTTCTGCCAATTCCTTTCTCTTGTCATAACCCGATGACACCATTTTCCTGTAGTTTTCAGTCTTCACCTTCACTTTGTTGTGGATCTCTTCACAAACATTGGGGCATTTTGTTTCACTGTCCCATTCGTCAGAGCCGTCACAGCAGTCTGAAGAAGGTTTTTGATTAATAATTGTATTTTAGGACAGTAATTTGAAATTAAAGCACCATTATTACACTATACATAAGGTAAATTATAATAAGTTTAATTTTAAGTTGCTTTTAGTAATACGTTTACTCTAAAATTAAGTTCTTACCACAAATAAAGTCGTTCACACGGCTGGAAGGCAAGTCCAGAGGCTGGAATCCATGGTTTCGGCAGTGGAATTGACCATTTGGACAAGCAGATGTGCCTAAAATAAGCGATATTAACATTGTCTTTAAAACTTTAGCTCATTATGCATTTTACCAAAAAGCGTGCGACGTAGTTTACATTTTATTCAAATTTCTTTCAGCTTTGATGACTTTGCTCAAGTTAACGCTTCTCACACGTTTTGTAACCTAAAATTTCAAAAAATTATTAAAAAACATACCTGGCTCATCGCTACCATCAGGACAATCACAATAATCGTCGTTTACTTGTTCAAACGGAATGGATTTAGAGCCATCAAGACACTTAAACTCGTCTTGTTCTTCATACAAGCTGGCTTCTGTAAAAATTCATGTTAAACAATTTATATCAATTTCAAGAACATATTTCTGCATTATAAAGTTAACCTATAAAACCATAATTTATTTAAAATGAAGTATAAAAGTATCTTTATTTTAAAAGAATTAAAAACGTAGGTTCAATGTAGGTTCAAAAAACCATTTTTAAGCCTTACTTTCTTCTGGGACTCCTCTTGGCCGATTTCCGTATTCCAAATCCGCGGCCAAACATCCGGCCAACAGTATAAGCAGTGTCAAAAACACCAGCTTCATGTTTTCAACGACGAATCGAGGCGACTGACAACTCAGCATCTTTAATTCTTATAGTTTTCGCGAAATTTCGTTCGCTGGCGTTACACCAAACTCCGCCTTTATGTTTAACACAATGCCACACGGTATATTGGCGGATGTTTGTTTTCGTGCCGGATAACAAATTAGTCATGTATGTTTGTTGTAAATAAAGTAGTTTTTTTTGGTTAGTTTGTAAACCAAACTTGAATAAATGATTTTAAAGCATGCTTAAATTACTAAAACTATTTTTTGAACGTTCTGTCGCATAAGTTTGTATAGCAAACCACGTGCAGCCTGCGTAGTTTCGGACGCAGCTAGTATTTTTCTCGAAACTATTTTTTCGTGTGAAAACTCCGCCTTTTCAGTTTTGGACCAATCAGCTACCGCGGCGTGGTAAAAATTCGACAAAATTTATAAATTTTGTCGGAAATCTTCTTTTGCCAACGTTTTTGGAGCATATTACATTTTTGCGGAGTTGAATTGTTTTTTACAAAATTATTGGGTTAATATCTATTTGATTAGCCATCTTTTTATATTTGGGAGTGTTTTAAAGACGATTTTTTGTAAATATAAACTAACTACGTTTACCTTGACGTGTATGTTTTTTAATGAGAAACGTATCTCGAGTTGAAATATTTGATATTGTACATGTTATATTCTAATTCTTTAAATTTATTTTGCGACCTTAATCATAAACGTGTTTTTAAACGTATTTTACGACTTATCTTTGTTATTTCAGGTTTATTAAACCTTGATCTGGGCAGGATGCGTTTCGAATGGCTTTTGATATTGTTGTTAACATTCGTCGAAGCTGGACGAGATTTTTATAAAATTTTGAATGTTCCACGCAATGCTAATGTCAACCAGATCAAGAAAGCCTATAGGAAACTGGCCAAGGAGCTGCATCCCGATAGAAACAAAGATGATCCAATAGCTGAGGAACGTTTTCAAGATCTGGGAGCTGCTTATGAGGTATGTTAACGCGTTTTTTATATTTTTTTGGATTTTAGGAAAAAATTTCTATTGCTTTACTTGTAAAGCTTTTGGATTGTTTATTTTTACCCTTGGTGCTAAAAAACTAAGGGTTTAAGAATGAAAAAGATCTAGAAAAAAACTATAAAAAGATTTATTACTTCAATTTTAGGTACTAAGTGATGCCAAAAAGCGTAAAGTCTACGACAAGCAAGGTGAAGAAGGTGTGAAGAGTATGGGAGAAGGTGGATTTGGCCGTGGAGGGCACGAACCATTCGCCAGCTTCTTCGGAGACTTCTTTGGCGGAGGACACGAGGAATCAGACGAAGTGCCTAAAGGAGCTGATGTTGTTATTGATCTATATGCCTCATTAGACGAAGTTTACAACGGAAACTTTGTAGAATTAAAGAGAAAGAAGTCTGTGTACAAACAAACTTCAGGGACGCGTGAATGTAACTGTAGGCATGAGATGAGAGCTCAACAACTTGGTGGTGGACATCTTCAGATGTTCCAAGTTCGGGTTTGTGACGAATGTCCGAATGTGAAGCTAATTCAGGAGACCAAGATTTTGGAGGTAAGTAAAAATGATTATATTAATGTGGTTTTTGGTTATTTGACATTAGTTTACTCGGTTTTTTAGGTCGAAATTGAAGTAGGAGCCGATGACGGACATCAACAACGATTCGTAGGCGAAGGTGAACCTCATATTGATGGTGAGCCTGGAGATTTGGTCGTGAAGCTAAAACTACAGAAACATAACGTATTTGAAAGGCGGGGAATGGATCTATACACAAACGTGACCATTTCATTGCAACAAGCTCTATCAGGCTTTGAATTGGATATTCCTCATCTAGATGGCCATAAAGTACATGTTTCAAGGGAAAAAGTAAGGTTTAAAGGCATTATTTTTTGCATTTTCAGGTGATAAATGGATTAGAAGAGGCGTATCTATTTATCGTGTTATAACCTACAAGTTTTTATTAAGTTTTTCTATTGTATCTTCCATATTACCTATTGTAACTTCTAGGTAACTTGGCCAGGTGCTCGTATCCGCAAAAAGGACGAAGGCATACCATCGTTGGAAGACAACAACAAGAAAGGCATCTTATACATCACATTCGATGTGGAATTCCCACAAGGACAGTACAATGACGAGCAGAAGAAGTTGATCGCCGACCTACTACAACAATCGGATCACCAACCCAAGATATACAATGGCCTTCAAGGCTTCTAGCTCATTACTTAAGGGTCTCTTCGGATCAGAAACCTGATCTGTGATACGATGTTTATCTAATAGTAATATATTTATTCACCAAAAGGTTGTTTGTTGTTGTTTCTTTCATAAATTACTTGCCTAATAACTAATTTTATATTGTAATATGTTATTTTATATGATAATATGTATTGCAATAAATGCATTTTAAACATTATACTTGGGTTAGGAATGATCACTTTATCGTTGAATTAGACATTTAGAATTGTTTTGAATAACACGTTTTGAATTTTGAAAGGTACTTTATTGAATTCGGCGGCATTTCGACATTGTTTTAGGCTGTTTTCGAAGAAAGTTGAGTGAATTTTGATTTTTTTCTTATTAGATTTTGTGTGGATTTAATTATTTAGTATTTATATATAAACCTACAAAAAGGTTTACAACTGGTAAAACTAGAATTAAGAAAGGCTGGCGCAAAATTAAAACTTCGTGTTTAAAAGTGCAAGTTAAAATCTAAAATTTTTAATTTTTATTGTAAAAATTATAAGAAAACTTTTCATCAAATTTTATCCAAATCTGAAGCTTACAAGCCGAGTAAACAGCTTTACAACTGTAAAAGGCAAGGCGTTCTGTAATGTGAAACAGTTGACACAACACAAAACTTGAGTCAAGTTTTCTTCCGGATGCAGCTGGCAATTCGCGCCCATGTTATAATTTGCAAAAATAATAAATAAATGATCGTAGTAACATTAATAGTATAATAAAGGAATGCCCAGAAAATGCAATCACTTGGATAAGAAGAGGAAAACGTTAGTTCAGAACTACGAACTGTTAATCAGTCGAATCATCTATCCATTGAGCTCCAAGGATTCCCAACTTAAAGTGAGTCGTTTTTTGGTATTTTGGACATTTCTATCTCGCAATGCTTAGTTTGAAATGTAATGGTTAGTTATAACTTGAAGTTTAAATGAGAATTTTAGAATTTTAGTTTTTTTACTCTAGTACAATCTGATATTTTTGGCTTTTTATCTTATATTGTTTTAGTTGCGGACAGTGCAATGTGAAGTATGTGAACGAAGGGCATTGCCAATGATGTGTTGTTGTTTAATGTGTCCAACAGTGGCTTGTCTAGAACATTTTGGACCGCATTATTCGCAAACTGGGCATGGTATAAGTGAGTTTGGCTTGTTTTTGTTATTTTCTTGAATTTTAGGTAACTCAGCGACTGAAATTGGGTCAAGATTTAGAATTTGAACTTCTATACTTTTTCAAAAATTTAGAGGATTGAATTAGTTTTAAAAAGACGTCTTTTTGCTGTTTTTTATATTGTAGTAGAAGACTATATAGTATATACCTGAAATTTCAATTTTCAGTAGCATCAACGACGTTTGGTCAAATGTTTTGTCTAGAATGCAAAGACTTTGTCTATGACAACCACATAGAATCCCTACGATTAAAAGCCGAGAACGATCATCGTAGACGGTTAGGGTTGGGTCTACGGAACGAATGGAATCCGTCTCCATCAGATGGTCGAATCTTGAGGAAAGCTCGAAGATCCTATCGACTGACGATAGACACGATGAGAGGGCTTCGGGGGTTGGTGAATCTGGGCAATACATGTTTCATGAACTGCATTATACAGTCGCTGGTGCAGATCCCATCTCTACGAGATTATTTCTTAACAGATCAACATTGCTGCAAGTTTGGCGACGTCGGTCAGGTGGACAACTTTTGTTTAATGTGCGAGTTGGCCACTATTTTTCAAGTGAGTGTTGTTTTTAATTTTGGGAGTTGTTTTGAAGAGATTAAAGGTTTAAAATGACATACAAACCTAGTTTCATATTAAAAAATAGTATTTTTTGCTACAAATATGAATTTTATGTCAAGGAAGGTCAGAAATTGCGTAGAATTACTTTTTTGAGATCAAAAAATTTTTAAAATTTCCTATTTTAGGAATTTTATAACAGTAACACTGAAGAGCCGTTCATTCCTCGTCGAATGTTGCACTTGGTGTGGAAGCACGCCAAACACTTAGCCGGTTACGAACAACACGATGCTCACGAATTTTTAATAGCTGCACTTAACGTCCTACATCAACATTCCCAGAGTTTATCCAGTCCGCACAAGGGCCACGAGTGTAAATGTATCATAGACAAACTGTTCACGGGTAAACTACAGTCGGATCTGACGTGTATGAAGTGCGGGTAGGTGTTTTATTAGCTACAACATATTAGTTATTGGGTCAGGTTCTTTGTTTTTAGGTAATAATTTTTTATTTTTCAAAAATTTTAAAATCTTGCACGGTGCAATGACTATTTTTGAGTTCGGTTTTTATTAAATTGCACAGTGCAGATTTTCTTTTTGGAATACTAAGTAAAATGGTTTTTTATTCAATACATATCATATAATATCGTTTTAGACGTGTATCCACTACAGTAGACCCATTTTGGGATATTTCACTTGATCTCGGTGATGGCACTTCAACAGATCGTACTCTAGAGGACTGTTTGGCAAAGTTTGTTGTTATTATTCTTTTTTAAAACGATTGAAAGTTTTACCTTATCTAAACTCTTTTTATTCTTCTTTTATTAACTTTAGGAATCGGTCAAAACGTACATAGAAACTTTTTATCTTGTTCTAAAGGCCTCTTTTGTGTTTTTACGTCATTTTTGGCTTGAATGTTGTTGTATAAGGAGTGAATGATGTTTTTATGTATATTGGTATACTCAATTTCAGCTATGTCAAATCAGAGTCGCTAGGTGCAACAGCAAAGATAAAATGTGAATCCTGTGGAAGTTATGAGTCAGCCACCAAACGACTGACTCTAAAGAAGCTACCTTTAGGTAAATATTTTTTTTATGTTTGATAATGACATGTATATCACTGTATTTAAAAGTTATATGCATATCACTATGTCTCGTAGCTAATACTGCCTTTTTTCAAATTTTTTGATAATAAATCCTCTGCGACCAAACTTCATACCTAAAATTGCCACTTTCAGTTGCCTGTTTCCACTTAAAACGCTTTGAACACACACTGGCTAACAGGCGGAAGAAGATACGAATCCCGGTGAGATTCCCGGAACAAATCGACCTCACACCGTACACGACATCGTACTGTACGACGAAGAATGGGATAGGCACGTATGCAGTCAATGAACAACTCATTGAGTCCAGTAATGTGTAAGTTGACGTTTCATCTGAGTTGAAGTTTTATTTTGTGGTATTCTGGTCAGAAAGTACATAGAATTTCAAGCTTCATTATTTTTGGTCAAAAAATACCTGGAAGTTTTCGTTTTTTTAAACTTTTTAGTCGGAAAGTCTGCATATTGAAGCAGTTTCACACTGTAGATGTACACGCTGTATTTCGATTTTTCTATATAATTTTTGACCGAAATGCTAAATCTTTCCAAAGTCTTGATAGATAACATCCATAATTTCAATGTTATCACCACATAACCACTACAACCTCCAGCCGTCTCAGTCAGCGTCTATACCTTGCTTTTAGTACCACCAAATTTAGATACGATCTCTTGGCGGTAGTGAATCACAACGGGAACACGGAAAGCGGGCACTACTCGTGTTTCGTCCGCCACAAAGACAACCAGTGGTACAAGGTGAACGACCAAATCATAACATCGCAGGTGCTGGAGAGCGTCCTCGCTTCCGAAGGCTACCTGCTCTTCTACACAAAGAGCTTTATCGACTATGATTGACGGATTTAAATTAATTTTATTATATAAAGTGTATTTGGCACGTATACAGTAATGTTAGAAGTGTTACAAAATTTACAAAAATATAATTTTAAATGATTTAGATCGGGAGAAAATATATTTTTCATGATTTATGCCATAGATAATATTTTTTAGAATTTAAATAAAGAAAAAATATTTTGGACGATTTTAAACGTCAAAATTTATATTATACATGATTTAAATCACAAAAACATATTTTAAATCATTTAAACCATAAAAAATCATATTGTACATGATTTAAACCATGAGAAAATATATTTTTCATGATTTATGCCATGGATAATATAGTTTTTATGAATTTAAATAAAGAAAAAATATTTTGGACGATTTAAAACATCAGAATTTATATATTTTAAATCATTTAAACCATAAAAAATCATATTGTACATGATTTAAACCATGAGAAAATATATTTTACACGATACAAACCATAAAAATTTTCAAAAATATGACATTAATCACAAGAATTTACAAAAAAACTGTTATTGAACCGCGATTTCAAGACTAGAACTGGATGAGAGTGACTCTTTCTCTGGGTCGAAGCTGTCCTGCCCTAAGGCCGTGGCTTCGGCCGCTTTGGGTTTGGCCGTGAACTCGTCCTGATAGCCGGATTCCGGCGTTTGTGGCGCCATTTCCGACGTGGCCGAGTCGGTGGAGATGGATGAGTAGACGGTGGAGGAGGATGTTGTAGTACATGTCGACTTCCGTAGCTCGTAATCGGAGGGATCGTCCTCTTCGTCGATCGGATCGAAAGTGCCATTCTTGTCCATTTTGGCCAATCGATGGAACCGTTTCCGCAGCCGAGGCTTCTCGCATGTTGAGGATGTTGCTTTTGAAGTGCATGGTGTAGATTTTGATGGTGAACATTTGTCCGATGATTTATGACACTTTCCAAATGCTTTGTGACAAAACTTCGAGGTCGAACAGAATGATTTTAGCCTTGTGTTGTCGTTGAGAATACTTGGAAGATTGTCGGCCGATGGGCTTTGTAGCAGATCGTCGCTGGCGGTACGCCGAAGACATCTTCCTTTACCATGGCTGCGTATGTTGTCGGTGGACATTGTTGTGTGAAGGCGGAAGTTGGCTCTATCTCCTCGGTTCGGGAACGATTTGTCGAATCCAGAAGGTCGACCAGAATTCATAGTGAAACTCTGATTGATGATTCCTCCTGAAGTTTGGCTACTGTTCATATTACCTCCAAATTTCTGGCCGCAGTGTCCCATATCGTCTGCAAACCGCCTTCTCCCCTCGCCCCTCCTGTCCATCATGTTGAACAAGGGCAAGCACAAGTTATTCGGCTTCTTCATTCTTCGTTTCATGGCATCTGGAGTGACATAACCATAAGTTGTAGCCATGGTGTTTTTGCCAACGTCTTCAGGTAGTACTTGTGCCACTTTCGAGTTCCATATGTCAACATCTGGTGCTCCAAACAGTGGATTCTCTAGTGAAATGTCGTTTTGAGCCATGAATACATCGTTCTGCGATGAGCTTGGCTTCATGGAAGTGTCACAGCCTAACAAATCGTTCTGTAACGAAATGTCAAGTTTTGAGAACTCCGTAGATGGTGACGGTATGGTTGGTACTGGTGCCTTCCACGACGACGTCGCTTCCCTTCTCGTGGGCGTATCCGAGAACAAGATGCGAGGTCGCTGTGGCATCGACAACGGCACGTCAATCGTTCTTTTGTTCGTCGTTCTTGGCTTGCCATTATCTGAAGGCAATTCACGACGAGATTCCATGTACGATCCTTCTTGACGCTGAGGGGATTCTGATGAATTATCCGGATTCTGACGATGATATTGGCTTTCCAAAGGATGACTTTCAAAGTTTCGATGGTGTGATTGTTCAGACGATTGATTATCGAAATGACGACGATGGTAAGAGCCTTCTGAAGCTTGGTTTTGTGAAGAGTGACTATGGCTCGACGAGGATTCAGAAGCTCTGTCCGTAGACGAATCTGAAGCCCTGCTTGCCTCCGAATACCTGTCTGAAGATCGAGAAGACTGTTCAGCCGTCCCAGAATACCTGGATTCAGAATACCGGCCGTAAGATGAGTCAGAAGATCTGGATTCATAAAGTCGATCAGTCGATCCGAAGCTCCTTTCATTCGAAGACCCATAACTTTTGTCAGAGGACTCAAAACTTCGCTCCGTCGCCGATTCGAAGCCACTTTCGGATTCGCAATGCCTACTGTAGCTTTGCAAGTCCGCGACAGTTTCGCTTTTGCGGCCGAAACTGGGCGCGGCTTCGGCGCATGGTGGCAGCAGTTTGGCGCGGCGCAGGTTGCGCTCATAGACGGTTAATTGACCCATAAAATTGAAATTTGGTGAGATCGAGGGACGGCGGGTTTGTACGAACTTGTATGCGTCTTCGGCGGTCAGTTTGTTTCGCCGCATCACATAGGCGATGGCCAGCGTGGCCGAACGTGAGATGCCCGCCAGACAGTGGACCAACACTTTCTGGTTGCTTCTTCTGGCGTCTTCTGAAACGGATTAACATTTAGATTACATTTCTAGATTACATTAGCTTTAATAGGGCGATTAAAGAACATTTTTGATGCTAAGGAGGAATTAGGGATCATTACTTTGATTTTATAAGGGATACTGTAAATGTACGTCCTTCAATGTAATAAGGATTTGATTTTAAAAAGTTAAGAGTAAAAAAACCATGATTTCTCCAAAAAACTAAAATCATATAAAACTACAGCACCTAAAGGTCAATCAAATTCAAAGATTACGGTAATCCAAAAAACACTGTAGTCCAAAGATGATATTGCCCTCCTAATAGTCCAAAAGCTCAAAGTTTTGTTTATTTTGCCATTCCCTATGCTTTATGAAAACAATAAACAAACAAAACTCACCGATAAACTCGTAGGCTTTCTCGAAGAACGGCGACAACTTGGCATCGTACGTGTCGTTGACCGGAATGCGCAGGAAATGACGTTCGTCATTGAGGATGAGATCAGATCGAGGGCACTTTTCGCTTATGTTTATCACTTTTTGAATGGGCAGCTTCTGTAAATGACATTTTATTATTATAAGAGTATAATCCTGAGTTTTAGATCTAATAGGTTGTTGATAACTGTTATTTGATATTTTAATTAATTTTACTCTTTTTCAAACAATTATAGAAATCATTATCGTTGAAGTAACAAGCCTTTTAACCTCCAAAATCTTCAAAACCACATTTGATATTACTCAGTGTAATATCATAGTCCCTAAAAACAAAAATCAACTCCAAAAGATCAAGGGTTCAAATGATTCAACCCCCTGACTCACCGAAATAAAGTTCCTGTCCAGAGCGTCTTCTTGCGAGCCCAAAAACATAAAGTCGAGAATCTCGGTGGGCCCGGAAGGCTCATTTTCACTCGACGATGAAGCGATACACGGACTAGAATGTGAAGTGGGCAAGCGCAGACCACTAAACCTATGCCCAGCCATTACAGCTTGGGCCGAGGGCGAATGGTAGAGATTGGACTTGAACAACGATGGACGTCCGGCTTCATCTTGCTCCGTGAACAGTGGATTCGCGCTTGTCGTGCTGCTGGCGGCTTCAGACGACTCACAAAGTAATGGATAGTGTTCGTGGAACTCGGAGAAGGATCCTGAAAACAAACTGATTAACTTTTGTTATCAAACGGGTTCGAGACTCATGATTTTTTATCAGTTTGAACGGCTGAACGTTATTATGGGCGCTTTATATTATTTTTAGATTTAAAAATATTATCATTTATCCAGTTCATTGAACTTTTAAACTCAAAATATTTTTCATATGGCTTTATTAAAACCGTAATTTACTGTTAAAATAAAGAAAACAGCTTATTCTTCTTTTTCCAAAGAAATTAGCGGCAAAACAAGGTCCATAGATCACAAACTTTGTCGAAAATAACTATTTTAACCAGCAGAATCTGTAGCTTTTTGCTCCAAAATAAACAAAACAAAATTTTGACCAAAACAATCCATAACTCTGTTAAAAAAACTACAATTAACAATACCTTCAAAGTTCCGAAAATCGATTCATTTCTATTTTGGGTCAACTTTATCCTATTTTCTGTGTTGTTTCGAGTCAAGTGTTATCAACTTGGTTTTCAGCCAAGTTTTATCAGTTTTTCCTCGTTTTTGAGTCAAATCTGCTGCTACAAAGACAATAGAAACTGGGAGAAAGATGAATAAAATCGAAAAAAGCGATCACGAGGAGCAGACGCGTGATTCTGTGGAAATCTGCAGTCATAACAGCATAGAAACCGTTACGATGACGCATAAGACGATTACTCACGGTTTGTTGGCGCAGCGAAGAAGGACGGTCGTGCGCGATAACATACGCTGGATGAAGGTGGTACCATTGGGGTACTATTTACAATAATAGTGCACTGATTTTAGGTAAAAGTGCACTTTTATTATAAAAATAGTGGAATGAGGTCTAGTTCTGACGGTGAATACAAATCACCTGGAATGGTTTGAGAAATCACGTTGAATACGTTGCCAAAACACGTTGAGAAATATACGTGGAATGATTTAACTCTTAGTTTAGGTAAAAATCAGATTGAGCCGTCAAAAAACTTTGTTTCCAGAGGGGAATGTACTAGTTATGGCCAGATTCTACCACTTATAACTATGTTTGTACCAAATAGAAGTATGAGCAATCGGTGACTAGAGCGTTGATTTCGGAAGCTTTGTTACAAGTTTATGCCCGCCGGGCTGACACACAGACTGGCGTATTCATCCTTGAAAATAAACGGAAATGAAATAATCTCATAGTACACGCAGTATAATCTCGAAACGGAATGGAAACGGGCCCTCGAGCGTTTCCGAAAAGGTACGAATGTTTACGGCAATATGAACATGACGAGATGGGGGATATATATAGGTCTAGATGGGAGACATAAATAGGTGTAGGAAGACAAAATGTTGAGATTAATGTTAAAATGTACATAATTTATTCGATTTTAGTCATCATAAAGGAAAAGTTAGTGAATATATATGAAAATAAAACGCATTTTACCTCAAATTAAGGTATGCGGAACCCGTGACATGATGTATGAATCCAAAAAACGTGTAAGCGTTTAGATTTAGCGATAAATTGGTAACATGCTTTCTTGAAATTGCGCTCTGGATGAACCGCAAGCTTTTTAGTAACAGCTGGTTAAACGACGAAAAAAATGCATTTTTAAAACAGATATGTTTATAAAGAAGGGCTATATAAAGACTCATTGTATTGGAATTATGTAGACTCGTCTAAACAGGTGATATCGGAATGATATAGCCTTATCTAAACAGGTGAAGTCAGCCGAAGTACAGATCGATATTACCAGAATAGAAATGGTTAGAACAGACCGATATGATCACAGCAAAAATGATCAGAATAAATTAAATTGTAACCACAACAATGACTGTTCGAACATTCATCAACAAAGACTTGAGTATTTGAACAAAGCAATTGAATACACGCTTATCGATCCCACTACCATTATTCATTCAAAACAAATAATCGGGAAAACAACGTAAAGCAGTGTAAATTTTTGACTTTTGCAACGAAAAATGACATAAATTCTTTTACGACTTGAACTCGCGCACCCCTCTTCTCCCTAGCAATAGTTATAGCCTAAAGGGTAACGGGAAGTGAGTTGAATTTTATATGAACGTGAAAAAATACGACATGACATTTAGTTAGTTATTGAAAACATTGGAGGAATGCTAAAGTCTTATATGCTATATAAAGGTTAGGGTCGCTTAAGTAGGGTGGATAAAAAAAAGGGGGGGGGAAGAGAGAAAGAGGAGAGAAGGGAAAAACCACAAAAATTTTTAACGTGATCCCCCTGTGAAACTCAAAACAAAGGAAAAATTGTCCACCCCCTCCCTCCACTCTTTCCTGTCTCTTTCATCCCTTCTAATTCTACATTCCCCACCAGCCCCAATATTATCCATGTGACAATGTTCATAACACACAACTACGAAGATGGGCAAGGGAATCCATTTGTTTGGGAACGTATTGATTCCGGAAGGGGTGGCATTGCTAGTACGAAAAAAGCGAGAAAAAAGAAAGGAAAAACGCGGCCAAGCGCAATCTCACCCCCAGCCTCCGGCCACACACATGCACTCTCGCCTTCAGGCTTCTTCTCGTCATGTCGCAAAAAAAACCAACCAGAAACCTTTTCCCGAATTCATCATAACCCCATTGTCCCAAAAAACGGCCGTATTTAGGATCAGTGGGGAGAAGAGTGGCGTCAGTGGCATGGGAAAGGTTTCAGTTGCTTAGAAATGGCATAAAAGATGGTTGAGAAGCTGGATGATGGATATAGTGGTAGGGTAGGGCGAAACAAGACAAGGCAAAGTAGGATAGGTTATAGTAGGGCAGTGTAGGGTATGGTAAAGTAGGGTAGGGCAGGGTAGAGCAGGGCAGACTAAAGCTTTCAAAAAAATTTAGATAATTTAAAAAAATCGGTTGCAATTTTAAAAAAATAAAAAGAAAGGGGGCTCCATCTCAAACTTCATTGTTCAAAACCTTTTCAAATCGGACATCTGGAAATAGAAATTTGGTCGTAAATTGTTGAGATTGCTGAACAAAAAGTAATTGATTTCTTAAAATTTACATAAAAATAAATCTGTCACCCCTTCCGCCCCCCCCAATTTACATAAAAATAAATCTGTCACCCCTTCCGCCCCCCCCCCATTCGCAAAAAAAAATTATTCAAAAAATTTTTAACATAGCCTCTCCCCTGGTAATTATTAAAAAAGAAGCGGCTGACACACAAAAAAAAATTTTAATCCTGCCCCTGAAATAAATTACATTCACCCCTGCTGAAATTTTTTAAACCGTAAAAATACTGAAAACCATTTTAAAAATATTTTTAAAACCCTTTCATTTTAAAAATATCAAAAAAAAACAATTTACCTATCCCTTAAAATTCCCCATCACCTCAACTCATCAGCCTCCCAAACCCCTCATAATCAACGAAAATCATCGACCAACCCAGGCCGGCAGACAGTCAACTGACTTCATCTTCAAAACCGAACACTAAACGTCAAGCTCACAAAACAACATTCGACCCCCCGACAAAGAAACCAGTGACTCATCATCTAACGCAAAACCCTGTGAACGTCAGAGAAATTGGTTACTACCCAAGAGTTCTCTCTTCTCAAAACACGCCTTCGGTTGTTATATGCATCATAAGTAGACCATATTCATCATGGGTAGACTTTTTTAGTGTTTGTCGTAGATAGACGGGCTTTCCGGGACCGGCCGGCGGGTTAACTGCGCAATGAAGTTATAGATGGTAGAATAAAACAATAGCTCTACAGGTTGTAAAAGTAATGACATAAATAGTAGCAATTAGAGTTCCCAACTTAAAAATTGTCAGCCCCAGCGCTGGCCATTTCCAAAATTTAAGCCCCAAAGCATTTGGGAACTCTGGTAGCAATAACGCAAAAGTGACTAGCGCAAGGATCTTGTAACTATAGATGATAAAAGAAAAAAATACAGTAGTGATAAGCGGAACGACAAGGAAAAAATATTATTGGATAAGAATAATATGTATAAAACTGTTTTTTTGCAAAAATACAAATAGAACAGTGGTTTTTTGAATAGATAAAACTGTTTTAGTAAAGAACAGTTTTTTTAATGACTCAGAGGTTTAAACTGATTAATCATGAAGCGGTTTAACTTACAACAAATTTTTAAACTTTAAATATTCTGTGAAAGTTAGTTGCGAAGCCTTTGATCCAACTTAACCGTGGCTCTTTGTTAGCATGAACCGAGCTTTGCACTAGCTCTATTGTGCCATAGGTCTATTGAATCCTATCTTAGCCTTACTCTTTGTAAGTACTATCCTTTAGAAGGTTACCCTCTCTACCATACCCCTATTTTTCTAAAAACAACCCTTCTCCACATCCCTAGTTTTTAAAAATTCAAATATCTTAAACATCATTTTTATCCAAACATTAAGTTTAATGTAGCAAACTTTACTATTACAACTGACTTTTCCTTCCAGACAATAAACCTTTTTGCAACTTTTTACCCATGGTATTTGCAGTAATGATTGTTAAAAGTCAGAGCTCGAGTTATTAGTTTAAACTTTGAAAAAATAGCTAACATGCTCCTCCCCTTATTGCCCATTGCCTATTTTTCACTGCCTTTCTTGATCTTCACCTCCTGACTTCTTCTTTCCCCTACCTTTGCCCCTCCCTCTCTTATTTTACTTTTTTCCCTAATTTTCTGTCCCAACCCTTCTCCTATCCTATTTTCTCCTCCCTACCCTACTTTTACCCCTCATTACCCTTTATATCCTTCCCTGCCCTGTTCTTTCCCTTCGCTATTATGCCTCCTTCCCTACCCTACCTTTCTCTCTCCCCTACCCTCCAGCCTTCCACGTTTTTTTGTCAAGCCCCAATCATAACAATCATTCGGAACGATCGTATGCATTAAAACATTGCAAAACAAGATTGATGTAATAAATATGCAGAGCACAGTCCGCTGATGACTAATGCCTTCCTTACTGTGCGTTTTGGTTGTAAGAAGGCGTATATTGTTTGAAAAAAGCGTTAAAATTGTGTTTTCGGGGGTGGGGTTTAAAATTTTTGAAATTATGGATTTAAAAAAATTATATTTCTACCCAAAAAAATTCAAAAAATTTTTTTAATTAAAATTCAGCTGTTTTAAACCCAAAAAATTTTGAAACCAAACCATTTCCTACCATTTAAAATCTCAAATCCTACCTTTCAAATGCAGAGCCTTTGAGAACAGTCCATATTCATCGATCCTCCGCAACAGCACGTCCAGGAACGCTTGACTGTTTTCGGCGTACTTTTGGTCGTCCACACCGTAGATGATCAGAAATCGGTCGAGTTGTTGACACTTATCAATACCATTCATTAACTGACTTAACAAATAGTCATCTGAAGTCTGAAATAATAACTTTTGCGAATTTTAAGTGTAAACAAGCGTTGGCATTACAGTAATAATTGTTTTTGTTGGGTGGGAATTACTGTATGAATAATGGATATGTTTGAAAATGGCAATGTTTTAAAAATTTTGTAGTAAAAAAGGTAGGGCAAAGCAAGGCAAGGCAACGCAATGTAGGAAAAAGTGGGGGTAGGGGAAAGTAGGATAGTCTTTAATTTTTCAAAAAAATTAAAAAATTTTGATTGCTGTGATTCTTAACCATCGAAAAAATTTTTTTGCTTACAAAGTAGAATAATATTATTGTAGAAAAGTAAACTGTTGATGTTATTTATAAAAGAAAGTGGTTTTTCGATGAAATTAACCATGTGTTAAAAGTTTATGGATCAATTACGACATCATTGGATGATTCACCGTAAGAAATTTGTAACTGTAGTTTTTCATGACGAAAGACGGCTTTAAATTTTATGCGAGAGGGATGGGAGAGGAGTGAAGTACTGTAGCTTACAAAAAACGGTAAAAAACAGTGTGCCTTTACAACTAGTTTTAGCCATCATAAACTTACAAATGCACTTGTAAGACTTAAAAATCATAACAAATTTAAATTCCCTGATTTTTAAATATAAAATTTCAAATTATGTCTAATTTTGGTATAATGTTTCAAGCCATTTTCAATTGTTTAACAAAAATTTGCAAATTGAAAGTTAAAAAAAATGATTAAACAGGCCCCAAAGAATATATTAATGTTCAAATAATTCTGTGCCCCTAAATCCAAAAAATTGCGTTGAAAAGGAGCACTGAATTATTTGAACAACCCAATACTTTTAGATTCTGTAAAAATTTTTTTGTATAACTTAAGATGATAAGAAAAGCCTTGCAACACAATGCCAAAATCAGGCAAAAAGTAAAAAAGCTTGTTTTAAAACATACTTTAAACATATGAATAACCGTATTTTACATCATCCAAAACTGTTTTTTAAACTTTTTACTTTCTCTCTCCCCCACCCTCAACTAAAAAAAGCTTTTCTACCCTGCCTCTACCCTCCCCCAACTGCAAAAAAATTCTTTATATCTAGTCAATAACCCCCTCCCAACCTCCAAAGTAAGAAACTTTAAAATTTTGTGCCAAAACCAAACCCACCTTGCCATTCAGGAAGCGACGTCGCAGAATCTTGGAGTAGAACGCATTCTTCGCCCCCTTGATATGCGAATAGTTGTAATCGAAAAAGCTGCGGCAGTCTAGGATAAGATATTGTTGAGGTAATGAGGTCGTGTTCAATATATTCGCAACTTCATGTTGGTCCAGCACTTCCAGCTTCATGTCATTCGTAGGGTCTAGAGCGGTGATAATACGTGTTGTGACATTTTCTGAAACACCCATTTTAGTGCTAATGGTACTGTTTTTGGATGGAGCTAACTCGGCTAGGTATAAGTAGTAAATAAAGTATAGTAATTAGAATATAGTATAGTATTCAAAATACAGTATCGTACTCAGAAGATGGTACAGAACTCAGAATACTATATAGTACTCAAAAGACGGTATAATACTCAGAATGCAGTATAGTACTTAAAATATGGATAATAATATAAGTTCAAAACAAAATTCAAATTTTTTGAAATTAAAGTACTATACTTTCAATTTCAAATCCAAATACTACCACCTAGTACTACAATATCCAACCTCAACTGACGTCATAAGCAATATAATTGTAATAGAAAGTGTAAATGACGAGTAGCAACGGTATAACGTGCACAATGTAACAAACAATAGAGTCAGACAATATTGAAATGAGTAAAGCCAAAGAATACCAACAAGTCTGACTTTTATGAAAATGAGTCAAGTACAACCCCCAGGCTAGTTGGTCACAACTTTCGCAACCAAAAATTAAATTATATGGGAGGTTTCAAAAGTTCATAGACAATCTGGGAAGCGTTTCCTCAAATTTTGAAAAGGATGGAAAATTCTATGAAATCATATAAAAGAAAAAATTTATTAAAAATAGGGAAACCAGTCTGCACGGTGCAAAAAAAAACAAAAATATTGCACAGTGCAAAATTAAAAAAAAATTAAAAAATTTTAAAAAAATTAAAAAAGTGAAAGTTAAAAAATAAAATTTAAAAATAAAGTAAACGCAAACAAAAAAAAATTTTGACTTTTCCTCTCCCTCCCCTCCAATGTTCAAAAAATCAAAAGTAAATTGAACGTAGTCCCCCTGTTAACTTTTTTCAAAAAGAAATTTTTGAAAATAGAAAATTTTAAAATAGTTGTTTATAAAAACAAAAAACGATTTTTGTGACCTCTGACCTCACGTCAAGTTCAAAATTGACCAAATTAATCTTAAAAATCGGCCAAAAACCATTTTTTATCTTATTAAAATTCTGTAACCAACCTGAACTTAAAGTTGTATCTATTAGGTAGTTCAAATAATCCTGTGTCCCCACTCAAAGAAAATTTTCGGAGTTAAGGGGACAGAGTTATTTGAACAACCTAATAAAATGAAATAATCTAAAACTCATTTTAGCCCTAAAACAATATTTTCTAGTTCGTAGTAAGCCTTAAAACTTTAAAAGTAAGTCTTAGCTAAAGCCTAATACTAAAAAATCTAACACTCAAAAGAACCTTAAGTCCTAAAATTTCAATTGTGTATTGATACCTGTGATTCTAAATTTCGAAGTCAAACTAGCCCTACATTTTATACTAAAAAGTTTAAACCAATCCCAAAATCTAAGAATCAAACATATAAATCAGCCCTAGGATTCCAAGAACTAGAGCAAAATTGCGCAATATCTTGAACGACCTGGTGTTTATAAGTCAATAGCTTGGTTCTTTCTCACAGCTCTGACCGCATTTCCGATAACTCGGCCTCCCACCTCACGTCCAAGTGACGTGTTTACTCCTGTTTTCTTCTCTTTCCCTCCCTCAAACCCGTCTTTACCCACACTTTTCTAAGCGTATTAGACCATTCCCCCCATTCCGTCCCTTAAAAACCGTAGCTTCGCCTTCTGAAGGCTGGAATAGCTTGTACAGTTCCAATTACAACCCTTTGCTCGCATTATGTAAAACAGAAACGAACGTCGGAGCGAGGGACGAGGAAGGGAAGAGAGCAGAAAAAAAGCGAAAAAAGGGCTTTGGGCGCCCTCCGGCAATCACGTCACTTTCAATTTCGACACACATTTAATGCACGGGCAATGAATCCCCTCCTCGTGTTTACATTCGGCCGAAGGCTTTAACACCGCATTTGGTACATCAATATGTCATAAGTACGGAAGCGGCTTAATGTTTTCGAATTTTCATTAGTAATAGGGCAGATTAGGGGGTGCTATAGCTAGCTTTGGAGTTTTCAAGTTATGTGAAAAGTCTAAGAAGAGTTGCAGAGTAGAAGCTTAAGACAGTCTAGCAGCAGTTACAGAGTAATTTGTGGCTGTTTGCAGAAGTTACAGAGCAATATTTGGATAATACCATGAGCTACAGAACTATACAATACCATCTAATACGAAGTCATATCTGAGTAGTGCCTTAAAGACCAATACTCTTTGTATAGAACTATTTACACAGTAATATCATCATAATACCATTAGTTATAGGGTAATAGCTCAGTTCTAACAAGAATTACAGAGAAATTTCTTTTTTATCTTATTAGTTACAGAGTAATATCTTTGCCATACAATAAGTTACAGACCCAAAAATCATAGAAAGCCAAATATTAAATTAGCAAGATCATCGTCTACAGCAAAAACAAATAATTAGCCTGCAACATTATGCCAAACATCGGAAAATTCAAAAAAAAATGTCGTGTCTCAAGCCAAAAATGACCAAAACCCAAATATCAAAGCTTTTCTTATGACATAAACCATCATATACCTCATGTGTATCATAAGAAACACAGATTATAGTCCTATACAATAAAAAGATTATAGTCTAACATGAAACAAAATAGTATTACAATACGAAATCCCAATATAAACCTATATCAAAACCACAAATTAATATTACAATTAGAAACCCTACCACCGCCCATTGTCTCACACCTGCAACTACAATCCCCTAAAACTACAACATTTATTGAAGAGTAAGTGTAGGAGTATAGCACCTGACTACCTACTACAATATCGTAAAAACCACCTACTACAATACCGTTAATCAAGGCACAATATTGCCGAGTGAGGGTAAGTACAAAGCGCTTACAATTGTTAAACTACCGTACTTTCCCAACACGTAACATTCAATTTGCCAAATGCAAGTTGTTAACGGTTTAGCCAGAAAATTGCCATAAACAAAGCGAAAAATGGTCTGCAAGCTTAACATAAGGTGATGTTTAGTCAAAAATGCATTGTTGTTTTGAAGGAACGTCAATTCTGCACCACATTTTAGTAAATTGTACTATTTTTTACATAAAATATCGTTACGTAAGCTTTTATAAAAATTTGCACGGTGCAGTCTTTTTCAATCGCACCGTGCAGATTGTCCGAGAACTTTTATGCCAAAAAAATAACATTTAAATTTTGCTTTTTCATTAGCAATTACTAAACTTAAAATTTTTTCTAGTCATAATAAACAAAATAACAATTTTTAATTTTTTTAAAACTTGCACTGTGCAGTGGCCTTGGGCGCTTGGCGACAGCCAAAATAAATAAAATAAAAATTTTTATCTCTTGACAATTGTAATCTTATACTGAAAATTCTCGGTATGACAAAGAAAGACCAGTTTGGATCGCAAAACACCTCAAATTGCCACTATCTTGACGTTATCAATGTTTATCAACGTTAAAGTTTACTAACAACGAGCCATTTAATTGACAAACGTCATTTCATGACTAATCAGCCATTTGCATGTGATTTCCAAACGTTTCGATTTGAAAATCCGATTGGTGCGAAAAACCGTTTGTCGAGATCACAAAAAAAAACCATTCAAGACGACTCGAATGTTTACGCGGATCGGCCTTGAGGCTATGAAACGAATCAAAATAATCTCGAACACAAGCAAACCCGGTGCGACACCCGACCCAACTCGAGGCCCGACTTGACCCACGCGCCAAAAAAGGTTTCAATTATTAGGGTTTTTTCGGAGAGAAATTTCCAAAGTCTCATATACAAGAAGCTAGACGACGACGATGCCTCGCAAAGTCGCTAAAAGACGCCGTTCCACCATTGCTCCAGGATCTCCGAGTAGCGGCGAAAACACTCGAAAAGGTAGGTTTTTAAAATTTCGAAAAATTTTGATGAAAAACAGCCTAGAATAGGGTAAAATTTGTTGTTTTGTTTATTTCATAAAGTTTAATAGGTAGTTTTCAAGGTTACGCGAAGTTATGGTGTTTTTTTGACGAAAATTACGGTTTTTAGGTAATATTACGGAACTTTAGGTAGATGTCAAAAGAGACTTTGTAAAAGTTTAGGTCTCTTTTGGGTTTTAAGGAAGCATTAGCATCTTTCTCTTAATGTTTTTGCTTAAAAGCTATGATTTTTTTGTTTTAATTTGAGATTTTATAGCGTATTTTGTTTAATATTTTCATTTCAGTTGTAAGAAGGCAAAAGTTTCACCTGAATCAGGACGATTTCATACAAAAGGAGTTGGCCGATCGCTGTTTGACCTGTGGCGAAGGTGAACAACTCGGACATCCAGGAAGGAATCAAACACGAAAACCTAGAGCTGTAGATACATTTGACGATGCTGATAGGTTTGTGGATGCATGTGCTGGTGGAGTGCATTCCTTGCTATTGGCATCAGATGGCCGTGTATTCAGTTGTGGAGTCAACGAGAAAGGAACCGTACCTGTTACAGGACTAGAAGCTGAAGGAATAACCGATGAATTCACGGAGATCACATTTACTGAAGATATCAAGGCTCACGGAAAGGTATGTTGGTTTGTTATGTCGTTGATGATGTTTAGGTATTGATGAAGGTGTTTGAAAGATTTTGGAGGTGTTAAATAAGGGTTTTAGATAAATAATAGAAGCATAAGATGGACAAATGATATTTTACGTTATGATCTTGTTAATATTTTCAAAATTGTGGGGAAAATCGACCTTTGTGTTGTTTAGGAAGCTATGGAATAATATAACTTTTCTGATTATTTTTTATATTTTAATGTTCTTATTAGTTTTTCAACAGTTAAATGGAGTTAGAAATATGTTTTAGCTATCTAATCATACTATTTTTGGGTTTTTAAATTGTACTTTTCACTCGATTTACCGTTATGTTGTTTTAGATGGTGCAAATAACAGCAGGCGCCAGTTTCTGTGCAGCTTTAACCGACAAAGGCAGTGTTGTGGCATGGGGAAATCTAAGAGATAGTCAAGGAGATGTCACAGTGCACACACAGCTCAGTCAAATGCAGAAGGGACCCGTGGTTATTGTTCAACATTCAAAAATTGTTATTGTTAAGATTGCGGCTGGAGAGAATCACTTGGCCATGTTGTCGAGTGAAGGAGAACTACTGACTTTTGGAGAGGGATCAATGGGACAGTTGGGACGATTGGCTAGATCAAATCACATCAGGTCAAGTAGGTTTTGTTCTTTTATTTTGAGGTTTAGAAGGATGTTTGTTAAGATTAAGGTAGTTTTACTTTTGTTACTTTTAAACTAACTTCTTTTGGTCTTTTTGCGTTGAAAGTCACTGTTTTAGGTATTCATAACCTTATTTTATGTACTGATTTTAGATATTTTTTAACTTAAAATTTATATTGTTGTAGATTACATGGCCGATGACTCGGGCAAACACTTAAAACTAAACGTGTTGGAGAACGGAAAACTTGTGAAATTTTCGAACGTGTTTGCGGGCGGCTTTTGGACGATTGCGAGCGCTGAGGATGGGCGACTATTCGCTTGTGGTCTGAATAACTACGCACAGTTGGGACTGCCATTACCTACAACAGAAGAGACCACTCATCCGTCGGATACAGAGCAGATGGAAACAGACGAGAAAGACTATCGTATTACTCGACTTACACATGTTAAAGCATTCAACTCGGACCACAAGTGGACACACATCGGTGGAGTTCAGCATCTGGTTCTGCGGAATGATCAAGGTAAAGGATTGAGGTTGTAAAGCTTTTTGAAAAAAAATATGGCTTGTTTTAATTTATTTACCTGTGGACCGATTTTTCAAAATTTTTTTTTTCGTTTTTCCGCGTATAGGTACCTACCTGTGGATTTTTTTCGGATCGGCTGGGGGGGGAGTCACCCCGAACCACCCCCCAAACGACGTCCCTGGTTGTAGATAATATACTAATTTTTGTCTTATTTTAGGCGGAGTATATGCTATCGGCAAGAACACAGACAATATATTGGGCCTGGGCACATGGAAAGGCCGCGACGATACAGAAAACTGGCGTTACGATAGATTAGAGAAGGTTAACTTCCCAGATGGCGTAAAGATTGCTGGAGTCAACGCATCGTTGGCTTGCACGATCGCATGGACAGTCGACGGTAATATAATTCGATTCAATTTTTATATTCTGTATATTCTTTGTTTTTGTAACTGTCAATGTAAAATAGTGAATTACGATTTTGTTACTATTAGAATTGTTTTTTACGTCTTATATTACTACTTTTTATATCTAAAATCATCTGTTTATACCTAAAATAATATGTTTCAGGCGAAGCTTACGCCTTTGGCTTCGACAGCGCCGGACAACTTGGCCTCGGCATCAAGGACGATGACGAAAAAATTGTGCCAACGCCGAAGAAAGTACAGTCCGCCCATCTGGACGATTACAAAGTCTTGGCCGTTTCAGTGGCCGATCAGCACGCCGTCTACTTGGCTCAACATAAATGAAGAAGATAATGAAATGAAATGCAGTTGTTTCCATATTAGTTATTGTTATTAGTTCATCAATTTACTCACTCTTTCATATTAAATGTTTCTGTTAAGATGGAATTTTAATTGCATTCTGAAGTAAATTACTAACAATGTTATTGTTGTCGTTGGAGGAGGGGCGAGGTTGGAATTGGGGGATTTTTAAGAGTAATATGTGCTCTATAATTAACTTGTTGTTGTAAAGAAAGATAAATACTACAAGTTAATGAAAGTGTAACAGGTGATGTTACGCAGGGCTAAGTGACGGAGTAGAGATAGATGTGGGGGCGGGTTGCTGTACCGGGCGTACCAGCACTGTGATTCTTCTCTTTTCGACAGCCAAATTTCATTCTGCTTATTATCAAGTTTATTATATTTACATACAAAACATGAGGCAACAACAACATAAGTACACTGTAAAAAGTAATGAGTAGCATTTTCAAGTTCAATGTTATACATAAAGAACAACAAAAGACGTGAGTTACCTATTGCTTGGCTAAAATATGTTGAATTATGTGCTAGTGTGAAGTTTAGGTGAAGGCTGTTGATTCTCAAGCACTGTAAGGCTCAATATAAGATTGAATTAAGGCGGTCTAACACTGTAAGACTCACAATACATCACTATTTGTAGTAAGATCTTATGTTTATATGAACTCTATTTGTAGTGGTTTTACTGTTAACAGTGTTATACCAAGTGTGGATATTAGAAAGAAAGGAACAACGTTAAATTTTATTAAAGAACTACAGTTGAAAGGTTAAAAAGTAACAAAATATATTGAAAAATTACAGTAGATCGCTTCTAATTAGTAACTTATATACAAAAAAAGCTCTAATTATTGGTTAAAATTATTGTGCAGATAAAGAAAAACAGTTAAAGATTACTGAACATATTAAATAAAGACTACGATGATGACATACTAACTAATCCTATCAATTTGAAATCCTTCAAGAGATATTCAGGAAGATTTGGGATTATGTATGTTATGAAAGAAGCTAAAGATACTAACGAATAGCCAGTGTGCTTAGAACGAGTCTGTTTTGCTTTGAGATAACAAAGTGAAACAAAGTTGAGGTCGTTTCTGTCGATTAAAGGCACGAAAATGGGGGAGGACCGAGACCAGCTGGCCCTGAGTCTTGAAGCTAATGTAAAGTATGAAGACGATAGACTTTTGTTGAGAAGGCTGTTTTGAGTATAATGGTATAGTAAGACTGGTTCCGACTATATAGTACCACAGACTTATGCACTTTCCTACTACATACGGTATAGCACTACATAGTGCTCTAAACCTTTCTATACCTTAAAAGATGTAGTTCATCTCGACTTTTCGAAACCAGCTACACCTTTCAGATCCGATTATAGCGTCCTGGAGTTAGCGGTGAGGTTTTGTGATGACGGACCAGTACCTTGCTGATGTTGCTCTTCTCTGTCGTCGGATCGTAACGAATCGGGCTACTGAGCGTTTTTCGCGGCCGAAGCGCGTATTTTGCGTTCCCTGGACTGGACGTGTACGGAGACGGGCGTGCACTGAAAATTTTAAAAATATTTTACATTTTTTCGTATTTTACTGTCTTATGTTGTCTAACAGGCCTATCGTTTTCTTTGGCTAAAATGGCATGGAATTTTATAGTTTGTTGGTACAAAAGATACTGGTCTGTTCAAATAATTACGTGCCCACTCTCAAAGCAAATTTTCAAGACTAGGAGGCACAGAATTATTTGAAGGACCTGATATTAAAATGATTTATTTTTTAGTAAAAGAAGAACTTCAAAAACACATTTTGTTAACAAATCATCTCTTTCTTCCCTATTTTTAAATTTTTTTAAATGTAAAATACGTTTTAGTCTTAAAACCTTTGTTATTTTAATCGACAAACTCAAAATTAAAGCTTTTTTTTCAATTCAGCAATAGCTATGTTAACATACCTTTTAATGGTGGTGATCCGAGGCGAGGAGCTTTTGTAGTGCGTGGTTGCCACAATAACCTTGGAGATCTGAAGAAAAACATTGTCCATACTTTTAGCCAACAATATTTATTTAACAACAATATTTACACATCAACCACAATACATACTATTGTACATGTTATACTTGTATATATATGTTATATAATCATATATTTTTATGTATACATGATATGTATATATATTATATAAATTATATACTTTATTATTTACATGATAGGTGGTATTTGGGATATTTGAAGGTACAGTGCTACTTGTTAAAAGTTTTTTAGTAAATAGAAAGTATAAGAAAAGTCAAGCTGACATGGGATATATTAGGTTGTTCAAATAATTCTGAGCCCCTTCTCAAAACAAAGTTGCGAAGTTAGAGAGCACACAATTATTTCAATAACCTAATAACAAAAAAGTAAAGTCGGTTTTAGTAGGTGTCGCACTGAATGGTACTTTACCTTCCAGTAGTTTTGCCACTTAACTTGACGTCACCTCCCGCCTTGACCTGAATTTCTACCCCAAAACATTTTTACTATCAACCACTACACCACCAACACCAAAACTATACTTTTCACAACCACAATTCGTCATAACGCTTCAATCATACCAAATACCACCATCACAATATGCAAAAAAAACTACTGTAGATTACTGTAAACGTGCAAAAACAACAACAATCGAAAATGAAAAGTGTGTGTTAGGAAATTTTTGGGGGGTTATATAGAGTGTGTGCTGAATGTGGAGTGTGTTAGAGAATGTGGCATTTGGTGTGCGGGGAGGGCACAATCACCGCCCGACCATCCACAACATTACCATCACCAGGAACGTTAACAACGCGCCGCTAAAGCCAAAAATAACCCCACAACATTCAAGAAATGAACATACAGCCAGCTTAAGCCTACGACACGGTACACAACATATATTATTGGTTGAAGGCGGTCAAAAAGCTTTGGGAAAAGTTGCGCCGTGCAGTTTATGTTATAGTTAAATCAGGGGTAACTATTACCACACAAGTACATTTATATACACTTTTTGAGCAATATTAAACTATTTTATTAGTTTATAGACCTAAAAAGTTTTAAAAAACTTTACTTATACTAAAAATGGCATTTTTTGTCTTTGCACAGTGCAAGATATCCAAAAACACTGGGCCCGACTTATGATACCATAAACAGCGTTACGTGGTAACATATCTGTAGTATAGTCACCAAAACACAAAACTATTTATCTTAGGTCGTTCAAATAATTATGTGCCCCTCTCAAAGCACATTTCTGGTCAGGGGCACATAATTATTTGAAAAACTTAATATTTTAAGCCTTTGGACTGCCTGTACAACAGACATGTTACAAAGCGACTTGGTGCATAAAATTACAGTGTCCACAGCGCAATAACTACTATAACATATCAGGTGCCAATTTTTTTTCAAAAATCGTAATCTTCTGTTGAAGATCTTCAAACTTAAAAATGACACTAATTTTTGACCCAAAAAAATCAAAACAGTACGAGATGTTACAGTAGTATGTGATTCTAACCAAGCATACAATTAGTCGACTTACCGGCATTCTGAAGCTGAGCGAATTCTTCTTGTAGGGATCTGGAGGCGATCGTGGCGATGTGGACAACTTTAGCTGTTTAATCGGGGTTGTGGCACTGGGTAGCTGATAAGAACCGGCTGATGTTGGGCTGATAAAGGCGTCTGATGGCTTGGATACAACACGCTGAGATCGGAGTTTCATTTCGTTCAAACGATCACCTTGACTTTGACCTTTATCATTGATTTCGGTCTAAAAATAAGTTTATAATGACACTTTGAAGATTTTTACAATTGAAAAGTTCATAGACTTTAAAACGACCATCTCTTCAGATGTCAAGAATAGCATATTCATAAAAAATTGCCATAAAAACCTTGTTTGTTACCTAAAATTCAAAAAAAATCTCAAAAACACCCATACCTCATCAATATTGCCATTGTTAACATTCCCAATACTCGTTTTAGGGACCGGCTTCGCGTCCAGCGATATCTCCACGGCATTCGCGTTCTTCTCGTCCTCTGTTTTAGCCGGAACTCTCAATGGAGACTTGTGTTTGCCCTGTGTACTACCTTGTTTCCAGCACCATGACTGCCGATCGATTAGGAATTGTTGTTGCGGGCCAATAACTGATCCGGGCCTGCATATCCTCAACCATGCCATACATTGTGGAGCGGTCATTTTGCAGTGTTTCATCATCCAACAGGCAATCAAGGTTCCGGTTCGGCCGAGACCGGCTTTGCAGTGGATTGCAACGGCACCTTTGGCATTGTCCACGATTTCCAGGAACTTGTGGACAATTTCTTGAGTTGGTGTGGAACCATCGATGAAGAAGAGGTCACGATGGTCGAATCCTGCTTCAATGAATCTGCAATTTGAAGATTATAACCTGGGTTTTCAATGTTTTAATCATCATGGGGACCAATTTGAATATTTTTAGTAGAGAGATAACACTTTTTAACAACTATGCTGATTATACCTAAACAATAAAATCACGATATGTTTTTAAAAACTTACCGTTTCCTATCGTATAGCTTTGTATTCAGCCGTACAATCGTCGAAACTCCATTGGCTCGGAAGTAATCAAAGTATACTTCAGGTGCGTGATATGGATAACCTAAAAGCAGAAATTTATTATCATTATTATAGAAAGCCCAAATAACATTGATTGTCAGAATACAAGTTATCAAAAAACCACGTCATAAAGCAATATTAAAGTGTATAGAGTAGAAATAAGATAAAGAAGTTATACCAGAAGACAGACAATTTATATCATCCCTACCATTATGAATGTATGACCGATCGTGTGGGCCGCAGAAGCTAAGAATCTTGCCCGGAATGATCCAGTTCAAGTCACCGTTCTCAACTCTTTCGTAGTATTCGTACTCTTCTGCATCGAAGTTGTCAAAGTCAAGCCATTTGTACTTTAAAGCCTTTTCCACAGCTTTGATGGTATGTTGTAGATGAAGAAGGTAGCTGGGCTCTCCCAATGCTGCATCAATGTAGCCGATGAAGGCTGGAGGCTCGGCACGCTGAACTCGAAGATAGGCTTGGTCCGCTGAGATTTTGTGGTAGATCACCTAAAACGAATTAGAATGGTTCAACGTATTTTACAATACCAAATTTTGTTGAAATTGTTGATTTTAAGAAATTTTACATAATTACATTGACTAAAAATTAAAAAAGATAATAAAATAACATACCATGTAGCTTGCCACCAAAAAAGCAGCGTTAACTCGGTTACAGTCATTTGAATCGCTGCAAATTACCACTCGTCGCTTGGGGTTTTCCTGAAATGTTAAAAATATTAAGTATAAAAATTACTATGGCATTATAGTTTTCATTCAAATGTCAAATAACTCTATAAAAATTGTTTTAATTTTATAAAACAACTTACTTTTAATAGATTATCAATAAACAAGCAAGCTTTGTAGAGTTCGGCCAGGTTAATTGGGCCAAAGTCCGAGTAGAAGGGATGGTACGTGACTAGTTCATCAATCCTCGCATGCACTGTATGTTCGTCGTTCTTCGGAACTTCATGAAACGAGCCGAAGAAGAGGCGATTCTGAATGATCTGTGCGACATGGCCGTAGGGCCGCCCGGCCGTCGACGTTAAGGTCATGTTGGCCAACTGTGCGGTGAGTGGCGGCGTTACGAGCGGTTGGCGTGCGTCGTCCGTCTTGAGAGCATTAAGTGGAGGTCAGCAAGTGCCCCTGAATATTGTTCAGTTTATAGTATGATACGAAATAGCGGTCAGTTAATACAAATGTCGTTCATTTAATACTATGGGCTTTAGAGACCAGTTAATACAAAGAACACTAACGGTAGATTAATGCCACAGAAAGTAGCCTTCAATTAATACCACAGACAATCGAGCTCAAGTTATATTGCAGACACTAGAGGTCAGTTATTACCACGAGAGCTAGCGGTCAGTTAATACGACAAACGCTGAGCTGAAGAAAGCGCATTCATTTGAATAAATCGGTTCACAAGGCAACGGTTTTTTCTCACCGGAATCGCTCGTTCAACTCTATTAACTCGCAATTCCCGGCTCTCGACTAATATAACAATCGGACGCAGTTCGTTTCGCTCTCTCTCCCCCCTCTTACCACGCCGAATCAATGGTGGTAGGGCGGAGGGAACAAAATAGTGCGGTGGTTAGCGTAGGGTTTTACGGAGAAAAATAGGCTCGCGAGATACAAGCCCGTTCCTTCGTGAAAGCGCAGGCAACAAGGCACGTGCTTTTGAATCGAAAGCGGCCTGCGCCCTGCACATCGCGCAATTTTCGATTCAAGTCTCGACTTTAAGCGGGAATCGATAAGCTTTAATGCGAGACAGAAGGGCAGTCATTCAAAAAAAGTGTGTCGTTTGAATAATTTTCCGATTCATGTGTACAGAAACGATTTTTTAATGGAAAAGATTAACGTTAAACACAAGTTTTTTAAGGTTTTAATATTAGGGTTAAAAACCTTGATCTTTTTAATTTTACAGATTCAATACGAAGCAAAATAAAATGACCAAAAGACCATTGTTAACCACAACATAAAATTAACAACAACATAAAACATATGGCAGGCCCCAAAGTTTCATAAAATCCGTGTTATTAACACAAACATTCCTTTCTCTTTTCCCACCTGCAACAAAACACCTCAAAGACTGACGATTCCAAGAGGGATTCTTTTTAGATCACTAACAATGATGTCTTGTGACGTCGCTCTTTTCTCTTTCTCTCCCCCCTCAAGAAGCCAATTAGTGCTCAAACATTTGCCTCAGGCTTTTTTTTCATGAGCCTTGACTAATGTGACTTTCAGGTAACACAGGTGGTTTGACGCAAACACGTATTATTGTTTTAGAGACTTGAACTTTGATCAAAGTTGGTGTAGGTAACGATTGTGATAATGAAAGGTTAATGTAAATAACGAAAGTAATAAAGAAAGGTTATGCAAATTATAAGTTAAGAGGTGTATTAAAAGATTCTTGCGAGGCATATAATGTAAAATGACATGAATTGTATTCATAAGTAAAAAAATTGAAAAATATGGTTAACATATCCAATATTATCCTTAAACTAATCGTCATGGATAATATGAGGATGTTTTTAAAATAATACTATTTTAACTACAAAAATCAGAATGAACTTTAAACTCAAAGCGTTAAAAACGTATGGTAGACGGAAAAGGTCCAAACAATTTTCGAATAAAAATTGTTCGCGAGAGGAACATTTGACCAAAGAGTCGACTGTTCCTCTATAATATCGCTAAAAATGTTGTGCTAAAAGAAAGCTATAGATTTTATGTTCAAGTGCTTCTCATACGTTTAAACAAGCATTAATTATAGTTTTACAACATTTTTGTTACTCTGGGTTTCAGATTTTATGAGATTTTTATTATTTTGGATTAAAACAACCTGTTTTTGCTAATGTTGTTCACGTATTTTGCCTAGTATCTGTGTGCAAACCTATTTTAAATGCTTAAAAATGTTAATATAAGTCTATTTTATAGGCATTAAAATTTAGTTTTAAAAATCTTTTTTACGTCGGAAAAAGAAACGTTAAAAGAACTCTTACCATAGTTAACATGTAAGATTTTGGAGCACAATTTTTTCTTTAGTGTTTCTTATAACCGAAGGTTAATGTTGTAGAAAATATGGTTTATTTGCTATTATATAAGTTTAATAAAGCGTATATCTGTATGTAAAAATGGCCGTTAAACTAAAATTTTGTTATAAAAACCATAAAACGCTCGTGTTTCTTAGAACAAGAGCCTATTGTAACTCTACTTTTTGAAAATAACATTTAAATTCAGGAACTTGGAGCCGGATTCCGTATGAGTGTTTGATGGCACTTGGGAATCATGTGGCCGAGATTGCTCGACAAGGAATATGGGCCTCGTTGACGGGCGGGTGGTGCTACGAACCCTCACATTCGTTGTTCTGTAACACCGTACATCTCTACTTATGGAGCATTCTACTGCTTTTTCCCCTACTACTCGGGCTTTTCACTTCCGGTAACACCACATGGGTATTGTGCGTCATATATCTGGCATTCATTTTACTGTTATTTTCGTTGGTAAAGTTTGGCAATATTTATTTACATCGCTTGTTCGACAAAACCGAGCCGATGATTGCTATGAAGGATAAGAAGGCGGCAACATCGACCACATTCCGTAGTCCGGTGTCATCGTTTTCGACCACAAGAAGAGAGACGAGTAATATTGATGGTCATGCTGTGGAGATGGTTGAGATCGAGAGGAAGAGTAATACCGAAACGAAGCCTGATTCTACTCAAGTAAGTCGTTTCTTTGTGTTTTTCTTGGTTTAGTTAGAGTTTATGGATAGGGAAAGCAATTCTGTTGTGGCTAGGTCAAACGATTTATTATTTTCTGGGGGTGGTATTTGAAAAAGAGAAGGTGTCGGTACTATTATTTTTGATTTTTTGTGCAAAAGTCATATACGACATTTTATTTATTTAATAATAGCCCTAATATGCTTTTATACTGTTATTTTTTCAATTTTAACAGTATGTCATTTAAGGTAGAGCTGGTGTTTGAAGACGAGCAAAGTATAGCATCATTGGCATTTTCCGCTGGAAGCGGCGACAATTCTAGTAATGCTTTATTAGCAATCTCGAAGAAAGATCGACAAGGAATCCCATTGCCTACTGACAGTTTGGAACTCATTCCTATTCCGAAGACTAAAAGGTAACTAAAATAATCTTAACTATCATGATAGCTAACATTAATGCAAGTATAGCTAAAAACTAATAATACTCTTTAAAATATGATTTAAAGCTGTTAAAATAGTATTTATATTAGGACAGACTTTAAAATGAAACGCTTAAAGACGTTTTAATACCTAATTTTGGGTTTAACATACAGAAAAGTTGTCAGTTATACTTATTTAATACCTAAAAAATAAACAATTTAAAGCTATACAATGCCTAAAATACCAATTTTCAGTGACTTATTGAGACAAAGAAGCTTTACAAGTGCTCGAAAAATGAGTGAACCAAACTTTGGCCGTCTGATCCGACGTAGCGATCGTATGTTAGCTGATTCAGGACGGCGGATCCGAAGAGCACGTTCAAGCAGTGATACTCAACGTGACATGCGCCGCAGTTATAACGGCGAGCTGACCGTTAGTAACGTTCATTTTGGCAATTCAAATTTGAAGAAGAATGAGCTTCAGTTGGCACAGAATAACTACTCGAGTTGCGAAGGTAAGACCTACTATAATATAATATTAAAATGCAGTTTAAAAAATTGGGAAAAATTAAATTTAAAATAAAAAATGATGTCAAAATTTAGAAAACGAGCCATGTTGTTCCAAGTACATTGATAACGAGCCTTCTACTTCAACAAAACGTCCAGACAAAGCACTAGCCGTCATTCCAAGCACAGCTTTACATCGTACGTTGGAAAGAATAGGTAATGAGAACCTACCTCAACTTCGAACTGACAGAGAAGGCGATCTCAAGATGCAAATCACTAAATTCTTGGAAGAACTGATTGATAAGCATCCAGAGACATTGGATGCTATTGAAAATGTCAGAATGAGTCGATTGAGCAAACAAGACATACCTGAATACAAAGTTCATGAGCCTGATGATCTGAATTCAAATGAAAACCCCTCGGCTTTACAGTTAGGCTTACGACAAGGCACTCATGTAGCTTATGATCATGAAGACACCACAGAAGGGGCGTTACATTCATTTCAAGATGAACATGGCAATTGGTGGACCTATGCCTTCGATGAACAAGGTAGTGGAACTGCTCAAGCTCTTGGGTCTAGTACAGCTATTGCCGAGTTGTTTGATCGTCGTCGTGAGAAAAATCACGATGGTGAAGAGAAACGCCACGTCAAGCGGTTGCCGAAGCTGCAGCGTTCCGAAGACGATCATGAGTTCTCGTACAAATCGACTGGTCGATTAAGCGATGCCAGACCAATCGAAGTCCACAAGCCTAAAGATCATCGACGAAGCCTATCGCTGGGACCTCGTGATTCTGTTTTGGTGTCTTCTAACGCATCGTACACAGAATTGGAGAACTTTTCAGTCGGATCCTCAGGTCAGAAGCCTCATGAAGACGACAGTGACAGTGATAAATGCATATTAGACCACCCGACCAGTGTATTCCACCCAGCCGGGCCCAGTCATGCTGCTGATTATGGGTCACGAGGTGAGAGGATAAACAATGTTGATACTACCAACAATAACAATCGACCGTTCATATCATTTGTTAATCTAGCCTCACGGTTATACAACAACCAAATTCAACGTAACTCACCAGGTAATCGCGAGCGAGCCTCCATCAACTCTTCATCTACGACACATTGGAATGTGCCCTACAACTTCCATACCAATATGTCACATCAGTCACGAATGGCACTAGAAGCGTTCGCTTTGGAGAGTCGACGAAGACTACAAGTAGATGCTGGAGAGAGAATGCAATGGCAAGATTATATGCGTTTAGACAACGAAGTCATCGTCATGGACAACATGAGCAACAACAGCAGACGTCAGTCCACCAACTTCACTCAACCTCGTGCCAAGTCTCAACGACCAGCTCCGACCAAGCTCAACTACTACTACCGACTACGACTCTTTCCTAAATGGGTACCATTTTACGATCCGAATGGCGTTAAACTAAAGTTAAACCGGCTGGCATTAACAGCGTTATTCGATAGAAATCGATCGATGACATCCTGTTTCTTTGATATCTCTATAAGTGCTATGGTAACCTTGATGGCGGCGATAGTAATCCATCGTGGCATCTACTCTGACATCTGCACCTTCTTCTTCGCCTTCGTAGTAGCCAGTTCCCAGTTCTCACTTCTGAAGAGTGTTCAGCCAGATGCCTCGTCTCCAATACATGGCTTCAACTGGCTAGTCAGCTACTCTCGCCCCATCTACTTCTGCCTCTCCTGCACCATCTTACTCTTCTTCGAATGGCAACTCAACGTCATGAATTCTGTATTCGCTTCACCGTCCCGAATCCACCGTGTCGGTCTTCAATGGAATCCTAAACTTGCGGCCGAATTCACGGTAGAAGCCATTCTTGTCATCGTGCGCGACTTCATGGCTACATTAATATTGTTTCTGCCAATCATGTTTACTTTCGGCTTGTTACCACAAGTAAATACCTTGGTAATGCATGTTATGGAGCAGATCGAGATGAATCTCTTCGGAGGAACGGCCGCTTTTTCCATGAAATCATCGTTAGTATCCGTGGGAAGGTCGATTGTTACAGTAGCTGGTCTAACCGGACTAGGAATCTGGATCAATTACATGGAGCCAAACTCAACACAGAACCTGTACTTTAGTATTTTTGTAGCGTTCGTATCATCGTTCTCGTACCTAGCTTCACGATGGTCGAACAACCCACTGTTCTACCAAATGTTCTGGGAGAAGTGTTGTTTATGTTGGCAGAACGGAGTCTTCTGTAAGTCAGAAGAGACATCGGCCGACGAATCTCGAGTCACTTATCGACCGAAAGACGTTGACAGCGCCGTTTTCATGGAGTTGAAGGCCAAAAAGAGCACAACTTCACAAGATCCACCCCCAAGCACTATTGATCCCCTACCCGATCAAATCAGACGCACATTGGTATTACGAAGCCAGCACGATGGCTTTGTCTTCATCCTCAACAGTTGTCTACTGTTTGCTTTACATGCCACATCAGTATTTACTGTAGCTCAACCTCACTTCCAAACCATATGTTGTTGTTTATGTACGGTGATCGGGATTCTGAATCACTACATCTATCATCAGATGAGATCCCACACTCCGTGGAAGCTATTCTCTCGACCGCTGCTCAAATCATTTGAATATAATCAGTTCGAAACCACGGTACAAGCACGCTTAATGATATTCGAACGTGCTCACGTTTGGCTACAAACACTCGAAAAGTACCTACTGTATCCTCTGACCATAATCAGCTTCTTGACCACGGAGCAATGGATATGCAACTCAATATTCATCACATCATTGGTGGCGTTCCGACTCTTCCGACAAGCATATTCTACTCCACAAGTACTGTACATACCATTCACGGCTGCTTTTATAATAACTTTGAGCAACTTCGGGTCATTCACTGGAAGTTACAGTAGTAATTATGGTACTGTCAATAATTTTAACAATGGAAAAATGAATCCTGGCGGCTCTGAATCCACTGCTGTAGATATAATGAATGGTAACTTTATATTCCAACAAGTGTTTCAAGGCAAACCATCGTTCCTCCTGCTGTTCTACTTACTGGCCTTGCTTTGGCCGAAAGTCGAAGAGCTATTGCTCAAGTTGAACTTCATTTTCGTCTACATTGCACCATGGCAGATATCTTGGGGTTCCGCCTTCCACGCCTTTGCTCAACCATTCGCCGTTCCTCACACTGGCTTCATCGCGGCTCAAGCTGTTGTGTCAAGTCTAATATCAGCCCCATTGAACCCAGTGCTAGGTTCTTCTCTCTTCCTGTTATCGTACTGTAGACCGGTAAGATTCTGGGAGCGTGATTACAATACGAAAAGGATGGACAACTCCAATCTAAGGTTGGTATCGCAACTCGATCGTGGCCCAATGATGGACGATTCAAGTCTGAATGCCATTTTCTACGAACACTTGACTCGATCGCTGCAGAAGTCATTGGCCGGCGACTTGGCCATGGGACGATGGGCGGCTTCGGTGGAGGCTGGGGATTGTTTTATACTTGTCAGCTTGTACTTGAGTTGCATGGTGCATATTATTGAAGTTGGAAATGGATTTGTGACGTTTCAAGTGAGGGGTTTGGAGTTCAGAGGCACTTATTGTCATCAGAGAGAAGCTGAAGCCATCAGTGAGGATTGGGCCGATGGTGGCGGATGTTGTTGTTGTGCTTTGGGAAGTGTGCCAGGCTTGTTGTCCTACAATAATGCTTGGGCGTTGAGGTAAGTTGAGTACAAGGACAGTGACAAAAAGATAATACTGTTAAAGATGTCATAACTTATAGACAGATTTTTGAAAATTTTAAAAAACTTCAATCATTCTAAAAATCATTCCTTCATCACTTCAGATGGCTAGCCTGGGAAGTGACCTCAAGTAAATACGTGATAGACGGCTACTCAATCACCGACAACTCGGCTGTTAATCTACTACAGGTTCACGAGCTCAGACGCCTATTAGTGACATTATACGTAAAATGTATAATTTACTTTGCAACTCGCTGTAAAGATCTACCTAATTGGCTAGCCAATCCAGTCATTTCCAAAGCGATGGACCTAATTCAGAACAATCCAAACTACGCGGATGGAGATCCAATGTTCTGCTCGGCTAATGATGAAGACTTTGACATTAGTTTGATGGCCATTTCGAAGCAAAAGTTCTTTGAAAAATACGAAAACTGGATTCATTTTTGCGCTGAAGAAAGGAAGAAACTTATGGGGTAAGTTTACGTGTTGGATATTGTTTTCTACGGTTTTTCATGTTAAAATTCTGTTAAAATGACTTTTTTTAGTCCCAAAAGTATAAAAAACAGTTTTTTCAATTTTAAAATATAAAATAATGACTGCCATTTTAGAAAACATGACTTAGAGACTTCAAAGATCAATGTGTTCTCGTTTGCATTGTCAATATTGGGAAGACGTGCTCTGGGAGCAGCTGCCTACAACCGACATGCAAATGCCGCTGAGTCTTTCTTGTACGGTCTTCATTCGTTGTTCAAGGGAGACATGAGGTAGGAATTGTGAGGTTAAAAAGTAAATGAATTGAACTTTGACGTAAAATATAAATAAAATGAAAGTGTTAACTTTAAAAAGTTTTTAAAATACAAAATTACCAAGTTTGTTACCTAATTGTTTGCATTCAAGCAAAAATATACTACCCTAGTACATTCCTAACAATGTAAAGCTAAAAGACATCAGCTGTATCAAGTTTGATGAAAAATTTAAGTCACACACTCAATATAGAAGTTCATTGTTACAGAGTAGCATCAGTGACGGACGAATGGGTCCTTGCCGACCCCGAAATCTTGGGTACGGTAATATCACCGGCTGTCAGGATGGCTCTAAAACTACATCAAGATCACTTTGCCGCTGTAGATGATTATGATGACTACGAAACATTCTATTGTCGCATACATCATTATCAAAGCCATATTTTTATATCTCATGAGGTAAGTGGGTTGAAAATGTTGACAACATTTTTTTAAAGATAACACACTTTTCACGGTCCGTATTTTACAAATGAATATTAAAAATAGTAAAATATGATTTTATAAGTTTTGGATAGATACAATATGTGTTTGTTTACCTTTCCATAATATGATCATGAATTTAAGCACGATCCCGCGTGGCGCCAAGCTATTATAGCTAACACACCATCGTTACTGGCTCTCAGACACATGTACGACGAAAGTCAAGATGATTACAAAGTTATTATGCTCAACAAAATGCACTTGAACATGAGGTATGCCTAGGGCTGCTTAAACTTCGTAAAAACAGATTTTTTCATTCAAAAACGTCAGATCATACCTATTATAATATGAAAAAGTAAAATAATTTTGTCTTGAAGACAATCTCTTATGCTACATTATTACCTAAAATAACCTTCATTTTCTGATTACACTTATTTCCAGGGTAATAAAACTAAACCGAGAATGTGTCCGAGCTTTTTGGTCAGGCCAACAACAAGAACTCATCTTCCTCCGAAACCGCAATCCAGAACGAGGATCCATCCAGAACGCAAGACAAGTCCTCCGAAACATGATCAACAGCTCAGCCGACCAACCAATCGGCTATCCCATTTACGTGTCACCATTAACAACATCATTCATCGAAACTCACACTCAGATTCCGGAGATCGTTGGAAGGCCAATCACCTTCTGCTCTATTGGCAGTCAAAGCACAAAACTGTTTGGCCGATTGAGAAAACATTTCGGAACATCCGGTTCATCCAATATTGCACAGACCACGACAAGACCTCAACAATCCACACAATCAACCCTATCACAACAACCACCAGAATACCCGTTATATCAAGTGAGTCCGGAATTCAGAAGGCGACGGAATAACGAAAAAGATTGGGCCGGCCAAGCTTCATCAACTCAAGCTGAAGGTTTGTCGGCCAATTTCAATCAGAATCGCATTATCAACTCGGCAGCGGCCTCGGAAAACGCTAAAAATGAAACTGAAGATGCCAAAATAGAATATATTTTAAAAGATAAGGTTGTGGAGCTGGTAGATTCTAACAGAGTAAGCCTTTTGCGCCTAGCTATAAACTATTATAAAAATGAAGAAAAAATGGCAAAACATATTGTTTTAGGTGTAAAACGGGCCTAAAACATATTGTTAACGTATTTTTAAGGTCCAAACATTATTATTAAGTAAAGCTGACATAAAAACAAATGTTTTAAACACCAAGCGAGCCTAAAAAGTACCGTTTTGGGCATCTTACACTCCCAAAAGCAGAATTTTCACATAAAAATCAACTTAGCGCTCGATTTGACGTCGATGTACTTAAAACTTTAGCCTAAAAACCAATTAAACATAAAAAATATTACCTAAACTTCCAGGTCCTGTCCCGTATGAATGAGTCTAGACTAGAAAGACGACTGGTCCGTTGGCCAAACGAAGAATTCCGCACCAAGGGCGGCAAAAGCGGCTGGCCAAGCGACTTTGAAGTGAAAGAAGGAATAAAAGGCATCGTTGTCCATGAATGGCATCCATACCATTCCAACCCTGAATTTAGGTCCCATTTGAACCAGGTTGTGTGCCTTGTAAGTCCTTCAAAACATAGTTAATATCCTTTTAAATTATATTATAATAAGCAAAAAAATCTGAAAATCGCTAAAATTTGAAATAGTTGTTTGATTTTTCAAGATACCTTCACGTCCCAATATGTTGTGATAGCTCCTGTAAAAAACAACCCAAGATATTTTAGGTTCGCGTACTAACCAAAGACGATCACGTCTTCATACCCGTCAGCCTTCCAGGCCTTCGAGAATACAAAGGAGATCGTATTCAAACCGAAACCAATCTCTAATAGATGATCTCTTGTAAATAGATGTAACATAATGTATAAATAACATAGAATTATAAAGTTTAACTTTTCCAACGGCTTTTCTTTGAGTCTTACCTAAAGCCGACGTATTTTACAAAAAATTAAAAATATTAACAAAATAAATTTTTAAAACAGCTCTGTACTTCCAATATATACTAATTTCTACTTACTTTTTGACCGAGCTTTACAGTTTCTTTAAATTTCCAGTTTTCCACAAATTTTTTCATTTTTCGTATAAAATGATGTTCAAATGCAGGCCGCAGCTCGGCAGAGTATTATTCCTCTCTCTTGAAGAACAGAGTTCCGTTTGATCCTTGAACAATGTCCGAGAGGATGCGTAGGTGGAATGGACGCAGGAAAATATCAGGTCGACTGTTTATGTATGCAAGAAATCCATTTATTTTGTTTTAGATATCAAATACTAATAAAACCTTATGATTTTGCGACGAAATCAGGTGAAATCTTTGAAATTTCATTGATTTTTTGCAGTTTTCGTTGCTTATCGTGTGGTGGGAGGCGCGCTGGCTGTTATACTTTTTCCCTCTTATCATGTGACTGTGTGAAATCGCTAATCTTATCAATAATTTTAGATATTCTCTCTGAAAACACATCCGTTTCCTACCTCTTGTGACAATCATGGGTATCTTGCCGCCTAATGATCCTCGCCAACCGCCTCAATTCCGGCGAATTGAAGATGCCGCTCATATTACATATGACGAGTAAGTTTCTTGGCATCATTTCTTGGTTTTTAGGATATGTTTGATCCCAAATGACCTTGATATAGGTAATCATGTTATGGTATGACTCTTCAAAAAATTATTTTTGAAGGTCATTTTTGAGTTTTTTAGAAAAAATTTGAAGTGATTGTTTAACAAATTAATTAGCAATGTTTCAGTTACACTTTTGAGGAGTCTGACGCTGAAGATGATGTTGTAGTAATCATTGAGCGTCCGGTCTCCGAGTCGGATTCGGATTCTGGACATCCGAATGAGTTTGGCGACCGTAATTCGCGAAGGAAGGCTAAGTACACGGCCAGAAAGGCGGTGCGCGAAGCTAGAAAGTCCATCAACTTGGGCCAAGGCGATGGGATCAATATTAAGAAGAACATGGGAGCTAGGAAATGGAGACGGCTGGAAAACGGTAAGAATTTTATATTATTTTTGGTTTTTAGGCGGGAATTAGTGATATTGTCCCGAATTTAGTTTATTTTTTTTGTTAAAACTGAAAAGGAAAATATTTTTTATTCACATTGAACCTTTAGCTCGGATTTTGGCTAGCTTCACCGATGCATCTGACATTTGTTATGATTGTTCTGATCTGGTTCCCGAGCATTTGTCCGCATTTGCTCGTATTTTACAAGACAAAGAATGCATGAAGGTACTTTATTAGAATTTTCAGGCTTTGTTTTAATAAAATGAAAATTCAGTTTAAAAACAAACTGTTTACCTTTTAAATCACTGACTATGGCACCAAAATGTGCTGTTTTGGCTTATAGAAAAGATTAAACTTATAGAAGATTAAACTATGTTTTTTAGGCCTGGAATGAATTTATCGAGAAGGACGAAGATGAGCAAAATGCATATCTGGCTGATTTGGAGAATGAGATTGGTCTCGAAGACTCGTTTGAACATCTGTCGCTGGATTCTGATGTTATGATTGACCGAGATTCAAGAAAGCGTAAGATATTTAAATTTTTGTAGATTTTGCGTTGAAATTTTGATAAAATGTGCATTTTCAGACTCAAAAAATATATTTTTGATGCAAAAATAAAATGATATACTATTTATCAAAAAATATTGTTTTAGACCACCCAGCTTATTCAACCAATTTGGCCTTCCAACAACTTGACCGTCGCTTCCGTAGCGCTTTGAGTAAACGTCACGTACCCCTCGACATGATCGAGTCTCTGGAAGCGATTCTACGCAAAACCTTTGTTCAAGACCCGGCTACAATCTGGACTGACACTTGTGATTCGTCGTTTAGAAGGTTTTACATCCATGCTGTCGCTCAATACCTGAAACTCAAATCGAAAAGCGGCCCGGGCCGAGGACGGATAAAGGAGACTCAAGTCTTCAACTCGTGCTCTTCGTTTACCCCGCCTGATGTCAAGTTGGCGTCGGTTATACGATCCGCTCGAAATGCCTCAAGACAAATCAGTTAAGGCTAGAATAAAATGAAAAGATTGTGAATTTGAATTGGATTTTTGAAGTTTTTTAAGGGAGATGTCGTTGTTTTACCTTTCGAATATAATGTCGAAGGTTTCTAGAGACACAATGATGTGATTAAGAGGTTGGAAGTTAATGCAGAGGATTTTTTTGTGTTAGTTTTGACGTGATTTAAGGGTAATTTGAAGGATTTTTGAAGGTTGTTTTGTTAATTTTTCGGTTTTTTTCCAAGGTTCTGTTTAGCAAAAAGGCTGTTAAGACACTTCAAACCTCTTCAAATGCAATAATCTTGTTAAAAACGTTAAATAAAGTAGTTTTAAGTAGACAAACTGAAGGTCTTTTTAGAAAAAACTTCCTTGTAGGAGCAAAAGGTTTATTTTTATTAGAGTTAATGTTAAAAATTGAAATTTAAGGTTTAACAATGTTTACTTGTGTTTGCTATATGATATAACAAGTATGACCTTCTAAAATAAACAACCATAATCAGTTATTTGAACAACCTACTATAACCTTCTGGTGACCTATAGCGCTTGTAAGCCCCCGTTGGTCTGGACCTCTTATGATAATGTAGTCAGCTACTCGTATCAAGCATCAGCTGTTTCGAGCAAAAATCAGTAATTGAGTTTATTGCAGTGTAAAGTGGTTCAGGTTGAAAGTGTCAGTTATTGCAGATCAATATTGTTCGGAGATTTCGATGAGTTCCTTCATTTCCTTTATCACCGTCTTTAGTTCAGAAGGCGAAATCTGGAAAAGTACTTAAAAGCTCAAATTTGAAATCGTATAGTATGAAAAATAGTGTAGAATCTCGAAAGAATTAAAAAAACCTATTTTACATTTTCTTCGTTTATACCTTCAAAAAGTTTTTTATTGAGTGCACCGTGCAAAAAATAGAGAATTCACTTTTTTCAAAATTTTAACATTTCAAATGGAAAAAAATACTTTACACTGTAAAATCAATAAGTTCGGCTTACATTTAGTTTTGTGCTCATTTGTAAAAGTAGCTTTTTGAGTCGAACTTGTCTGTCGCCCACAATTAGGTATCCGTCGATAGGAACATTCTTTTTCCGTCTCTAAAATTGGGTAATTTACGACACAACCAAAAAAGGTTATAAAATGTTTTACAACTACAATATTACTGCATAAAGGTTCAAATTCTTGGAATAATTTTCGTTAAATATCCATCCACCCTACTACTATGTACAATACACTGCTTAATTTTAAAAAATTTTTGAAAACTATTTTAAGTTTTATAAACTCAACGACAATATTATCCAAAACTCCTCAGAAATACACTCTTTTCTACCCAAGCTACTACGATATACCCAAAGATGACAAAACTCACCCTAAACATCCTCAAGTACCACTGTCCCATAACGGCAAAAAATGCCGATGTGCATATCGTGCCATATATTAGGAAGACAATCTTCAAAACAGCTCCAGAATTCGACCGAGATGTCACATAAATATCACCCAGACCTTAGATAACTAAATTAGGTAAGTTACACGCAAAAGAAAAGTGAAACAACTACAACATATTAAAAACTCACCAACCGTAGAGAAGCTGACAATGCTGAAATTGTTAGAAATTAGGCTTTTAAGGTTGATTTTTAAATTATTTGGCTGTTATAATACCCTAGGCTAGCTTAGCTTCCTACTCTACCCTATCTTACTATACTCTAACTTACGCTGCCCTGTCTTGTACTACCATACTCTACAGTATCAACTATCAGCTTACTCTGCACCATTGTCCTACTCTAATTTGCCTTAACCTTCTGTTACCCATACCTTGTTTTACCTAACCCATAACAAAATAATGTACTGTAGCGCTATAGTAAAGACAATTTTCTGGTATATAATACAACAGTAACTCACCAAAAGTACAAGTCCTCCAATGTAAAATGAAACCTCTTATCAAAGCACAATGCCTTGAACATAAACGACGATAATACCAATCCCACCGCGACACCAAATGGCAATCGTATCTCTCCTCGAAACCACACGTGTCGTACTCGTCGTACTGTATTATCCAGCAGCCAGTGCAACCTTGCAAATGTCTTTACTGTCGAATCCAAACATACCAAACACAACGGAATACCAAGTAGGCTGTATATTACACACAGTAGCCTACTGTCATCATTTGTTGGGTAAATGTTGCCATAACCAATCGTAGCTATGGCGGTGAAGGCGAATATGGATAGATTAGCAATCCCACTCTTAGCCATTTCATCGTCAGTATAGTAGAATAAGTGGGCGCCTAGGGTTATGTATAAGGCTAGAAGACTGTAAACAAAGATGAAAGGGAAGGTGATTCGTAGTAACTGAAATTACATGATTTAGTAAGATTAAAGTATGAGTATAAACACATTTTTATATTATAATAATTTGTTCAAATAATTTTGTGCACCTTCTTTAAGAAAATTTTTAAGGTTAGAAGCACAGAATCAGTTGAACAACTTAATATGTACTTAAACCTATAGCTATTCCTATGTTCCTACCTATCGTTATTTAAGTAAGTCATAGTACAGTCCATGTTATTACTGTTAAACCAACATTACACCAAAAATGATAAAAATGTCTGCACTTTTGTCTAAAAAACTACCTGAAGATGTTATTAATGACCCAACGCATACAACTATTTAACCCAGAAGCAATCTGTCATCATTTTCATATACCTGTTACATTTTAGTTGAAATCTCAAATAATTTTTCATTTTTTGATAAAAATGACATTTTTTAAACGACAATTTTTTAATTTTAAAATTATCATCAAAATTTCAATTTATATTTTTAAAAAATTTAAAAAAAGACAAAAATAGAGTTTGAAAAGATTATATTTCTGAAGAAAGTTCATTTTCAGAATGTTACAGTAATCAAATCTACAAATTTATTATTACAAAAGTGTTCGCTATAGTCTAAAGTCTATTTATGCAAATTTTCGTACATTTCTAACTTCTAGTTTAGTCATTAGAGCTCAATATATTGATGTAGCTACAAAAATTCTAAAACCAAAAAAAAATTTTAAATTCATTTTTTACAGTAATCCAATTTTAAAATTCTTATAAAAATAAATTTTTACTATAGCCCGAAGACCCTATACTTCCGATTTTAAATCGAAACCTCAACCTTATGTAACACATCTTTTAAAAATTCAACTTATAGTGGTATAACCCCTCCCTCAAGGCATCACATTACTCACCCGTTTGATCAATGTGTTTTCATTGGAAAAGTTTTGCTCCGCACCAAAGTCAAAGAATAACATTCAATCACAACAACAACCGTACTCTTTACAAAATGAAATTAAATGGAGGCAAAAGAGGCCATCTGAAGTTGGGGGTTTGGTCGCTTTGTCAGTCGCGTGCGACCTTCCCAAAACAAACTTGTAACACAGTAAAAGGAAGGAACTGACAAAACATCTAATAGCATTGTTAACTCGAGTATTAACTATAGCGTCACATACATGTAATGTAAATATATGTGACGCTACATTTACATTGTGACTAAATATATTCACCATGATCAGTCTTTACTCTTTTGGTGTTTTCTTTTTAAGAACACAAGTTACATGACGTATGTAGCATTGAAGAAATGTTACCCACGTGAAAACCTCTTTTTTATCATGAATTAACTTTGTCACAAACGAGTTTCTTTATAGGCAAAATAAGGTAAAGCACCAGAAAGCCTATTCTGATGTTATTTTAGGCAAGTTTTCGGCCGATTTTCGTCGAATCTCTTTGAAGAAAACCCTCAATACATCAAATACAAGAAAAATTACAACAAAACTATTTTAATTATGTTACATGTTGATTTACTTGTGTTTCTACTATTAAAAAGCGCTTCCCATTAGATTTTGATATTATTCTCAAAGGTTTTATTCTTATCCTCTTGTGGACAATATTTTGGGGCATTTTAAGTCAGTCTGCTTAAAAAAGGATACGAAAATAATTAAATAAGAGTAAAAATACATAAAATAGTAAACTTATTTTAGCTTTTCATATGTTTTTAGGTAACAAACGAATAAAACATTGTATTGAGGATGTTTTCTATGATTGAAAGGAATGTTCTTTATAAACTTTGTTGCCAAAGTCCAAAAACAAGTTTGAATTGCATAAACATTCTTGAAATTATTTGAAATGGCACTAACCTTCCATAAGATTTACAAAATAAACTAGAAAATAAAGAATATCCTCTATATAACATTTCATCCGTTTATTACCTAAAAATTTATAAAAAACATAAAAGAAACTTACCAGACTTGTCCCTTTTCCTTGTATTTAACCCGTTTAGTCACATATTCGAATAGATTCCTCAAAAAATTGCTAACACATTGTAAATCACAATAACGTTATAGATCACAATAAAGTTAATGAAAAAATATAGAAATCTGATCAAAAAAGCCTTTTAAAAATTGAAAAACAAGTAAAACATTAAATAATAGATAAGAATAAAATTAAACATACCTACATTATCCATATGAATTGAGAAGTTCATTTTAGGTTTACCTTTGCTTTTCTTTGGAAAATGGAAGAAAATTGCAATTTTTTGATATTATTGACACTTCGTGCACAATTTTTTGACATTCCGTCTTACAAGTATCATATAAACCTTTTGGAAAATCAAAAACAATACAAGTTTGGCTTTATTAAAAGTACAGTTATAGAATGACACAACACTTTTTCTTGCCTACAGGCACATTATTATCGACCGTTTCTTTTTCCGGCTTTTTTCCTTCGTCCGCCGACTTTTGGGCCGGCGTTGAAGCCGGCTTCGGATTTGGGTTTTTCTTCTTCACCTGAAAAAGGCAATTGAATTCACATTGTTTTTGCTACAAAGTAAACTTTACAACGTAAAAGTCGGAGTAAGTCATTAATAGAGTTGTAAAAAGCGATTTTTTGTTGTAATCGACTGGAAATAAAGTTTTGTCATAAAATTAGATGATATTGTTCTGGGTTTGTGTTCAGTTATGTATCTGGTAAGCAGATACATATAGATATACTGGTCTACTTATACATATACTTATGCCCTTACCGAGTCCAGTAACTCATCGACTTTAGGCCAGTCAGTTTCTTGATCACATGCTTTATGATAGAGTACATTACCATCAGTATCAAGCAGTATTACAACACCTTGTTGGCCAAATTCACCACAATCTTCATTTCCAACTTTTAGTTTGTCATCGGATGATATCTCGGCTAGCTGAAAAGGTTGTATTAGTCTTACTGTAAGTTGTATTAGTCTTACTGTAAAGTTACTGTAACATTAAAAGTTTTCGAAACTCAATGTTTTTTTAAAACTCAAGCCTAAATAAGAACCTAATTAAGCCTAAACAAAAAAGGCTTGGCTAATGCTGTAGCACATTGTCTGTGTTGTTTGAACACCCAGTGTTATTACAATGTAGAGGTTGGTAGCGGAGGCAGTAGTTCAAGAGCCGCGAGAAAAACAAAAAAAAACTGGAACCGGATTCAATAACTTTTCCCTCTTTTTGCGTTGTAAGGTAATGTATTCGTAATGGATGAGTTTGTTAATCCGCTTTTTGTAAAACTTGATTATGTGGTAATGGGGCAAGGACGGAAAGGAAAGGTACGGTAGTTTCGAAAGATAGGGGTCACTGTTTAAAAAATACAGTAAAATCAAAGTTTTAATAGTAGTGATGATTGGCTTTATAGACAGAAGGCCAAGGAGGAGGCGGTAGAGGAAAGGTGAGGGTAGGAGAAAGCAGGGTAGGGAAGGCTAGGGTAGAGTAGATGAAGGCAGGGCACAAAGGGCTAAGGTAAGGTAAGGTAGGGTAAGACAGAGATTTTTTTTTAAAAAAGCCAAAATTTGTTCTACCCCAGGCCTTTAAAAAGTCAGGGTCATTTTTTTTGGCTTGTTATACGAGCCTATTGAGCTTTCTTTAGGGTCTAGTCCACTTTGTTAATTTTTTTTTAAATTTAAAAAAATTTTAATAAAGGCCGTTTTTTACCCTCTCCCACACCCAGGTAAAAACCACCTGCCCGTCCATGATTGTTATCAAAAGGCTTTTTTAATAATGACGTTGCAGTACTGCAATATCGCTTTTACAACATAAAAAACTTTTTTTCAAATCCGCCCTCACCTTCTAATGATTTGTCAATTTACCCTATTCCCTTGTAAATATCCAAAAAAAATTGAAACAAAATTGAAAAAAAAATGTAGCTAGCTACCTGTTCAGTATTTTTGAGCCCCTACCTTAACATCAAACCGCTTCGTCTCATCTACCTCTTCCTTGTTTTTGTCCCCCTCACAGAACTGATGAATAGATTAATAATATTAACTTTAACAATTTTTTTTATCATTTATAATCGTGCCTTTGGCTACTACTAAGTTGTTCAAATAATTATGTGCCTGTTAACCTTGGAAATGTGCTAGAGAGCCACAGTTATTTGAGCACCTTAATTTATTATATGTTCAAGATGTTTAGACCACACTTTTAGCAACGTATTTTAAAAACTTTTATTGTTTTAGTCCTGATTTATTGTTTAGTATTACCTACATATATGCAACGTTTTTACCACTAAAAATCAACCTTTCAACTCCTATTCAATGATCACCTTGTTGAAATTTAAACAAATCGCAACTTAAAAAAGAAGCCTAAACAAATTTTGATTTTTCACTTGAAGCCTTTTGACTATTGTCGTTTAAGAGTATTATAACTTGAGTGCCTTTACCATCGTATTTCTGTCATATAAACGTGATATGTTACTTTCACTTCACTTTAATATTCTATACTTTTTTGACCAAAACTGGATTTTTTTCACGGTTAGTGGCGTTACGTAAGCTTTACAAAGCTGGGATTTAATTTTTTTTTACTTTTTGCACAGTGCGATTTTTTGAATTTTAATCACTGCACAGTGCAACACTAAAAACAATTTCTCTGCTATTAAAAAAATCTGCACGGTGCAGAATCGAAAAAAATGTGTTCTGCCATTTTATAATAGAGAAAAAAGTGAAATAAATCCAAAACGTCGTTTCCACAGCCCTACCCTTCATAAAAAATATAAATTTCAAAAAAAATTTTTTTTAAATTTTTTGGACTATCAAACTCTGCAAGGTGCAGAATTAAAAAAAATGTTTGTGCCATTTTATAATAGAAAAAAATGTAAAAATTTTAAAAAAGTCGTCTTCAAAGCTCGTATGTTTATAAAAATTTAAATTTTCGAAAAATTTTATTTTTATTTTCAAAATTTGTCGGACAATCATAATCTGCACGGTGCAATGAATTCGGGCGCATCCTGCGGTCATTCCGAGAACTTTTTGGATTGCGTCACAATTCGAAAACTGGTTTCTTAAGCAAATCAAACTCTTTTCCGGCATTACAACAAACACCCGTTTACTGCGTTTTATTTATTTTTTTAAACCATTGATGTTATTGTAGACTTTTGAGCTACAGTTTTAACTTTTGTATTTATAAATTATTAATTTTTTAAAATTTATTTGTTTAGATGTTAATTTTAGATTTTTAAAAATATATTTCGATTTTTTTTTGATTTTTTTTTGTTTTTAAAAATTGAAAAGTAAGCTTTTGTCTGCTTTTCCATTTGCACCGTGCAATTTTTAACAATAAAATGACCGTTTCGACAATTAATAATAAAAAATTTAAAATTTTGGATTGTAAAGAAAACTTTGTAAAATGGCTTTTTTGAAAACTTTAGTAAAAGTAGTCCGACTGTTCAGACGTTGCGATTTTTTGAATTTTAATAACTGCACTGTGCAACCTTTTAGATAAGGGTAGGACAAGGTTAGAGGTTGAGGAAAAAGCGCTAAAACTAAAAATAAAACTTGAGCTAGGCCTAGAATTTAGGCTAGAAATAGAGCTTAGGCTAGGGTTAAAGTAAAAGTCAGAGTTCTGGGCTAAGGCTCTGGTATAAGGCTCTGGGCTAGGGTAAGGCTATGGGTTATGGCTAAGGCTCTGGGCAAGCAATTTTAATAATTTTTATAAAAAAACCATTTTATGATAATTTTAAGTTTTTTTTCAAATTAGTTTTTGCCCCAAAAATTTAAAATTCAGTTTCCGAGCCAAACATCACATGCTATGTCCACATATACGTTACGTATGACTTGATACTAATAAAAGTGCACTTTGAAAGTTTAAAACAATTAAAGTGACCAATTGAACCATGTTTTATGATAAATTAATGCCCGGCGGGTTGGAAAACATGGCAAAAAACGAAAAGCTCGAGAGTTTTATTACTTTGGTTATGTCATACGAAACGTATATGAGTTATGTTATAGTAGAGTTACTATACGATTTTGAGGTTTTGCAGGGATTGTTATCTGGCTATCTTATATATTACTTTATATATATTTAAGAATGGCATTAAAAAAAATTTTTATTTTTTTTTTGAAGTTTTACTAAACTGCACAGTGCACGTTAAAATAGTTGTTTGAATTTCAGAAAGTCAAAATAAGTAAAAAAAGAATTGTAATCAAAGTACAAAAAGTCAACTACATTACTTTTTAAAACTTCAGTAAAAAAGTAATAAAGACTGCTTGATTCGCTCATAAATCCAAAAAATTACACTGTAATACGTTGAAAAGTAATTTACTCGAAAGTTCGTTTTATTGTCTCAAAGAATAATAAATTTGATGTTATTACAAGTTAAGGTAAGGTAGGATAGGGTAGGGAAAGATAGGGTAGGGTAGGGAAGGGTAGAGATTTTTTTGAATTCAGTTTTTAAATTTAAAACTTTTCATAAACGTTGTTGAACTTATTTCTAGCCCTAGCTCAAACTATTGCTTTAGCTTCACCGTTGGCTTTAGCCGTTAGACTTGAGTTAAGCCTTTGTCCTAACCTTAAAATCTTTTTTTTTCATTATAAAAAAGTTTTATCAGCTAATTTGAGAAGAAACAGTTAAAAGTTTTATTCTTGATTATATAGAACTAGCTACCTATTAGCAACTCAATTACTTTTTGATGAACGTCTATCGTATAAAATGTTTAAAAACATGCTTAAATTGCAACTAAAAGTGCATTTAAAAGCACAGTAATTAATCTTCAAATTGGATTTTTAACTTGTAGTCTACTAAAGTTGCTATTACATATATCTAAAGGGTATTTATAGGTTAGTTAGTCAAAAAGTTTTGAGAGAAACATTGGACTTTACGTTTTGGAAGGCTCGAGAGTTTTTTTTTCGTATTTTACATAAAAAACATACCAAATGAATCGCCTTTTTACCAGATATTGAGATGGCAGACTGACGGTGCTGTATGATTCTAGCCAAACTCTGCTCTTCGTCTAATAATAGTCGAAATGGCACTCCGACCAGTTTTAGAAAACCTCCGCCTTCTGAAAAATGTAAATATATAGTGGAAATAGACCTAAACAAGAATATACTAGGTCCACGCTCGACCGAAACAAATTTTAAGGTTGTTGGGCCAAGTTGACTCAGGTGAGCTTGAAAGCCGGGCCCCAAAACCAAGGCACGGTCCGTGGACCAGGCAGAAATATTGGACCCTACTCGGTTATTTTATCCATGTTTTTTGACATCGTATTTTACATTTTTTAGATTGTACCTTGTTAGTTTATTGCAAAACTATATTTTCTTATTGCTATAACAAAAAAGTGTGTTATGACAAGTTTGCCCGTACTTTTGACAACTTTTTACAGACGTAAAGGATCAAATTTAGAACTGGGATAATGTTACCTTAACTAAAAATGATGACTATTCTTTTTAATAACTTGGCGTTCAAATTAAAATTTATTTTTTATTTAGAAAGTTTTTTTATTCAATTATTAGATATAGTCTTAGCCTCAGCAGTTGGTTTTTTTACCTAAAACTTGCCAATTTATAAAAAAAAATATTTTTTGATTGAAAGAGAAAGTAATATAACTTTTATAAAGCCTACACTATGCTTTTATATCTTACCTATTTCACTCAAATCCACATTTTCACCCCTTTACCTCTTCACCTACATCTTGCCACTACTAATTCAGCTCAAAAGATATTTAAATTTCAAAATTGCGCAACCAAATTGCGTAAATTTGAAATGAAGAAAAACCAGATTCGTTTATTTGAGAGCTTAAAGTTTTAATTTATCAAATAATGTTATCACTAGTAAACTTATCACAGGTTGTTATCAGTGATACTAAACTACCCGACTTTACATAGTTTCAGTTTTTTAAAAATTTTTTGAAACTAGTTTAAAAACTAAAATTAGATTAAGTGTGTCACACTTATTAACAGCTTATCAGTTTTATATTAATTTGCACTTTTAAGGTTTTGGCATTCGTTTTATGGTAGGTATAACTTGTGTCATGGGCAGGCCCGGGCGATGGGAAGGGTGGACGTAGCTTTTGATCTAGATTTGATGTTAGTCATTAGCTTTCCTTAGCATTGGCTGGAACTTGAGCCTGTCTATAGCTTTAATCTTAACTTTGGCCGTATCCCTAGCCTTAGCGCTATGTCACATTACCTTTATCATAAACATACTTTTGCCTTTTTTAGACTGTATTATATTAGTATATTAACCCTTTTTTGACTGTAAGTAAGCTTCTCTAGCTTTAAAACTGTTTTAGACCACCCAATTCTCAAGGTAAATTAATAATGGCAGTTTACAACCGACGTTATCTTATCTGTCGCACATTCGAAAATGTCGTATGTTACGAAAAGAGCAATGTAAGTTACTAACCAGCTGTTTTTTGCTATACTTTTAGACAAAATTTTGTATTTTTAGCCAAAAAGTACTGTAACTTTTATATACATTGTAAAAATTAAAGACCTCAGCTAAGTCTCAACCCTATTACATGTTTCGTATGACCCAGTATGTTCGTATGTTTACGCATAGTTAATAGGTATAGAATTTCACTGACCTCTGCCACTTGATTTCGTAAGTAAAAGAATGTCACAGTCGAGGGCTTGAAACTCTGGTAGCTTTTCGTACATCTTGAGTACATGTTCAGCACAGTGTGGTGAACTAAACGAGTAAACCACTTCGATGAACATCATACTGTAGGGACTGTTCTGGACGTACGATAGTAGGGTGCCTTGGCCTTTGGCTTTGTCTTTACTGCCTAGTTTTATGTCTGAAATGGGGTTGTATAGGTATTGATATAGGTCTTGGTATAGGTATTGATATAGGTCTTGGTATAGGTATTGATATAGGTTTGATATAGTAACAGTATGGACGGTACTATTGGTATTTGACCCTTTTTTAATTTAAAAATGGCCTAGCACCTAGATGTGAGTATAGCCATCAGTAAACTTGTAGATGTCAACTTACTATCGACTGATCGCGGACTATGAGGTCCAGCCACTTTTTGTATCGCATCATCTACTGACTCCAAGAACGCTTCCCATTCATTCCAGGCTTCTGCCAATTCTTTTACTACTTCTCCTAAAATTAAGGTATCAAAAATATATTTTTATGCATTTTTTAAATAATTTAATTCACAATTATATTTTCAGCCGTATTTTACAATTTTTTACACAGAGGAACTAGTGTATATGTAACAAACCTGTTCCAAGACAAAAATTTTAAAATTCTTGCGCAATTTGTTATATTAGAGCTCAAATGTATTTTTTTCTACCAGCAACAGCATATATCGTATTTTACTTTTAATTTCATATAAAGATTGTGTTAAAATTATTTTTCAAAAAATAATATTTAAAAAAGTAAATTTAATGTTTGTAGATGTATAATCAATTTAAAAATTATTATACACAACTTGACATTCATTATGACTCATTTTATGTGTTTTTACTTTTATATTTGTATTACAAAATTCAAAGTTATTTCTAGTAGGTCTGCGTTTACAATTGGTTCCCTAATACATTATATAAAGGTAAAATGCCTAACAGTAGGCCTAGCTTTAAGCACCACAAAATACTCATTTTTCATACCCAGAGCTCCCAAATTTACAAAACAGTGGAATCTCTGTATAATGAATCGCTAGGGAAATTAAAATTTGTTTGTTATGTAGAGGTTTCGTTATAGAGGGGTTGAAAATGCACTGTGTAATGATAGCGTGGATTCAAAAGTTGTTCGTTATACGAAGGTTTTGTTATATAAAAGTTCCTTAAACGGAGGTTCTACTGTACTCGTGCCGGCTTCACTTTTTTTTATAAATACTCGTGGCGGCTCCACGGACCGTTGGAAACTCTGCTTATACCTGCGCCCTAATTTATCGCTTCTTACTGAACTTCTGTAAGAAAACTTCTGTTTAAAATTTTAATATTTTAAAACATAACCCACCTAAATCACTGTCTTCCGAAGCGATCTGTGTTAGTTTCTGATCATATTCGTCCTGCGTTTTGACCGAAATGGCATTATAAACCTTGGCCAACTGGATTGAGAACTCTGTGCCTAACTGTTTGTTCTGTAAGTGGTTGGCCATGAAGCTTATTGCCGATGCTGATTCTACATTCTGAAAAAAAATTTTTTTTGATTAAAATTTAAAAATAATTTTTTTATAAAGTTTAATAAAATGAGTTTGACGTATTTTACAATTTTTTAACAATTTTTTATTTGTATTTTATCTTTTTTTTGCTGTTTTTTAACCGTATCTCAGACTTTTTTTTGTTTTTCTGGTTGTATTTTACATTTTTTAGATTTTATATTATATTTTATCTTTTTTTTTGCAATTTGTTATCTATTTTATGTATATTTCTAACATTTGTTACCTACTTTACATAACTCTTTGTCATTTTTTCCGTATTTTACATGTCTTTGCCACTTCCAACCCAATGTGCATCTAGCAACAGTTTCCGTGTTTGTTTAGATGCCTACGCAACAAGATTTGATGTGATCACTACTTTTTAGTCCGTTTCATCTTCGAAAAACCTTTTTTTATATTAATCGAGCCGGTTAAAGCGCGCCTTATAAAGTTTTCCATTTTCGACGACGCCAAACTTGGGCGAAAATGATGAATCGCGAGTTTCAGGATGAAGTTCTGTCTACTTTTGTGGCTCCCCGTCCTCTGCTCCAGCTACGTGGAGTCGTCGCCGTTCGAGGTAAAGAGAACTTAAATTTTTTTTAAATTTTTGAAAATTTTTATTTAAAAATTTTAGGGGGCTAGCCATAGCCCTAGCCTTAGCCCTAGCCCTAGCCGTAGCCCTAGCCGTAGCCCTAGCCCTAGCCCTAGCCCTAGCCCTAGCCCTAGCCCTAGCCCTAGCCCTAGCCCTAGCCCTAGCCCTAGCCCTAGCCCTAGCCCTAGCCCTAGCCCTAGCCCTAGCCCTAGCCCTAGCCCTAGCCCTAGCCCTAGCCCTAGCCCTAGCCCTAGCCCTAGCCCTAGCCCTAGCCCTAGCCATAGCCCTAGCCCTAGCCTTAGCCCTAGCCCTAGCCCTAGCCCTTAGCCTAAGATCGAACCAAGTTGTAGCCAGAGCTTTAGTTTCAGCCTTATTCTATCCTTTAGCTGGCCCAAACCCATAAAACGTATTGCTGGTGCCAATTATAAACATAATTCTTTAGATCTACTGGAACGTTCCCTCCTATCAATGCCGTAAGCACTTCGACCCAGAAAAGTATTCGATGGTCACAAATAAGGACCAGATCTTTCGAGGTGAGAAGCTAGTCGTCTTCTACGAAAAAGATCTTGGTTTATATCCTTACTGTGATGACCAACAGGAAAGTGTGGAGTCAAACAAGAGTATCAATGTCAATTGTGAAAAACCAGTTAATGGTGGAGTGCCTCAGGTAAAATTTTAATAAAATTTTAATTTTTTTTGAAATTTTTTTAAAAATTAGAATTAAAAATTTTTTTTTTAAAATAAGAATTAAAAATTTTTTTTAAAGTTTAAAATTTTGAAGTTCTTCGAAATTAAAATAATTTTTTTTTCAAATTTTAAAATTTTTGAAATTTTTTTTCGAAATTTGAAATTTTAAACTCTGAAACTTTCAGGAAGTAGACCTAAACGCCCATATAGAAAAGGTACGACAAGATGTAGCTCTCCATATTCCTGACCCAGACTTTGATGGTTTGGCTATTATTGATTATGAGCGATGGAGACCACTGTTCGACCTCAATTGGACCACTAGGAAGATATACCAAGAATATAGTATCATGCTTTTGATGAAAAAGTACCCAGAGTTACCTAGAAGCAGTTTGGCATACCTTTCTCGATACCTTTTTGAATATCATGCTAGGTGAGATTAGCTTGGGTAAATAATTGTTTTTGGAACAAAATGTGAAAAATCGATAACGAAGTGTCACAAAAATACAAAATGTCAGTTTTTGACACTTATTGATTTTTTATTGACTAAAACATTAACTTTTAATAAATTTAAAAATTTTTTATTTTTAGAAATTTCCTGCTAGCGACAATAAATACCGCACGAGAAGTGAGACCGAAAGCAAAATGGGGCTTCTGGGACTATCCTCTATGTGATTATCGATTGAGTCCAAATGAAAAACAATGTCGAGGGCATTATAAGATCATCAATGAACAGTAAGTCAAAAACTAGGCTGCAGTGAGCTTTAATGGGCAGGCAAGGGTGCGGAGTGTGAATGAAAAGATTCTTGATTATTATAGGTTGTATTGAATACAAGGCAGGGAAAGGTAATAGTTGATATATAGGGCAGAGTACGATAATTTAAGAAAAAGCAGGGCAGGGTAATAGACAGTAATGTAGAGTAAAGTACATTATAGCAGGGCAGCACAGGGTAAGGTAGGATCGAGTAAAGTAGGGTAGGGTAGGGTAGGGTAGGGTAAGGTAGCGTAGGGTAGGGTAGGGTAAACTAGGGTAGGGTAGGGTAGGGTAAACTAGGGTAGGGTAGGGTGGGTAAACTAGGGTAGGGTAGAAAATAATGTCTTAAGAACCAATCTTTTTAGGCTTTTGTGGATGTTCAATGCCTCTGACATTATCCTACCACCTGTCTACTTTTATCGACCAGAAAACACATTAGACAGGCAAAGATATGTCCATGCCAAAATGACAGAAGCAGAATGGATCAATCAAAAACTATATCCAAAAAAACTGCTGGTATATGCGTATGCAAAGTTTGAATACAATGTGCTTTACAATGAAACGACTAAAGAGACTAACTACAACTACTATAGTAAGGTAAGATAATATAAATCAATTTCAATGTGATGAAATGCCAAAACCTACTTTAGGCTGACGTCTGCAACTCCCTAAAATACCCCATGGAAATGGGAGCTAATGGAGTCATACTGTGGAGTACTTCAAATTACATGAAAACACGGTGTAAAAGCCTAGGAACGTTCATTGACACTGTTCTTGGGCCGTTTGCCGCTGCTGTGAAAAGGAAAGCGGACAAGTAAGTGCACTCTACCCTACCCTAACCCTTATACTACTTTGCCCTAACGTATCTTGCAGTATATTACCGTAGTCTTTCCTACCCTATATGTACTATGTTTAAATTATCTTTGTTTTACCTTGTCTTCTGTAAAATACTGACCATTTCTTTGACAGGTGAAATTCCTTACCATGTTCTACCCTGTCCTACTTTGCTTTACATTTACCACCCCCAACTTCAATAAATTTCAACTTTTCACAACTGACAGCCTGAAAATGACATAATATTTCAAATTCAGATGTTCGCAAAAAGAATGCAATGGGATTGGTCTGTGTGTGGCCAAGGACCGTCTGCCTTCGGCCAAATGCGAGCTGGCCCAAACCGTGGAGTCCGAGTGTTTGTGTCCCAGCCCTTATATCGGACCACAATGTCAGCTACAGCCATTCCCATTGCCTCAGGCCTTCAACGACACTGAAGACATTTCTTTTGACATTTTGTGATGACATAGCCTGCCCTAGTCAAAAAAAATAGATGACATAGCCTGCCCTATAATGCCAATATTCTTGAACTATAACTCATGCACGACAGCATCTCAATGTACACATTCCTCAAACTCAGGTAGTGACTTGTATTCGACCAGTATTTCGTATATATAATACTAGGCTGTTCAAATAATTCTTTGCCCCAAAGCCAGAAAATTTTCTTAGGGTTCTGTGTCCTAAGCAATGTTTAGGGTTAGGGGCACAGAATTATTTGAACAACTTTATATGTTTTTTTCAATAAGAATGTCACAAGTCTATAGTAACTTCTAATGAGTATATTATGGTAGTTTTTCTAAAATGCTAGTATTTTTTTTTGATTTATAAAGAATTTTTGCTATTTTTTCAATTTTTTAATTAAAAACTGATTTTTTAAACAAATTGTATATCGTAAAATAGTACGTCTTTTTTAAAATATATTTATGTCTTGCTTTCCATAAAATTAAAAAAGATTGGAACGTTGGCTTGAAGTAAACTTATACTATGTACACAGGGCCGGGCGCGAGGGGGAGGGGGGGGAACGGGGGTAGGCCCCCCCCAGAAAAAAAATTTTCGGAAAAATTTGCACGTGGTCCCCCCTGTGGATTTTTAGAAAAAAAACTTCAAGCTACCTGTGCCGATTTTTTTGGACCCCTGCCCCCAGACCAAAAGTCCCCGCTCGGCCCTGTATGTACAGTATACGTAGTGTATATGTAATAATAAGAAATGTTTTGACGTTTTTTTTTTCAAAACGACTTCGCTTATTTTTATAAAATACGTTGTGCCTTCTTAACCAAAATTACAAAAAAAATTAAAATAAACTATAAGATTGTTCAAATATAAATGAGCGACTTCAAGCGGAAAATTTTGATTTATTTTTAAATATCTTAATAAGGGGAGGACCCGCTCGCCTGAAAAAAAATTTCGAAAAAAGTTGAACGTGGTCCCCCCTGTGGATTTAAAAAAAAATTTTAAAAATCGGCACGGTTAGCTAACTGCCTGTGCCAATTTTTTTTGAACCCCGACCCCAGACCAAAAGTCCCCGCCCGGCACTGCACTATACATATTCAAACAACACTACATAATTTTAAAAAATTTTAAAGTTATATTAATAAAACAAAAAAAAGTTGAGTAAAATAAAAAAAAGACTTAAAACTGACTCACCTCCTGGCATTCTGTAGTTTTTTTCTTTATAAAGTGTTTTAGCTCAATCAATGCCGTCCTTGGATCAACCTCAGCCACATCGACATGCGGCGTCAACAAAATGTCATCGATTTTGGTTTCGGCTGCCATCTAAAATACAAGTTTTAAAACTTCAATTCTTATTTATTATAAGGTCTTATTTATTATAAGGCAAACTTCAATTCTTATTTATTATATGGCTTTAAAAAACGTCACTTTTAAATAAAAAAAAATTTTAATTCATTTTTCTATTCTCTGTCAAACCGCCCAGTCTCTAGGTAAAGCAGAGTAGGGCAGAGTAAAATCCCATGTAAAATTTTTTCTCGAATCACCCCCCCAAAATTGAATAATTAAAAAACCATCCAAAAAAAGAAGTACTTCCTCATACACTAACTCCTCAAAATATATGTGGCCATAATTCATGTCCTCATATAATATTATGTGTCATAACGCCAGCCAGAAGTCAATTCATTACGTTTCGTATAAAAACACCCCCGCCTCGTGTAAATAGAGAAGAAACGTTGCGTGCCCCATCCCAAATCAAACACGGGAGTTTTCTGAAGCATTGTGGCACCAAAAAAAGAATTTTCAAGGCTAAGGCTGAGACTAAGGCTAAGGCTAAGGCTAAGGCTAAGGCTAAGGCTAAGGCTAAGGCTAAGGCTAAGGCTAAGGCTAAAGCTAAGGCTAAGGCTAAGGCTAAGGCTAAGGCTGAGGCTAAGGCTAAGGCTAAGGCTAAGGCTAAGGCAAAAGGTTAAGGCTAAGGCCAGAATTAAGTAACACTCCTAGAAAACTCACAAAAAGACTTTAGGCAGTCTATCTCACTAGGTATGGCCCTTCTCTCTCTTATTACCCCTGCTTTTTAATATCAAAAAATCCAAAAACGGTCGATAATAATAGAAAAAATGAAAGAGTCTCAAACCTAAAAATAAATAAAAATAGTTAAAGAAAAACAGGATTCGAAAAAACAAATACGAAAAGTAACCTAAGCACGAATAACTATAATATGCAGCGCTATTTACCTAATGCACAACCTAATTAATTTCCAACACCGTAAAGACAAACATTAGCACATTCGGTTTTATGGCTAAAACAATGCCCAGAATAATGTCCTAACGTCATCACGCCTTTTTCCCATGCCCAATGTTTGACGATGAGTTTCAGGGAGTCTTTACCTTGCAGACTTTGGCTATGTAACATTTGGGATAATGGGTAAAGGTTTTAAGAGTTCTATTATTAAAGTTATTTTTAAAAATGCATTTTTTATTATAAAGAGCAGAACTTAGCAAGTAATTAGACATAAGGTAGAGCTAGGCCAAACAGGACAGGGCTAATTTAAAACAACACTAAAGTAAAGAAAAGGAAATAAAAGAACATGCCAACGCCAGGCTAGGTTAAAAGTAAGGCTAAGGGAGCAAGTGTAAGATAAGGATACAATTAGGTAAGGCAAAGGCAAGGCAAAGGCAGGGCAAAGGCAGGGCAAAGGCAGGGCAAAGGCAGGGCAAAGGCAGGGCAAAGGCAGGGCAAAGGCAGGGCAAAGGCAGGGCAAAGGCAGGGCAAAGGCAGGGCAAAGGCAGGGCAAAGGCAGGGCAAAGGCAGGGCAAAGGCAGGGCAAAGGCAGGGCAAAGGCAGGGCAAAGGCAGGGCAAAGGCAGGGCAAAGGCAGGGCAAAGGCAGGGCAAAGGCAGGGCAAAGGCAGGGCAAAGGCAGGGCAAAGGCAGGGCAAAAGGCAGGGCAAAGGCAGGGCAAAGGCAGGGCAAAGGCAGGGCAAAGGCAGGGCAAAGGCAGGGCAAAGGCAGGGCAAAGGCAGGGCAAAGGCAGGGCAAAGGCAGGGCAAAAGGCAGGGCAAAGGCAGGGCAAAGGCAGGGCAAAAGGCAGGGCAAAGGCAGGGCAAAGGCAGGGCAAAGGCAGGGCAAAGGCAGGGCAAAGGCAGGGCAAAGGCAGGGCAAAAACAGGGCAAAGGCAGGGCAAAGGCAGGGCAAAGGCAGGGCAAAAACAGGGCAAAGGCAGGGCAAAGGCAGGGCAAAGGCAGGGCAAAGGCAGGGCAAAAACAGGGCAAAGGCAGGGCAAAGGCAGGGCAAAGGCAGGGCAAAGGCAACGCGAAGGCAACGCGAAGGCTGAGAATTTATGACTTAGCACTAATAGTACAATTGTGAAAATGTTACTTTAAATACCAAGATCGTGCAATAAAATTACTTTTGCATACTATAATAATAACTTTTACTTGAAAACCCACAAAGGACTCTATCCTGCCAAGATGTCGTTTGTTTTTATGAAAAAAGGGTAAAGAAGAAGCAAATCAAATAAAATATAAAACATAAGGCATGTTCGTAATAAAGAAACTCAACAGCAGCAGAATTTGAAAAGTATGAGTTTTTGAAAGTTGGGCTGCAAAATAAAAAAAAACTCTCAAATTTACTAAAAATTTTATATTTTTTAAAATTTAAATGTCATAAATAATAAAAAAAACTTCAGTTAGTCCCTACTATAATTAAAAATCTGAAATTAAAAAAAATAAGCAGAGTAAAGAGCTAGGAAGGTTAGACAATAAGAAGAAAAAAGAAAATATAAAATAAGGAGGACCGCTTCACAAAAGTTTATATAAAAGTAGAAGGTGCTATGCATTTTCCAATTAAAAATTTTTTGTGTTACCCCACCCACTATCGCTCAAATAAACCTTCTTTTCAGTACAATCTCTCGTTGCCATTTTTGTAAAAATTTGCCACTTTTCCACCCTTTTTTAACCCGCCCATATTTTCTCCCCCCCCCCACCCTGTTTTCCCTCCTTTTCATAAAAAATAAGCTTTCACTACAGTTTTTTTATACCTTATCTACCATACTATACTATAAACTTTTAAATTTTAAAATTCATTTTTACCACGCCTATTTCCAAAATCTTATCTCTCGAATTTTGGCTTGGCAGAGTACATTAGGCGCTTTTTTCATCCCTGCCTGGACTTGAGCTGCCCTGTCTTATTCTGCCATCTCCTGCCATACCATGCCCTTTCTTGTCCTGTCTTGCTCTCCTCCTCTTCATATTATAGTTATAACATTATCCAATTGCCTAGCCTACAGCCCATCCCCCATTAATGTGAAAACCGTGCCTCCATAAAAGCCTCCCCCTAAAAAAACATGCTTTTACTCAAACTTATAAAACCTATGCGAACATCCCTTTATGAAACCGTGACTTCATACGAATATCTTCTGGCTTGTTGTGAAGGCGAAACGGTTCCGGAGAAGAACGCTACTGGTCTTCTTTTGGGCCCAATCTATTTGTCTCTTCTAATATACCGACCCTGTCTTCTGCATGCCTCGGAAGAAATGAGAAAGAACCCAACGTATATAGTAATAACAACTTTGCCTCTGCCATTACTATGTGATCAGTCACACGCCGCTATCAGCTCATTTCAATTACGGTCGCCCCGGCCGCCGTTCCCACGTTTACCTCGACGCGTTTGGGTATTTTCGGCGGTTACTAGGCTCTATTTACGCATAAGTCTCATGGGTTTACAGTGTTCTGGAAAGGGGTTGATATTAGGGTTGGACGCAGGTTACCCTGTGCCTTGGTTTGTGTTGAGCAGCGTTGCCTTGCCTTGCCTTGCCTTGCCTTGCCTTGCCTTGCCTTGCCTTGCCTTGCCTTGCCTTGCCTTGCCTTGCCTTGCCTTGCCTTGCCTTGCCTTGCCTTGCCTTGCCTTGCCTTGCCTTGCCTTGCCTTGCCTTGTGCTTTGCCTTTTACTACCCTATCTTGAATGTGTTCTCGTTATATCTGAAACCCCATGTAAGACCCTCTAAAAATAAATGGCATCAACTGCAGATCGCCAGTACAAACTAGACCTATCCAAGACCAAAAAGCAAGAAAAATAAGCCTAAACTCAATTTTTGGAAAAATCGCTAGTCTAGCTCTAAAACCAGTTACATCTCTAATACTACGTTCTGTTCCGACCCAATATAACATCACAGAACTTTCTGCTTTAGGTACTATAACTTCAAAGCAAAATGTCGATGCTAGCTAACTGCCCAAACCATACAGCCAACATATACGAAAACAGCCAGCCATAAATTGTACTGTGCGTGCTGAATCCGAGTCAAAACAAAACATAAATTCGGCTACCGTTCCCACAAACGTTCTCATAAATGGATTCTGCATAAACCGTGTCGCTACTACTCTTATCAGGATTGGCATGGTCTATTGAGTAGTAATAGATGGAAGTCATGTTACTTGCAGCTTTTCGAATTTTTAAAGAAATTAGAATCTGAAGCATTAGTATGACTCCTTAGCCCAAGCTTCTAGCTTTTTCTAGCCTTAGTTGCTCGCCCTAGGTTCTATCCCTAGCTTCTAGCCTTAGCTGCTAGCCATAGGTTCTAACCCTAGCTTCTAGTCCTAGCTTCTAGCCTTAGCTGCTAGCCATAGGTTCTAACCCTAGCTTCTAGCCCTAGCTTCTAGCCTTAGATCCTGACCCTAGGGTCTAGTCCTAGCCCTAACTAAAGCTTTATTGTTAGCGTTAAACTTAATTTTAACCTTAACTTTAGCCTGCTCGATTCTTAGCCTGTCGCACATTATCTTACCCTACCTTTACTTTAATTTTCTTCTTCTTTATTTTTAATTCTACCCCGTCTACCTCTACTCCTCTCTAAATATATATAATGACATTAACAAAAGCCATTTCTGCACATTTGTCGCAAACCATCCTTAGCTATGAAAAAGTTATTATTACATAACCTATTATTATAAAGTCTGTAGGTCCTATTGTGAACAAAATAACCAAAATAATAACATGACGAATACGTGCAAACAAAAAATGCCTTTTCAAAATAAAAAAAACATGGATTAATCCACGATCATTTAACAAAAACTTTGGGTTTTTTTTAAAATAACGGTGAAGTAGACAAGTATAATGTAAAACAGATGCGTATTGTTAACGTTTCTATAAGGATGATTTTAGAAAGTGAAAAAAAATCTTGTCGTAAAAATGCAAGGCTTTTCAGTCCCAAAAACGACAAAACTTTTTTTGAAATTTTAACATTGTGATTACAAAAAGACAAAGTATTAAAAAGATGTATAGGCAGTAATATTACACCATTCTTATAAGAAGCACTATTTTTAATTTGCTCTAGTCTTATTCATAGCCTTAGTTCTAGCCTTAGCTTTAGCCCTAGTTCTAGCTTTAGCCATAGCCCTAACTTTTAAAAGTTAAAAACGGATTGAACCGCGACCTCTTTTAAAGCTCGACTCAGGCCCAAGGCTCAACTCTTGAAATCGGTCAAAAAAATTTCTGGCTCGGCCCGTTTTAAAAAATGAAGACATAAAAGAAAATTTGGTTTTACATTTTTTAAAATCATTTATTGGTTGTGATACCCAAAAAGTAAAAAACAAAAATTATAATAAAAATTTTAAAAAGTAAAAAATTATTTTTGGTTTGTTTCTAATTCTCAAGTCCAGCAAGTTTCAAAGGTCAACCCGACCCGATCGTAGGGCCGCCCATACACAGCTTGTTTCTCATTCCTACTAACCCTATTTACAGTTCTGGCTTAAACTTACAATTGTTAGCAGGTTATCAAAATTGAAAACCAAAATTAAAAAAAAAAAAAAATTTTTTTTTCAAAAATCTTAAGCTCTTTTAAAGAAAACTTTGAAAAACTTGACGTTTGATTTCGCCAAAAAACTGTTTATGATACTTGACACTGAAGTAAATAACTCGACTAAAAGACTAAAATAAAAGTACTCGAAAATAACACGGAAATGCAATATTTTAAAAAAGAAGTGTACTATTAAGTCATGACTTTTAGTACTAAAAAAACTTTTTAGTTTAGCTTTATTAACTTTTAGTCTAAACTACGTGGCCTGAACTTTAAAAACTTAGTCTAAAATGTTTAGGTTTAGTCTTAGCTTTAAGTGAGGGAAGGAAAGGGGAGGCTGTTTTATTTTTAAATTTAAAAAATTTTTAATTAAAAAAAATTTTTTTAGCTACAAATGATGTTAAAAATCTGCAAAGTTACCCCACCCATCCTTCTCATGCCTTACAATAACAACCATGACAATTCCCAACTTACCGTACCTCAAACCTCTACTCTTCGACCAGTACTAACTCCTCGGACAGCATGTTTGTGGGTATGACTTGCTTTGTTTTTCTTGTTATTCGAAATTTGTTATAAAAATCTAATTTGTCGTTGCTAATTATTAATATATGTTGGTGGGTGTACGTCATCTCCAGCCGGGTGCACACATGGTTTTTTGCGGATTGGGGCGGTGAGTTTGCCCCACTCATCGAACACTTAAAGGACGCACAATTCGGTCCCTTTTCCGCTGCTTTTCGCCCCGATTCGCCCTCCGGGAAAGTTTTTGTGATCTAAATAAGGTCACGTGCTGTTGTCGCCAGGTGCTGATGGCCGTTGGTAAATCATGATTGTGGGCCAGAGTAAAGGTAGGTGGAATTTGGCGGGAGTAGAGTTGGTTTTGGGGGTGGATTGAAGGTTTTCGTAATTTTTTGACGAAAAAAAAGGAGAAAAAGCCTCGAAAATTGGTTTACTTTTTGTTCTTTCGACGTTGTTTTTACGTTTTCTACAAAAAGTTTTTAGAATTTTTACGAATTCTAGTTTGAAAAAGGTTTTAAAAACAACAATTTAAACCTTTCAATTTAAAAAATTGTATAAATTTGCCTTTTTTTCATAAGAAAAAGCTGTTTTATTATGAAAAAAGGCTCAAATTTGTGTTTTTATTTTAAAAAATATATGATGTGTGCTCGTATTTTACCTTTAAAATCGTTTTAAAAATTCAAATTCCACTTTTCTCATATAAAAAAATTGAAATTCTGCTCAAAAAACTTTATTTACCATTAAAAAACGGCTGAAATCTCCTATATTTTTACGTTTTTCAACAAAAAAAGTTAATTTAAACCCAAATTTAAATCGAATTTTTCAAATTTAAAGCCAGAAGCTAACATGAAAATCGATTTTACTATTAAATTAGTAAAGGAATCAAGGTTCAACGCTGGGTTTTACACTTATTTTCTCAAACGAAAACAAAAAAAGTAACGAAAATTGATAAGGAAATAGTGTTTTTGAGTTTTATGTTGGTTTAGATCGATTATTCTAGGTTCTCACCTTAAAAAGCAGGTTTTAGAATGAGATAAAAGATATTGTAGTAGATGTTCTATGCAGGATAATATAGAAAAATTGGTTAAAATTATTATAAAAGCTAGTGTAAAACGTAGTTATAGCATCGATAATACTCTAATCGAATAGGACCAGATATGAGACTTAAAAATCTATTTTTGTTCGCATGAGGCCTTAGAATGCATAAATGCAGCATGAGGCCTTAGAATGCATAAAAACGATTTAAAATATCATGTTGTAATGCCGCATATCATAGAATACCTATTTGATACTATTACGTTGGTAAAAAAATTATGAGCTACTTTTCAAAGCATAAGGTGTTGTAGGTGAAAGATTTTACACTTTTTTTTCAGAAGTGCTGGGCCAATGCCTAGTATGTGGTGAAGATTCCTTCGGCAAACATTACGGCTGCCCGCTGGCCTGTCTGGGCTGCAAAACCTTTTTCCGCCGTGCCGTGATCCACAAACAAGATACGAAATGCAAAAAGCCGGGCATTTGCGAAAACGAAGTATCGGCACGTCGCTTGTGTCGCTCGTGTCGCTTCAAGAAGTGCCTCGAGATGGGGATGAGTGAGGAGGCGTTGCAACCGCGACGCGACGTCATTGGGCGACGACGGCGACCGGCGCAACACAAAAGCGTGTCCGAGCCGGTACCAGAGGAACCTACTACGAGCTCGGAGAGTAGTAGCCCCGAGGCTTTAGGACCGAACATGGATTTGCTCAATCTGATATCACAACTGACTGAGAATGATAAGGCGACCAGGGCCAAGAAGTTTGATCTGATTCGAAGCCGGACCGAAGCCAAGCGGCTGGCTAAGACTGTCAAGGCTGGGGATGAAGGGGTAAGTCATAATATGGTATTAGAGTTAGTATTATATTTTACTATAGTAGCTAGTAGATAATAATATATTATACTGTAGTAGTTTATAATATTTACGATGTAGTAAAATACGTCTAATGGCGATGTAAGAAATTTATATGTACCTAAAGTAATATAACTTGTTCAGGAAGACATGGACAAGCCACTGATGATCATGTTAGGGCCAGATATATCGACAGTAACACAAATTGATCTCCAAATGTTGTTAGAATGGACCAAAACCTTGCCTTGTTTCATGGGCTTGCCTATTCAAGACCGGTTGACTTTACTTAAACGGTAAGTTTTTTAAAAGTAAATATGTTTATGTTAATGTAAGTTATGGTAAAATGCCCTACCCTACTCTGCCCTACCTTGTTCTGCCCTTACCTTGCCCTTCCTTGAAGCACCCTTTTCTACAGTATCAAATATTACTGCTTTACCCTTCTTGAATATCTTACTGTAAACTGTCATACTACTACACAACCTTACAACTATCTTCCCTACTTTCAGATTCGCAGTTTATCACCTCATCTTAGAACACGGATACTACACAGCTCAATTAGACGTGAAGGATGTATGGTTAATATCGAACGGGACTTGTATGCCTCGAAATGTCAGTGTACTGCCAGAAGAGATCAAGCCTTTGGTTTCAGAAGATCGTGCATGGCGACAAGAGAAGTTGTACAAAACAATGACAGAAAAGTGCATCGACGAAGTTGCTATACCATTAAAACGACTTCAGTTGATGCCTGAAGAACTGGTGACATTAAAAGTCATCATGTTGTTCAACTATGGCAATCATCTACATCATGGTAATGGTGAGTTGCTTTATAAGATTTTTTTGATATTGTGATATTTTTAAAGCCTTATAACGATGTAATTTCATCAAAAATAGAAAGAAATGACGCTCCACCAGTTGGAAATCACAAAACTTATAATTTATCTTGTTATAGACACAGAAGACGCCCTGTATATAACAGACGAGACCCGCAAAGTAATATTGGAATGGAAAGATCGTATCATACAGGCTCTCTTTCAATATTACCGCAAAATCGGCTACAAAAATTATGAAGGTATGTTTTATTTTTAATTTTTAGACATATTTGACGAAGTGTAACAAGTTATTGGGTTTTTTCTTTGAATGTGACGAAATGTCACACAAATTATTGGTTTTTATAAAATTTTAAAATTAGACGAAATTTTAATTTTTGAGAAAAGAATTAACTGCTTTTTATATTTTGAGACGAAATGCCACTAAACATATTGGTTTTTATAAGTTGTGACGGAATGTCACAAAAATTATCGATTTTTTAAAATGTCAAAAATGGTATTAAAAATTATTAGATTTTACAATTTTTTACTTTTTGTCATATTTTTCGATATTAACAGTAATTTAAATTGCGAAATTGCCACAAAAGTTATCGATTTTTATCAAAAACTTTGACCAAATGTCACAAACTTTATCATTCTCCATTTTTAGAACGTTTTGGAAATGTGATATTGACAATATCCGGAATAGTGTCAGCAGCGTCCGCTGTTCTGGAGAGTTATCAAGTGATGAGATTGTTCAAGATCGTCCCATTCGACCACATTTCCGAGCAATTGTTGTTCCAAATCGATGCCTAGATGTCTATATTGTTGAGTTGTAAATAAATTGAAATTTACGGGAGTTTTAGGACAAGTTAACAACTTAAAAATTTGAGTTTTAAAATTTTTTGGTTTTGTGTTAAAAAGTGGGTAGAACAGCTTTTAAACTGCAAAATTGGCTTAGTTTTTGAGATATTTAGGTATATTTTCAGCTTTTTTGGGACTGTTTGCCCAATTTAGGCCTATTTATGGCATTTTCATAAATATTTTTTGATTTTTAGGGTTTTGTGGAATTTTTTGAGTTATATCGAGCACATTTTATAGTACATCAAGTTTGTTTTACGTTAAAATGTCTAAATGAAGAAGCCTCGAATATTGTCATAGTTTCGGAGCTTGGAAACAGACAAAAAATAGTAAAAGTCGTCTCTAAAGAGTATATTCAGTACTTTTTTCGACATATTTTTTGGGTGCTTTACAAACGTGCTATTTGTGTACTATTTTTTTGTTTTTAATTAAAAAAGTTATAAATTTAAGAAAATTTTTTTAGGACGTATTTTATATTTATTTTTAAACTGAAAGTTTTGTTAAGCAAGAACATCAAGTTAGTCTTGTGTTAATATAAAATTTTTTTGGTTTTTGTTTAGTAACCACTGAGTTTGAAACAATACTTTACCCAGAAAATATAAAACTTTGTTTTTAGTATGTCATGTAACACTCAAAAGGTGCCAAAACTGCCATATAATACAAATATGTTTGATCAGTTATGAATAATTTGGGGTTTGACTACTTGGACAATCAAGAACTTGAACTGACTGGAGATACTGGGTGGATAAGCAAGCCGTGAGTTAAAAATTTATATTATACTAACAATAATTGTTTTAATATAGTAAAATTTTTAAAACTATAAAAGTTTCTAAATGAAAAGAAAGTTACCTTACCATAGTTTACCTTACCTTAGTTGGTATATCTCTATTCTTTACTAAATTTCATTTTTTCAGACTTGTCAAGCTACCATTGGAACTAACGATTCAACTGAAGAAGCTAGCTCATATATCTTACATTGAGTTCCTGGTTCATCCTCAATATATACCGCAGCAGTTATTGGTCAGTAACTTTGTGGACGGAGAGTTTGATGCTTTAGGGTATGTTCTTTATAACATAGGCTTATTCAATGAGATTCCTACATAACAAACTTTTCTACAGTAAATTTCAAAACCTTTCTTCAATGCAATAATCTATAAAAGCTCTTTTTCAGTACAGTAACCTTCAAACCCCGCGAATCCCAAGACGGTAAACAAGAGCAGAAGAAAGTACTATTGAGTTGTTACGCTTCTGTAATCAAACTGTCATTTTTAAACCTATACGACAGTGATTTGAATCCGGAGAGTCGTATAGGGATCACAAGTATGAGTATATACGGTAGAGACTCTGTAACACCGTCAAAATCAACCTTATATGGAAATACCTCAAGTACGATCAGTATCTATAAACCCAAACTGCCAGATGACTTCGATGGTACTGTGTCGAGTATTGGTAGCAATAGGAGTGGGCGAGCGAGAGGGAATCGGAATAGGTATGGCAATCATTATTTTATGCTAGTTTTGTTATTATGATCAGAGGTTTTTTGAAAGGAAAGGGAGAATATTTTAATTTTTAAACTTTTAGAGAAGGGAGCGGGAAAGAAGCGTCTGAAAACAAGGTGAGGGGGAATGAGGGATGGTAGAGCAACAAAAATGGAAGGGAAGGGGAGGATAAAAAGAGAAAAAGGAGAGAAATAAATGACAAAACACAGCAAAAAAAGAGGGGGGGGGTGATAGAGGTGGGTAAGGTAAAGCAGGGTAGGAGTTCAAGTATAAAAGTTTAACCCTAACCCAAAAAGTTTATAGCCATATGAAAAATTGCAATTTTTAGACAAAAACCATCAAATGCAGCAGTAGATGAACTCAAAGGTTACCTAAAACAAGCCCAAAGCACTATTAATGAAGCTGTCGCTGTAAGTTAACTCTTTTTTTTAATTTTGATTAACAAAAACGTGAAAAAAACTAGTAATTTTGTTGGTGCTGGAAGGTTTTTTACTTTTAAAAAAAATTCTAAAATTTTGTTTGAATTTAAAGCTAGATTACTGAATAGTTTTAAAACGTTTTGAAATTTTTTTAAAAAATTTATTAGATTTTAAGCTTTAATATCAGACTTATTTTTCACTTTTTGGGAAGTTTCTGGACTTTAAAATTGGCCAAAACTTTACTTTTTATTGGGCATATAAAGAGGTAGGTAGGGTAAGGCAAACTTGTAAAGAAACTGATTTATCTGTCGTTGCGTGATCAAACCTGAGCCCCTGAGATCTTCATTTAGGCTAGGTTCTAGGTTTCTGCACGCTTTGGTATTGCCCTTTTCAAACTATTTTTTAAATTTGTTTTTTTTTGTCTCATCAGATCCTAGCGGGCCTTTTCAAAGTTAAAATGCAGCTTTTGTAAAATTAAAATACATATTTAAATTTTAGGCAGAAAACTTTTCTTTGGCCAAAAGAATGCAAACCAACAAAGCTCAACTAGAACTCGTGGTAAAACAACTTCAAGAAGCGAATAAACAGAAAATAGAAGCCATCAACAATGAAGACTACGACAGGGCACAAGAATTAGTGGATCAAATGAACAGTCTCAAAACAAACGCGCTAGCCAATGTGGACACTAGCTTTATCAACATATCTGATGTGAGTGTTTTGACGTTTTGAGTTTTCAAAATTGTTTTTGAAATTGAAAAAAATTTAAAAATGCCATTGTTTTAAACTTTTTTTGTAAAATACGTAAACTACAGTATGCTAAGAAAATTTTGAGTTATAATTTTGGTTTTAAAAGGTTTAGCAGCTTTTTAGTAGGGCACGGTAGGGTAGAACAACTTATTTTAGGCTTCATAGAGCATAAAAAAAGTATATTAATGTCTATCAATGTCGTTTCAGCCTATACCTTCAACACCAGCCATTCCAAAAGCCGAAACTCCTCAACGTGCTTCACCATCGTTACCTCTGCCTCGTATTGAGCCAGTTCGTAAGTCATGTTCTTTGTATAATTATATTAGTGGGTTTAATTGTTTTAGTTAAGACGTATTTAAGGCTCAAAACTTTTGTTTACGTAAATTTTAAGGCAGGGGTGCTGTAGTAGATTCAAGTACGGTAAAGCAGGGTCTAGGCTTGATTGAGACTGTTAATGAAAGAGTAAAGTATCTTATGGTAATGTAGGGTAAAATGAAGTTAATTTAAACGAGGTATAGAGAGTGATAGGGTAAAACAGGCTCTAAGCTTGATTGAGAATGTTAAAAAAATAATACAGTATTTTATGATACGGTTGGCACAGTAAAGTAAAATGAAAGTTAAGATAAACAAAGCATAAGGTGCAGAGCAGGGCAGGGTAGAACAAGTTAAGACAGGACAGAGAAGGGTAGTGCAGGGCACGTTGAAATAGGATAGAATAAGATAAAGTAAGGTAGGGTAGGATAGGATCTAAGCTATCATAGTATTGATTTTTTAATTTTTCAGCTCTCACCCCCTCAACCGTATCAATACCCCAAACTCGATCACCACCGCGAGAGACCAACCTTCTTCTACCTCCAATCACCCCAGCTTCAACTCTAAACAGCTCTCTCAACTCTCAAAATAGCATTTTCCGACCATATCAGCGAACTCGTCGCTACTCAGATCCGACCAATTATAATCGACATAGAAATGATGACAATAAGAGTTTGGCATCAACGTGGTCGTTTAATTATCGACCGGGACAGATTCTGGACAACAATATGAATGTCGCAAATAATCGGTTTTTGGAGAAGGAAAATCGACCAATTCGACCGGCGAAAAATGTGATTAGGTAACGGTTTGGTCGATTTTTGGTTGTTTTTTTATCAATCTCGGTCGATTTCGGTTGATTTTCAGTCGATTTTGATTGATTATCAATCGGTTTTGGTCTATTTAGTCAATTTCGGTCGATTTTTAATAATTTTTGGTCGATTTTTTAGCTTGCTTTTGGTCGATTTTTATCAGTTTCTGTCGATTTTTAATAGACTTTGGTTGAATGTGAGTCGATTTTAGTCGATTTTCAATTGATTCCGGTTGATTTTCTAGCAATTTTTGTTGATTTTCAGTCAATTTAGTCAATTTGAAAAGAACTAAAATTTATGAAAAAATTTTGAAATTGCGACAAAAAGCGAAATTTTGACAAAAAGTCAAGCCAAGACAAAAGCCACCCCCAAAAACAGCAAAAACGTTCTTTCCAGCGACCAAAATGGCCAATCCCTCGACGACCTCAACCTAGACCAGCTGCTAGACATGGTCAGTCCATCTGATCGCACTTATGTCACTAGAGCTGTCAATATCTTTGGCATCAAGCCTGTTGCTGAAATCTACTCTAAAAACTTCAAAGATCGCCGAAATGGACTGAAGAAGGTGCAGGATAACATAGACACGAGTAGTGGTAATGCGAGAGATGTGATCAGAGCTGCCATTCCTTTATTGATCCGAGGATTGAGCGACAAAATTTATAGGGTGAGTTAGGGGAGGTGAACTGAATTTTATTTTTTTTTATTTTTAATTTTTTTAATTTTTTTTTACAAAATGGCTTACAGTTATTGCACAGTGCAGCCTTTCTTTCTTTTGCACGGTGCAGATTATTTTCATTCTTTTATTCATCATTGCACTGTGCACCTTACTTGCTTTTTCCTTGCACAGTGCAATTGCTTACCGTTGCACCGTGCAGATGATCTGCTTTTTGCTTGCACTGTGCAGTCTCTTCAACATGACTGCACAGTGCAATCTCCAAAAGTTTGCTGATCGATTGTCGCAACAGTCGAATCGCCTTCGACATTCCATTGTTCAATTGTCGTAAACCAAGTTGAGTTACGACAGTTCTCGATTGTCGCAAATCTCCCCTCGCGATGTCGCTAGATTCGAGCAATTCGCAAGTCTCGTCGTTTGTCGCGGAACTTTTTTGTTTTTTTGACGCGACAACGACGCACGAGAACCATCATTTGCTATTTTTTCTGTGAAAAATGTTTCTTTTGTCGCAAACTCAATTCTGGTTTGTTGCTGTTGGTAAGTTCGGGTAGGGTAATCAAGTCGCGACGTTCTTTTTCACTTTGCGACAAAAGAAAAATGGGTCGGGATGTTTCAAGACTCACAACTTTGCGACATTTTTCATATCGCTTTTTGACGAGCGATGAATTGAATGTCGCAATTGTCGCAACGTCTCAATTTGCCAGCCTTTTTTGAGTAATTGCGACAAATGTTTTTGGACTGTTGTAAGCGGGATGACTTTTGCGACAAGCGCCCAAGAGAGAGCTTGTCGCGAGTGCACAGCGTGATCTTTCTTTCGTCGCGATAAATTGAGGGAGAACTGCACAGTGCAAAAGGGATTTGTTTTGTCGAAAGTTTGCACTGTGCAAGGGTAAATGTTTGCAAAAAAGGCTTGCACAGTGCAAACTTTGTTTCTTTTTTGCACGGTGCAGTGTATTTTATGGTTTTGCACTGTGCAACACTTACTTTGTTATTGCACGGTGAGGCTTTTATTTTAATGATTGCACAGTGCAGTTTTTTATTTCTCTTTTTGCACTGTGCAATATGAACATTAAATTTTTTTTAGGTTTACGACGCTGCGATTGGATTAAATGAAGTAATGTTAAATTATGTGTCATATCGAAATCAAGATAACGAGATTTCACGATTGGCAGATCTAACCACGCCCATTTTGATTAGTCGTACCGGGGATACCGTTACTGTAAGTTACTCTACTTTACCCTACCCTACCCTACTCTACCCTACCTACTTTACCCTACCGTAACCTACCGTAATCTACTTACTTTACCTTGTCTTGTCCTACTCTAGCATAGCCTTTTAGCCAATTCTCTTAGCCTAGACTTACCCTGCCCTACCCTACATGCCTATACCTATATCTATACTTTTAGGATCAACGTTTTGCCTCCCGGACCTTTGAATTCACCGAAAGTCTATTCAAAAAAGACATTCGAATAGCGACAGACTACCTCAACAAGTTCTCTCAGCCCCTGAAGCCAAATCAGTCGGTTCGAACCTCGCGAGGTCAATCTCAAATTGTCAGTACTGGAGTCGAGTCTCTGATAGTACACAGGAATCGTCTCAACATACCATCTATAATAACCTTTGCCTTAGGTTGTATTGATCACTCTGATGGTGAAGTTCGAAGGCATGGGCGTGACATTCTAATGACATTGTATAAGTCTGGCGACAGAAAGGAGGTACGAGATGCTTTGACTAAAGATACTGTAGAATATGAGAGAAGCAGAGGACTGAGGAATCTGTTGGAAATGTTTGATCAACAAGATAGAGACGATGGGCTTACTGTAACGGTAAAGAGCCCAAGTATTAGGAATGGGTCAAGAGCTAATGGCAGAGGTACGGTTAACTTTCTTATATGAATACTGGGGGGCCAGCTACAAGTAATTACTTAATTAGCGTGAAGTCTAATCTACCGAAAAAGGTTTTGTTATACTATGTAGTATCAGTAAAAGTATAGTAAGAGGTAGTAAGGGTAACAGTATAGATACTATTATGTAATAAACAATGATATAAAGCTCGACTTCAGGAAATTCTGTCAGAAGAGCCACAACGTCAGGTCCTAATGCAAGAACAAATGCGACTTCAGATGGCAGACGAAACGCCACTTCTAGAGGACGAAACACTTTGAATGCCAATATTGCTACTCCCAATAGAAGCACAAGCTCAAGATCATCTAGTAAATCAAGAAAAAGTAATAATGATTCAAGCATACGAAACACAGCGACATCACAGACAAGATTATCTACAAGAACGCCGAGCAGACGACAGAGTAAAAGCTCTAATTCAAGGTAAAAGACGGTGTATACACCTGTTTATGTAAATCTAAATATACAGTAGATTGCAGTTTGAAGTATAATTATAATAAAGTAGAGTAAGGTAAGCCAGGGTTGGGTGGATAAAATGACCTAGGGCAAGGTAGAGCGGGGTAAAGAAGTGTAGGGTGCGATGGGTTGAGTAAGCTATGGAAAGGCAGAGTAGGGTGGGATTGATCGGGGTAGAACAGGGAAGGGCAGGACATAACAACGCAAGGTAGGGTAGAGTAAGGTACTGTAGTGTAGGATAGAGTAGGGCAGGGGAGGGTAGGGTAGGGTAGGGTAGGGTAGGGTAGGGTAGGGTAGGGTAGGGTAAGGTAGGGTAGGGCAAGATAAATTTTACAAACTTCTCTCCCTATACTGTACCCAAACATAAAGTTACAGTAATTTTAAGACGATCAACGACTTCCCGCCACTCTAAACGATCTCAAGACCGGTCGATTCAATCCAACGATTCAAGGCCTCAAGACCGGCCTTCAAGGGACTCTAGGCTTCAAAATAGGTCGATAAAATCGTCCCAATCAAATACCTCAAACAAATCCATTAAGAGTATCGTCAGGCCAGCGACGGCAACAAATGTAGAGCCAAAAAGTGTTAAAATACAACTAGATGGGAGTAAATTAAGTGATACTGGCACGACTGACTACTCAAAGTAAGGCTTTGGTACTTAAAATATGTTACAGTAACCTCAATTTAGAACTTCTAAAAATTTTAAAAATTTCAAAAATGTTTTTTTAATTTTAAAATAAAATCTTTAAATTTTCATTTTTTCTCCAAACTGTTTGACCAACAATTCCATCTATAATGTACCTCTTTCCAGAGTCTGTATGTACTGCGGAGTTCAGAACAACAGCCTTAACCTGACTGGCCTAGAAGCCCATTACAAGAAAGAATGTCCAATGTTGACTGAATGTTCACATTGTAAAGATGTAGTGGAAACGCGTCATCTACGTGACCATCTCATCCATGAATGTTCCAATAAGGCCAATTACAAACAATGTGATCGATGTCAACAGGCCGTGCTCGGCAATCTTTACACAAAGCATCGGAGCAGCAGTAAATGTAGATGTAAGTGTGATCATTTCAAGTTAAATAATCATGCTTCCTCCTCTCTCCTTTGATTTAAAAAAAAAACTTTTGACCCCCTTCAACGAGCCAAATGTATCCACCCCTTAATTGGAGTGATATAACAACCTTTTATATCATTCCTCCGTGTGATACCATGATAAGCAAAGAATAGTTAACAGGGAATATAGTACCCTATTTTGACCTAGAACGTTGGGCAAACAGTGGGGTAAAAACATCTTTTCAGTACAGGGGTATCCTGAACTTTTTTTGAAAAATCATTCTAACTTATCATAATATAAGGTGCGCTTTGTACAACAAAGTTCAATTCCTTAAAACTGATACAGTAGAGCCTTCTTACTTTGAAAATTTATTACTTTTAAAATCTTCTTCCGTTACAGTCCTAATTTACAAACCCATTTTTATTACAGTACTCCCCGAAAACACTGGTAGATGTCCATTGTGTTATGAAGATGTAAAACCTGACAATGACATTGGCTGGAGAGATCATTTAATGAAGAATTGTAAAGCTAACAAACGGAAATAAAACGTACTACTATGTATACAACTTGCAACAGTGTTTTTACAGAACAACTTATTTCTATGTTTATTTCTAATTCAAACCTGGTTTAGCCTAACTACATAATGTACTAAAAGCCCTTCCTAAGCGTAAAAAATCCTTTCTAAGACCAAAACAAGTCAAAACCAAAGAAAAATGAAGTCAAAACTTAAAAATGTCATAATTTATTCCAAGTATATTTCAAAACGTACAAATGTTCAATCCCACATCGTCGTTCCATTAGCACCGTTCCAACAATACCATCTTGTTTCAGTGCATCACAGAGCATTTTAATGTCATTTTGTTTCAATGCTATCAAATAAAAGGTGCCATTAGGTTTGGAAAGGAGCTTTGGAATACGAGGTAACAGCCTATCTAGCTCCTCTCTACCATGGGCGCCTCCAGCGTATGTTCTGGACTGAAATTTTTAAATTTTAAAAATTAAAAAAAAATTTTTTTTTAATTAAATTTTTTTTTCATTTTCTATCTAATTATAAAAAGTCATCTTCAAATAGAAAAAACCCACTAAATTATCGTACGCCTTCTCTTCTGTAGGTACATATGGTGGATTAAACAGTAATATATCTACTTTACCATCCATTTCCAAGCCATTTAGTAAGTTACTTCGTATCAATTGTCCTGTAACTTTGTTGTATTTTAATGTAGCTCTCGTCACCTCTAAAGCATTCAAATTTATATCAATACACAATATTTGTGGCTTTGGTTTTAGGTCTGGCAGGTTTAGAAAGAAGGATGAGACAACTCCTGAGCCACAGCCAATTTCAACAGCTAGTGAGGGCTTTACCACGATTGTTATGAACTAAAAATGTGTTATTTATAAGCTGTTAAATTTATATTAGGTTGTTTAAAAACTTTTATCGGGTTTTAAAACTATTAGGTTGTTCCTAATTCTGAGTAGGTACCTGTACGTAAAAAAACAAAAAAAAATTTTTTCGAAAAATCGGGTGAGGACAAGTAGCTAGTTACCTGTGAACCAAAAAATTTTTTGGGTCTCCGGGTATTTTACCTCACTCTTACCTCCTGATCCTTTTCCAAAGCGTCCAAAAACAAGAAAGTGTCTTCAGAAGGCGGATATACATCATCAGGCAGGTTGAGATCGTAATGTGGTGTTGGTAATGTCATCTTAAACCACAAATTTAATAAGTCTTACTATTTACCCGTTCTTTTAATATAAAATGTAAGTTTTTATTTTTTGCGCAGTGCAGTCCAACTATGTTTATTACTGCACCGTGCAGTGAAGACAAAAACTTGTTAAATTCTAAAATATTACAATGATATATCGAAATTGATTTTAAAAACTTGTAAAATAAACATCTACATTTGTTAGTACCTCATATCAAAATTGTCAAAATCAATGCGCAGAGTGCAATGCTCAAAACTTAAGTTCTTGCACTGTGCAACCATTTTTTTAAGTTTTAAGCCGGGACAGCTCTAGTTTAACACATACTTTATAAAAAACCTTGTAATATTTCAATTCTACTACAAAGTATTTATATTACCCTTCATATCAACACAAAAATCCTTGACAGATTTACCAAAAAAAAACAAAAACTTCGGATTTTAAACCAAAATCACTAACCAAAATGCCAATTTCAAACGCAAATTTGTTTATTTTACAAATATATAGGCCCGTATGCAATAAGTACAATAAGACTTTATACAGTACACACCGGAGGTGTTTGTGGAACTGAAGAATATAAATATGAAGATAGATAGGTTAATGTTGGTTTTCAACAGAGGTCTTGAATCACGTTATCCATTAGACGGTCGGCGACGTCTCGAGCTGCTTGAGGTGAAGTTGTGGGTTGGTGGGGCTGATCTGCGGCCGAGACATGATTTCTGGTCGGTGACTGATCTATAGCTCGATTATGATCTGTAGCCGTACTCTGCTCTGTAGGCAAATTCTGATGAGTTTCAGGATGCTGTAGAGCTTCTAATAGTTCGGAAGTCAAATCATTGGGTCGTTGATCTTCGTAAGCTTCTAGTGACGCTGAATGCTTTACATTATCTACGTTAAGACCCTTAGAGCCTTTTAAACTATCGTTGCTAATTTCTGTAGGTTCTCGGCTGAGTTGTGAAGCTCCTAAATCATCGTTCTTTCCTTCCGAAGTCTCTGAAGCATAGTTCTTGTCTTCTGAAGACTCCTTAGATTTCGATTCATCCCTCCTTTCTTCGTCATCTACTGAAGCTTCAGAAGAATCTTGCTTAGCTTCTTCAAGCTTTGCAACTTCATCATCCTCAGCTTTAGCTGTATTTTGATGTTCATCGTTTACTATACGATCATTTTGAGCATTATCTCCTGAATCCTCGTGTCTCTTCACTCTTTTAAAAGTTTCTGAAGCTTGTGCATCATCTGATTCAACATGATCTTGCTCCCCTGCTGTTTGACCATATACAACTTCTTTTTGACCTCCATTCAAGCCATGTTCTCCTTCTTTACTCAGTCTACCTTCTTCATTTTGACTTTCTCCATCATTATTCAAGCCTCCATTGACCTCAGTATTCAAATTACCTCCACCATTACCACCTCTACCATTGCCCAAATCTTCGTTAACTTCCCCATGACCATCTTCTCCACCAAGACCCTCATGTTCACCATCCTGATCCCTCTCCGAAAACGTTATATTTCTATGTACAGTTGGGATAGGTTCAGAATTCGGTCGAAACGCGTACGGTGCCACTCTTTCCACAATCTCAACGTCCAAAAGATTATCGACCGGTTGGGAAATAACCTCATCCGTTTCGATATTCTCCATGCGCTCTTGTTGGTCGGGCTGAGTGGGAGCGCCGCGGTTCACTAGAATAAGTTCTCCATTTCCGCGTTGCGATGCCTAAAGACAAAAGTGATGGCAATTATGGCAAAGTAAAAAAATATTAAATTGTGCAAATAATTCTGCGCCTCTTAACCACAAAAATTTGACTTGCGAGAGGCACAGAATTATCTGAACAGCCTAGTATTAAAAAAAACGACAGTTTGACACTTACATCTTGTTGAGCTACACCAACAACTCGTAGCAGCTGTTCTTGATGTAGAATCAAAGGGATTTCGTAGTGATGGAAGAAGTATATCATGGCATGCTATAAATAAAATTTCAAAAAAATCAAAGTTTAATATAACCTCCAGCTAAAGCAATAGATTTAGGTATAAATAGTCAAATCTCAAAATCAAATCGTAAAATACGTTAACTTAAAGTCAATAATAATGTAAAACTTACCAATATAAACATAGCCGACGTCAGTAAAGCAAAAATATTGTATTGACCTCCAAATTTGTACTGATATGCGTAGAAAGCGAAATGATATAGATAAAAGAACCTAAGCCAATGCTTTCTCGACACTGACGATCTACAACAAATGGCGTCGTATTGGTCAGCCATCCATACTAACAGAATTACATAGAAAGCGGTCGAAGTGTCGTTGAATATCTCTGACATTATCGCTTCCATACCTACAACAATATTTCTTGAATTTAGGTAAGGATATTGCCAAAAAAATTAAAAAATCAAATTATATTACCTAAAAATGACTAAAAAGTCCTAAAAATACTAAACCTATACATGACTAACATAAAATGCAGTTCTTGCATTAAAAAGTTGCCCACTTACCGACCAAAGCCAATATGACAGTTAATAAAGGTGCTACTGGAAATACTAATGGTTCGTTTAGTTCAAACATTTGTAGTAAATCAATGATAAACAAGAAGATTTGATGATGTGAGAAGCGTAAGAGCATGGAGATTGCAAAAGTCTGAAAATAATCATATTTATATTAACTTAGTCATAAGAAATTAATTTTAAATTGATTTCATTTGCTCTAAACCTTTAAAAAACGTCAAGGCTTAGATCTATATATCATTAGCTATATTGTAGTAGAAAACAGCCATAACTTCTAATTCTTCAAAAGTTTCTATCCTAAAATATAAAAAAATCAAAACCCTTACAAATATTAACATGATCAACATTGCAGTAATGTAGCTGTAGTGCGAGACAGATGATGTGACAAAATGATAATGTTCCATGTGCATCAAGTCCTTCAAATATCCTTTGTCAGTTTCATTTTCAGCCAGCGACTTCAAGGATGATTGGATAACTTCACCAATACCTCCACTCAACCATCTGGTCAGATATCTGTTCTTCCAGCTTGACAAGCAAACATCATTGTTGCCGTCAATCTATAATATCATTATTATTAGCTTTAAACTTTAGTTTGTCGATTACAAAAGATAAATCAAAGTTTAAAAGAGAAAAGAAGGTGTAAAACATCAAAAACTTACTCTATATGTCATTTCCTCTACATTGTAGTACCTCCTCATGTCCGAGCTCAACTTCAACAAGCCGTGACTCAATGAATATTCTACTGCATACACAAATATTGGCTGTACTTTAGGTTCAAAATATAAGTAATCTAAAAATACATCCATTTGAAAATATTAGTTTTATTTCATGTTTCCCAAAAACACCGAATAAAATAAATAAAACTATCAAAATCGCACATAATATACATTAATATTTAAAAAATTTCGTTAATAAAACATTAACACTCAATCTTTTCAAAAATTGTAAAAAGCCTTACCATCCTCTTCATACGGATCACCAGCAAAAGTAAATTGCAGATCAGATATCCTGTAACGCAACGTCCAATCTCTCGGAGTAAACTTGGGCCCTCGCATGAGAAGATACTTTTGATTATAATACGTTGTGCCATTTGAATCTAAACGTAAAACAAGAAGAAGTAAGTTAACTTACAGTCAATTAAGCCTTCTTCAAACTCTTGTAGATTTCCTATTACTTCCACTCGCAAAATTCCTTTTTTAGGCCAACTATGCTTTATCTTGTTCAAACAGGTGCCTGGATATCTGCTGTGCGTAAAATGAACGTAAATCAATGTGAACAACATTATCAATGCCTAAAAATACCTTCATCAGATTCTATTCTACAAATATTTAGCTAAAACTTTAATTAAAACGTATAAAATTCATCAAGAAATTAATAAAAACAATAACAATACCATCTAAACCAAAGCAAAAAAAAAATTTACCGTGGAAAGAACAAGAAACTCAATCAACGTCCGCCATTTCTGACTAATATGATTGTTGTAGCTGACTGCCACCTTCACCACCATCGCATGAAACAATCGGTCGCGCACTGTGCCCAACCGTTGATTACCATTACCAACATTGGCTCCATCACCGCCCAGGTTGCCAATATCTACCTCCAGATCAACAAGTCCATTTCGATGATCCGCCATTTTCAACGTCTAATACATGCTAAACATTCATTAAATTAAAAGATTTAAGTGTAATACTAAACATGAGATATAAAATTAGTTAAATATTGATGAATAAAAAATAAAATTACATAATTTTAGCTGATTAATGTTAATATATCGAAAAATTATATAAAATAACTTAAAAAATCCTTATAATGATAAAAGAAACTGCGCGAATCGACGGAAACTTGATGTTTTCAATGAGTTTTTCTTGTCAATTTCTCGTCTTTTTTCATGCCACGGAACGCCAAGCTTTTTTGGCTAAACATGTTTTCGTGGTAGGAAGCATAAACTTTAATGTGTTGATTACAATTTGGTTTCAGACGTACTAAAAATGCGCTAAAGCTTTTAAAAATTATTGTAAATCTGTAAATTTTTATAATAATTAAGATTTAGTTGCTATATATTGTGTTTTAATATATTATTCATGTGTTATCAGAAGGCTGTTGTTTCCTTTTGTTTCATTCTTTATTCAGAGTTGCCATGCTACTAATCTGTAAAGACAACAAACAAATAATATTTTTAAGACAGATGTTTTACAAAATATATTTTATTTTACATTTATTTGATCAAAAAATGGTAAAATACGAACAAAAGATAGTCTGACTTTGAAAAACAGTTGGAGTAGATAATGATATTCACAAAACGTTACAAGTGCGATGGTTTAAACGAATGTTTTGTTACACGTTCTATCATTGGTATTGTGATATATTTATGATTCAACAATGTTACTTTCGTCGCATTGAGAGGTGCGTGGAAGATCTGAAATATTTGTGAATCGGACAGTTGTCAGAAGTGTCGGATAACAAAAGTTATTAGTTTAAGTTCAGCAGATGTTTATTAGGCAATTATGAGGAAGGTAAGAACGTTTAGTTGCTATATATTGTGCTTTTCTTTGAAATCTTAATCAGTATTAAAAAATAAAGTTTTGTCGCTTTTGAACGTCAGAGCCTACGTCATTTGACGACAAGATTTTTTTGACCCTGCTGTGACTTGTAGCGTTTGAAATTTTGTTTTTGTGTGTTTACCTTTCTCTTTCATTGTTTCGTATATCTAAGTAGCTAATATATATATGTATATTCAGGTAACATATACAGAAAGTTTTAAAAGCCTGGTGCTAATGGTCGTGTTTATATGCGTAATTTACATATTAATAACGACAAAACGAGACTTTATTAGGACGAAGAACGGATTGATAGCTACAAATTTAAAGTCCACGTTATCAAAAGGAGTTCAAAGTAATGAAAGCTACAATAACATGGTAAAAATACAGTAATTTTTTGATATAGTAAGGTAGGAAAGAGCAGGGTGATTCAGAAGAGGCCAGGGTAGAATAGGACAGGGCACGGTAGGTCATGACTAAGCAGTGTGAAATAGAATAGGGTATGGTAGGGTGAGGTAAGGTAAGATTGGGTAGGGTAGGCCAAAAATAATATTCAAAATTTTTGATTTTAGTCAGATGTAAAAATAATCTTACTCTGGACAACTTACTACGGTCGTGACTCCTACCTTACGCCCCCGTTCGAGCCTTGCGAGTACAAATTTGTCCATACCAATGACAGAAGCTACCTTCCTAATGCCTCATTGGTCGTATTTCATGTTGGCGAGACCAAAGCCGCCGATTTACCGCTCAATAGTTCCGTACCCAAGGTTTATTTGGCCATAGAATCAGCTGTACATGCCATATTTTATAGAGGGAGCCCACCTGCAGACTTTTATAACTACAGTATTACATACCGAGACGATAGTGATGTCACTTTGATCTATGATCCACCAAGGACAGAATACAGTAGGAAGACTGATAAGGAGGTAAGGGTACTTATAAGGTACTTGTAATTATTTCTTACAAAGTTTAGGTAACACATTTTTGTGAATTTTTACCTTATATTATAGTAGGTTCAAGGTCATTTTTACATCACAATATCTTGTTTTAGATAGAGAAGATCATTGCGAAGAAAACGGAATTCGCGTTGAGTGCTCGTTCTAATTGTAGAACACCTTCAAAGAGAGAAAGACTGATAGAACAGCTACAGTCCTATGTCAACCTTACTCTAGTTGGAGGCTGTAGTAAAGTAGACTGTGATAATACATGCCTGGATAAGCTAATAGGTATCAATATTAACTTAGACAGCATATAATGATTTTTTTACGTAATTCGCCCTACCCTACTTTACCCTACCCTACCCTATTCTACCCTACCCTACCCTACCCTTAACTTTTAAAATAGCCTTACAAAATGTCATTTCAGAAAATCACTACTTTTACCTATCCTTCGAGAACTCGATTTGTGATCAATATACGACTGAAAAGTTTTTCCGATTCACAAAATTTATTGTACCAATAGTACTGAAACGTTCTGTAGTACCAAAAAGAATCCCACACGATATTTTCATAGCGGTGGATGACTTTAAAAATGTCATTGAACTTGTAAACTACTTGAAAATGCTAGTTCAAACTCCAAAAGAGTACAAAAAGTAAAATTTTTAACAGTTTTTAGGTATAAACTCAACTGATTTTTTAATTTTAAACCATTTTCTGAACATTTATAGACCTTACTGAAACTTTTGATATAAAAATATCGATTTCCAAACGTTAAACAGTCATATGTTATAAATATGTTTTAGATACTTTGAATGGGCCAAAAGAGATCCCCTGCCAGATACTTATAACAAAACCAAATTTGACACTGCTTGCTCGTCTTGTCGCCTTGCTCATCAACTACCACCAAAACATATACCTGATTATACTAAGATCCTTGACCGGAATCTTTGTGATCACGATTTTGTTTATAGGTTTCTTAGTAAAAAAAATATACATTAGGCTTTTTGAAAATTAAAAAATTTTGTAATTGGAGAAAATAGTTTTGATTACGCTTTGTGACACCATAGGGGGTATAATTTAAATCTGTCAAGATTTAATCTTTGTTTTTTGGTTTACAATTAATACGCCTGCCGACGGCGGCGTTTTAAATTCATTGTTTTGTAATTGGAACACTTGCTGGTGAGCTTATTAAGCCTATAGTTTAAGCACATGAAAAAGGTAATTGAATATCAAAGTTGATAAAGTGTTAAATGTCCTTACCTGATTTTTTAGCCTTTTCTTATCTTTCCCTTCCCCCAAGGGGTGAAAAACGGGCCGTGTAGGCATGGCCTCAAACTAGCTTTAAAACGGACACGGTCTAAAGTTGCCTTGAGCAAAATATCTTTTTTTAACACAAGCCGAGTCTATAATTTTTTGAACGGGCCGGGCCGGCTGTAGAAAAAATGAAAACGGGCCGGGCCTAAACGTTAGGCCCCAGGCTTGGGGGGCCTCAAAAAGTAAGCCCGGCCTAGACCGTTTCTTACCCCTACCTCGCCCCCGCGCCGTCACACCCCAAGCGATTGCCCCATGCTTTATAATAAGTTCATTCAGATATACCTAAGTTGAACTAAAAAAAAATACTACTACTCTTTAGGTATCTAACACACAACTTTTGAAATTTCTAGTCTCAACTTTAGTATTTATATGGGGATTTTACATATTTACCACAACAAAACAACAGTTGGACAGAATACAAAACGAACTGACAGCTACTAATTTAATGTTCGAGTTAACAAAAGAGTTTAAAGATGAGGTGAACGTCAATAACATGGTAAGTCATGTTTTATATCTTACAGGATGCGCGCAATGATCTGTTACACGGTTTTTTAATCAAATATTTATTTTAACAACAAATATATATTATTTTGCTAAAATATCAATATATGAAACATCTTCGTACTGTACTACCTCTTATCTTAAGAAATAGTATTTTACCCTACCCTAGCCTACCTTATCATCTCCTACAATAAATTACCTTACCCTGCTCTACTTTACCCTACCCTACCTTACGCTCAAAAGCCAGAACTTTTACTGAAACGGATAGTACGATAAAAAATTATTATACATTGTAAGTAAGACCAAAAAATTTTTTCAGTCAAACATCAAAATTATATTACTATGGAACAGATTCTACGATCATAAAGTATTCGTCTTTCCACCCTTTGAACCATGTGAATACAAATGTTTTCATACGAATGACAGAAGATACCTTCCCTACGCTTCACTCGTCGTATTTCATGTAGGAAATGTAACGGCCGATGACTTACTGTTCGATAATCCTGTAGCCAAAGCTTATTTGGCCATTGAGTCACCTATGTATGCCATATTTTATAAAGGAAGTCCACCACCAAACTATTTCAACTACAGCATGACATATAGAGATGACAGTGATGTTACGATAATGTATGATCAACCTAGATCGGCTTATGAGAAGAAAACTGATCAGGAAGTGAGGTTTTATGAACATACCCTCAAAAACCAAAATCCTTTTAAAACTGGCTAAAATACGTTTTCTAGTTAGACCAAATCATTAAAAAGAAGAACCAATTTGCTGTGAGTGCACGTTCTAATTGTAAAACAATATCACAAAGAGAGAAACTGATAGATGAACTTGAAAACCATGTAGACCTTACTCTTGTGGGACGCTGCACCAATGTAACTTGTGATACTACATGTTTGGACGAACATATCGGTAATAGTTTTAAAACTAAAAAACTAAACAGTGTTTCAGAATGTCATATTTTTTACAAAATTTTATTTTTTTGTGTCCCATAACTGTCAAAAAAGTCTTGTCGTTTTTACAATTGAAAACTAATTCATATTGACGACAAGACTTTTTATGGAAAATTAAAATAGCCTTTAGTACATTCATAATAATAACAAAAATTCAGCAAAAAATAACCCTGCCTTAACGTTTCGCTGTACTATAGCCTTATAAAATGACATTTTTCAGAAAATCACTACTTTTACCTATCCTTCGAGAACTCGATTTGTGATCAATATACGACTGAAAAGTTTTTCCGATTCACAAAATTTATTGTACCAATAGTACTAAAACGTTCTGTTGTACCAAAAAGGATTCCTCATGACATTTTCATCGCGGTGGATGACTTTAACAATGTCATTGAACTTGTAAACTACTTGAAAATGTTGGTTCGAACTCCAAAAGAGTATAAAAAGTAAGCTTTTTTCAGTTTTTGGATATTAATTCAACTGATTTTCAAATTTTAAACCATTTTTTAAATATTTAGGCCTTGCTAACATTTTCAATCTAAAAAATATTGATTGGGAGGCACCCAAAAAAACGTCCTATCATGATATATCAGCCCAAATAATATGTTTAGATACTTCGAATGGGCCAAACATGACCCGCTTACAGACACTTATAGCAAAAAGGTGCTCGACGCAGCTTGTACCTCTTGTAAACTTGCTCATGAACTACCACCAAAACAAATACCTGATTATAGTAAAATTCTTGACAGGGATCTGTGTGATAACGATTTTCTGAATAGATTCTTAAATACAACCTCATCTAGTGCTATTTAGAATTGATTAAAACATCCCTAATTGTATAAAATTGTCTGTAAAATATAAAGTAAAGGTATAATAAAGCATTAAAAACATGTTATTTCAACCAGCTAGAATAGCCGTTTTGGCGCGAATGGTTTTCGCTTCAAAACCCAAAAAATGGACTGATGTTTTTATATTTTTGACGAATTTTTGCCGAAAACATTTGTACCCCATTGTACAACTAAAGTACGGCCTTCTCAATGTCAATTTAAGAATAAAATGAGAGATGATTACGTACCTGTTGTAGACATCTATGCAGATATTCTTAAAACTCTGAAAAATCGACTCAAAACCGAGACGAAAGTTGAAAATCTTCAAAAACTTGCCAGAGCTTGGACAAAATGCTGTTCTCTCAAGTGTGATCCGTTCAATTATCATGGAGTAGGCAATAGAACTTGTAATAACTGTCGTACATTGACTGAAGATGTTTTCAATATGGTAAGAGTTGGCAAAATAGCGTATTAAAACTTTAAACTATTGTTTTAGCTCATCTTGGATAAGACTTTGGATGAATTAAGAGAAATAATACACAAAATAGTGCTATATCAATTTTCAAAAGTTAGTTTGGTTTTTTCTGAAGGTATGTGATTTGTTTCATTTTGTTTTATGTTTAGTAAAGAACAATGGAAGCTTGATAATCGACGGATGTTGACTTGGATCAAAGAAGTGGTTAATCAACTGCAAACCTTGTTTTTCATTGACTTTGATACAAGAAGGAAGTTAAAAAGGAGTGCTACGTTTAGTTCTGAAAGGTTTAAAACTTCTGTGACATTCGCGGACGAGGATATTACGCATAAACGCACTTGTGATGTTAAGGTATATAGTTATTGATAATTTTTTTTATAATTTTTCTAACAGAATTTTTAGAGACTCTAATTTATTAGTGTATTTTAAGAATTTGGTTTTAAATTTATTTTTATATTTATTTATTTCCAGTCATGTAGTCTCGCACCTCTAAATCATATTATGTTAAGCGATCAGTTTATTGATACTGATTTCACTGTAAAACAAGGAAAAGCGTTTAAAACGGATAGAGAACGATTTCTTCTTCATTGCGATGCTCATAGTCAAGTTTGCAAAGTGATTTATTATCTGGAAAACATGGAGTACAACATTTACAGGAATTGTCAACATTGGGTAGGATAATATAAAACTTTAATGGTATTTTCGAAAAGTTTGTATATTTATTTCTAAAATATTAAGTTTTAAGGTAAAACATGTTTGTTTGGTTCTGTTTTTAGTTATATAAGTAAGACGTCTTTAAAGAAATTAAAGCTTTCTTAATTTTAGATAACAAAAATTGGATCAAAAAAGTTTGAAATCAATGGAAAAATTGAGAATGCTGTGATTAGAGGACTTGTTGATTATTACATCAAGTTGTTTATTGAAGTGGACAGCTTGGACAAGGTTTATTTGTCTGCTTATCGTTCTACCTTCAGTTGTATACCCACGTTGAAGGTCATCTACGAAAACTGGGTGGATTATGTAAAGACCGTGAAGAGTATTAGAATAAGGTCTATTTTGGACAATGATAAGGAGTTTCAGAAATTGAAGGACAAGAAGTTTAAGACAGAGTACGTTGATGATGGTTCAGATGAAGATATGGATTGTATTTGACTTTTATGGTGGTTTTTGCGGGTTTTTAGTGGTTTTACCTGATTTTAATTTTGAAGCCTTATTTTTTATTGCTTTATTTCGTTGTTATTGATCTCATATAATGTATATAATATTGTTATTGTTGTTATCTGTTACTTAATATTAATAAAAACTAAAAATCATATTGAAGTTCGTATTTTTTACTTTGGTATCGTATTTAACGAAGCTATTGCAAGTCTTTATGCTACAATTTTTGATATAAACGTTATTCTATGAATACATCTGTAGATTTTTGCCGTATATCTCTTTATAAAGTGAAGATCTTCACGTAGATACTGTATTTTGCTCGCTACAGCTTTTGATGTAAATATGGAACGAGTGGGCTTTGGTCGGAACAAAAACTTCAACGTGGTACAGTTTTGGGAACAAAGAGAGATGTAAGCAGTTATATTGTTGGGATTTTTCTATAATGTCTGTGCCCTTTTCAATACAAATTCTTGAGGCTAGGAAGCACAGAATTATGTGAACAACCTAATATTTGGATCAAGCTAAATGTGTGTTTTAGAGGTCTGAAGACGATAGCACACGATCGTCGACTAATAGATTATCGTATTAGGAGTTTGAAAATGAGTGAATTGGAGCTTATTCGATACCCAGAAGACCGTCAATCCACCTCATCGTCAATGGCTTTTGATCAAAGTGAATATAAATTGTAAGAAATGGCTTTTTTGGCCGAATTTGGTTAATTTTTTTGACAAGCCAAGGCGTTTAATTATCAACGTATAAATTAGTTGTGGGATTTTATAAACTATAGACAAGACTTTACAATTTCTCAACCTTCTCAATCTTCAAGCTTACAGTTTGTTATGTGGCGGCCGAACCGGCGATATTCGAATATTTGATATGGACGCGCCTGAGAATCCGGATACGGCGCACGCTTGGGAGCACACTTGTTATAGTGCTCCGAAACAACAGTAAGTATAAGAAGGATGATAATTAGTACTATTGGGCTGAGAAATTGGCATTTTTTACTACTTTGAACATAAGAATACTAAATAGTACTGCTATGGTCAAGAACACAGTATTATACTGACTTATACAATACTACTATGGCCAAGAACACAGTGCTATACTGACTTATATAGTATGTACTATTTTTACTAAAATGAGATAAAACCTACCAGCTTAGCTTAAAAACGATTTAGAAGGCCCAAAAAAGTAAAAGAAAGTGTTTAATATATAATACTATAGTGAAATTTTAATATTATGTTGTTGTAGATGGCACCACGGCGCAATAACCAAAGTCCAATTCTACCCAATCGACTCGGGTGTCTTCTGTACGACCGGTCGAGATTGTAAAGTACGATTATACAATTCGGAGACCTTCCAAGTGATCGATGAAATCCAGTTGCCAGAACCAATCAGGGATGCGCAATGGGGAATGGCACAGAGTAAAGGCGGAATTATAGCCGTATCTCTTGGCAGCCACTCGATTCGACTGGTCGACCCAAGACTGCGGCACGATATTCATCATCTCAGGTGGCCTCAGGTCACCGTACAGTCGGTTCAGTTTGGAGATACGTTCACTAGCCCATACGTGTTCGGAGGATCGGTTAAGGGACATTGCGTGGTTTGGGATATAAGGTAAGGGAAATAGCTATAGTTTTAGGTATTGAAGGGTATTTAAGTATGTATGTATGGAAGGCGTGGTACAAAAATCCCGTTTTCCTTACGAAAAATCTTTTAATGAACTTTAAATAAAAAATAGACGATTATGTATGAAAACTACTCTCTTACTTTGATATCTATTTCAGAAACCCAGGCACAGTGATGGAGAACTTAGTAGCACCGTACGATATCATCAGAACTAAGAAACGAAAAGCTCATACAACTGAAATTCGAGCGATCAGAGTGACAGAATCCAAGAAATACGTGGTGACATTGAGTACTAGCAAACATATTCACATATGGGATGCCAGGGACTTGACTTTCATACATTCACTTGATGTAGGTTACCGTTAAGCTGTTGACATTCTTATTTTAAAGAATATTAGGTTGTTCAAATAATTCTGTGCTCCTTCTAAAAGCAAATTTTTGGGATTAGAGGGCAACAATTTAATATTATCAAAAGTAGTAGTCTAATTTGGTACTTAGTACTATATATATAATATCACTAAGAAAATATGGTAATCAGTTCAACTTTCCAAATAGGGTACGGCAGGGTAGGGTAAGGCAGGGTAATGTAGGGTAGGGTTGTAGGGTGGAGTAGGGTAAGCTGTTCTAGAGTATGGCATGGTAGGGTTGATAAGTTGAAAAAAAACATAAAACGTTTTCTCTATGTACCCTACCTTGCCCTGCCTATCCTACTCTATATTTGCCTATCATACGCTGCTTGATCATTGCCTATATTTTCCCTACCTTAAGACTTTAGTAATACAAAATTCAAAATTATAGTTAACTTGGACGCCAAGCGAAGACCTCCGCCAAATCATGGAAATTGCCGAAGAAGGCCAGAACTTGTACGCATTTGTGGGTATGGGCGAGGAGCTGTTGGTGTGTAATATAACTCCAAAGAACGATCGACGACCGAACATTGTGAAGCTTTGGAGAAAACCGAAAAAAGAAGAGGAAGACACAAAGAATGGCATAAAACAAGGCGAGAAAGATGAACAAGACAGTAATTATGACCCCAGTTATGATGACAAAAGTAATGTGGCCCAAAAGGACGGTACTATGGCTCAAAATACGACAGAGGCTACTGTAAATCGACGAAGAATCCTACCGAGAGCTTGTCGCAAGTTTAATACGGAAAAAGAGTACGGTAATCAGGACGTGAAGAGGCTAACTGGTCATTTCCATAACATTATGTCAATCGCCTATCAAAAACATCGACAGAGGGTGGTGACTTCGGGTGCTGATGGTCATACTCATCTATGGGTACCGGCTATGGACGAAACTTTGTCTGATGAACGAGCGAGCAGTATGGCCAGGTTGTACGAAGATGACCTTAGTGATGACGATGATTAGCATGGTACTGTAATATGGGAATTATTGTGTAGTGATGTTGGCAGAAGATGGTTTAATGTGGTACTACAAGAAGATGATGATTGAGTATGGTACTATTTGATGATGATGGTTGAGTATGGTACTATAGGAGGATGATGATTGTGTTTTGCGCTATAAAATGGTGAAGATTGAGTGTGGTAATGTATGAGGGTGATGATTGCCTATGGTGCTATAATATGATGCTGAATGGATATGTTATTTATTATAGGATGATACGGATTGTATCAGTCTTTCCACTAAAGAATTTGACAAAATCGCAAACCCCAATTTGGAGGAATCGCTGTCGTGCCGAGAATCGGGGTACGTCGCACGACATTCAGCGAGTCGTGCGACATTCGCTTGCATCCTGCGACATCGAAAGGGAAATCGCAATGTCGCAAGGGACAAAACTTTGCGACAAGTTGTCGCATCGCGGTTTAAAGGGCAATGCGACAACGTGTTGCGATTGTCGCAACGCTCAAGCCACCACTGTGTTCAATGAAAGGTTTGCGACAAGTTTCTTTTGATTGTCGCAAGTCCCCTGACTCCTGCGACAACCGACCAGTGCGACAATTGGGGGCTTGCACTGTGCATTCTTTCTCCCATCGTTTGGGATTGCAAGCGATCGCGGGGGAATCTGCACGGTGCAGGGGAATAAAAAAGGGCGCGATTTTCCCAGGGACTGCACTGTGCAGTTGTCAAATTCTTTAGTGGAACGACTGATATATATGATTGTTTGAAAATATCGTTTGTTTATGTTAATTTAGGATGTATACTGGATATATAAGGTCGTTCACTTAATTTTGTGCCCTCTCTTAAAATAAACTTTTGTATTTAGGGGACACAGAATTATTTGAACAACCTACTAATTGAAAATGTTAAGACAGCTGATACTGATTGTATATGTTACTATGTATTATATAACTTATATTTTAAGTATAAAAATCTAATGAATCTCAACAATAATTGTTTGCTTCGCTAAAATATATTGTTATGGATCTGACTTTTTGTAAATGTCATGAATGACATTACTATTTTATAATTGTGTTATATTAATGATGCCATTCATCAACTGTATTATAGTCTTTTTTTAAGTTGGTAAGGGCCACCTTAGTCGAAGAAAAGTCTTGTCGCTTTTGAGTAAAGCTTTTAATGTTTGAAAGCGACAACATTTTTTTGGCAATCGGAATGAATCATCATGTTTCTTTGATAAATGTGATTAACTTCAATTGTAAATGGATAAATATGTTATTATATGGTTATACATTTGGTAACTTGATGGATTTATATCGAGAAGTTGAATTTTTAAAATTTCAGCAAAAAAATAAAAATTTTGCATTTTTTTCTGATGTTAAAAATTTTTAAAAATCCAGCAAATCTTTTTAACACAACTCTCTTTTCTCTCTTTATATTACCCATACTCGCTATATACTACCTATTTCAACTACGTAACGAACAAGAGATATAATCCGGATTTGCGAAGTAACAACTACCCAAAAGTGTGCTTTTTGAAACAGTTGTTCCGCGTTGTAAAGACGTGTGTTTATGCAGAAGTAAGTCCAAATTAGGACTTACTTCTTTGCGGAATAAACAGTCAAGAACCAGACTCCAGTTTCCATGGATCCCGGAATTTTGACGTGCTTCAGCGGGTTTTTCGGTTCGAAACTGCTTCAGCGTGAATTTTCAAGCAAAAAAGGGTTTGGGTTGAAAGTTTTTGGTGTTTAAAAGTTTGTAGGATAAGGTGGACTAAGATGTAAATCAAAAAAATTTTTTTTAGCTATCAGTACCCCTCCTACAAAAAACAGAGTACAAAAACTCTATAGCGATCTGCACGCTCGTTTCTAAAGCTTTACTTGTAGACTGCTAGCCCTTTTTAAATTAAAATATGATTACAGAACGACTTTTTAGATATCATATTATATTTTTTGCCCAACGTTCTAAAAAATCGTTTTTTAATATAATCTTTTTCAAATCATAAAATTAGTTTCTAAACTTTTAGAATTAAATTTTAAAACCAAAATTTAAAAAAAAACTTACTTTAAGAAAAAAAGGTTAAAGTTAAGCTCACATTAAACTTTTTTGAACGGCGTGCACCGTGCGCTTATTAAATTTTGATTAGGTGCACGGTGCGCGTCGTCCGGGAACTATTTTAGATTTTTTATAATAGAAAAAGAAAAGGAAAATCTTTTATTTATATTACAATCAGGACCAGGCGCGGGGGGGAAGACGGAGGGGGGGTACCCCCACCCCAGAAAAAAATTTTAGAAAAAAGTTGAACGTGGACCCCCTGTGGACTTCCGGAAAAAAAAATTTGCAAAAAATCGGCACAGGTAGCTGTGCCGATTTTTCGGACCCCTGCCCCCAGACCAAAAGTCCCCGCCCGGCCCTGATTACAATTTATATTACAATTGTTAGATCTATATTAGTATATATTTTTAGTATCTTTTAAGTTTCACTTAAAAATTACTTTTAAATTTTTAAATTGAGCCTTTACTCATTTTTTTAATTGTAAAACAAAATTTTCTAGTGAATTTTTTCAAAAAAAATATAACTACAATAGTGCTAGGCAGTAACAACACGAAGACACAATGAAAGAACGATTTTTGACCTACACTGTATTGCTTACTCATTTTTCTTGGCGTGAATAACGGGTTCAATATAATTTTTTGTTTCATTCGGCTATAGTGGTTATTGTAATCTTGGCTACGGGCTACGACTCATAGGGCGATTACTGGTCAGTTGTAACGTTGGATAAGTGTCTTCTTGTCTAGGAGTGATCTCGGCTATGATAGATCTTGGTTAGAAATGGTTTTGGGTAAAGGTGATCATGGTTAAGGGTGGTATTGGCTAGTAATGATTTTGGCTATTATGGGCGAGTTTGACTAGTGATAACCTTGGAAAGGGGTAATTTTGACTAGATTTGAGCTTGGCTAGAAGTAAGCTTAATTAAGAGTAAACTTGACTAGAAGTGAGTTTTGCTAGAAGGTCATTTTGGCTAGGGGTCGAGGAGTGATCTAGCTATAGTTGATTTTCGCTCTTGGCTAAAAATGATCTTGACAAAAGGTGAGCTTAACCTGGAAGAAAAGTGTCAAAAAATGAGCACGAAACGCACAATTTAAAATAATTAGAAAAATAGCAGGGGTTTATCAACTAAAAAATGTTTTTAAAGCAGTGGAGTGGGTGGCAGAAGAATTTCTTCTAATAAAAAAAATCTTGATATAAAAAATTGTTGCCAAAATTATTCAAAAAAAGTCTCGTAAGCCCTAAAAAGCTAATTTGTATAATTAAATTGTTTAATGTGTTTTTAAAATAGTTCAATGATTGTGCTTTGTATGCTCATTTCGGCTTATCTTTATATCAGTTTGCGTAGGTTTTTTTTGTGATAACGTGGCTTTTGAATTTAAAAAAAAAATTCTTTTCAATTTGTCCTTTAAATTGTTTAAAAATTATTTTTAAAAAATTTACTTTATTATTTTTTTTACCATTTTTTGTTTCTACATATAAAATAAATGGTAAGAATTGTATAAAACTGATAATCTCTGGCTTCTTTTATTGCTTTTATATTTTTTTTGTAAAAAAAGTTATGGTTGTCTCTTAGACAAATTTTTATAATGTAGTTTTTGAAATATGGTAACTTAACCGTACCTCGCCATTTTTTTATTACTCGATCCTATACGTTACATCTATTACCTTCAATTTTTAACCAAACTTTACAGTTATACCGCATCAACCAGTCGGAGGATGCCATTTGATGACCATAACCATCAATATAATACGCTTTTTTAAAAAGTGCATGAACTGTTTGCGATCGTTTGTTCATAACATACGAAAAGAGAAAAAATTAACCAACCTTCTCACCACGTTGTTCTTACTCTACTGTATCTACAAAGTGTTGGTTTGGAGTGAAAACATTCGAAATGAAACCACGATTATTGTCATCACACCCACACACAAAAGGCCCGAACGACTGGCTGACATGACTAGGTATGTTAGAGAGTTATATGACGTAGGGCGGGGTAAGGTAGACAAGGGTAGGGTAGTGTAGGGTAGGGTAGGGTAGGGTAAGGAGGGCAGGCAAATATTATATTCTTTGACAATGTATAATATTTCAGGTTCTCACAAACCTTGATGCATATTAAAAACCTTCATTGGGTCGTAATAGAAGACAGTAATGCTACCGTTCCAGCTGTCGAAAGAATTTTGCAACGAACTGGATTGCCTTACACTTATTTTTTCACTAATACAGAACCGGGTTTTCCACGTAAGTTTGAGCTTATACCTAACATTGTAAGCACTCCTCGCCAAGGCTACCTCTAGCCTAACCAAAATCACCCCTAGCCAGCGTCATCCCTAATCAAAACCACCTGTCGCCAATGGCTACTCCTAGCCCAATGTAACACGTTTTTCTTTAAAAATGCCATTTATAGGTCGCGGGTGGACACATCGTAACATGGGTCTACAGTATGTACGCAAAAACTACCGTGATTACGGCAGAAATGCGGTTGTTTACTTTGGCGACGACGACAATTCATATGATATACGGTTGTTCAATGAATACATACGAAATGTCAAGTCGATTGGGTTTTGGGCTGTGGGTAAGTGATAGCTATTACCTACTTTAATAAGACTTGATAATTAAAAAATTTTTTTTTCATTTTTGATTATATGATTATAATACAATTTAAAAAAAAGTGAAAACTTTATATTTTTAGGCCTAGCTGGATCAGCTTTAGTAGAAGCTCCACATGTTGAAAACGGTGTTATAACCAAATTTAATGTTGTCTACGCACCATCAAGAAAGTTTGCTACTGATATGGCTGGTTTTGCTATTAATTTGAAGTTAATATTAAAATATGAGTAAGTTTTGACAAACATTTTACGTTCTTTAGCCCTAGCCTTATTCCTGACCCTAGCATTTCAACTAGCACAAGCCCTGGCCATAGCCCTGGTCCTAGCCCTATAGAAGTTCGAACACCTTAACATTGAACTTACTATTCGTTTCAGAGCATCATTCCACAAAGGTTGCGTCCGAGTGTCTCCAGAATCCTGTTTCCTGAGTCAATTCAAGTTGAATCGATCTCAAGTCGAGCCGTTTGGCCATGATCGGGAACCAAAAGAGATCTTGGTTTGGCATACGAAGACGAAAAACATTGGCACAAAGGGTTCGAATCACGGCTACATAACTGAAAAATAATAATAGACTTTCATTAATTTAAAACAGAGTATTTACTTATAATATATATTATAATAGATTCACGGGTTTAAAAGAATAAACGTCGCTTTAAGTTAAAATTCATATCAAATAAACATTGATTTTTAAAACAACCCCCAACAAGAATAAAACGATGAATTTAGAGTTAGGATCATCGGTAAATCAATTTACACAACTAAACCAACCTAGACATCTAAATGATCTTTCGGTCAACAAAAATGTTTACAGCTCTACCATTTTCTTCATATTTATCATTACTAATAAATGTTGACACAATACCTTACCTTTGTATGCCATTTATTAAACACAAGCAACGAGAAGTTTGATATAAATAACCTCTAAACTTCCGGATACTTTTCATCTTATTTACTGTAGAGTAATAAGCAAATTCTGTGTTACAAAGACTTCTTTTCTTGTGCTCGACCTGTGGGTCCAATTTCCGTTGTGATCCATTTTATAGACTCTAAAAAACAATAACAAAGATATTCTAACTTAGCTCCACCACAATTCCCAGTCTTTAGCGCGATTTTATTATGCTAGACCCGTATACAGTACTCGTATCAATAATACATAATAAAAGAAACATTAATATTAAACAAAACAATCAAATACATTAGAATTCCTGTATAACATATCACTCGTGAATTTAAAAGTTACTCGTTATACATAAATGTCGTTATACAAGGTTCCACCGTAATAAGTACATTATTGATAATACATGTCGATATCATCAAAGAAGTCATGTAACTTCTTCTCTCTCTTCCGCTTCATGGCTTCGCGTTGCTTTCGGATGGCTACCAGTTCATTGCCCTTGACCAGCTTGTAGGTTTCGAAACTGCTCTGTAAGGCGTTGATCATCTCTATCTGAAAAATAACATCATTACCTATTATCGCAAACAATATGTTCCATAATATACAAAGCTATTCTTTCAAAGTTACTTTTAAGTTGCTAAAATAAACCCACCATTTTTATACCTAAAAAATATAAAAACTGACCTGATCGCGTTCCGACAAGTTGGAGACATTGAAATGTTCTACTAGTTTGTTCCATGGTTGCCCTCGTCGAGTCTCGCATTCGCCATAGCTTTTTTCCTCTTCGAAGATGAGTTGGGTACTCTTGAAGGCTGGGTAGTAGACTTCGCCAAACTTTATAATCTCTCCCAGACGATGAGAACAATTGGAAGTCATGTTGCACACTGCCGTTCCACATTTAATGACATATGCGTCTTTCTGTAATTAGTACCGTATATTAGAGTTAAGGTAACACATTATCATATTATAGAAGATACTACGCTTTTACAATGAAAGAAGGTACGGTGAATTCCAAACGATATGATTATTGAGTATCATAATTAAAGATAATCAAAGTTGCCCGCATTGAAGCGCTCAGCCATGTTTGAGCAATCACAAAATACCCACAGTAAGACAATAACAACCCCCACTCAGCCTCAAAACAAAATTAACCCGCCAAACCCTGATCTAAACTTACAGCACTACTATCGTCGTCCGAAACCTTCAACCGGCTCCAAATGTCAGCATTCACTCCAACATAGTACGTCTCCACAGCCAGTCGAATTTTCGTGGTATCCGAGATCTGTTTCGTGCAGTTGCCACATTTGATTTTGTACTTTTTGTGTGATAGCTGCTCTCTCAACTTTCGTCTCTCCTCGTCTTGAATGTCCTTCATGGCTTGGAGTTTGCTGTCTTCTTCTTTTATCATTCGCTTCAAAGCTGCGTCTCCTTGATGCTGAAAAAGAAAAAAAAATGAAATTTCGTTGTAATCAAAGCCCCATGCTAACAAATATTTTTTGTTTTTAGAAATAATTTTACTACTTCCCCTTTCCACCCTCCCGCATTTAAAGTAACCACCAGCTCCTACATCACTCCTGCTACAAGCATTATTTTAAACTACTCCCCAAACTAAAGCCATTTCTATAACAAGAGCCAAACTGCAAGCCAATGTCTAAACGAATAATATTCTCCTCCTCTAACTAGCCCTGCCAACACGCCCATACAATCAGCCACCTACCTGAAGTTGTGAGATCACTCGCTTCAACATGGCCTCCTTCATCATGTTTTGAGTCTCTCTGGTCTCGATTGCCTCGTCCAATGCCAGCAAAATGGTCTTAGATCCTTTGGCACGAGCACGTCCTCTTCGCTGAATCATTGTGCGTTCTGAACCCACACTATTGTACTTGATGACAAGGTTACATGCGCTAATGTCCAGACCTTCTTCGGCCACTGATGTTACTACCAATATCTTGATCTTGCCTACAAATACAAAATTTTTAAAATGATAAAAAAATAATTTAGAAAGTTTAAATTTGAAACTTAAAAAAAATTTCAAAATTCAAATTTTTTTTTCAAAATTCAAAATTTAAATTCTTCGAAATTTCAAAACCCTACCTTCAGCAAACTTTTTGATAATATTCTTCTGTTCGGCCGAGCTCATTCCACCGTACTTTGATGACTGATTACTTGATGTCAAGTTTCGTGCAAAGTTACTTTGGTTCTGCATGAGCTTCTTCATGCTGGGCGATCTCAACAAGAAGTCGACGAGATATCGAGTCATGGCTCGTCGCTCCACGAAAATCAGGCATTGAGTATCAGGCTTTTCAGTGTATGCTTTGGCCAAGTTTTCAATCAACTTGACCAAGATTTCCTTTCCGGCTCCATTGTCCGTGTTGGCGGCGTGGTTGATTTCCATTTCTCTGTCTTAAAAGTAGAAATTGACAATAACATCCCGTCCTACTTAAATTTAATCAAAAAACCTTAAAATCCCGTTAAAAAAATTTCAAAAAAATTATTACCACATTTTCGAAATGTATCGCTCTTTAAATCAAGATCTACTACACCAAACATACCTTTATAAAACTTCAAAAAAGTCTGATTATCCGTATTCGTATTCTTCTCAAGAGCTAGAATTTCCGTTTTTAGGTAACCATTAGCGTAAACAGCTTGTACGAGATCGTTCATTTTCATCGCGAACATGTAAACCTTAAAACATTTTTTTACACTTTAAATATAAATTTAAATTACCCAACTTTTTATTAGTATTTAATACCAATAAACAGATTAATGTAGAGTGAGGTATTTTCGAATGAGATAGAATAAAGTAAGGTAAAATGATAAAAGAAGACAAGGTAGGACCAGGTTAAATAGAGTAAGTCATGATAAAGCAAGGAAGGTGAAGAAGAGTAAGGTACCGTAGAATTTCGTGAAATAAAGTAAGATAAGACAAGTAGATAAAGCAAGATATGGTTTTTTTCCTCTACAACAAGGTAGAACAAAATACCATACATTATATGTCAGATCATGCGAAGTATTATAAACCAACAATAACATCCCCACTAACACTACTCCAAATCATTACCTTAACATGCGTAAGAGCCAAGTTGACAAACATTCTTTTATCCACATCTTCCACTGTAATGAACACTTCACGCAGTAAATCAAGTTGTTTCTCCCATGACATTGAGGATCGTCGACTGAAGGCAAAATTCCTCAACTTGTCGTATATCTTGGGTTGTTGTTCAATGATCGACAATGAGTATTCTTTGACAAAAGGCTCGAGAAAGTCAAAGAAATGGAACAAAATTTCCCGCATATACTCGTTGAACCTGTCTTGATCTGGCCTTTTGCATTTGGTCACCTCTGAAAGATATTAAATTGTTTTAATAATTCTGTGCCCCTTTAAAAGAACATTTTCTGTGTTAGAAAACATATAATTATTTTAACAACCTACACTGATCATGTTAGTTGAATTATCAATTTTTAAACTTCAAAGCTGCAGCAGTAAGATAAGCTTAACCCCTCCGCCCCCAAAGAAACCATAACATACCATCGACTGGTGGTGAAACGTATTCATTAAGCTCTTGCACGTTCTCTGGACTTTTCACCGTTGACAAATTCGTAGCCTTCATAGCTACACACATTCTAAGAATATGTTTTGTCGCATTTTCGTCGTCACGGGCGTCATTACCACCAATTCCCAACGAAGCCGTTAAGCCGACAATTTGAGGCTTCAAAGCTGACGGTGAATCAACTATGTACTCCATGATTACTAAAACAATGTTATTACTAACTGAATTATGCTGAAAACAATATTATTAATAACTTTTGTTTAGATGATATGATATATACTTTGGGATCAGGAACTCTGGGGGAGCTCACTTTGGGGGAGCTCATTTTGGAGGAGAACTTACGGGGAGCGCACTTTGGGGGAGAACCTATTTGGGGGTTCTCACTTTGGGGGAGGATAAATTTGGGGGTGAGGAGGAAATGATAAAAAATTTAAAAGTTAAATTTTTTTGATTTTATTTTCTACTTTTGGTTAGAAAATGTATGTTTTGGAAACTATATTTAACTCGAGACTTTAGAGTGTTAATTTATTAATAAAAAAGTTAATTAAAAAATGTGATTTAAAAGTTAGTAAGCTGACCTAAGGGTAAAAAATATTTTTTTAAAATTGAATACAGGGTGTTCCGAGAAATTTGGTCGCTAGAAATAATTCATAACTTTGCAACTATGCATCCTAAAAATGCCAAATTTGGCACAGTTGTAGAACAGACTTGTACATTTTTTTGTGGAAAATTTTGTGTTTTAAAAGTGCAAATTGCGGTCATTGCCGTGCCGTGAACGTTCTAATGTTACAGTTTTTGAATTACGATTATAATTTACTATCAGATATTTTTTGCGAACCAAAAAAGCCGTAACATTAGAACGTTCACGGCACGGTACGATAACGTTCACAGTACTCTACCTATTATGCGACCTAACATTAAAAGCATGCAAAAAAAGTGTCATAAGAACGTTGACAGTACGACTTCTGCGTTCACGGTACAATGTCAACGTTAACGATACTTAATAAAGGCACATGTGAAATGGGTTCGTTTATCAATTTTTTTATTTGAGGCCAAGGCGATTTTTTTAATTTTAGTTTTTTTTCGGTCTCGTTATAATGTTTGTGTTGAAAATTGATAAACGGACTCATTGATCGTCGTAAAAAATTGTAAAAAAACTAAATTATGTAGAAAACAAAACAACGTAATGCACAATTAGGTAAAAATTGCATACATTTTAGTTTAATTGTTTATATCATTTTGTACTTTTAAATTTTTTAATTTATATAAAACTACAGCTTTTGAGAATCTAACCAATATTCAGAGGGATAATTATTATTTCTTATTTTTAAAATTATATTTTAAATATTTTTTTTCCAATTTTTAAAAATTTTAATACTCTAAAGTCTCGAGTTGAATATAGTTTCAAAACATACATTTTTTAACCAAAAGTAGAAAATAAAATCAAAAAAATTTAACTTTTAAATTTTTTTATCATTCTCGACACTCTCGAACTGTTTCTGGATTAATTTATACTATTTTAGGATTATTACGTAACCTCCCCCAAAATCCTCACCCCCAAATTTATCCTCCCCCAAAGTGAGAACCCCCAAATAGGTTCTCCCCCAAAGTGAGCTCCCCGTAAGTTCTCCCCCCAAAATGAGCTCCCCCCAAAGTGAGCTCCCCCCAAAGTTCAGTCACTCATATACTTTAAACCTAGGTTAGGCCTCGCAACGAAAGATTTAATTTGCGTAAAGGCTACATAAAGCTGTCAGGTATAATATCAACCGGTATCTTACTTTTGTACGGATGCTTGGCGGTGCAATGATGGCATTCATCAAAGACGACCAAAGAAAAGTCCGAAACCAACAACCTCTCCGACTTCAGAATACTCTTCATCATATTGAGCAGCAACTGTGGAGTAATAATGACCACATGACTCTTCATCAAACTGTCGAACCGGCTGGCAGCATTGTCGAATCCATCAGCTCCACTGAATCCTGTCACTATCCATCTGTGCTGCAAAAACTTTTTGACCTGTTTGACCTGCTGACCAACGAGTGGAACCGTGGGTACGATGAAGACAACTCTCGAGATCTCCTGTTCAATGCCAAACTTGTCGAACTTCCTCCGCTCCAGGTGCTGTTTTATGATGTCGGCGGCGACGATTGTCTTTCCGGCACCAGTAGGAGCACAAATGACAGTATTCTCGCCTTCGTTCGCGCTTCTGGCCAGTTCAACTTGATAGGATCGAAGTTCCAGCCCTGTCTCGATATCAACGTTTTCATCCGGAAATACTTCGTAGGCAGGTCTGTATTGGCTTTGCTTTCTGAACTCGTAGACCAGTTCGTCTTCCTTCACCATGTCCTCTGGATTGGCGGCAGCAAAGTCGTCCACGCGTACAGTAAGTTTGGAGATGTAGTCGTCTGAAAAACAAATTTTTATTCATCGTAATGGTAAAATAGAATCTAATATAATCTTTTTGTATAATCATTAAAAAATGTAGAAACACCCCCTCAACCACCTAAAAAAGATTTCTTTTCTAGCCAAAAACCATAGTAAAACTCACAAAAATCTAAACTCTGACTCAAAACTACTCCCTTACCCATCTTCTTGATGATATTATCCTGTAAAATAGGCAAACAAGTCCGGTTTCCGACTCCACCTTGATAACAAATATAAACCAAGTCCCAATACCAATTTCTTTCCACGTTGTTCACGTTGCCCGGATTCGAGAACATCATCGATCGGATAATGTAATCTGATGTGAGTTTTGAAAATCCAAAATGAGCACGAATTGGTACGCCATTATCATCTTTCTTACCGCTTCTGAAGGCTCTCAGGTTCTCGTTCATTTTCTGAATCCGCTCGTTCACGCCGTTCTGTCTTGTGAGAATGTCACGATACACTTCGACTTGAAGAGATTCAGCATGCTTGGCCCATTCGACTGGATCTAGGCAGCTGGAGAAGATGTCCAATTTAAAGGGTTCCGTAAAGAAAGTGTCGAATTCCGGCTCGGGAGGACGGTTTTGAAGCATTTCGGCGAGTTGCCAGTCATCCTTGAAGGCTAAAAAATAAATTTAAGGCTAAAGCAAGTAAATGAAAGCAGAAATGACTAAATGAAAACAAAAACAAGCAACCTGAAAGCAAAAATAGGTAACTCAAATGCTATATATAAGTATTAACTTTAAAATCAAGGTTTTTAAACTTTTTAAAAGGTTACGAGCAAACATAACCTCCATACCTTTGAGCAAATTCTGTTGAATCCAAACGTACAATTCCAAGTTCTTGGAATGTAAAATAGCTTGATAACACTCTGCCAAGTTTCTTGACACTGTTCCAGAAGACTGGACGCGTTTTCGTCGTTCTTTTTCAGCCGTCAATACCTTTTCCTTCCATTCTGCATCTGAAAATCATACAAAAATAATAACAAAAAAATAAAAAATGTACTCAAAAGCTTTAAATTTAAGTTTGATTGCCTTAAATCTCGAGCAAAAATCGTCTAATAGACTAAACCAATATCCTCAATTATTATAATAAATAATATAATAGTAATACTCACCCAATCGCTCAATAATACCATCAGCAGCAAATGAATCCGTCTTCAACAGCTCGAATATCTCGCTTTGAAACAGCCGTATGAAGGCCGGTTTGTGAACGTACCGAAGTTCAGGTAACCCATTTTCATACATACTGAAAAAAATTTAAAAATATTAACGAAATATTATATTGAACAATTCGACAGTATCGCAAAGCTCGACCGACCAAACAATTAGCAAAAACAGTAAAAACGAAAAAATAGCAAAATAATGTAACGAGCATAATTTTGGCTACAGAAAAAAATTCTACGCACTTTTTGACCATTCTCATGGCAAGAAAAAACAACTAAGTAAAGTCCATAAAGAGATAACAGTCTATCTACAAAATCAGGCCAAAAACGCTGTTTAAAACAATAAAAAATGTCGTATAAGCCTAATTTTCGTAATATTCGGTCACAAAGTGAGTAGCCTTATACAAACAAGCAGAAAACCGACTATGCCAAATATAAGTTTAAGTAAACCTTGTTCTTCCATATTAAATTTAAAAAACGACCTCTTTATCAAAATACAACGTAAACCAAGTATTTCTATTGACAAACCAAAACAAAAAACAAATAAAGACACCGTTGCTAAACTTAAACAATTTATTTTCTAAATGGAATGAGTTAACAGATGGCCAAGTGAAGTAGCCTCATTCTCGATCTACAACTATTAAGCCGCAGTTTTTGGTTTGCCGTTCTCCCAGAATGTTAGCTTCAACGTGGCCTCGGCTGGCGGGGCTGGAGCACGTCCAGTTTGTGGTGGCTTAACGCACTTTCTCACCACTGAAGCGGCGACTTGACTGTAGCGGAGGTAAGTGAGACCAGCAGCTCTCCAGGCGGACATTTTCAAAATAGAATTCTGTAAATAATAGTAGAGATTACGTAAAACATTCACAAACTCTTAAAAGTATTAAAGTATCACTCCGCGTTGTTCAGATATCACTCCGCAAACAAACGGTTAATCACGCGAATCCACAACTCTTTAAACTTCATTGGCAATTATTTATTATACGAGCTTAGTCCTTAAATACAGATCAAGTTATAAAATTAGGCTATGTGAAAGCTAAGACAAATTACAGGCAGAAGTACACAAAAAGGCGCTTAGACTTTAGAGCTGTTGTTCTGGATCGCATCTCTCAATTCTTCGGCAAGCTTCTCCTTCAATCCCAGCTCTGTCGCCGAATCGATAGTGCGTAGCGAGCCCACGACCTCACGAGTTTTGCCAAAATAAATGTCATTTAGAAGAGATCGCATCTTGTTCTCGTTGTCCTCGATCAAGCGTCCAATATTAGCCAAATGCGAGTTTTGGTCATCCACGACAACATCGCTCTCATTCTGGCGTGTCATCGAACCGCCCACACTCATCTCTCCCACACCGTCGTTTTCGGTCTGAAGCCACAAGATGACGGTGCTCGTCAGCTTGTACTTGACGTGCTTTTGAGGCTAAAACAACAGGAATTATATTATTTCAAGAAACTATATTTTTTTGCCTTTCAAGACCACAACATAAGCAAAAAACTGAAACTTGTGGCCGAAAAAAGCTATTTAAAGTTCTTAATCTCAAACTGACTTTGTACTCGATAACATGAATGGAATCCCAACATCCATGTACACCTTTTAATCCTTCGTTCTTTTTCTTGATCAAGAAAACGCCAGCAATGCTTTGATCAACCTCCCAGAAATAAACACTCGAAACTCCACCTTCAAAATACCTAAAAATAACTTATTATAAAAAAAAGTTATTATAACAACTGTAACATTAAAATATCATAATTTTGTATTATATTAGCCGACAGCATAAATTTTCAAAAATATTTAAAGACTTTTAGTTTGTAACTACACGTAAAAAAGTTGTATCAAAAAATAGAGTTGACAATATTCTCTCACGTATCCTTTCAATACATTACCTAAAATATAATAAAACTAAACAAACAAAAACTTACATATCTACATAGGCTTGAAACAATGCATTTGCTTCAATTTCCATCTTTCTCAGCTCCTCTCCAGGATAAATCGCTTCATCCAGTGGAGGATCGTAAGCATTAGACCATGGAGATCGATAGCTGTCCATATCACGGTTGTAATCACACAGCAAGTATTCGCGGCCAGTTTCTTTATCCTTGGCCACCTGTAAAGGTTGATCGACCATAGACAGAATGTCGCTACAGAGATCCGGAGCAAGTGAAACAACATCCGTAACATGTTTGCTGCATTTCTGCGGCGGCAGACGTCTCATCAAGTCTAGAGACGTGTCTAGACGAGGATTCGTCTAAAATGACATTAAAAAGTTAAAATTAATTCTAGAGTCCACAAATGAAAAAAGAATCTTGGCCCATTGTAACAAAAAGCATGTTGTAGTAGTTCAATACCAAATTTAAACCAAAAACAAAACGAACTGAAACTTACCATTCTGAATCACAATGTTTGAGGTCCAATATGATCTTCGCGGTTTATAAACTGAAAGAAGAAAAGAATAAACAAGAATTCGACGTTTTTATCTCGTCAAGGCGCGCCTGAAACAATATTACTCACTAAAACATTTCAATCACACAATATGTTAAAACTCCAAAACGTTTCTGACAACATAAGTAATCTGGAAACAAAGATAACATTGTATATGTTCAAGTTGAATCGATGAGTAATTTTTATAACAAAAATGCAAGAAAATAAACTCAACTTTCGCGACGGGACCTGAAAAGAAACAGGGCATTTGTGGCATTTCGTCGGTTTGCAATTGGATTAGGCCGAATAAGACCTTCATTAGGTTTTAAAAGGCTGTAATCGTATTAACAAATTAATAATTTTACTAATTTGTTTCAATTTGGTAGCTTCGTATAATACTTACAATGATCGTAAAATAAATTCAAAAACATAAAAGTAAAATGTAAAATTACACTAGCTTACAATAACTTGATATTTCAGACATTGTACCCAACAAACCGTTGCTTTTAAAATAAGACATTAGTGTACTTTTGACTGACTTATCTTTAAACTTAGTTTCAAATCAAATCATGCCAATCCCACTTAATTATACTAATTTAATGTTTATAATAATCAACAACACAGAAACACCAGGAACATAACTCGGTTTGAAAAAGTATGCTGTAACAATCATAAGCTATAGGTTTGAGTGACAGTGTTTACTCCCATTCTGTTGTGCCGGGGGGTTTGGAAGTCAGATCGAGGAGGACGCGCGAGATCAAAGGCACTTCGGCCATAATGCGGCGGACGATGGTTTCGAATACCTGAAAATAGTGGTACGTTGGGTGTGGTAGTTCTGTGAGTTTTAGTCGCGCTCAAAATCGAAAGACTTTATTCATATAATATTATAATTACTAGTTTTATAGTTAATTTACAGTTAATTAGTAGAATTTTTTAGTGTAAACAAAATTCTATTGACTTTCAGACCAAAAACACATTCTTTATAAAAATTCCAAAAATATAAAAACCTACAATAACAGGGACATCGCGGCCGGGTAAAGCATTCATGCCGGTCATAAAGTCTCTGGTGATGAATGGACGGAGAACGATGGAATGGAGCATGGTACCATGAACTGTTGTCTCACGGTCCGGTGCGCCAAAGTGGACGGGAATCAGCACTACGGGCATCTGCATAATGAAAGTACGTTTACTTTTATGAAAAAGTAAGACTCGCTAAAGCTTTTTAAAGCTTCTACTTAAAGAGTATTGGCAATTTGAAGGTTTTTCGTTTATACAGCTTATTATCTTTCAACTAGGTTTTTCTTCAAGAAACGCCATTTTCATAAACATTACTAACATAAAAGAAGAATTTTTCGCGAAAATAAATCCCAAAAATGCATAATATTAATAAAATGTTAATAATAATAAGACCATACTTACCTGTTGAATCAAATGCATTGAAACTGGTAGCTCCGGGTCTTTTGCGCCATCAGACTTTAGGCCATTTAAAACTTGAGTGACAATATGGTCGACTTTCCTTAGCTTCTCAATGACACCTTCCGATAGCCTGGTTGGAGTGATATTTGTAACTGGCTTGATTATAGGCTTTCCAAAGGCAAAGCATACTCTAGAAACAACACAATATAACGTTGAATTTTAATTAAAAATAAGCATATAAGAAGCATGAGATAACAAAATTCCATCATTAGATTACGTTCTAAACCTAAATATGAGGTTACTTTAAAATATGACGTTACTTTCTCTGCCTAAAGAAAGCCTTATAATGTAAGTTTAACCACTTTTTGTCTACAAAACTCCTTTACCTTCTTATTACACACACAGTGCTAAAATAACAAATGAAAAAGAATTGAATCAAAACAAAATGACAAAATTAAACCAAAATAACACTAAGAACAAAACAATTACCTGTTCAAAGCCTTGGCAGTACCGGGTAGCCGCTTCGCAAATTTATCAACCAATCCCCATGGAACCTCGATTTTGGAGGTCGAGATTACAGCAGCGTACGAATAGGTTCTTTTGTCACCTAAAAACGTTAAAATTGAAAAATCCATTATTTAAAATTGAGTTAAAATTAAAATCGTTTTAAAAAATAAATTTTTGACGTTTCTCCGCCTCCCTCTCCTCAATTTTTAACAATACCTACACTCAAAAACTTCAATTTTTAGCCTTCAATTTCAAAATGAAACCTTACCTTGTACACCGACCGTCCTAATCGGCATAACACTACCGTAAAACTCGTTTCCCAAGCATTCTTTCACTTCCCTCTCAACCGTCTCCTGAGTTGTATGATAGAACTCGTTAAAATACGGTTTTTCCGCACAAATGATTCGAATTGCGAGCCCTGGGCCTGGGAATGGGTGTCGGTTGACGATCGTTTCAGGTAGACCCAGCGCTCTTCCCAATTCTCGAACTTCATCTTTGTGGAAGTCCTTTAAGGGTTCGATTACTTTGCCCAAATCGCGGAGCTCTCGGACCAACGCCGTGTCGTTGTGATGGGTTTTGATTGTATCGGCACATCCACTCGCTAACGCGCTCGCTGATTCAATAAGATCCGGTCTTAGGGTGCCTTGAGCAAAGAACATGTCCGTGTTGAGTTTTAGCTGAAATTTTAAATAAAATTTTTTAAATAGCCATAACTATTTTAAAAATTTAAAGTGGAAAAAAACACAAAAAAAAACTTTTTAAAATTCAATGACTTACCTCTTCAACAATACTGTCTTTGCACCTAATGAACGTGTCGCCAATGATCATCCGTTTATCTTCTGGATTTGTGACATAACGTAACTGCTGCGATTCGATCTTGCCAATCGTCAATTTACCTTCCAAGAACTTGTCTATGCACCAGAAGCCTAAAACGACATATTGCAAAAGCTTAAAGTCAATTAGCATTAGACAGTGCAAGATACAAAAATCATGTTTCAATTTTTACATAATAAAAAACCATTTCCATAACACAGACTTACATTTCACATCCAACCCCAGCTGATTCAACGATGAAACAACAGCTTCCGACTCTTTGTACCTCATAAAGCCGTTGTCAATGTGAACAGCGACCACTCTATGTGGGCCCAGAGCCTTGTGTAATAACGCTGCACATACCGTTGAATCGACTCCTCCTGATACCATTACCTAAAAAGCTAATTAATCTTTTTCAAATTAAAAATCAAAAAATTTTATACCCAAGATAAAATTTTAAAAAATATTGTAATATATTCCACAAAACATAGAAATCTGAATTTAAAAAAATTATTAATTTTTAATAAAACCTATTTTAAAACCACCAAAAATCAAGTAAAGTAACATACCAACACGTTCTTATCCCCAACCACCTCTTTGATATGATCAATGCACATTTGTTCCCTGTTCGAAATAGTGTAATGTGAGCTGATACCCGAGATAGAATGCAAAAACTGATTAAACATGGCAGTGCCTTCTTTAGTCAAATCCACTTCAGGATGGAATTGCACACCGTAAATCTTTTTCTCTTCGTTTGCTATTCCAGCTACAACAACATGATCATTATTCTCCGACAATGTCTCCGCGATAATTTTGAACCCAGGCGCAGAGCCGTCCTTCTTTACGCTGTCGCCGTGAGTAAGAAGCACGCTTTGTATTTCACCCAAGCCAATGAACAATTGACACTTGTTGTCTACTCTAATATCCAAAACAGCGTCAGATCGAATCTTTGACGAAGCGACATGACCTCCAAAGTGTTTGTTGATGATTTGAAAGCCATAACAAATACCCAAGATTGGGATGCCCAAGTTGAAGATTTCAGGATCGTACTTTGGTGCGTTCTCAGCATACACTGATTGAGGTCCACCGGAGATGATGATTGCTCTGAAATAATAAGGTAAAACATTTTAAAACGCAAAACTTACAAAACAATAAAACAATTATTAAAAAAAGCAAAAATTATCCTAAATTTTTCGTCAAAAGCTACGAAATCGTCAATAACAACATTATTCATGAAAGAAAACTCACTTATAATCCCTGGCTTTTAAATCAGCTGCTGATGTGCTCAAAGGCAGTAGTTCAGAGTATACATTGCATTCTCTAACTCTTCGGTCAATTACCTAAAGACAAAACTCCTTATCAAATCAAAGACATCTATGTGGAAAAATATACACAGTCATTTTGTCAAAATTAAGATATTTACGACTTTCGTGAAAATTGGTGTTTATAAAACACAATCACTTGGACTACCTAAACTTAAAAAAACAAACAAAAAACCTTACCTTGCCATATTGAGCACCAAAATCGAGAATCGCCACCTTTTCCTTAATGTCCACGTCCATCGCTGCCATTTCTGCCAACTAAAATTAAAATTAATATATAAAAACGTTAAACATACGATTAAACCGGCTTTCCCAACACCGTTGTCAGAATCTTTAACAAAGGCACTCTTCCGAATTATCTCGGACACGGATTTCGCGCTGGCAGCGCGTTTCATGTACAACAACACAAAAGTAAGCTTGAGATTGGTTGACCCTCACTCAAGTTACTTTTGAGAACTCGACTGAGCACCCTAGAAATAAAAAACTGTAATAAGGTACTTGGAATCTGTGTAGTTTTAAATATTAAGATTCCGCGCATTTTAATGGTAAACTAAAACAATATGAAAAAAACCTCCAAAACTTGTAAGACTACAAAACTTCTTCACAATACCCTTTTAAGTTCATTTTTTAATTTTCCTGTCCAAATTTTCTCATTCCTACTCAAATTTCTAAACAAAAACTGATAATCTCCCCCATCCCTTCAGTTATGACAATAGTTCGAGCGATCAGACGCCTCGGAATCGCACCCCAAAAAATTAAACTGTCCGGATCAAAATTTGTGTTTCCCAGACTATCAGACATGACTCCACCTTCTTTCTTTGAGTTCACACTCTGATTTGACCAACTTTAACTTCAGCCGCAACAATGGCCGATCGCAGACTGTTAAACAAAAGATGGATGAGTCGCATAATCAATGTTGACCTGAAACATAAGACAAAGATGTGAACATTAAATGAAACGCAAAAGTGCAATGTTACTGTGGTCCCGCCTTCCTCTGTATTGGTCGGCGGGACAAGTAATATTATTGTGTGGTCTGTTGTCTATATTAGATACCCCAATCGTCGTTTACTTCAAGAAGGTCGGCCAACGAGAAATCCGATTCACTTTACCACACTATGGGATTAGAGAGAGACTATGATAAGTCAGTAATCCGTATTCTAGTTCGGTTGATACCGGTGCTAAACTCAAGTTACCAATATAAAGCCTGAAATACACGATTATCATTATAACAAAAACGAAAATGCAGCAAACAAAAGTATATCTCTAAAATCTAAACAATCCAAATCTTTTAAAGTATACTTCTATTTATAAGTTTTAAAAAATTCAAAAGTTACCCCAATTTTCCTAGAAACTAAAAAGAAAAACTTGTCGCAGGTGTTTAGTGTTCTCTTAAGGAGAAATACAGAAAATAAGTCGTTATGACACATAAATAATATTAATATTAAAACTTAAAAATTGGTAAGATGTATTTCTAACCTGGCAAAACATAAAATTTTATTTATTACAGTTTTTATTTTATTTTTCTATTTGTTTTTTGGTGTCATTGTGACGAGTTTTCTAGACGAAAACGAGCAAGAACAAAAATTATATTCTCCCTTTATATTTTTTGTTAGAAAGATGAATTCGGCTGATCCTCGACGTCCAAACAAAATCAACAGGTAGATTTACGAACTTGTTTTGTTTTTTTTTAAATTTTTTAATATTTTAAGTACAAAATAATTGGCGATTTTGAGTATATTTAAGTTTACATCGTCGTATTTTCAGGTATAAACCAGTTGATCCTCAAACCGTGGCGTATTCTGCTGACGATGCGATTCCTGAATACATGAACATCTTTGGCATGATCTTTTCTATGTGTGGATTGATGATGAGGGTATGTTATTCTTTACCATGTTGAGATGCAGATAAAATAATTTTCTTTTAGATGGCATAACTTTACACTACTTTTTGCCAAAAAGGTTTCTATTTTTATGTTTCATGTGTACACAGTTTTATACAGGTTTGATTTATTATATGTCTCATATCTCCTGTTTTCAGCTGAAATGGTGCTCATGGGTAGCTTTGCTGTGTTCTTGTGTTAGTTTTGCCAACACTCGTACTATCGACGACACCAAACAAATTCTCAGTTCTTTCATGTAAGCGGACTAATGTTTTTTTTGTATTTTTAATGTTTAGGCTTTCGATCTCCGCCGTTGTCATGAGTTATCTTCAAAACCCCACACCAATCTATCCTCCGTGGGCGAATTTGGTCTAGCCAACGGAAAGATGCACTGCAATCTAGTGTTATGTGATACTACGTTTTATTTTCTTTAATAATTATGTTTTTACGCTCAAATAATAAATTATTGTTTAGCTAACGTTTTTGATTGAATTAATATGTATAATCTTGGCTTTTAAGACTAGTTAGTGGTAGGCTTCAAGAACTTTTTCAGCAATTTAGACTTTGGGAAACAATAAAGTTTATTAGTTTATAATAAAGCATTTAGCTATCATTGTCTTTAAAATATCATTGGTTAAATCTCTAGAAGTTTTGGTTGATTTTCGACGCGTTTTTGGATAATCTTCTTGGTATTACAATGTTCGTCATGAAAATTTTGTTCGCTGACTGGAATCAAGTGAGATGGGTTGTAGGGACAGCTAAAATTACACTTTAAGTAGCTGAGAAAGGATCTTGATATCTATAAAGGGTTTAATCCTTGCAAAATGTTTAAAACGCGGAATAATACGGAAGATACTCATGGTGAGTTATGTAGGATAAGATATTTGAAGTTGCAAACTCATAACACTTTAAAATAACTCTTAAAGATGTATAGACAAACTTATAATAGACTTAAAAGTGTTAACTCACTGCATAAACTCGATGTTAGGATGCCGTTTCAAAAACTTGCGTCGACATTGCGCTACATGAAGGTATAGCATGTTCGTGGATACGTTATGGCTTCCGTATGGACATTGAGCGGTTGTTGTGGCGTTTTCAGACATTTCAGAGAAGATTTTTCACAGTTTTCAAAGGTTTTGACTGTTTTTGAAAGAAATTGGATGTTGTGTTTGTAAAAATTTGCATATTCCAAGTTTTTTTGTTTTTTGAGGGTTTTTATAAAAGTCTTTTGTTTTTTATTTGAAAACTTCTAATATAGTAATTATACAGTTATAAACTGCGGTTAAAAACTAATTTTACAATAGCTATATTGCAATAGACATACATTACTTTTACTGTAGTTTTTTTTAGATTTTTATAGTCTAAAAACAATATTTTTGTGTTTTTATAATAATATGAAAGACAACATTTGAAATCATTTTTAAAAACACTCTTTGTAGACACTATGTTATCTATGTTCGATGTACTATAGTCAATGTGCATTTCTCTACGTAAGTGGTATACAAAACCGCCAATTTACAGCACGAATGACGTTGCGGCTACAGCACTTATTACAATTGGGAAAGTGTTGATGGGAAGAAGTTGAGTGGTCGGTTGCCATAACAACCACCCGTGAACCCATGCCCAATATGTGATGTTCTAGTTCACACACACATGGCATGCCGACGGTAAGCCAAGTCAGCAACGCCACGACCGTTTCCATCGGGCCGCTGGAGTTCGACGAGCACGATCTTCGCTACCGAGTGTGTCGATGTGTGCATTGTCAACGTGCCATCGTTCTGTGCGCGAGCTTGGGTATTGTGTTGGTTTTGGCGACTTTTTCGATTTGTTTGACCATGATGAAGGTGACGACGGACAGTATGGTTGAGATTACGACGTTGACCGGGCTCACCGTCTTCTTGTTTTCTGGGATCTTTGCTCATGGATGTGTGTTCTATTCGGTTAAAAAACAAAGTGTAAGTTGTGTTGGCTTGGGCCCTAGCCCTGACTTTGGTTGCAGTCCTATCACTAGCCGTACCGCTAGCTCTTGCTCTAGAACTAGTCCCAACTCAATTCCTAAATAATTATTATATCAAACCTGTTTCAGGTATCATATCTCCAACCATTCCTGATTCTACATATCTTTTTTATTATCGTCGAGTTTACCATGGCCTTAACCGCAGTCGGAGAGTTAGTGACAGATAATAGTAATTCAATTGATGATAGCGACATATTTGCTCGAAAAGTTTTGGAAATTGTGCCTTTTACGATTGCGTGGAGTGTTGTTATGGTATCGATTGGAGTGAAATACAAAAAATATTTGATCAACAAGATTAATTCAGCTAATGGTATTGGATCAGTAAGTCATTTTGTTATTGTAGACTGGGTAGTTCATTGGGTAGAAAGTTTAAACAGAGGATGGAGTAGATCGAGCAGTGTTTTTTAGAGGTGGCATGTAGGGGGGGGGGGGGGCTACAAGGTTCAATAGCCTATAATAAATTGTTTTTTGGAAAAATGGTCGGAAGCTAAAGTAAGGCTAGAGTAGGATAAGTAGGGATATTGATAAAGCTATGTTAGAGCTTGGTCTAGCGCTAGGGCTAAGGTTTTTCGCTAAGGCTATGGACTAGGGCTCTATGCTACGAGTCTAGGCTTTGGGCTAAGACGCTAGGCTAGGGTTCTGAGCTAATCTTTCAAAATCTCTTTGCTAGGGCTCCTTGGTAATTTTATCTTTTTCAAAAAAATCTTTCATTTTGAGTACATATCGCTTATAAACTTAATTATATCGTATTAAAAATCTATCAAAGTACCATAAAGGCTACTGCAGATTTTTTACAATTTTTTAAAACTTTTTTAGATGGTAACACCGATTGTAATGCACCGACCTCAAACACCTCAAGAATGCTCAAAATCAAGTGATTGTGTAGCTTGAGTAGGAACATAATAAGTAAAATGAGTTTGTATATATGAAATGAATAATAAATTAAAAAAAAAAAGTACTTTTAATAATAATTAAAAATTTTTGAATACTACTGGATTTTTTTTATTTGTTTGAGGGCTTGAAAGTTGTTCATTCAGGGCTTTTGTTATAGAAGAGCTCGTTATACAGGAGTTGCACTGTATTTTACAAAGCAAACTGATCTTTTTTTTCTTTTCAACAACATTTTTTGATTCTGCCTGGCCACCTTCATCTCCCCCTTCCCCCCTTCCTATCAAATAAAAGAAGGGTTTTCCGATAAAGTTTGATATGCTCTAATTGTAAGATTTTTATTTATAAAATTCACAAGAGCTCTCGTATAGCGAACTCCTTCATAACAACAAAACTCCGTATAATAAACAGCTTTCTAGTCTTCAGCCAACACTATACAATGCATTTAAAACTCCTCTGTACCGACACTTCTTTATAACAAACAACGTTAAAACATCTGAACGATTCGTTTCACAAGCGTTCTACTGTATTATTAGGTTGAAGCAAAAGTAGTGGGGCACTTTTTAGTTGAATAATAAATATATTCTAATAAATGTCTTAACCTAATATAAAATGCTCGACAAAATATTAATTTTTTCTATTATTTTAAAATCGTATTTTAACCTCGACGTCATCTTTAACGACAAAAAATGACGTCAAGTGTTACAGGTTGATCGCCTTTTTATTTACTTTACTTTTAAGCCCAAAAGTGATTGAATCGAACTCTTTTTTCTATTGATTAATTCTTTTGCGGAAAGTTGGTGATAAAATGAATCAGCCCGTCGATGTGAACTTTAAGCTCGATGGAAGTCCGTATGAGGTCGAACAGATGATTGGCATCGGCGCTTATGGCCAAGTGCGGCAAGCTATTGATGTGGTAAGTGGTTTTTCTTGTTTTTGTTGTTGTTTTTGGTTTGAAGTTTGAAGGGTTTTTTGTCGAAATTTGATAAAAATGAATGTTTTTGGAAGGGAAGGAGGAAGAACAATAGGTCAACAAGAAATAAAAAGTTTCTTTTAAAAATGTAAATACAAAATTGAAGTGCGTACAACAGCATTTTTTTAAAGTATGTGAATAAATAAGGTAGCGAAGGTAGATAGGAAAGAGTAGGGTAGGATAGGAGAAGGCAAAGTTGAGTAGGGTAGGGTAAGGTAGGTTAGGATAACGTAGGGCAAGGTAGGGTAGGATAGCGTTGGGTACAGTAGGGTGGGGTAGGGTAAGGTAGAATAGGGTAGGGTAGGATAGGGTAGGGTAGGGCAGAGTAGGGTAGGGTAGGGTAGGGTAGGGTAGGGTAGGGTAGAGTAGGATAGGGTAGGGTAGGGTAGGGTAGGGTAGGGTAGGGTAGGGTATGGTAGGGTAGAGTAGGGTAGGGTAGGGTAGGGTAGGGTAGAGTAGGGTAGGGTAGGGTAGGGTAGGGTAGGGTAGGGTAGGGTAGGGTAGGGTAGAGCTAATAAAACTTTACTTTTGAAGTTATATACATATGATAGTAGTACGCTGTTCAAATAATTCTGTGCCTAACCCAATTGCTTTGAGGGGGAGCCTATAATTATTTGAATAACATAGCAGTAAGAATTTTAATATTATACCGTTTAGAAAAATCAAAAACCAGTAGCAGTAAAACGAATAGTAGATGCCTTTGGTACCTATGTGTTGGCTAAACGCAATTTACGAGAAGTCCGAATACTTCGAAGGCTACAGCACAAGAACATAATCAGTGTTTTGGATATGTTTGTTGTTCCGGCTAGCCATGTGCGTTTTTTTAATTATTTTTAGAGTTTTATAAATACTCTTACAATCTCATTGTTAATTCTAACTGATAATAATGTAAAAGCTAATCATCTTTTATAAAAAAAAAATTAAAACCAAGGACGTATTTTACACTTTCAGGGACGCGACATCTTTTTGGTAATGGATTTGATGGAGACCACGTTGCATAAAATTGTTCACAGTACGCAAACATTGACTGATAAGCATGTGAAATACTTTCTTTATCAAATTCTATGCGGGTTAAAGGTAGGTGCGTCTTTTGGTTTTAAACTTAGCTATACAAACATCAACTATCATTGATAAGTTCGTAAAAATGAAAAAAAAACTGTGAAAAAGAGAGCGAAATATTTTTAAAAAATAAAAATCAGTCACTTGCTAGCGTACAACTATAAAATATTGAAATATAAGAAATTTGAGTGTACTTTACAAATTGTAAGTCATAATTTAAACTTATGTTATATAACACTTTAAACCTTTACAGTACCTACACTCTGGCGGTATAATCCATCGTGATTTGAAGCCAGACAACTTGCTAGTAAATGCTGATTGTTTGTTGAAAATTGCCGACTTTGGCATGGCCAGATCAATGGAATCTTTGAGGACTGAAGAGGATTCTGTCATGACTGTAGGTTCTTTTACTTTTTCTTGTAAAAAGCGGCTTCGAAAAATAAAAATGCATATTTTCGACTTAAACTTTATAGAAATTACAGGAAAATTAAGCCACGCTCATAAAACTCATTAAAATTTGAGTTGTGTCAAGGTTTTGTGAGATAGATAATATGCTCTCACTTTAGCAATACGTACAAACGAGGTGGTATCGTGCTCCAGAACTATTGTTTTCAATGTTGGACTACGATGTGAAGTAAGGTGGACATAATTTCCTACATAATATTAATATTTTCTCTCAGAGTAGACATCTGGTCAGTCGGATGTATACTATGTGAAATGATAATGCGACGTCAGCTATTCCCGGGCCGAGAAGCGGCCAATCAGATTAAAATGATTGTATTTTACTTGGGTACACCATCAAAGGAAATCTTGGACAAAATTACATCAAAATTAATTCGAGATTGGATTACAAGCTTTGGACATCGCGAACCACTACCATGGAAGGCTATCTTGGACAAAGCGTCGCCTAAGGTTGTGGATTTGGCTGAAAAGGTAATTATTTATGATAACAACTTAAACCAGTTTTTTTTGTTTTAGATAGTACTTTAATTTTGGTACTTGGTTTTTACAGTTTAGGCAAAGTTTTTTAGTTTCACAACTTTGTTAGGCTAAGTTTGACCCTTCTAAACCCTCTAATGTTCACTTTCTCAAAAAAATGGAAGTATTATCGTATTTGATATATGTGCAACCAAAGAGCATAGTACACAAAACATTTTGAATTCCGTAGCTTTACAAAACAACCAGACGGATCCAAGTTTGTCTTTGAAATTTCGAAAAAGCTATCTAAACATCATCTGTCCTTACGATGAAAAAAGGAAACATTTCTTTTATTAAAAGGGTGAGAAAGTATGTACTTCTGCAATTATAACATAAAAAAGAAGTTTTTAAAGAACTTTTCGTTGTTAAAAAATATAAAAAGTTGTGAATTTCAAGAGCTAACATCATAACTTTACCTTGCTTACAAGCAAAGTACCAAACCTGCCCCGCTCTGATTGTAAAGGGCTGGGCAAAACCTAATTTTTCGTTCCGGCATTGGGGCCCAAGTGGCTGCAGCCCTTCTGAGGCAAGTCGGGTACTTTATTGGTAAGTTTACAATTAAAGCAGTAATAACTTTAAAATTTTTTCAGTATATAGTAATCAAAATAGTCAAAAATGTTTTTCAAATCATTTTTTGCCATTTTTTTTAATTTCAATTTTGCAAAATGGAAACTTCCCGCCAGTATTTCTCTTCGCACTGTAATTACAATTATTGTGTTCATTAAGTTATATCACGTAGACAATCGTTTTGTTTAAAACGTGACTTCAATCTGTCATATTAAAGTAGTTGTCTCAAAGTACATCGATTGTTTCGACAAAGTCTAATTGAACATAAAGCACGAGACGGGTCACGTTGTTATAACTGGTTATGGCGAACGTAGATTTCGTAAATGTTGTGGGACTTTGGAATTTAAAAAAAATTCAAAAATTTTAAAATTATTAGGTGATTGCAAAAGTTTCTGGCCGATTTTTCAAAAATTTTTTTTAAAAATTTTGCACTGTTCTAGAACTTTCTGTTGGCAACCTGTATAAAGAGGTGTCCAAGGACTAAAAACTATTGCATGTTCAAGCTTTCTTTTGTTTACAGTAGTTCAAGAAATCAAGGTGAAACACAATCATGTTCGGCCAGTGTTGTTTCTCAAATTCCGCAATCACGGCAACGCAACATAGCGACGTAGAAAATATGCAGTGCTGTAAGGCCTTTAGTTGTCTCTTACGACACCACAAAAGTTTGGTTCCACAAGTTCAAAAACGGTGACTTTGACATGTCCGAAAAGTTCGATCTGGTAGACCATTAGCGTTGAAGAAACCCCACCTTCTGAAGCTGATCGAAGAAGACCTCCGACGAACCTGTACTTATTTGACTGTAGAGCTTCAGTGTGACCCTTCTACCACATTAATTAGATTTTACGCCCTTGGGAGATTACGGAAATATGGTCAAGAAGTTCCACATGATTTGAACAGCGATCAGCTGAACGTCGAGTAGAAGTTTGCACTTGTTTGTTGATGCTCCCAAGGAACTTTGAATGGCTTGACAATTTGGTTACTGGGGATGAGGAGTGGTTACTGTATGTTAATCACACCAGTAAGAAACAATGGCTTGAACGTGGAGAACAGGGTGTATCAACCTCAAACCTGATCTTCACCCATTGGATAAGATGATCAGCTTTAGCTGGAACTCAACAGGTATTGTGTACTGGGAAATGGTAGCACATGGAACTACGATCCCTGTGGATGTCTACTGTAGACAAATTAAATCTATTGCGGCAGCATTGCATGGTAAACAGAATCGGGTTTTCTTCATTCATGATACTGCTTGCACCCTTGTGACAAAGTTGACCCAACACAAGCTCAAAAGCCTCGGCTGGCCTGTGATTTCATATGCACAGTACTCACCTGAGGTTGCTCTAACAGATTATCATATGTTCTACTCTCTTCAAAATCACCTTGACACAACACGCTTTGACAATCGAGAGTACCTCAAGAGGTGGTGGGCTAACTTTTTCAATTCTCAAACACCAGGTTTTTACAGAAGTTGAATCCAAATGCTGCTGAAGGGATGGAAACAGGTTGTTGATAATAATGACACATATATTTGTTAATTAGTTATTGTTGTTTTTTTTAAATATTAAATTTTGGTAAAAACAAAAGTCGGCCAGAAACTTTTGCAATCACCTAATATTAACAATTGTAAAGTCAATGCATAAAGTTCAAAATCCTAAAATTAAAGCTCAAACGTTTTTTAAATTCTAAACTGTAAAGTATTTTGAATAATGTTATCATTCAGCTCCTCAAAATGGCTCCATGGGATCGCCTAACGGCCGAACAAGCCTTGTCTCATCCATACTTATCTTTGTATCATGTTCCTGAAGAAGAGCCCATCTGTCCACAAGCAGTTCAATTAGACGCAGATGCGATTGAACACCTTTCAATGCAAGATTGCCTTAGGGAGTTGAGCCAGGAAGCCCAATTCTTTCAATCTCAACGAAATTTGTATCCCATCGAAATGGCTTCTCAATCATAAACTTTTTCCTTGTGTTTTGAGTTGTGCTTTTGATTATCGATAGTTTGCTAAATTACAGTCTTTTTGTAAAGAAGAGATGATTAGACTTGAAAATGGGTTTACTAGGCCCTGCTAATCTCGAGCCTGACTGACTGAGCTGAAGCCAATTTCAAAGAAGCTGGGCTGGCATTTAAGCCAAGAGACGGGCAAAGAACTTGGGCTCAGCCCGGTCTTTTTAACGGCATAGGGACCAGTTCAGAAGGCTAACATTGCAAAGTAGTAACTAAAAAAATTTAAAAAATCAATTTGATAAAAATGTCGGTCAAGAAGAGCCATCTTATCCATATCTTAACATTAACGCTACCTTTTAGAGTTACTCTAGCCTTATGTTAGCCTTACTTTAGCAGTATTTTAACCCTATTCTAGCCCTATTCAGCTCTTCTCTATATTGACTCTAGTGCTTTTTTAGCGTGTCTCCAGTCTTATTCTAGCCTTACCACATTACTATCTCAACCCTACCTTAGTCATAATCTGGCCTTATCATAGCCCTACCTCGGTTTTACCCTAACTTTTGATTTGCCTTACTTTTAGTTCTTTTACCACTTTTTATCTTTAAACTATGTTAACTCTACCTTACCCAAAAGCTTACTTCGATTATTACAACAGTAAAAGGGGTATTCTCATTTCATGAACTTTTGTTTCATCAGTCTTTAGACTAATAGACTGTTTGGCGGTGAAAACGTTTGCTGTTTGCACAGCGACAAAAGTTTATTTTAAATTTAAAAACAGTTTTTTATCTTATTTTAAATTATAACGAGGTTTATAAATATTTGTTATATTGGATGGAATAGAATATGAATTATTGTTTTTTTAAGTTTTCGAAATTTTATTTGTTCGAAATGAAGACGAATTGATCTTGTGAAATCTCGTGCGACCAAAGTGCGTTTTCGATTATTATTTTTTAAAGAAATATTATAAGTATAATATAAATAAGAAAAATCTGGTGCTACTAGACCTTTAAACGGCGTGACTAATTTTTTGGTTTGGTCCTAATGTAGACAACGGTCTGGCCGACATGTGCCGGCTTAAGCCCTTTTCTTTTCAAATTTGTTTTATTTGGGCCGAAGCCGAGCGGAAAAAGACCCAGGCCAAGCCGGGCCGGGTCTAATGTCTTTTTAGGCCTAGGTGTTACTTTAAGATCATATTGTAAGAGTAAGATCTAAATTTTAAAATTATAGTTATAAATAAAGTCATTAAAAGCCGGTTTTTACGTAATTTTTATGCTAATTTTCTGCTTTTTTTAAATTTTTTATCAATTTTATTTTGCCACGTTACAGTACGTTTTATTTCAAGGTACTGTATTAATAACTAAGATTATTAGCTTTATTTATGACTCAACCCCGTAAAATTTGTTTTCCAGACTAGAAAAAGCCAATTTCGAACGCCGCTAATCCTTAATATCAATATTTACTAAACGTTCTTGATCCTTCTAAACTTAAGCCAAACTATAAATCATTCATTAATCTACAGTTGAACTCTTTGAAGGAACTAGAAGAAAACGATGAGATTTGCAAACAAAAAGTTTTGTCATTTTTTGCAACAAAAAACCGGCTTTAGAAGTGAATTTGTACATAATAATGAAGTGTATATACAGTGGTACCTCTGTGTAACAAAATCCTATATAACAAAAGACTTTCAATTTGTTATACAAGACTTTTACTTTTATATTATGTATAAACGGCCGATCCAGACCGATATAACTTTTAAAAAAGCCGAGTCAGCAGCTGAGAACCGGGCCAAAAAAATTGGGCCAGGTTTTTTTTCTAGCTATTGAACAAGAAAGAGAAAAATAAAGTAAAATTTAAAAAAAATTTTTTAAAACAATAAAAAGCCGTTAAAAGTTTTAAAAATATTAAGTAATCCACCATGTTGTAGTAAACTTTGATCCTGGTTGCTTACTTTAAAATAACCGGACTATCGACACATTTCCCAATACCATGTCAATTTTATTTCAACTGATACCAAAATAGAAACGGGCGCTGTAAACCAGCTTTAAATAGACTGAATCTTTGTTTTGTTTCAGCTCTAAGATAGGTTGCACTTATCCCTTAGACACCTTTAAGTCTGTACTTATCCACTGAACACTTTTACTTATATATCAATGTTCCATGAACACTTTTACCTATTTGTCAACTGCTAAACTTTGGTTTAGTCGTTTTTGTTTACATTTCGGGTGGTAAATTGTTTTGATAAAAGAGACAACACTTTGCAGATATTAAAAAATTTTTTGTGATAATGGTTTTGTGTTCTATTGCAATGTTTTACAAGAAATTTTGATTTTATGGGTAGTAAATACAGGGCTAGTAATTCAAGTTTAAAAAAAGTAAGGAAAACGTAGAAAAGTTTTAAAACTTTTTTTTACATTTTTTTAATGTAAAACAAGGTGTAACACTTAAGAAACCACTTTTTGTAGCTTTTTAATTGCCCACAATTATTATGTCCAGTATGTTCATATCCATATTGTCATAGCCGTTTTATAATTGTCACAAAAATGAACTATAAACAACCTATAGTTAATTAAATTTTGTTAATTATTATTGTATAAAGTAAGCTTCATTCTTAGGAAATTTTATTTGTTATGCATGTATAAAAAATGTTTTTTTACTGCACAGCAAAATGTCGCTTTTAGACATGAACAGAAGTATTTTATTTCAACTGTAGTAACTGTTTTTTAAAAAGTTTTGTTTAATTTTGAAAATGTCGAACTCTGATAGTATCAAAACTGTGGTTTGTTAGACTATATAAAACATTTTTTTTTATTTTATGACAAAGAAGTTGACTTGTTTTGTCTAACTTGTTATGTCAAATATGACTTTTTAGCTAATAAAGTTAATTTGAGATTAATCAGCTCAAATTTGTAAAGTATAGTGACAAAACTCGAGCTTTATCGTTTACAAAACTTAATCAGAAAATTCAGATTAAGATATAAAAAACAAATATCACGAGCTTTAAACGGCCTTAATTTTGTCTTTAGGCAATGCTTCTTCAAAATTTTTAAAAATTTTTTATTTCTGCATTTTGTGGTTGCAAATGTAACTTATCAAAGCCTATGTAACTATGCCTATCAATGTAACTTATCGTAAAAATTTATTTTGTTCAAATTTATCTCTTCTATGTTATCTTCCAATGTCACAGAATTTCTATGCCATCTTCTAAAGCACATAGAAAGATAAATGCCTTAACCCTTGTTTTTTGTTATTTTTCTCAAAGTTTTGTATTTTTCTTCAACTTCCTAAAAGCTTCATCTTTTTGTCATCTTTGCCCCCCCCCCCCTATTTCCGTACACAAATATAGCAAGAGAATGTGGCCAAAGAAGGACGCACCCTTCCGTGGCCTCATGTCCTAATCAATAAAATACTTTTCGTCTTTCGTGGCCAAATTTTATAGTCACTTGAACAAAATTTTCATATGTGTTTAGTGCCAAGTGGGCCATTTTTGCATAGGCGTGGGTTTGCTATTATTTTTATCAAACAAGGGAATTCACGTTAAAATTTAATTCAAAAAAATTGAATTTAAATATTAATTATGTTTAAAATTTCGGATTAAAATTTTTTAAAATAAAGTTTTTTTTCTAAAATTTTTCTCCTCAAAATTTTGAATTTCAAGCCTATGTGACCGCCTTCCGGTCCTTTGAATTTATTGTTACAAAAAACGAAAAAAAATATGAAAAACCGCCCCGAATGAACTTTGCTTCGTGGGTTTGGAAGCGATTTCAGCGAAATTCTGCGTACTTCAGTATTGTTTCAATGATGTGACAAAATAAATAAAGGATGTTTACTTACGTTAAAGTGGGCGATAAGATGGCATAATTAATGTAGTTTAGAAAACTATTGTTTTTTTTCAATTTCAGGTCTTGGCATGGGTTTTTTGAGCTTTGGCATGGGTTTTTTTCGAAATTTTGACCGTTTTTTTGGTTTGCAAGTGAGAAAGGTAAACTAGAGCTTAATTGGTTTATAGCAGTTTTATTAGAGTAAAATTAACACGTATATGTTATTATGACATGAAAATGAGATTTTGCTGTCTTTTTTTTCAAAAAAAATGTTTTAATTATTGGAAAAAAAATTTTCAGGAGGGATCCTGTTGAAAAAAAACTCTCTTAGGCTTTTCAAATTTTCCAGGCTTTTCACAGTTGATTTTTTAAAATTAAAACTTGATTTTCTAAAAAAAAATTTTTTAAGACTATAGCTGTAGCTACATTGTTTGATAAAAAGTGTAACAACTTGTGGTCAATTCTAAAAAAGTTGTTGTTGAAAGCCAAGTTTCATCGCTTTTCAATTTCATAATTTTCAATCTTGTTGACTTTGATAAAAGTTATATACGGTATGGAAAAGACCCAATTTGAAAAAGTGTAGTAAAAACACAATCTTAACACGATGTATTGAAGACACAAGCTCTATATGGCAGTAAAAAGATTGAAATGAGTTTGTTAAGACATGGCTTTTAAACTAATAGGTTAACACAATTCTTTTATTTTGGCATTCGCCTTGTTATAAGACATTGATATGATGAAATCAGAAATTTGTTTAGGTAAACAAATAAATTGCGCGTGTTTATTTTTCGAATATGTTCTGACATTAGGAAGGGGCTAGGATGTCTGGATGCATTTGTTTTATATAAATTCAGAAAAGGACATTGTGTGTCTGTTTTGGGAGAAGGGAAAATACTTTGAACTAGTAAACATATTTTCGAAAGTTATTTACGATAAACGAAAGAATAGAATGTTTACTTTAAGATAGCAGGCTTTGTACAGATATACTTTTAGAAATGGTATTTGTAGGCAAATTGGGCGGACGGTTCATTCAAATTACAGTGCCCAACTCATTTGTCCTAGCTCTGGTTCTGGTTATGATCCTATTTTTGGTCCTGGTTCCTGGTCTTGGTTCTGGTCCTAATTCTGGTTTTGGTACTGTCCTGCTCTGCCGTGGCTTATCTGGTCCTAGCCTTAGCTCTAGCGCCAGCAACAGCTCTAGCCCCAGCTCTTGCTCTAACCACAACCCTAGGCATAGCCCTAACTCCAACCCTAGCTCTAACACTAGCCTTAGCCCTAGCTCTAACCCTAGCTTTTTAAAATTTTAAATTCTACTTCCTTTTGGACTAATTACCTCCTACCGCCCTAAAAAAATGTCGCTTTCACATATGGTTTTCATTCCACATGACTGGCAATGTTAAAATGTCATATACGTTTTAAAGAATTTTCCGACAAAGCCTTCTTTCCAAAACTTCCTCTTTACGTTTCTGCGACTTTCATAACGACCTTGTAAATTATATCAAAAAATTTTTGTTTAAACTTACTATGGCGATAACCTTTTAGCAAAGCGACGAATCAATCATTTTTTAAACCATGGTTGTTATAAACTGTTCAGCCGAATTTCGAATTTACGGTTTTGGGGGCTTTTACAGTTTTTGATTTTATCAAAATGTAGGGTTTGGTCAGAAGAATCTATTGTATAACTACCATGAAATTCATAAAATAAAAAAGATAAGGGGATGTTGGAGGTGTTAAATTAAAAATAGTATACCTAGCTTATAAGTCCGGTTTACTTCTGTTTTCGGTTAGGCTTGGAGGCTAAGCTAGAAAAAATTTCTATATTTTACCCTGCCCAGAGCATGAAGCAAGGCATAATAAAGGCTTTTATGTCTGCGACCAAGATAGACCTGAAAGGGGCCCATAGGAATAGCTTGGCCTCGGGCAGAACTGGACTGAGCCGACGCAAATTTGAAAAAGACGGGGCTGGGCCAGGTCTGCACATTTAGGCCACAAAGCCGAGTCCCAAACCAAGACCCGACATCTTGACTGTTTTAGACTAAGCTTTATTTCAGCTTGGCAACTGCCTGGTTTGCTGTTTTATTGAGCAGCCTTTAAATTAACTTCACAACCTTGCACTTGCTTCTCACTTCTCAGAAAACCTTCAGAATCATTTAAAAATGTTTTGCAAAACTACGTTTTGACTGTTAAATATATTAAACCCATTTTAAAAAAAATACTTTGTTCTCCCGTTATCTTTCAACTTAAACCCAGCAAACCTAAGCTTTTCGAAAAAATCTCTTTTCTTCCCTTCCTTATCGGAAAACCCCCAAATGTTGTTCAACTTATATAAACTCTCATCGATATCATTTATATATAAGCTCTCATCAATATGACTTATATATACTCTCATCAAAATTAGAGGTATATAATATCGCTGAGAGTTTTTTTCTATCAACACGACAGCGCGCTTCCCATCACACGTTTTTCCATGACATGACGTAGCTATGCGCTGAATATTAAGCGAGGGGTTATGAAACGGGTTAAAGGGGGTTGTCGTTGCTCCCACTCGTCGAGAGGGGCTGGTATACCGCAATGGAGGTACGTATGGGACGAATTGAGCAGCCGGCGGTTTGGAGCTTGCTTCTCAAAAGGTTTGGCTAGGGCTGGTGTCAGGACTAGGGCAAGGCTAAGGAAAGGCAAGGCTAGGATTAGACTATGGCTAGTGTAGACCAAGACTAGAGCTAGAGTGAGGCAAAGCTAGAGCTTGGGTAAAGCAAAGGCAGAGCTGAGGCTTGGGATAGGGCTAAGGCTAAGCAAGCTAGATCCCTTCTCAAGTTTGAAAAAAATCTTGTTCAGACCTCTATCTTCTCCCAATTCTCAATATTTCTTCGATTAATCGCCTTTTGTGCTTTGTCTCTTCTTTTTTTTCGACACGCCTTAGTCTGGCCTGACTTCGTGATGATCTTGAGTCTTTGATACCACGTGGTGGGTGCATATGTTCCGAACCATTAGGCGGGGTTTTCTCGCTTTGATTGTTGCTTTAGTTCGCAGAATCTTTCATAATTGTGGTTTTCTAGCCATTTCGGTTATTTCGAAACAGTGGGGTTAAAAATATTGGTACCTATCTCATATTATTCTAAGTTGTTTTACTTTGAGCGTATTTTCTCATATTTATCGCTTTTTATACTTTATAACTTATTAATATTCTAATGTATATTGTTTGACTTGAACTCTATTGTCGTGTACTTTGCTTTCGTTGATGTGTATGCACTATAAACATTTCTGGTAAAGTCTATGATATTGTCCTGGCAAATTGAATTTTTATACGTTTTAGAAATGGAAATGGCGCAAGATGACACAATATAACAATATAAGCTTCCTTCAACTTTTTTAAAGGATTTGCCATTTGTTGATGTGTTTACGTACGTTAGAAATGGCACACCTATAAATTTAGTTTTTAAAATATTTTTTATACTCAAAAATATTAAAATACCCTTTTATTTTTATTAAAATTTAAATATTATAATGCCACTTTAACGGATTTTTCATCTTTTGTGGCACAGTTGAGTCTCAACACGCCAAATTTTACCGAACGTTATTGGCATAACGCGAAATTAAAACATTGTTTGTGGCTTTGGCTTCGTTTTTCGTCCTTTGAAACAATATTGGGACAAAGGAACGTTGAATATCGTTTATATTTAGCAGCTGAATCATTTCTTTGAGCTATCTTTAACAATCTTTGCCACATTTTCGTTTTTTAGGGTTTTATTTTGGAGGTTCTTTTCAATTTTAGAAGTTTGAGTAATATTAATATAGGTTTAACTGGTATTTTATAACAAAAAAGATTAGTAGCAAAGGTTTAGCTTCTATTTTCACTTGTTTAAACTCTGTTTGTTAAATTTTAGTTTCTGTTGAACTCGAATTTTAAATGTTCTTCATCTCCTTATGTCTCTTTGGAGGTCTTTACATAAATTTTGGCTATCCATCGTTCGGTTTTTTGTCTCATCGTGGCTTTTTTGCTCGTGAATCCTGCAAAAACTGGACTTTTAAACGAATTTTCAGAGTTCGCCCGAAGAGAAGAGGACAGAAACAGTTGGCCGCATATTCGTTTGCTGTAGGCCTTCAAAACCATTCATATTATAACGTTTGTGACGCCACCGAAAATTTGGAAATAGTACTGTATTCAAAGGGTTTTGGTTAACGTAGCTTGAAGTATCATGGTTTTTACCGTCCATTTCACGGTCAGCACGTCTGATCCGTTAGAAGAGAATGAGTACATGTTTGTGACTGGGAATGCTGAACAATTGGGAGAATGGGACCATACGAAGGCATTGAAGTTGCATCAGAATGCTGATAGGTAAGGCTTTATGGTACATCTTGTTTCTCTTATAGGCTTTTAAAGAAAAGTCTTTGAAAGAATTTTGATACCTAAAACACAATTTTAGAAGACTTTTTTGCTAGTTTTTAGTCTGAGCGAAGCTACAAAGGTTAGATTATAGTAAATAACTTTTTTTGTTGTTATTGTTTACTCTTTATAATAAAACCTTTATCAGTTATTGAGCTCTGTCAATCTTTTGTTAATGCCCAGCTTATCAGCTCTTTTAATCATTTTTAAAATCAATATGTCAAAGCTATTTTAATAATCTCACTATCAGTCAAAGTTATATCGGTTTAAACTCTTTAAACTAATATTGTTTATCACAAGCTGATATCAAATTAAATATTTTCGTTTCTCAATCTGATATTAAACTACAAAAACGTTTTTTTACCAAAAAACTTATCAGTTACACCGTTTTAAAGTTAAAAGTGCATTTTTTCAGACATTGGTCAGGCACAGTATCCGTTAGCATCGAAACGGTCAAATTCCGTTACTTTACTGGCTACTATTTGGCTGCAGACGACGCTTCAGAGCCAGTATTGATAATTTCAAAATGGGAGACACACTTGACACCACGATTCGTGATGCCAGCTGTAGAAGCAACGAAATCACGGGTGTGCCGTGCGAATGTTAACGATGTGTTCGGTTTCAATGGTGGTCGTGAAGTGATCAGTAATGGGTGGCTAGAACAACATAACCAGATCATACTGCGTGTTTATGGAAAAGCTGTCAAGTTTTATAAACCAAAGCACGAGAAGCCTAATTACCGGATCAGAATCAGTCCTACGGATCTTCGTCACCGTGAGGTGGGTTTGAAGGGGCATAATTTGAAGCAGGAGGGGTTTACATAGCTAATATGAAGGTTTTTATATTTAAAACTTAACCATAATTTAAACTCCTATAAATAGTATCATTATCAATAATTTAAAAAAATGTTACCTATTTTACCAAAAAAATCTCAATCCCAACCATTTCAGGACGGCGACGACGAAGAAGAAGAGGACGATGAAGAGCACACCCAAAAGCCTTCATTGCCAAGTTTTTCACGTGCCGAAATTGCCGTAAGATCTAGTGAATTTGGTTTATATTCTTCTTGTCTTCCTCCCCTAAATCATGTTGCAGTGAGATGAAACGACGATGGATGAACAAGGTTAGCGATTCAGCCCCCGACGTCCACAAGAATAATGTCACATCGAATTGCGTCGTTGATTCATAGGCCTTTTTCGATCGTCTTTGAGAGATCCGTTTGCTTTTATGTTTTGGACTTGTAATTGATAAGGAGATCAAGGATAACGTATAATTTGTGATGGAAAATGCAAAGATAATATTGATGTCGAAAAATGTATCAAAATCAACTTATTCTTTAGCTAAATTAACTTAAACCTAATCAAAATTTGGTTTAAAACGGATTTCTCAAAGACGTACCTTCCTTGCTTATGCTGATTTTTAAGTTTTGCGCCTTTAATTTCAAGTTTCAGTTAAAGAATTAACGCTTATGATGAATGTCGCAACGGAATGTCATTACTCTTGTCGATGTTTACGCTTAATAAAGCTTTACTGTCTTTAAATTAAGGTTTTATCATCTTCACCTTTTGACGACTAAAATGAACGTTTCGATGAGTTTCTGATCGTAAAATCAAGTCTGTGACATTGTTTTACCTAAAAAATTCAAAAGTCTATTGGTCAGTTAAAAAACACCTTAAATTATAATTTTATGCTAACCGAAAGATGTTAAAACCTTGTTTATTGTCTTCAATTCATCACAATTTTGCAGAAAGTTTAACGAAGATTTCAATTTTAGGCCTTGAGCAAAGGAAACCCTCGCTTTCGCGCCCAAAGCCCCAACGGCGAAGTGTTCGAAAATGAAGTTGATTACTATCTCTACCGTACACAAAGTGTAGCCGTCGATTTCCTCGGCTTCCGTGTAGAAATCCTCAACGAAGATGGTACCGACGTGATGGCTACTGGCTACGCATTACCCTCAACTTTAGCCAATTCCTGCGGAAATGCGTCGGTGCCATTACTCACAAAGAAGGGATTACCTATTGGAAAGCTCTACTTTGGATACCTATTCGTACGACCGGTCGCTTTGCCCATTCCTGAACAGAAAATGAAAGCCAGCTACACGAAACACTGGAAGAAGCGAAGCGCTTTAGAAGTCGGACATCGAGGCATGGGCAATTCTTACACCAAGTTCGCAGCGGCACGTGAAAACACTCTACATTCACTAAATTCAGCGGCCAAGAATGGAGCCGATTATGTGGAGTTTGATGTTCATTTGACCAAGGACAAGATCCCCATCATCTTCCACGACTTCCATGTTTTGGTGTCCGTAGCCAAGCGAATTCCCTCGATTCAGGACTTGAGTTTGGCCAGCGAAAAACAAAATGGCAGTGTAGATGCTCACGAACTCGCCGTCAAGGATCTGACGCTAAGTCAGTTGAGACTTTTACATGTAAGTAAACAATCTGTGTTTATAGTGCAGTCTGGTGGAAGCTTCCTTCAAGGATTATGTCAATAACAAACATGGGAGTAGAGATACATAATTGAAGGAAAGCTAAATAATTTTAGAGTATTAGGGAGGATTTGCTAGGAAAACAGGATAATTTAGCAAAAAAAAATTTTTTTTTTTTAATTTTATTGAACTTGGTATAAAATTGAGCTGTGAATACTTTTATTTTTTTTTCGAAAATTGATCTCAATGGTTTTCAACAAAAAAATGAAGCTTTTTCAAAATGAAATTGTCATTCGTCGAAAAAAAGGAATTCCCCGACATTACGAACGCATGGCGTTGAAAGTTGTCTCGATTTCAAGCTCAAAAACTGTCGAACCAAGCACAAAGATTGAAAGAACTGACAACTGTCATTTTTCATTCAGGAAAAGCTGTCATTTAATCACCTGATTGTCAAAGTTTGAAAAAAAGGCATGCTGGAAGGCAAAATCATGCTTAAGATGATATTGTCTATGACGATATCTGGACCCGGAAATCAAAACCTCGAATTATAACTTTTCATGATAATATCAAATCCAAAAATCTGAAAAATGATATTTTGTATAATAAAAAACAATTATAAGACTTTACTTTAATGATAATATCCCTTATCTTTTAGCTAGACCACGTGCATCACAAGAACAGCCTCGACGAAACCGTAGCCAATCATACCGTGACAGGGAAGCACGATGAAGAAGAAGAGCATCGACCCTTCCCAACACTGGTCGACTCGTTTAATGGAGTTTCGGAGGAAGTAGGCTTCAATATCGAAGTCAAATACCCAATGGGATACCTACAAGGTGGTCATGAGTGTGAAAACTACTTTGAACCGAACCTATGTTTGGACATTATTTTAGCTGATGTGATGAACACAGCTGGAAATAGAAGAATCATGTTTTCGTCGTTTGATCCAGATGTTTGCTTGATGTAAGTTTAATTTTTACTTTATGCCCAAAAACTTCAAAATTCGGTTTTAAAATATAACCCTTGATGTATATACTTTTCATTCGTAGTTCAGACGAAAACCTTGAATTTTTGTCTACGAAAAAATCTCTCATAATTTTGCGCGTTCTCTAGTTTTTCTCTAATGCAATCAGACAAAAAGAGGGAACATACAAAATTATGAGAGCTTTTTTCGTGGACAAGAATTCAAGGTTTTCGTCTGAACTACGAATGAAAAGTATATACATCAAAGGTTATATCAATTTTATAGTAAAATACTTCAAAATGTAACCAACAAAATCATTATCATCCTTGAAAAAACCAAATCCAATTTCAGGCTAGCCCTAAAGCAGAACAAGTACCCAGTGCTCTTCCTAAACCAAGGTCAGACCCTCAAGCACCCGCCTTACCTAGACCCCCGAACCCAAACCTCCGCCATGGCGGTGAAGTTCGTCGCCGGTGCTGGCCTAATGGGCGTCAACTTCAACAGTGAAGACATTCTCCGTGACCCAGAACCAGTAACCTTGGCCAAACAATTCGGCTTAATTACCTTCGTTTGGGGAGATGAACTTGCTGATAAGAAGGTGGTTGATCATTTCAAAAAGACTCTCGGAGTCGATGGTGTTATTTACGACCGAATCGGCGAGGCCGAATCCAGAAGCAATGTATTTTTGTTGGAGAGAGCCATGAAGCAGGCGTTGTTCAGCAAACGACCAGTCTCGCCCAGCACCAGCCCCAAACAGCAACAAAAGTTCAGGTCGAATGGCCAAATGAATCTGGAGAAGCTGATTCCCGTCACCACCGCCGCTATTGAGCATCTTGATTTGCCAATAACGTCTACTACAAGGATTTTGTGGCCTGGAATGGAAGGAAACACATCGGTCAACTCGTCAACGTCTTCTGGAATATCGACTGATGGATCGAGTATCAACCATCATCTTGGCAATGTTGTGAATCAATTGAAACGACAGCCAAACTCGTTCAGTCATGGCTTTCCCATCTCCAAAATGACTTCACAGGAAACGTAATGGACTGTCAACTAGCTTTTGGCCTGGTTTTTTAAAAGCTGATGCGAAAAAATGGCGCATTGAAGTAAATTTGGCTTTCAAATGCGCCATTTAAATTTATTTTTTAATCCACCTAGTACAAGTTAACCCAACATTCGTTTAGTAGTACAATTTCACTTTACTATCTTTTCTTCACAATATTATTGTTATTGTCATATTAGCTTTTCTCTTTGTCGTACAATATTACAATTGTTCTTTTTAAACTCATTGAGAGTATAATATTACTTTACAGCAATCCGAAATGTAGTATTTTTGTTAAATTTTGCAAAATTTTTGTTTTTTTTACCGAAAGTTTGAGTTTTTTGTATTGTTAAAGGTGTAAAACACCTTTCAGTTTATATTGTAGTAGTTTCTCCTATTTCCTTTATTGTAAAATTCGTATTTTGTCATACATATTGTCACAATTTTTTCTTTTTTATTTATTGTTAAGGTAATTGTTTTTTTTAGTTAACAATGTAAGATAAGGTCTTAAAAGACTGTTTTTAAACTTTCTTGATACATTGTTATCTTCATAGTTAGGTTTTACTTTCCATCTCATACGGGTGTAGCTGTAAATCATTGGATTCGTCCTGTTATAAAGGGCTACAGTTTAAACAAACTATCAATAAATTACATTTTGAAAGCGTTTGGGTTTTCATGTGGTTATAATAATGAAAAAATAATGAGAAATGAACTTATTCAACGTGTAACATTAGTAAGTTGAAAAGGGTTGGTAATATGGTCATGGTGAATGATATATTAACTACCATGACGGAAATGTAAAACAATACCATAAACCAACTAAAAATCATTATTAATCATCCAAGATAATTATAAACCTCTTACACTTGGAAACTACTTCGAAAAACGCCACAATCAACTTAAAACAAGTAAATTTCAACCTAAAAACCAAAATAATACCTAAAATCTGAAAATTAGCGTAATTATTTAATAAGAACTTTATACATTATGGTTGAGAAAGTGAGTTAACGATGGTGATTTAAAAGGGGATCGCGACTGGTCGACTGCACGGCCCCACCTGACGATAATACTGTAATTTCGAGCACTCGAAGACCACGCTCGATTGGATCTGTCACACATAAACCGACCGGTAGAAAGACGTTTTTGTTCTGTTCATCAATAAACTTTCGGATCATCATTAATTGCTTTTCGTATCTTGTCGTCGTACACAAACGAATCAGGTAGCAGGTGAAGAAACTGACCAATGTCTCGCCTATTGAACCCATGTTTACCTGAAATAATTATAATTTATTTCTTGTCATAGCTTTTTTTAAAATAAACTGAAGTGTTGCTCCTTAGTTTAGTAATATACACTAATTAATTACTTCCTGTAAAACCCAAAAAAGAATATAGTATTAAAAACAAAGATTTAATGCAAGTTTTCACTACACCGTTACCTAAACCGATAGACAAAAGCACAATCGAAGTTTTGATATAATCAATGTTCTAACTCAACTAAAACGTCCCTTTAGGTCAATATAAAACTAAAAAACAATAAATTTAAGCTTAAAACTTACTGCTTCAGCCCGTTTAAACATTGAATTGATGTTATCGATCAAATAGTACCAGCTGTTTTCATCGATCTAAAAGTATAACAAATAAATGCTAAAATAACTTACTATTCCTTCCAAGTTTTGCGGAAAACTCCTTTGGAATCGTACATCAAGTCCGGCTGAATAATCTCGCTCCACAAACAATTTATGGCAATTGTCCAGAGCGATGGGTTGAGAACTCATCTGCGGCCGGTGTTATCACTAAAACGAGGTAATTAGTGATCAAAATTAGGCTCAATTAACTGGTTTTTGTATTTAAACCATAGAGAAGACCGTTGTTGAGATTGCGCTCAAGTTGTTTTGGAAAAGACGAAGATTTAAGTCGTTATAAAAAATACTATGTTACACTATCTAACCTCAAAGCCCTAAAGCTTCTTTCCTCACTTAATCCTTTTAAATACATTGAGACTAAGCAAAATATCAATCAATAAACACTATATCACCTGCAAATATCCCCAATCATATAAAGGGTCCTTATATTATATAGATTTTCCCGAAAAATCCACTTGAAGCCCCAAGTTTCCCTTTAATCCTCCACCAAAACCCAATATTTTCCCGCAAATGCCAAAACTTACACAAATAAAACAATATTAAGTTAAAGAAGTAGAATAAAAATAATATCTTCTTGTCGTAATGTAGTTTTGGCTTCGTTTTCGTATGTGAATCAATCGAAAGCGACAAGAATTTGTCGATTTCTTATTATATTTTTGTCGACACGTTATACGAAGAAAGATGCTTGAAAGAAAAGAGACGTTTTATACGATAAAAAATGTTGGGACAAAAACTTGTTCGGGACGAAGAAACTTTATTTACAATAATTTTTATAAGTCTACAAGTTTTTAACAATGTTATAATGCTTTTGTAAGTTTTTGACTTTAAAAAGGCCCAATTCTATTGATGTTACACATGATAGTCGTATGTGTTCAATTAAAAAACGGCTCGTTTCACATTGAGTAATGAGATCAATTAGCCCATATGTTTCAATTGAACCAAAATAAAAGTTTCTAAAATAAAACATCTGTCTGATGCTTTATATACGAACTTGATCGTGTTTTTCAAGTTCAAAATGTTTCGTTTACTCTTTGTTGTTTTACTTTTTGCATTGGTTTCGGCCGATGGAATCGGAGATGGAGCTGGGATTCGAAAGGATGAAGGTATAGGTCAAGGTAAGGAGGTTTCAATGCTTTTTCAGCTGTTATTGATGGCGATTTTAGAGTTTAAACGGACGGAATTGGAAATTTTTGACTTTTGTTACCTAAATCTGTCTTTGAAGACTAATTGGTGCTTCTATTTTGTTTATGGTTGTTTGATACGATTTTAGGAGTTGTGAAAGACCAAGTAGGTCAAGGAGCTCAAATTGGACAAGGATCAGCTGTGGGTTCTGGAGTAGGTGAAGGAGCTCAAGTTGGTCAACGTGCTGATGTTCAAACTGGATCAGATGTTGGTGGTGGAGCCAAAATTGGACAAGGATCAACTGTGGGTTCTGGAGTGGGTCAAGGAGCTCAAGTTGGATCAGGTGTTGGCCAAGGAACTCAAATTGGTCAAGGAGCTGGTCAAAAGTCGTCTGGTGGCTTGGGAATCCTTCAAGAACCTTCTGTAGGTAATGGAGCTGAGGTATCTACTGGTATCGGTCAAAAAATAGGGTCAGACGGCATTGGAAATGGAGCTAGGATTAAGCCAATCGATCAGGGAATTGGTGGTGGCATGGGTGTTCTACCTTCTAACGGTATGTTAATTTTTTCGATAGTTACTGCCAAAGTTAACAACACAATTTATTTTTAGGTATTTTTGATCAAAAAAATACTGTACTCTCTTATTACATTACGATTTAGGACTAGTTAGACAGTTTATAAAGATATTACAGCCAATAATTTATAGGAATTGGCCAAAGCGTAGGGAAGAAAGCGGGGGATCTTGGCCAAGGCGTTCGTCAGCGTCGCTTCTTATTTGCTCCATACTCAATCCACTGTAATCACAACTTGGGACCACGTGTATGTTATCGTACATACGAAGATGGAGAGTTCTCTCAAGTGCCAAAGGATTCAGCTGCTGGAGAATTGAAAGATCAAACCCGAGGTCTGCTTTAAATTGCACAGAAAATGGTGAGTTCAAAAGGTTTTCCATCGTATTTTAGAGATACCTTTTGTTTTTTATAGCGTTCTATTGGTATATAATTCATATTAGGTCTGTGGCTCTAGATTATGTTATATATTAGCATTAATTTGCTTTTTTATAGCATAGAGTTGGATGTCTTAGTATATTATATTAGGTAGACGTCTAAAAATGAATTTTTCAGAAAACGTTGAACTTTTAATCAAAAAAGAACAAAACTTGGAACTTACTCAGCTGTAACTCTACTATCAAACCATGACTTTTTTGTTAAAATACGAAAAATGATTTTTTGAATAAACTTACTTATATTTGGGCAATATATTGCAATACTAAAAATTACGTATTTTACCGATTTTTTTGAAAAATAAGACTTGCCAATGTTAGTTTATCATTCTGTATCATAAAAGTTGCGAGCCGGTTGGTTTGAAGCGAGAATGGCTGATGTCAAGTTGTTGGATCTGGCTCCGAGCACTAAATCCACAAAGAAAAAGGAAGCTCCAATCGGTGGTATGCCCGATGGAGAGCCGATTTTGAATCCAAAGTAGGTGAATATTGAATACTTTGTTTCTTCATTAGTAGCACGCTTTTAACAGTAGTTTGTTACCTAAATTTTAATTTTTGAAATTTAATTTTTAGGTGGCTTGTATTTTCACCAGCGGACAAGTATAGAACGGCTCAATACGCTCTGTTTACTATAACTAACGCCGAACCGGTTAAAGTGGCATATCGGTTGAGAACTAGGGTAAGTTATAGAGCTGGATTATCATCAAATGAGTTTTAAGTAAAACATTGTCTTTGAAGTTACAGGTATGTTAAACTTTGAAAAACCGTTTTTTAGGATAAAAGTCAGTTTTAACTACTAAATCCAAAACATTAAAAAAATATTTTTTTAAGTTAAAATCCGTATTTTAGGACCGTTTATTCCCCCAACTCTCTCATTCTCACGGTGTTCTGGCGTCAAAAGAGTCGGTGGAGATTGTCTGCTACATTCCATCGCACGATCAATGGCCTAGAGACATTGTCGAATACTCTGGCAAGGTTCACAAGATTGTGGTCGAAACTCTGACAGTTCCAGACAGTATGACAGTCCCACAGAATCAAAAAGACCTTGTCAACGCTGTCAGAAGACTTTTTCACAATACTGCTTCGAAGGTGAGGGTTTAATTTGAAAGTTTTAACAAAGTATCTAAGATTAAAATTAAAAAAATTAAATTTTGGAAAGCCGAAGTTTGGAAAATTGATTTTTTTTTAAATTTTAAAAATTTGCGGGATTAAATAATTGAAAAAATAATTTTTTGATTTAAAAATTACTTGAAATTTGAAATTTTGAAATTTCAGGCTCAATTGACTCGTCTCTACCTCAAGTTGAAGATCCTTTTGCCTTCAGTTCCAGCCGGCTCTCCACCAAAGAAAGCGTCATCTACTACTTTTTGAATAAAATTTTTGTATTTTCATTTTTCATGTTTGATTTTTTTAAAATTATACATTTTTTTAATTTTTTAAAAATTTTTGTTTTACTTCACATTTTTTTTAAAAATTTTGTCGCCACAAATTGGTGATGTCTGAAATTTCATCAGAAATTTCGTACTACAGTACGGAGAGTATAGTACTAAAACCTCCGGAAAAGCATGATATTGATTACAATAATGTTGTTGATGGGTTAAAAATGGAATCTGGAAGGATTGAAGAAGCTCTGAAGGTCATGTTTAAGGTCAGGAATGAAGCTGAAGAGGAGGTTATTAAGGTAGGAAGTAGTTAATAATAATATTGCCTTTAGCTTCGGAATGTCGTTGACAGAAAGAAAAAGAAGTGAAGAAGCTGTCGACTTGGCCCAAGCAGCTAGCCGAAGACACCAAGAAGTGGGAAGGGCTTTGGGAAGGCGAATTTGGAAAGGTAAAATACCTTATGTGCACTTTGTTTTTAAAAACGAGTTTAAAATGTTTGAAATATTAATTAAATTACAACGTTTAGAATTGGTAAAATACGTTTTTCCAGTAATGATATTTGCCGGAAAAACTAAACTATCATTTCAGAAAGTACTTCAACATCAATCCAATAAACTGGCTGAAAATACGACAGTTGTGACTGAAATGAACAGTAATATCCAATACTGTAAGCAGATGATCTCGTTCAAACGAATGTCACAACAACGACTGGCTGAACAAAGTCGGGAGCTCTACAAGAATTGTCAGGTGGGGTAATATAACATATGAAATTAATATGTTCATAAATACTAGTAGATAATATAGTTATTGAATTAGACCTGAAAAGAGGACCACTAGTCTCGGTCTTTGCCTAATTTGAAAGGGACTGGACAGGCAATGTGGGCCCGAGATGTTATGAAGAGTAATACATTTAACGTTACTCTCTTTCAGCACGAATTGAACCGTGTGCAACGCGAGATCAGCTGGCTGAAGGATCAAGTAGCTGAATGGAAGTTGAAGACAGTCCAAAACGAATTGATAGTCGAGAAAATGAAAGTGGATTTGGAGAATACCAACATGACACTACTGGACAAAAGGGCTATGGTTGAGGAAATGAAGGTAAGTTTATATGCAGGGAAAGGGCATGTAGAGTAGGGTAGAGTAAGGTAGGGTAAGGTGGTGTAAATTAAGATAGGATGTGATAGGGTTGGGTAAAGTAAGGCGGCGTAACACAGGGTAGGGTAGAAAATTATTTTTTTTTAATTTAAAAAATTGCATTTTATTTTGAAACCGGAACGTTTAAGATTTTTTTGTTAAATTCAAGGTCGTGAACAAGCGATTACTTAATGAACAGTTTGTAGTTGTTAATTTATGGATTTGATCATTACTTTTTGAAAAACAGTAAAGAAAAACTTGCACTTTTATTTTATTTTCTTGCGGTTTTAAAATTTTTTTAAATTTTGGCGATTTTTTTGAAAAGTCGTTTAATACCTGTAGCAGATGGCGGTTTAAGAAATAGTACTTCTTTTTGGCAGAACAGTATCATTTTTGACAAAACAATGGTTTTTTTTGCGGAACTGTGTTATTTTTGAAAAATGGGGTTGCAACCGGTTGTATTGGAACAAGGTAGTACAATTTTCTGATACTTGGTGCTTATTTTTGACATAATGATACTATTTTTAATAAATGGTACTCTATTGTGAGAAAATAGTACCATTTTTGATACCTAATGTTACTTTTATGCAAAACGGTACTATTTCTAAGAAATGGTATTCTATTGGGAGACAGTAGTACTATTTTTGGTAACTAATGCTACTTTTGTGCAAAACCGTACTATTTTTAAAAAATGGTACTGTATTGTCAGAAAATAGTATTATTTTTGATACCTGATGCTATTTTTTCAGGCAGAAGTATACTATTTTTTAAAAATTTTATTGTATCGTGACAAACTAATAACATTTTATGATAACGAGTACTATTGCCGAAGGCGTGATTTTGGTTTGGAGAGGCAGACAAAAAATTCGTAGAGATAGTTGATTTTTAACATTTTTTTAAGTTTTTTATTAAAAATTAATAAAACATTGAAAAGACAACAAGCCTTTTTCATGACCATTTACACTTGTGCAAAACTGTTTTTTTGTTTGTTGAAAACCATCGCCTCAAGGTTAAAAGCCGTGATTCTCGAAATGTTCAAAGTTTTAACCTGATGTGTAATGTAGAGTCACGCTTTGTACCTAAAAATATTTACAGGCCGACTTGGAAGAACAACGACGTCAGCGATTCTTGGCTGAACTACATCACAAGGGACACAATATCATGAAGGAACTCTGAAAATGACTTAAACTAATCACAATTTATGTTTTGTGTTGTTTACTATAAACATTTATTTGTTGTTGGAATGTGGTTTAAACACATTTAGATTTCAGGAGTTTGGGTGGGGCTATAGGGTAAGGGTAGGCTAGAATGGGCTAGCTTGTGGTAAGTAAGGGGTTCATGCAAATAAAGGTTGGAAATGAAAGGCAGGTCAACGTAAAACAAAACGAGACAGGATAGGACAGAGTAGAGTAGGAAAACTACGGTAGAGTGAGGCACGGGAAAGTAAGATTAAGTAGAGCAGAGTAGGGTAGGGTAGCAAAACTTAACTTACCTGCATAAAGCCAGCTTAAGTTTATGTCATCGTAGCTAAACCAACCTCAATAGCCTCAAAGTTCAGTGAAAACAATCAGAAACGTAGTTTCAGTCAATGATCAATTAGCGTCTCGCTATGTAATTAAAAGCCTTACCTGCTCAATATTAACAAGATGACAAGAAAACCGCTTTTGACAAAGCTTTGTCTAATTCAAGTCTCGCTGTTTTACATCCATCGCGCTTCCAAAAAGGGCTATGTCAACAAAGATTGTGGTCATGGGAGCGCGTGAGAGTACGGTAGCATTGATTTTGAAGTTATTGGTTTAAAAATGCATAATTTTCAAAGTTAAAAAAAAGTTTAAAAATTAAGTTTGAACCAATATTTTTAAATTAATTGAGTTTTAATTTGTTTTTATGTTTTAAAGCAGCTTACCAATTAATAGCAGCAATTTTCTGACATTACACTGAACTTTGTTTATCAAAATTAATGAATTTTAAGTTTTGCACAAATAACGTCAGAAAACTAGAGTACACATAAGTCGATAGGCTTATTGTTACAGTTCAAGCTTGTTAATAAACAATATCTTTAAAGGGCATGGGTGGGGTTAGTTTTAAGTTAGGTTATAGTTGTAGGTATTCCCATTAGAAACAAAAATTTAAAAATAAGTAGGGTAGCTTTAAAATTAATGGCTAGATTGTTTTTTAAGTTGGGGGTAGGTTGGAAGAACCCACTCTTTGCCTCTAACCAATTTTTTGATTAAAAATGTTAAACATGGTTCCGTATGATCCATAAATGATCTGGAAAAACAATTTAAAGCCAAATTTCCGTTTATTTTAAAAAATTTTTAATTTTTTTTGAAACGCGCAGGGCCGGGCCTAGAAATTTTCTGATCTGGTCGGGCCTGACCATAATGAAAAACGGGCCGGGCTTGAAAAGTGGCCCGGCCCGTTTCTCATGTCTAGGTTTTTGTTTCAAAGCTGGAACTGTGGCAAAGCCGGAGTCATGTTGCAGCCGAAGCCTTTTCGGAGCCGAAGCCATCCTGAAGTCAGGATTCGTTAGTACTGAAATTCGACATTTTTTGGCTGTGACTTTAGCCCCGGCTTCGCCTGTAATTCATGCTTGTTTTGGATTGGGAGTTCAGGAGGACTCTAGTTCATTCTATTAAATTTTGAATTTTTTTGCAATATTGTAGCTCGGTTTTTAAAATTGTTCCTTTTCAAAATCAAATTCTTTATCCCAGCCCTAGCCCTCCCCGTTGACTTTTATAATACAAAATTCAAAGAAAAATTGAAAACCACTCATCCAGCACTGATTGCCGCTTATAACGATAATCTACTGTACCTGAACAGTAGATTACCTCATCTCGCTTCCTTCTATTAATTTATGTTTTCCACAGTTTATCAAACTTTTTTCGAATTTTCGCTCATTAGGCTTAACAAGATTACATAAACTTGATCCCGAACTGCATGTCGTCGTGTTTGGTCGCACGTGTGGCTTGCTTACACCTACTTTTCATTGTTTTTTTTTCATAAAACCTTGCTTGAGGGGCCATTTGATTGCGTGAAACCTGTCTTCGCGGGCTGAAACCGCTACTTTCGCTTTTTATTAAGTAAGTAGCGTCTTCACAGGTATTGAATCCGCCCTAAAAAACAAAAGGGAAAACGGCTTGCCCTAAGGCGGCTACTTTAATGTTTAAGTGAGGGTACTTGGGAGAGGGTATTCTTTTTGGATGAGGTCAGCGAGTATTGGGATTGGGTTTTGTTGAAATTTGTTTCAAAGTTTAAAAAAAATTATTTTTAAGCATTTTATAACAATTTTTTGACTTTTTCTTTTACCTTATTACTCTACAGTTATAGGCAAAATTTAAAATCTAGCACATTTTAATTTTGTTATAAGCAACGCTTTGAGCTATGCTTTAAGAATTTAAGCTAATTATGGCTTGATTTAAAAGAACGCTTCAACCTGATCTGGCCTTGGGCTGGGCTGAGTCTAAGCAAATTTCGACGCCGGGTTGGGTAGACAGATGTGGGCCCAAAAGCCATGGTTTAAAAAAAGGAGTTAAAGACCCAGCTTCTGTCCCACAACAAAAGATTTGACATGCAAAATGTGTAAAACAAATCTGAGTTTAATGCTGGTGAGCCAGGCAAAAATGTAGGCCCTGTTTGGCTTCACTACTTAGTACAGTGGAACTTCTGCATAACGAATCGCTCGGGGACTTGAAATTTGTTCGTTATAAAGGAGTTTCGTTACAGTGGAGTTTTAAATTCACTGTGTAGTGTTAGACGGGGATCCAAAAGTTGTTCGTTATACGGGATTTTCGTTATAGAGGAGTTCGTTATACAGGAATTTTACTGTAGTAGCAATTTTCTACTACTAATAATCAATCTTAAGTGTCTTGTCTCTGTTAGCATCAAACCAATTCTTAACCACGGTAAAGCTCATACATACTCTTCTCAAAATGGAGTTTTAACTACAGTAAGTCAAAAGTCGAGTCGTGCCTATCAAAAAATAAATTTAAACTTCAATATGTAATAAAAATTTAATTCCAAACAAAAATGTCAAAAATTTATTATAGTTTTACTGTGGTTGTCTACTAAGTATTGTCTAAGTTAATTAGCCCCATTTTGGTCAGCTGTTTGGTAAAACGATTTTAACTGGATTGGTAGCTAGTTAGTCTTCAATTGGAAAAAACACTGTCGACGTAACTAGTTAAGTATGATTTTCTAGTTAGACGGGCTCAGTAAATCACGGAAATGTGCTTTACGTAACAGTTGATTGTTTCACAGTTTTTTGCTCATTAGGATGACATATTAGAGTAGGTAGGGCAAGAAGATTAGAAGGAGAGTGTAGAGTAGGATAAGGGGATACGAAGAGTAGGATAACGTAAAATAAGATGGTATGAAGGGTAGGTTAGGGTAGAGTAGGGTAGGGTAGGGTAGGGTAGGGTAGGGTAGGGTAGGATAGGGTAAGGTAAGGTAAGGTAGGGTAGGGTAGGGTAGGGTAGGGTAGGGTAGGGTAGGGTAGGGTAGGGTAGGGTAGGGTAGGGTAGGGTAGGGTAGGGTAGGGTAGTGTCGTTTTTAACTTACTAAGGCCACATATTGCAGTAAGTACGGTCGGGTAGTAACGCTTACCTCCAATTCAAAAAATCGCGTCATCGTGACCAAGTTTCAAATCCTCAACAATTGTTGCAACAAACTTTACACCACACCCTACTGCTTTAAAATTTGCTTTTACCGTCATATGTTCCCAACATACCAGCACTTACTGCGCGGTATATTACACACGCTGGTGTTTTGAATGTTGTTCCCAATTACTGTTACAACCCGACTTGTTTACCGACCACAAATCTTTTATATGATTTTAGCGTTGGCAGGGTATTACACTCACGTCAGCCCTTTATTTGGTCGTCGAATTCCAGGCTGGTTTCGGTTCAAATTGTGTTCAGTTTATTAGCTTTTGTGGTTTCGCGCGCCGGTTTAAAGGTCGAAATTACATAATTTCGGAATTTTAAAATTAGCCAAAATTTGACTTTTTGTCTGGGACAGATTGTAGTAGGTAGGTTAAGGTAGACCTGTATAGGGGCTGATTTTTATGTTGTTGTGGGATCTAATTGTAAGCTGCCGTCCTAAACCCTTCATTCATCCGGCCCGTAGGCGCTCACGGGTTGGGCCGTTCTCTTTTAAATTTTTCTTTGGCCTGGCTTTTTACAGGCCTAGCTGGAAGTGAAGAAAAGAAAGGTGAGAATTTTATTCATCGGTGCCAAATAGACCTGAAGCGAGGCCTAAATCACAGCGGTTCAGCTTGATTTATATATATTTTCAAAGACAATTGTGGGGGAGGAAGATCATATTCTAATTTTAGCAGTTTTTCTAAAAATAACGTTGCAACAACTTTTTCTTCTTTTTTAGTTAGTTTTTGGTACGCAAAAAAAGTTTTGTAATGTAAAATACGTGTAATCTTTTTTGCCTTTCGGATGTCAAGTCAAAAATAAATATTTAAAACTGAAGGCTTTGTCATAACAGTAAGCTTAAGCTTAATATAGAACCATGACTTGTAAATAAGGAGGATTGGTAAACAGTTAAAAAAATTTTATATAAAGAAAACTAGAGAAATAAGCTAAAATTTAAGTTTTTTAAAAGTCTTTACTCTTAGAACTTTTAAACTATGGTTTTAAAACTTATAAAGCAAACTACAGAAAACATACTTTTTTTGATTTGTCACTTTATTTCAGCAAAAGCATTAATTGGCAGCTTTAAAAAAGTGCATATCTCACAAACTTTTTTTAGAAAAGTTCAAAATTAGTTATAGAAATAGGATTTGTAGTTTGACAATTGGGTACCAAATTTAGTTTAAAACATAATTAACTTACAGTAGGTGAAGTATATATGTAAAGTTAAAACGCATGGTTTATCTAAGTACATCGGAAGTTGTTTTTTAGAATTTTATTTTAAATTTTTAAAATTTAAAATTTTTTGTACTTTTAGAGTTTATAAATTTTTGCTGCTGGCAACTTAAAGTCAGAGGCAAAAAACCTGAAGAGACGCCCGCAAGGCTTGGCCTGACCTGCGAGTCGGACTAAAAGTTAGGCTGGCAATTTTACAGGTCTAATGGGCACTTTTTTAAACTTTAAAGAGCAATTTTATCCTTTTATACTAAGATTTATTGGCTAAACGTATTTTACAAAATTTCACGTTACAGTACCTCTCTACGTTATTGACTTTTAAATCTAACCTCAAAACCTCAAAAATCCTGTTTTCCAACTAAAATTTGTTTAATATTACAGTAATGTTACAGCCTGGTTTGTTTTCGCGGATTTGAATTACACGAGCGATGATAAGTACAAAATTGTAATTATTTACCGCATATAAACGCGGTAATTAGAACGAGGGAACAGATTACTGAACCCTTTTTTTCTTGGGGTCTTCTTACAAACCCATTCTTGACTGGTTTTGTTTTTGTATACAAAGTATAAATGTTGTTTTTGAGTAAACATATGCTATCTATATTGTATATTGTATATAGTACTTATCTGGATTAGTTGTATGTATATTGGGATTTAAAGAGTAATATAAAAGGTTTCGTTGGGGTGAACTGGAACTACAACAATGTAAAAGTAAGGTGTGATAGGGATAAGGTAGGGGCACAGAATTTAATCAAAGAAGGGTAGAACAAAAGATAAGGGTAATGAAAGGTAAAAAAAAGGGCTAGGGCTTTAGGATAGCTTTCTGGGCTAGGGGCTCTGGACTAGGGCTCTGGACTAGGGTTCTGGGCTAGGGCTCTGGGCTAGGGCTCTGGGCTAGGGCTCTGGGCTAGGGCTCTGGGCTAGGGCTCTGGGCTAGGGCTCTGGGCTAGGGCTCTGGGCTAGGGCTCTGGGAGCTAGAATTGTAATTTTTTTAAATTTTTAATTGGCGGTTTTAAAATTTAGACACGCCTTACCTCGTTTACTCTTAAATACATGAATTAACAAAACGTGTTTTACAAAAAAAAAATTTTGTTACAGTAATCATGGTACAAATCTGGTGCATGGAACCCTACCCAAGCGGCGACCCACGCCTTCCCCACCACTGTTTCCCTCCAAAGAAGTTGAACGCCGATGAATTGACGAAACGTACTGGTACTCTCTACTACAAATTGGACTTGGATGATCACGTTAGTCTGTCGAAGAGAATAGCCTTAATGAAAATGGAACGGAATTTTAAAAAAGAAGATACCTACACTTTGGATGCTCAGAGTACCATCGATTTCGAGGATAAGGTAGGGTTTTGTACTGTAAAGGATGTTATATAGTATGGGTATACCTATGACAATACTTTTACCTCGGGCGGGGATTTAAAATATGAGAGGGGGGGGATAAAAGATGAAGTAGATAGGAAGTGGGGGTAGATAGAGCAAACGTAAATTTAAAAAAAACATTTATCTCTCCCCCCCTCTTAAAAAAATTTCTCTAGCATGTTTTTTACCTATACCTACAAGTACATACCATAAAATACAAAAATAAGCTCTATACCTTCTACAGATGGCCGAACTATTCGAAGAGAACGAAGCTGATGGAGAGATTGCTCGTATGATCACGGAAGGCGCCGCTTACTTTGACGTCGAGGCCAAAGACGGCGACTGGATCAGAATCCTGTGCGAGTACGGTGACTTAATAATCATCCCCAACGGAAGGTCATACAGAATGACTACTACCGCCAAGGTAAGCTGGTTTTTGATTGTTTTGATTTGAAAAATGAAAAAAAAAGATAAAGGCGACGAAATGTCACAAATTTATTAGAAAAAATAACAAAATGTAACAAATTTTATCGGAAAATGTAAAATACGCCAATTGGTCCTATATTTTAAAAATAATAGTGAATGGTGATATTTAAATACTAAAACAACATTAATATTCTAAATTATCTAAAAAATGTAGTTCTATAAAAATAATTTTAAATTTTTAAAAAATTTCAAAAATAAATTCAAAAAATCATTCTAGAACTTTGTAAAAATGCGCCGATTCTACAAGGACGAGGAATAAAATACGAGTACACCAACCAATAACGGTTCTTTTTTTTCCGGCCACCCATACTTACCACAACCCCCCCCCCGCCTATCATATTGTATCTCTGGTTTTTCTTGTATATGTTTGTTTGGTTGATTCGAATAAATATCTCAGAACTCTGCCTGCTGAACTTACAGTGTAAAAAACTGACTATCGCCGGTTTAAATGTGGCTTATCTAGGATCAAAGAGCGAAGGAATTTAATCTAGAATCAGTCTTTGATAGCGTCCTAGTTCATGTGGTACATGTGGGCTCGAAGCACAAACAAAAGCTCGGTCTTTTACAGGTTCCTAGAGCAAGAGCTACCATCTTTTAATTTTTTTCCAATAAAAATAATCCAACTTTTAAAAAAAAAATAATATTCACAACATTTTTTGCTGTTATTTCGTCACATGGTGACGGACTTCATCCTCGGCTGCTTAGTAATCGAACTTGGCAGCGGTTTGCACTGAATTCAAAAACGTTTTCAAGTCACACTTGCACAAAAAACATGTTGTTTTCAAACTGTTTTCTATTGTTTGTTGTTTGTTAAGTTTTAACATGAAGTGAGCAAGATTAAAGTTCAAAAAACTGGGTTTAAATTTAAATTTTAAAGTCACATTTTAATTTTTAAAAATCTTGTGTTAAAAGCTATTTTGTACTATATTAAATGCTAAAGGCTACTGTAAAGTCTTAAAAATTACATTCTACGAACTTTCTGACCGGCAACTTTCAAAAAATTAATTTTTCAAAACTTTGTAATGTTTTACCACGCCCAAAATCATAAAAGTTAGTTGGGAAATAATTAACGCTTTTAGGATTTTGTTTACACTTTTGCCGTCTGCCAATTCGAATTATTCAAATTTCACTTTTTGGCAATAATATTTTGGCATAATCTGTTATGAGCTAAATGTGTTTGTTTTTAACTTGTAATTTTATTCAATTTTAATTAATTTTTGAAAGCTTGCTTTCGGTAAATTTGCAAAAATAGGGCTATTTTGGTGTTAAAAATGGGGTTTTTCAGTCGAAATTTGATAAACTTATCCTTTTTATAGCTTTTATAGGCAGGACAGAGTATGTTATAGTAAGTTAGGATAGGATAGGGCAGGAAAAAGCGTGCTAAAGCTAACAATAAGCAAACCAAATCAATGGAGGGCAGGACAGGTAGGGTAGGATAGAGTAAGATTGGGTAAAGTGGGCAAGAAAAAGGCAGGAAAAAACAGGGAACGGTAAAATAAGGCATACAAGGATAGCAAGGCAAAAGCCGGACAAAGGCAAGGCAAAGGCAGGGTAAAGGCGGGAAAAGGCAAGGGGCAAAGGCGGGGAAAAGGCAGGGCAAAGGCAAGGCAGGGCAAAGGCAGGGCAAAGGCAGGGGCCAAGATATTTTGCAGTATTATATAAATATTGTCATTCGTCCACTCCAACTCTAAAAAAATCTATTTTGATACCTAAAGAAATACCCCCTTCTCTTTATTCTCTCCCTACCCGCTTCAATTACCTAAATTAACAAAAAATCCATTTTTTTTGGCAATTTTAATAAAATCTGGAGTTTCCCGCACTCACATCCAATTGAAAATGGCAATAATTTCGGATTGAAAACACTTGACATATTAATTATGTCGAGGATACCATTAACCCTTTTAATATTAACGATTAGGAGGATGGACGCGGCCAAATTGACTCTGAATTTATATGGCCTGCGGAGAAGTTTCAAATAAAAGGTTGTGTGTATGTGTAGTACTTGTGTGGTTTATGGGATTGGGTGGAGAATTGAGGTACAATAGAAAAAAATTAAGTGTTGGGCGGAATAAATTAATGCTTGAGTTATGTAAGGCCGTTTTTTGTTTTTTAAAAAATTTTTTTTAAGTTTATTATATATGTTTTTTAAAGTGAAATTAGTAGAAGATTGAATCTTTACATTCCTATATCTATTAACGGTTCTTGGCAGGTTATTTTTATTTAGAAAAAAAATATGCTAATAAGGTAGGTCAGAGTAGTTATATTTCGTATTTTACCATTTTCAACCTTAATGTAACTTTGATCATTCCTCATTACCTCCAACCTTCAAATATGTGCTAAAGCCGGCTGGTTCCAAACTTTTTCGAGTCCCAATAAATTAAGCGAGTAAATAAACGTCAGTCGAAAACTGAATGTTATGTTGAAAAGATTTTTCGAAAAGCCTCTGAAGCGACAGCTGCCTTGTCCTAAAAAAAGTTTCCCATTACATCAAATGGTTGTTAAAGCACGACCTCAAACCCGTTGTGATCAAAACTTTTATATCAGTGCTGTTTCAATATTGTTTTAGGTTCGTTTAATGTTGACTCAAGTTTTGGTTGGCCTCAGTAGTTTTTAAAAAATTTTAAATATGAAAGGTGAGAGAAATACTGTAATAAATAGAAAGAAAAAAGAATAGTAGATTGTGGCTTGTAGCTTGGTTAGGTTATGATAAGGTTTAGCTAGGGTAAAGCTAGGCTAAGGTAAAGCTAGGGTAGGGTTATGTTAAGATTAGATTAAAGCCTGAGTAAGCGTAAGGCTTAGAGCACTATAATGGGGTTTTAGTGAGTATAAAATGACACTTTGGATGAGCTACTAGTACTGCTGTGACGTCTAGCTTATAGTAATAAAAACGAAGTTGATAAGTTAGGAAAGAGCGTAATGTTTTAGTCATGAAAATGATAGTAAAAGAAGGTTTGAACTCAATTTTTTTTAAATAAAAATTTTAAAAACTTAATTTTAATAAGACGTTAGAAATTAAAAGGTTAGAAACAAGATGTCCCTGAGCTAATAAATTTCATTTTTTAAAATTGGTTTTTTCAGGCATTTTGTTTTATAAAATGGAGTAAGACCTTACGTACGTAGTGTTTATCACATTTTATTTATTATATAGTTAGTATAAATAGCCGTGATTATAAATTAAAAAATAATTTTTAAAATTATGTCTATTCTTATATAAAAAGATTAATCGTTCAGATATTTTTTTAAATGTGAACTTTACGATAAGGTGTTAAGAAAAGATGATAAATAGATTGGCAGATTGATTTAGTGTTTTTCATCCGTCAAAATTTCAGCTTATTGTTAGGAACGCTTATTATTTATCCCAACACTCAATAACTAATTGATCTATCAACATTCTAGCTAGAAGCTGACGAAAGTAAGGCTATGGTAGGGTTAGAGCAAGGCTAGAGCAAAGCCAGAATAAGGCTAGAGAAAGACTAGGGCAAATGTAGAATATGTTTAAGATAAGGCTAGTGTTAGGCTAGGATAGGACAATAGCTAAGGCGGCAATATCGCTAGAGCATGGCACAGTTAGGTCTAGGGCTGGAATAAGATTAAAGTAAGTTAGGTTAAGGCTAGGGTAGGACATATGGATACAACTGGGCTACGGTAAAACTAAGAAAGCTAGGGTAGTGAAAGAGAGGTTTAAGTAAGATTAAAAGCATAAAAAGTGATTTTTTAATCCAAATTTTGCAAAATTTTAAATTCAATGAAATTTGTTTACATAAAAATAATTTTGTCAATTTAAAATTGCATTAAAATGTGGACTTTTTACTTTTGTAATCCTTTGCTTTACTAAAACATAATCCGGGAATTACTTTTTGGCGCTTTGTAAATATTAAACATTGGATTAATTCATTGGTCTTGGAGGCTGTTGGGGCTGTTTTGTCAAATTTATAAAATTTTAAAATTATTCACTTTGAATTTTTTTTTTGTTTTTTGCAAAAATTTTAAAAAAAAATGTTGGTCAAAAATGGATAGAAATTAAAAATCTTAAAAATCTATTTACTTTTTGACCAGAACGGGTTAGTATGGTAAATTCTATGAAACTTTTGACCAAATTTATTAATTTTATTACCGTTCATATCAATTTTTTCATTTTTTAATTATAAAATTCCCAAAAATCGATCACTAATTCGTGCCGCTGTAACAATGCGACGTCAACGTAACTATGTGTAAAATAGGCGAAAAGGATGGAGTAATGTTGTTGTGTCACGTCAATGATATCTATATGTCCCGGGAGGGTTCTACTTATTTGTTTGCTTCCCAAAAAAACTGTTTTTTACAATTTATGGAGGGAATATGTTAACTAAAACTAATAATGTGGCACGTGTATAAAAGATTGTGGTTTTTTATACATTATTTTTTAATTTTACTAGAAGTGGATGGTACTATAAGGTTGATTTTCTTATAAAAAATTAATGTAAAACCTTATTTTTAGCCAAAAAAATAATAATTTCTTGATATTAACCATGGAAAGACTAGTAGTTAAAAAAGTTTCATCTTTAAAGAACTTGTTTGCGCACTTTAGCTTAGCTTTTATTAGTACTTGATAGTACTATCTTGATCTATTTTCACTAAAAACTGGCTTTAACGTCTATTTTCAGGTGAGGAACTCACAATTTTCAACATTAACCATGACAAACGTCAAATTTAGAGTTTGTCTGAGCCTAAAAGAAACTATTTTTGTAATTGAAATACGTTTTAATAGTACTTGATAGTACTATCTTCAGTATTATATTTTGCATTAAAGATTATTTTAAAATCTTATTCTTGGGCAAAACACTCAAAGTTTTTGATATTAACCATGATAAAAGTAGGATTTAGCCATTTAAGGTCCATGGAATCAGTTTTCATAACTTAAGTTAGTTTTTACTAGTACTTGGTAATACTATCTTATCTACTTTACTAAAAAAGCTAGGCTAAACTTCTATTTTTAGCCCAAACACTAAATTTTTCACATTAACCATGACAAACTTCAAATTTAGAGCCGTCTGTCTTCAGAAGAAACTGTTTTTGTAGTCATTAAAAGTAAATATACAGTCCCAGTCTCATTCAAATAACAAAGATACCATGCCGTGTTATTTCCGAGTTTTATGCGCGTTTAATTGCCATTGTCCAGCGTTCGTTCACTCCTTTACCAAGGCGGTTTCGCTTCGAATAACAACATAAAATTTTGTATGCTTGGGGCCTGGTACTGGGGTTACAGCTTGTTTTTGGTTTGATACTACATTCATTTTATACATACATGTTTTTTATGTTATAAAAGGTGGTTTACAAGTCTTTAGACTCCTTTCAGAGTAAAGAACGGCAGGAAAAGGTATAGTATGCTAGTTTCAGTTGGGTACAGTTGAAGCAGGGTTGAGTTGAATAAAATAAGATAGGCTTGGATAAGTTTAGATAGGGTATGGTACAATTTTAGAAAGTTTGATTAACGTTAGGATAGAACTACGTTAGGATTGGAGCAGGACTAAAGTAAAGCTAGGGTAAGGTAGGCTTGAGTAAGTTTAGGTAGAATAGAAGTTCAACAATTTAGAATAGTGTTAGATTATAGCAGAGCGTTTGAGTTAGAGTAGGATAGAGAAGAGTACGACTAGAGTAGAAACAGGTTAGGATCGGCATAAGACTAAAAAGTATAGTACTGTTGCAACTTCATGCATCTTATGGCTACTTTACGTTGTAAAATTTTTCATAAAGTTTCTGTCAACATTACAGTACGCCACTGACCCCTGAAATAAAAAAAAATTTTTTTTGTGAACCCGTTTGGTCAAAACTTCTTTTTTCAAATATATTATATAAGCGTAGAATAGGCTAGGTAGAGTAGGGTAGGATAGGAAAGGGTGGGTGAAGGTAGAGTACGTTACAGTTTAGTAATTTAAGGTAAAGTACGGTAGCAAATTTCTTCTTTCTTATATGTAAATATATAAAAGATGGCTTTTTAAAATGCTTTTCAACTTAAAATTTATTACTTTTTAAAAAATCAAGCTTTTGAGTACTTTAATGCGTCAAGAATAGTTCTACAAAACCATTACTGACAAGAATTCCCTTTCCAGAACCCAATAATTCCGTTACCATTTCAATTAGACTTACATAACTATTGTCTGACTTACTTCTTAAGCGCGACTGTCTTGTTTCTTAATATTTTTCGATCGAAAATTGCGTTCAGCTGATTTCCCCTCGCCCCATCGCCCCTTTTTATATTGACTTTGTTTCAGCGGTGGAACAAAAGTTTTTGCACGATTTGATGAGCTGAGTTCATGGATGCGACTGCTGGTGCGTTTGGGTGTGTTCGCCGTGCTGGTGATCACGTTTTTGGTGTTCACTGCGTATAGACATGCTTCCAAAGGGTATGGCGATGATGAAACTGGTGAGTGGTTTTTATTTTTAAGACAGGGAGGGGGGGGAGTGGGGTGAAGGGTAGTACAATGAGTTTTTTAATAGGTTGATTACAAAAAGAGTTTTAAATGCTTATAAGCGGCAGAATAGAGAAAAGGGAATAATGAAAAAGGAGTTAGATATATTATAAAGAGGATATACATAGGTCTAGGTATCTAACGTGTTTTTCGTATATATAAAACGTAGATTCATTGCAAAAAGGTAATGAAGCAAGGTCGTCGCAATCTATAATTTTTCTTGTTTAAAAAGCTTGAAGCATAACGGAAATATTAGCAAATTGTTTACTACAAGATTAATCAATTTCAAATAAATGACTAAAGTAAAAGAAAGAGTAAAACTGGAGAAGAGCAGGGCTAAAGTTAAGGCTAGAGGTATGGCTAGAGCTGGGACTAGAGCTAAGGATAGAGACAGTGCTGGGGAATATAAAAGCTTAGTTAGGGGTGATCTTAAAAAGAATACGATTAGGTTTTGCCGACGGTAAAGTAAAGCTAAAATGGGGCTAGAGTTCGAATAGAGTAAGGCTAGCATGTGTATGGCTAAAATATAGCTTTAAGTAGGGCTAGAGTAATGCCAGGTCTAGGCCTCTGGGCTATCGCTCTGGGCTAAGGCTCTGGGCTAGGGCTCTGGGCTAGGGTTCTGGGCTAGGGCTCTGGGCTAGGGCTCTGGGCTAAAGCTCTGGGCTAGGGCTTTGAGTTAAACTCTGGGCTAGAGCTACATTTTACAAAACCTTAAGGCTGGTGTAAAATTTAAAAAAGTCTTAAAAAATTATTATTTTTTAGATGAAGCCATAAAGCTTCTCCTCGCCACAGGCGACAATCCTCAAGCAATGGCCGGTCTTTTGGCGACGCCGAACAAAGCTGGAATACATCCAGCCAACGAGCTGACATTTAATGTGGCTGTAGTGATGGTGGTATCACTGCTGAGTGTGGCCTTACTCATAACGGGTATCTGTTGTCAGTTTTTTTTTTTGCTTGCTTTTAGTTTTTTTTTAAATTTTGTTTAAGATGATCATATTTTTGGCTATTTTATATTAACATAATTTTCTAAAATACGTTTTCGCAATTTTACGCTGTATATTAGATAAAATAAGCCTGGTAAAATACGATTTGTTTACGAGCATGTGGCTAATAACTTCTTTATAAGTCGCTTTTTATCATTTTGAGTAAATTTTAAAGTAATTTTTAATTAAAATAACCTTAAAAAGTAGTGATTTTGTACTTTTACGCAATTTCAAGAACAGACTAGACTGTTCTGTTTACTTTCTTGTAAACTACTTACTTGATCTCATTTATTGTAACACGCTTAAGCAAACAAAACAAATCTTTGATTAACTACTTAGTTCTTCTTTTATAAAAAACTTGATCAACCTACAAAAAATGTTTTAATTTTTTGTTCAACAACTTGTAATAGTTGACTTGAAAATTTAAACTTTTATGCATAAAATATTTCATTAGGTTTAAAAAGGCGTTTTTTAAATTTAAGTACTCTTCATTCTAAATGCATTAGACAGTAAAGTTAAAGTCGTGAAAACAGAGAGTAACAATGATTGTTCAATTAGACAATAATTAGCTAAATTTCATTTAAAAAATTTATGCATTTTTAAAAATTACTAACAAGGAAAGTCTCAATCTGCTTTGCTCGGTATCAGTTAAAAATTTTATGCTAATTCTATGTATATTATTATAGTATATCAAAGAAAAGTTAGTGATCGCCAAAAAATAAGAAATTTTTAAGTCTGAAACCCTATCTCAATTAAAAAGAAACAGTTTTTATTTCTTCCATTGTACACGAAAATCGCTATAGCTTAACATAGCGTTAGACTTAGCTTTAGACTTATCCTTACACTTCGAAATTTGAAGTTAATCAAAGCGGAGCAGGTCGAGTATTTTCTCTATGAATTTTATACTACTATAGTTAAAATTTTTACAATTTTAAATTTTCAGGTATAATAGTCGTAGCGGTGACGTTGGATCCAGGTGATGGAAAATACCGGTCGGAAAACGAACCTTTAGTTCGGAATGACACTTTGAACATCGATTGGGAAGGGATAGATCAAGACGATAGCTCAGACACTCGAGAGTGGAATAACGTAAGTGAGGATTACGTTAATTTTTTTGAGTAAGTCATCTTTTTTTAAATTTTACTAGAGGTGGGTCTTTTTAAATATTTTTTTAGAAAAGAAAGGGCGGATCATTTTTGAAAATTGGATAAGGGTTGAAAACGTGCAGAGAGAATGAAGACGATAGACAGTAGGCACATCAATCTCAATGCCTAGCTTTGAAACTTAGGTCGGGTAAAATACTTTTCAAAGGGTATATGGTAGCCGATTTAGGGCAGGGGGCAAAGAGGGAGGAAAGATGGGTTGGGCAGATTTTTTTTAAAATTTTGTATTACATAGATGTGGCATCAAAGCTTTTACACAAAGATAAAAAGCTAGGACTAAGACAAAGAAAGTCAAAAAAATGATAAGATAAATCTCAGTCTACAGCTACAATTTTAGGAATCCATGACATGGGAAGCACGAAACGAATCTCTTCTTGGCTTTTGGCATCCAGTGTAACTCGACATCGATAATTTAGCTAGCAACTCAATTATCAGCTTACTTTGATCAATATCTTCCTGATACAAGCTTATGTTTTATATCTACAACTTCTAACTCTTCTAGTTCTTTTATTAGGTTGTTCAAATAATTATGTGACCTCTAACCCAATCCATTTGCTTTGAAAAGGAGCACAGAATTATTTGAACAACCTGATAGGTTGCTTTATATTGTTGTTTTTGGCTAAAACGATTATGATATTGACTTTCATACAATCATAACAACTATAACTTGACTTTTATTGTCTAAAACAGCTAATATGATATATCTTACCTATACATAAATCCTATACCTTCATTAATATCCATCTGAAAAACATTTTCAATCAAATGTCTAATCAAAAGCCAGTCATGTTAAAGTCGATCAGCTACAAATTGTCATCAAACGGGTTTCGAATTCTTTCAGTATTTTTTTTTGTTTTTTTTTGTGAACGGGTTTCGGCCAAAGAATAAACTTCAAGGCCAGTTGTTTTATAGGTATCGATCATTTGGAAGCATTTCATTAGTCACTTCAGGTGCCGATCAGCTTCAGTTGGGTTTGTGTGACAATAGTCGAGTTTAACGACATTTTGATTGGTTTGAACGAGGTGTTTGTAGTTGGTTGAATGTGACGATAGGACAGGGTAGGGTAGGGACATTAGAGTGCCATATTCAACTTATAATCCTTACTGAGCTACTACCGTCATCCTAAACATACCACCATGACCTCGTGTGACCCCCTCCCCGCGACCTCTTTCGTATGTATATTAGCCGTAGCATAGCCTTGAGGACAAGCACTCTCACACTTAGATTACTTTTTAAAAAATGCTTGTGCACGCATGCATATTATTTAAAGAACAAAGAGACAAGTCCACTGATGAAGTTATGTCCGTCTTGCTATTTGGAGCCACCTGAAGACGCCATTCCTTTTTTCGAAATTTTGGCAAAATTTTTTGTTTGCTTTTCAGTTTTGGGCATGTTTTGAAAAATAATATTTTTTTATTGATAGGATGATGTATGACATGTGTTAGCCTTAGCCTTTGCTTTACTATAGATAGTCTTACTGTACTGAAAACCTCCAGTAGCACTTGCTAGCTTACTTTTACCTATCTATTCAACATTTGGCTGACTACTTTTTTTAATTTGGAAGCGAGTTTACTATAAAACTAATCTCTGAACAGAACAGTGATCGTAGAACACATGCATTGACGCTTTTTGGAAACAATAGACAAAACTAGGTTTAAAAATTAAATTTTCAAACAAAAAGGGTTTCAGCACTTCCAGCGCTTAGGCACGTTCGGCTTTAAGCTGTTTTTTGTACTGAGTTCAGAAGAAGCTTAAGAGTTTGAAAAACGTGCTCATCGTAAATTATACTGGGTTACTGGGTTTATGGGAGCGTGGTAGGACTGTGATGTGATGCAGTTTATTTTAGTTTTTGTTATTTTTGGTGTTTCGGTATTTTATTTTTGATTTCATGAGATTGATTTTTTGATTTTTATAAGGCGATTTTTAATACTAGAAGAGTGAGTAAAAAAATATAACATTTTTTTGAGAAATTTAAAGTGCTAATTTCTCAGTCCTTAGGAGTTTTTTCTGCGTGAAAAAATAATGTATTTTAAAGTAATGGAAGCTTTCACTACTGTAGCACCACAAGGTTGGGTAGAGAAGAAGTATAGGGAGAGGGAGAAAATTTCACAGAGGCAATCAAATTTAAATTAAAAAAAATTTTTTTTTTATTAAATAAAATACTTTAAAAAATCAAGTTAGGCACAAATTAAAAATGATTTTTTGAAAAAAATTTGCCTTATTTACTTCTTTTGTCATATCTTTCTTGTCCAACAAGTAAATTTTCACATGTTATTCTCTTCTCTTTATTTTACTCGTCTTCGGGCTAATTTGAGTGATGTCCATCAAATGATCATTCTAGCTTAAAGAGCGCAATTAAGCCTCAAGAATTAAGTTTCTATTGGCGATTAAATTTGCCTAGAGACATAGAAGTTCTAATTGAAATTTGATTTTTCAGAAACTTTTTTTTAAATTTTTTTCTTTTTTTGAAAAAAAAATTGTTTTTATCCTATTCTCAGGTAGAACAGAGCCGAGATATGACATGTATAAGGCAATTTAGGTGACAGTCAAAAATGGGTAATTTATATTAGAATAGGGTGAGGACGAGGAGAGAGAAGGGTAAAGTAAGACTTGACAGGAAAGGTTAAGGTAGGGTAAGATATCGCAGGGTGGAGTAAGATATGGTTTAATAGGGTAGGTTACGATTAAATAGAGTATTTTAGGGTAGATTAAGGTAGGATAAAACCGAAAATCATCTGCTGATTAAAAATTTACCAAAAAATGTTAAAGGTCATTCGTTGATTTCTAATTTACCACGTCTCACCGGGGGCGTGGTAATTTTTTTTTCTTTTTTGTTATTGTATTAAGTAATCTGATGACTAGTCTATCACTAATTAAATGATGTGTGGACCAGTCTATCAGTAATCAAATAAAGTGTGGACTAGCCCATCGGGTAATATCGGTCTGCAAACGCTTTTCGCCCTGAGGACAATTCGGCGCTTCTCGTGTGGCCGGAGAGGAGACGGGCGCCTTAACTTCATATCTGACCCGCCGTTTTCGGCACAGTTGTTTCTTTTCTTCCAGTTCGCTTTAAGTGCACTGTTTTTGAAGACTGGCCGTTTTTGCTTATTTTCGAGGAGGAATTATTTTAATCCACATCAAGTTTATTTATTTTAGACCAAACGGACACCGGGCCCGTCGAGTCGCGGCCGAAAAGGCGTTTCGTCCGAACAAACTGGGGCGGTTGGTGTAGAATGAGATCATTCCCGAGGTGTTTGGGCTGAAATAACATGATTTTTAAGGCTTTTTGGGCTAGAATAATATGATTTTTAAAGCGATTGAGATACTTTTAGGCTAGAATAATGTAATTACAGGCGGTTTAAGCCTAGAATAACATGATTTTGATGCATTTGGACCAACAAGAAAACGTTTTAAAAAGGGTTTAGTTAAAAATAATGTAAATTTCAAAGCGTCTGTGCTAGAAAAGTCATCTTTAATGTCCTTTGGCTAGAATAATATGATTATAGAGGGTTTATATCTAAAATACTGTGACTTTAATGCCGTTTGACCACAAAAGAAAGTATTTTAAGTGGTTTTTGATCTAAAATAACAGAATTTTCATAGTTTATTGACCTAAAGCCACATAACAATTAAGGGTATTGGCTAAAATAATATAATTTTTAAGGCTTTTTGAGCTAAAATATTATTCTGTATAGCGAAACGTCTTTATAACAAACAATTTAAAAATTTTCTAACCATTTTTACTCAGGCTTTCTACTGTATTTTAAAGCCTTACTCTTGTTCAGAAAAAATTTTCCCAGTAGAAATAAGAATGCTTTTTCAAAAATTGCATTTTGATCTCTTGATTCATATTATATTTCCGAAAAAAACGACTTTTTTTGTTTTATGTTAACAAGAAAATCTTGTTTTTGATGTCATTCTTGGCATTCTTTTCTATCAAAACATATTTTTACTTCGAATTTGTAAATAAAGTTTGGTTGGGGAATGTGGGGAATTTTGGGTATGATTAAAGACTTTGGTTTGAGCGGGTGCTTTTGTTTTTTTTTAATCAGGCTGGTATAAACAGCTTTTTTTACTGTTCTCTCTTGCAGAAGGGATTTTGTGATTTCTTATTACAATGAATCCTCTGTATAACAAATTGCTATGGGATTTGAAATTTGTTCGTTATAAAGGAGTTTTGTTACAGTGGAGTTTTAAATGCACTGTGTAGTGGTATACGGGGATTCAAGATTTGTTTTTTATTCAGGATTTTCGTTATAAACGAGTTCTTTATACAGAAGCCTTACTGTATTTTTAAATTAACTTTGGTTGTGAGGGACTATATTAAACTTCTTTGAAATCTTTTTTTATGTGAGTGGGAAGGGGGGGGAGAAAGATGAGTAAAAATTTAAATTTAAAAAGTTTCTGTTTTGTTTGACAAATACCGTAAAACTACCGTATTAAAAACCCTTCTACAATGAAAACTATGTATAGTGAACAACTTTTAAATACTCGGGCGATTTGTTATACAAGTGTTTCGCTGTATTTATAAATTTTAACTTTGTTGATGTTTTCAAACAAAATTAACAATATTTCTCACACACCATCTCGTATTTTACCATTTAAAACCTACTTTACAGCTAATTTTTTTTAAAATTCCAGATTAAGATGAATCTTTAAACCGTACCACTTCCTTCAACCTCATGTGTACATTCCAATCCGCAACTTTGCACAGTTATTAGTGTCCTCTTCGCGCCGACCATCAATGGGCTTTGAGCGACTTTCATCGATGGGTCAGCGCTACGCCAAACACCAAATGCAGTCGGGTGTTCGTCTCTACCATCAACGCCACTATCAGCAGGCCATTTTTCGATGGAAACGGGCGTTGAACAAGCTCAGGTACGGTGTTGAAACTTTTTTTGAAATTTTTTAATTGTTTTTGATACCAATTTTTTATTTTTTAAGCACAAATTTACTTAAAAATAAGTAAGAAATTTGAATTCTTGTTTTGGCGGGTTTTTTGGCATTCTGTGTCTAGCTTAAAATACTGATTTTAAAACTTAAAAATGAAAATAAAACCTGCAGAGCAAAGGGGAAAATAAAAGTTCTGACTCATTTCATAAACCGGCCGTATTTTACTATAAAAATTCAAAATTTTGTTTTGGCGGGTTTTTTGGCATTCTCTTTTTAAGCTCAAATACAAGTCTTAGTTTATACATTATGACAATTTAATATATTACTGTATGAAACCTTACTACGTTTTTTACAATAAAAATTTAAATTTTTGATTTGGCGGTTTTTTTGGCATCATGTTTTAAGGTCAAAATACTCCCTCGGATTGACTGAAAGTGATTAAAAACACTAACTTTTATGTAAAATTTATTATTTTAAAACATTTTTTTGATTTCTTATGGTATTTGCAATTAATCTTGTTTTTAAAATTTGAATTTTTGTTTTGGCGGGATTTCTAAATCTTTACTTTGACGACCTAAAACTTGGCTGAATAAATCAAACACAAGTTTTTTTATGTATACATTAAACTCTCTAACAATTTAAAATTTAAAAAAATGAAAATAATTTTTTTTTCAGAAGTGTAGATGACAAGTTTGTGACGCTAGGCTACATGGCTCAAGCCTTTTGTGACGCGGGTGACTACGAGAGTATGCTGTACTACTCACTACAACAAATGGAATTGGCTAACAGTCGAAAGGACGATTTTATGAAATCTGAAGCGTTTTTAAATTTGTCCAAGGCTTACGAAAGATTGGCAGACTTCAGTAAAGCGATCGCTTATGGTAGAGCAAGTCTGGTACATCCGAGTATCGATCCCAGGACGCCTGGATATGCTAATCTGGGTGGGTTACTGTAAAGTTTTTTGAATATTTTTGCCAAGATTGAGTGAAGAACCCACCTCTCATACCTATATATTTAAAAAAATTATTTAAATAAAAAGATGCATTTTTTTAAAAACATTTAAAATTTGTTGTTTTTATATTAGGGCATTTACTACTTAAAGTACCATAATTCAAATCCTAATATAAATATTTGCTTACAAGTCTCAAAAATTGTTATAAAGATATTGTTTTAGCTGTGGCACTGGCTCAAATGGGTCTGAGTCAATTCCAGTCTAGTCTAGAGGCCTTCGAAAAAGCCATGACCGTAGCCAGTCAAACCGGAGACAAGCTTTTGGAACTACAAGTTTGTGTTGGTCTTGGTGCTCTTTTTACTTTACTTAGGTATGTTGTAGTACTTTGTTGATGTTTCAGGCTTAAAGGGTTGGATATTGGGGGTGGGGGGAGAATAAGACAAAGAATAGTTTTTGGGAGAGGGGAGGTAAAGAAAAGGTAGCTGTACAAAAAAAACGGCAGGGCACATTGGGGAAGGGAAGAGTAGGGCAGGGCAAAGGTAGGCCAAAGGCAGGACAATGGCAAGGCAAGGCAACATATATTACATTATAGTATCTTCAAACTAATACTCCAACTCACTTCAGAGACCTCTCTAAAGCCCTGGTATTCCTTCGCAACGCCTTATCACTACTCCAATTGATCTCCGTCGACAATGTGCATGCCAAGTACAAGAGTGTCATTCTTTATCATTTATCGGTTGTGTTGAGGATAAAAGGCTCATTAATGGATGCCAAAGAGGCTTGTGAAGAAGCGTTGAGACTGGCCGAACAAACGGGTGGACGCTCTGTTTATGCCAGAGCTTTATACAGTTTGGCCGATATTAACCGAGAGTTGGGGGAATCTGAAGCTAGAGAGACTATCACGGTGAGATTTTCATTTTTTAAATAATATTTGGTTTTTAGGCTTGCTGGGGATATAAATGTTGATTTTTGTAAAATTTTAGATATGTTAGGCTTGTTGACGTTTAAAATTTTAGAAAAGCTGGGCCAGATACGAACAAGCCTTTCGTATTATGAGGCAAATGAACGATCGGATGGGTGAAGTGTTGGTACTCGGAAGTATGGCCAAAAGCGCTTCAGAATCTCGAAGTCATTATACGGGTCAATGTGAATGTCAGGCCATCCAGCTGAACCACAAATGTTTAGAATTGGCCAAACTTATTGGGTGCAAGGTGAGTTGATGACAGATATTATAGTAGTTTTAGTCAGAAAAGGGTGTACTGAATAGTGTCTTGTTTAAAAAAGCATTAAAGTATGACATTTTGACTATAAGGGTTTACTTTTTTATTTTTTTTTGTAAAAAAAAGCTATGTTAAAATAAATCTTGTCGTTTTTTAACATTAAAATGCATGGAAATTGACGACAAGACTTTTTTTGTCATTTATGAAGGAAAATTTGATGACATGAGTCTATAAAGTGTAGTGTAGGTAACTGCAAAGAAAAAAATGTGTGTTTACTACAACGTGAATTACCTATATATCTGAAAGTTACCTATACATATAATACTCAATTACAGCACGCGATGATGAAATGTCATCAACGTCTCCAAGACCTCTACAATCAGTTATCTGATGAAGAAAGTGAGGAAGTGGCAAAACGAACAGCTACAGTACTAATACAGGAAATGGAACTGTTTTGCAACTTTTGTGGACAACGCTACGGCGCCAACGATGAGTCGCTACAGGCGCTACGGTGCTCACATATATTTCATGAACGGTAGGATATTTAGTTAGACTTTCTGTAATGCTTTATTTTAAAAAATACTGATAGGGGTAGGATAAGTCATGATAGGGTTAATTCACATGGTAGAGCCAAGTTAAGGTAGGGGTAGGAAATGTGAATGTATTTTAGGGCTAAGGGGTAGGGTAGCGTAGGAAAGGGATGGTAGTGTAGGGTAGAGTACAGTAGGATACAACAGATTATGGTAGTGTAGAGTAGGCCAGGCCATTCCACGTCTTATATTAGAAGCAGTCAACAAACAACGGCACAATATGATTATCTTTTCAGCTGCCTCAGCCAATTCCTAGCCTCCGACCAATCCCAAAACTGTCCAAAGTGTCAATGTCGAGCTGTTCTCATGGATAACATGTCTCTAAAGACTTCATCAGATTCCGAAAAAGCCGAAGAAACACAAGATCCAGAACAACCAACCACTTCAATTCAAAAACAACCAAAAAGAATCTCGATTATTCTGCCAAAACCTTCGAATGACTCGAATCGACCAGTAATTCTGGTCGATCCACCTTCTCGAGATGATAGTGACAAGTCGGAAGGTCATGTTGTTAACACGGTGAAGCATCTGAATAACTGTTCCAAGCCCAATTGTCATACGAATTCATTTCCTGTGGTATCTGAAGAAGTGTTTCAACCGTTTAGTCAGATGGACTTTGAGAGTATTGAGGCTATGGCAAATTATAAGGGGCCGGGGGTTACGGATGTCTAAGAATTATAAATTTTTTTGAAATTTCGAATTTTTTTTTGAAATTTTAATTTTTTTTTCGAAATTTTTTTAAATTTTGATTTTTCGGAATTTTTAATTTTTAGCCATTTTCAGACCCTAAAGCATCTAAATTTAAAAAAACCATCTTCAAAAGACCATAAAAGTTTTTTAAAATTCGAAATTTGCCTTATCTTATCACTTTAACTCCTGTAACCAAAAGTGCGCTTTAAAATGGACTAAACTATGATAATATTAACAGGAAAGCTAATAACTTTTTACTCATTACTGATAGCTATTTTACTGTCTCCTGATACTATTGTTTGCCCAGTACTGATACGAGCTCTTATCTGTGATTTCTCAGTTGTACTTGGTTTTACTGTACAAACTACTGATGTTTGAGGCTTGGTCGGGTAGGGTATGGTGAAGTAGGGTAGGATAAAGTACGGCATGGTATAGTAGGTCATGAGTGTTTTGGGGGTAAGGGGGGATTCCCAGCATCAAAAAGATTTTTTTTCCTGGGAAATTAAATTTCAATTTTTTGATGTGAGGCGCAGAATTATATGAAAAACGTATATCCTCAAAGAATGAAGATTGATTATCTAATGACGTCGTAAGAACAATTTTATATTAATCTTTGTTCACAGCGATTTTTAGGTAATCGCTAAAAATAGCATTCTTTTCACTCGGTTGATCTGTTAACTATTCTTTAGTAAGTTACAATAGCCTTATTATTATAAAAACAAGCTAGTAACAGTAGTACAGTAACCTCTTCATTACCAAAAAGCTACTTCAATAGTGCGGTGACTCTATTACAACTAGTGCAGTAACTTCAGTACAACAAAAATCACTGTGACTTGTATCAAAAACAATATATATTCTCAATTGTAAACTAGTCCTTATGCCTATATAAGTACAGTACAAAGCGATTTTTTTAAGCTAAAACCATATTTTTTTTACATAATCTTGTTTTGTCATCATTTATAATATTTTTAATGTTTTTAAAACTCTTGTTGTCGTTTTATAGACAAAAATTCATTCTTTGATCTCAAAATTGTTCTTATTTCAAATACTGCCAATAAACTTAACAATACTTTCAATTTGGCAATGATTTCAGTACATTACATTAGCTCCGGAAAGGGTAGGGTAGCGTTAGGAAACTCTACCCCCATCCACCTCCCCCCTCCTTTAAACTTTCTCAACCCATCTTCCAAGCCGGACCAAAAACTTTAAGAGACCGGCCGCCTGAATTTTGTTTAAGCCCGGCCCAAACCGCCTGAACGCAAGCCAGGTCTAGTCCCTACTCTACGCCGCTCCCACACCGTCCAACCCTAACTAGAACAGCCTTCATTATCAACAGAAAAGCAGAATCCCGTGAAAGAAACGTGACATCCCGTTTGATAATAAGTGCTTTGTGTTATCAGTTCCACTTTACTTTCCGAGAACAGGTCATTCCTTTTCGAAACTTACATTTCGGGTTTTTCCCTTTTTAATGGACAAAACTCGAAGTACAATAGTTTAAAGTCGAGACCGTTGATTCCAACAAAGTCGAAATTGAAACGAACTTTTTGGGTTGCAAAGGTGATTAATATTGATTGCTTATCAATTTTGGTAATCTGATTGTTTTAAATTTCAAAAAAAATTTTAAAATTTTGTAAAAGGCATAATTTTCAGAGCTCACAGACCTAAAACAATATAAAAATACATAAAAAGCTCGGCCTCATCTATAACAATGTAAAAATTTATAAAAATCCTATCCCAAACCTATAAAAAGATAACGAAGAGCCTTCAAACCTTTCCAAAAAATCAATAATTCCTCCCAAATCAAGTATGTTATTAAGTTTATAACGTTAAAACTATTCGAATATCTAAAAGCATATTTAAAACATCAAGAATATCTAAAATCATATGTTGAACAGAAGTTAAACATCAAATGTATGTATCTGCAGCTGCAGTAAAAGATAAGATATTGAGCAATAAATGTACACAAAATAATTTGGAGACATTTTACAACAACTCCAACACGTATTCTGTCATGAAAATGTGAGAAAATATATTAACAAGCTGTTTTGTTACCCAAACATTAAAAGAATTTTAGAGAATTTCAAGAAAAATAAACAAAAATATCCATAAACTCGACTAGATTATTAAAGAATAGTCCATTCTAAGCCAATTCCTCAAGTATACTATAATACAATAAAGTTTCCAGGCCAATTCTCAAGTATAATGTAATACAACAGTCTCTAAACTCCAATCCGTTCCAATTACTCCAGTCCACTTCAAGCAAACTGAACCACACTGTAAGCCCTCGAGATTTCGTCCAATTCCACAGTATTCAGATTCTCGAAAAGTGCCAATCTTCCACCTCCAAGTAGACCATATTCCACTGAAACTCGGCTCCTCAGTTTATCCGACAAAACTGGACTGTGACCGTTCGTAGCGAGAGTTATGGCGAGAATACCCATAGCGAGAACAGGACTGAGCACTTTTCGGCCGTCGATTTCACTGATAAATGTGCCTGCAGGCGAGAAGTAGCCACTGACTTTGCGATCTCCAGCTTTGATCTTGAACTCGGCTCCGGGAATGAATTCGACTGTTACCTAAAATTATGTAAAATTAAAAAATGTAATAAAAAATCAAATTCAGCTTTGAATTTTTTTTAAATCTTACTTCAAAAGAATCCTTATAACTTTATATTCCCTATTCCACCAAGTATAACATCCCATTTTACCGCTTTTTTCAAAAAAAAATCCACCCCTAACTTTTAACCAAAATACCCCACCCTTACCTCATATCCCATCTCCTTGCCCTTCTTTTCAGCATTGACAAAGTTCAGCCGGTTCTCTCCTGGCAGTAATCCCATAATAACAGCTGATGGAATGGCTTTTTCGACCGGTTTCGCTGACTCTGGACATTGAACAACCACCTTCTTCGTCACCGTGAGTGAAGCCAAGACTTGCGACAAATCAGTAATAGCCTTAACCACCGGTACTTTAGAATCATCAAGCAGTGCTGATAAACAATGTCCATTCAACGCTCCAAAGAGACCTTTTCCTTCATTCAATGCCACGATATTCTCAGCCACCTCCACAGCTACACGCTCCTGAGCTTCAATTGTGCTTGCTCCAAGATGTGGAAGACAGACGACCTTTGGATGGTCGATAAGTTCGCGGTAGGTTGGGGGTTCTTGCACATACACATCAACCGCGAATCCACCACAAGATCCTTCGTTGAGAGCTACTACAATCTCCTCTTCGTTCACGATACCTCCTCGAGCTACGTTGATGATCTTGACTCCCTTTTTGCACTTTCTCAAAACTTCCAGGTTGATCAGGTTCTTGGTCTGTGGTATGAGTGGAACGTGAACGGTGATATAGTCGGCTTGGGTCCAGATCTCTTCCAATGGCAACCATTCGATTCCTGATTTGGCAGCGGCCTAAAATTGTAAATATAGAAGTCTCGTTTATCAAAAAATGTTGTTTAGCATCACCCATCCCCTCATTTCTATAAAACATCAAAGACCCACCTCAGCAGACACCATCGGGTCATATCCAATAGTCTTCATGCCAAACGCTCTCATATGTCCAGCAACAATCTGTCCGATTCTTCCCAATCCAATAATGGCCAATGTTTTACCATGAACTTCCGTACCCATAAACAGCTTTCTATCCCATCGACCAGCTTTCATCGACGCCACACCTTGCGCCACCATTCTGGACATGGATAAGATCAAGGTGGAGGTCAGTTCGGCCGCACTTCTCGAGTTGCCAGCTGGAGTATTCATAACAATAGTGCCATTTTCTGTTGCCGCTTCCACGTCAATGTTGTCTACGCCGGTTCCGGCTCTGGCGACAATATTGAGGTTTGGGCATCCTTCGAAAACTTGACGAGTGATCTGGAATTCAATGGATAAGGTAATATAATTGCACTATTGATAAAAAATAACCTAAAAAAGCTAAAGCATCTAAAGTACATTTCCATCAATTTTATTCAAAAACTTTCAAGAAGTAGCATTCTTAAAATTTTAGGTAACAAATGTTAAAAAATAATTTTTCCAATCAAAGAGTAAAAATGAATAACTATTGAGACATACATTTCCAAATAACGTAATATCTTTACAAAAAACCAAAGAAAGCAATGAAATGACCGTTTAAAATTTCTAGATAACAATATTAACGTTCTAGAGCTCAAAATACAAATTTTGCGACACAAATGCAAAACTTTTACAAAATAAAACAACATTATTATCTTTTGCAATATATACTTTACTCATTCTGTCAATAAGTCAAACAAAAACATCAAGAATTGTGAAACCTAAGTTTAGGTAACAAAACACTGCCTAAAACAACGCTTTTCTTGCCGAAAATGCCAAAATTATCAACTTCTCACATTTTCAAAGTCAATTTTCAATCTTTTCCTAAATAAATCAAAGCAAAACTAGAAAAATTACCTTCGTAGCACTTCTCACAACAACAGCATCGTGGTTCTGAAGCTCCTGAATCAGCGAATCCACCGGTAGCTTGGTCTTCTTGACTACATTAACACCTCCGCGCGTCAACGCATCTACACATTGTTGTTCGATTTCGTCGGCGATGAGAACCGAGCTGATCTTGATCATGGCTGGAGTTTGGAAAAAGTGAATGAACCCGTTTGTTTTTGGATTAAAAACCGCGGTTTTATCGCTCGTCGTCGACTCCGCCCCCTATTTTTGACGAAACGGAATTCCCCCACCCAAAATTGAGGAGGCTGATGGCGTTGAATCAACATTTATAGAAGCGCGTACGTGACTTTCCATATTATTACGAACATCACATAGACGAGGATGTAATAATCAAGGTATTTGGTTGGCAAAAATCACGTACACACCGCGATACTTTGGTCAGAGATCAGAGAAGGGTGGTTTATTGGTGGATGTGAACTGTTAAAGTGCAAAGATGGAGAAATTATGTAATGAAAAAGTTTCAGCAATGTCCAAAGAATTTTTTGTCAAAATTATAGGCTTGTTGGATAGCCTACTTTGAAGTTACAAGCGAATTATGTTAACCATGGCACATAATGTAAAAGTCTACTTCATTAGGCCGATTCAAATTATTTTGGGACAAAATGTAAAACTAAACATGCCATATGTTTTTATGGAATATTTTGTAAAGTTTTGACGATGTTTTAGGTTTTTTGGATCATTCATCTTGAAGCTACAACAAAATTATGTTCACCATGGCATGCAGCGGCAGGGTTCAAGCACATTTGGTCAATTTAAGCTTCATCAAAAAAAAATGTAAAACCTAAATAAGCAAAACGTTTTATCCGTACTTCAGCTTTGACAAAATTTTAGGTTTTTTTTGAATATTTTACATTGGAGTTACAAATAAATTTACATGACCGTGCGGGTACGACTGCGCGTAAACGCAGTATGTCCTTTCGTTGTCTTCTACGATGAAAATGTCAACACTTTTTATGATATATTGTAAAAGGTAATTCATGCTTTATTTTCTCTAAATTACGATTTTTTTTTCATTTTTACCTTTAGAGTTGCAGTAAAATTACAGTAACTTGTATATACATAAATTTAAGATTTTTTTCAATGCCATTTTTAATAGCACTGTTTACCAAATCAAAAAAATGTTTAAAACTGCACGTATTATATGACCTTGGCTTGTGTTATGACAATAAGGCGGAGCGGTGAGCTAATATTAACATACGACATTATTTATGAAAAGTCACGTACGCAGAGAATACTTTGATCAGACATTTATTAATGGTTTCTATCGATAAACACAGCGATAAACAATCTGTTTTACAGTGTTTGACGCTGTTTTTACTATGGTGAAATAGCATTTCGTATGACACAAAATACTAGGTGTAACGGGTACTGTAAGGTTTGACACAGGAAGGGGAAATTGGCTGTGACAGTGTGTTTAATACAACTTTATGTTGTAAGCTTAAAGGGTATTTTAACATTGTGTTACAGTCTTATGGTGCGTCATTAAAGCTATAAGATGTAGTAGTATCTTGTAGCCTTATACTACCATCTAGCTCAGGTATATTGTCATGTTCAATCGCAACATTTCAAAAACTTCTTTACAAGCTCGTATAGTCCCATATAAGTATCTCATACAAGTTAAACATGGAGTAATTGGCTGGAGTAAACACATTGTCATGTTTTTATTATTGTTTACAACATAACCCTGATTACGTTGTGAAAAGAATTTAAAGTTTAAAGAGTGTTGTTCTTATGAATTCAGGTACATTGCCTTCTATAGAAACTTCTATATTAAGATAACTCTGAATTTCACGTGGTTCAACTCACAAAATTTTCATCAAACGCACGTAAAACAAAACATTTTTGTGAGCAATTTCTTTTGTTAGCTGTTGGTTAATTTTTAAATCGTTTTTAAAACAAAAAATCAAGGTTGATGATTTAAAATTACAGTAAAATTTTAAAAAGGTAAGTTGAGCTTTAAAATTTTCAATTTTTCAATAAAAACTAATATTAAAAAAGAACCTATAGAATAAACTCCAAGACTAAAATATCATATGAAAGAGCATGCAAAGTTACAGTAAAAACAAGTATTAGTTAGTGTAAAATCTCTTTGGATAGCCAGCTACAAAGCGTTAAAAGTGCCAAATAAGCCTATATTATTATATGACTGCTGATAAAACTTTAAAGTAACAAGTTAAGTGCCAGGCCAGTCCTCGTTGTAATTGACTTCTAACTTTGTACATATAGAGAAAGATCATGTAAATAATATATCTTCAGCCAAGTACTAAACCGCCATTTCCAGTCAACCTCTGGAAAATCAAAATTTTCTAATTGTATTTTTGTGCATATTTTGCGGTATTTTGTTAGAAATGATTAGTTGATTTTGTAGAAGTGATAAAAATCGTTTTTCTTTAAAAGTGTTAAAACATGTTGAGGATGTGGCTCACAAGGAAAGTACTCCAACATACCCCACTTGGAATCAGCTTAAAATTTTTATGTTACTTCTTTGTACCACTACTAGTACTCATAAACACTTCTAACTTGCGATTTTAAGTTTTAAGTTTGAAATATCTGGGTTTCTCGCCAAGTTGGCAAAATTGGCATTGTGCTTCAAGCACTTTTTTTGCCCTTCTCGACAAGCTACGCTTACAAATTTCAAAACACAGGTTCATTTAAAGGTTTTCTACTTGTATAGTGTAGACAAATGATTAAAAGGCAAAAAATGAAAAAAGTCATGAGCTTGAAACACAATGTCAATTTGGCGGAGATTTCAAAACGTAACTTTATTCTCAATTTTCTCGAGATTTCCTGGAAATTGCAATTTAGTACTTTGTTGTAGATCTTATTATTAAATGAACTTTTTATATAAAAAGTTTAAAGTCAATCAGAACTAGGCAGGTCGGGCACTTTTATTGTTAGCTAGGATTCAGTTCGACCCTTATAATACACATCTCTCCTCTTCCTCGCTAGATTTGACTTTGAGCTTGCTTGCACTGTTCAAATCAAGTATACAAGCAGAACAACAAAACCTTGTAAGCCGTGTCGAGATCCGCCATCATTGACCGTTAACCCGGCCTATTAAAAACTCGTAAAACTGTGTTGATCGTACTCGTTAAAACTACTGTTTTACGACTTTCACTGTATCCTTCCGACGTCGTTAGAACTAATTAAATAGATTCGTTCAGTGTGAATCCGAGTAGAAAATGATTCCGTCGTATGTTTTGTTTTATTAATAATGACATCACTTTTTATGTTGTCATTGGTGGTGGGGCTGTAGACTGTAAACATTGCTAATTAATATGACTTTCCTATTTAGTCATCGGATTCTGTAACGTACAATGAGTTGTTGCAAAGGTCGGGGTTTTGAAGGTTGATTTATAAGGGGAAGTGGGAGGCGGGCTAGGGAAGGTGGAAGGGGAAGGAGTGGGGTAAAGAGAAAGAGTTAGAAAGGAGTGGGTAATAGTAGGATTAAGATTTAAAAAACGTTAAAATAGCAGAGGGAGTATTGTATATCTTGTTTTTAAAAAAGATTTAAGATAGAGAATGGGCGGTGATAAGAAAGTTGTTTATAAAGAGGTTGTGGTAACGAAGGAGGGGGGGAAGGGAAGGATTAATTTACAATTTAAAAGTAGGAGTAGGCTAGCACTAATAAAGTCAAGTCAACCTTTCTACCCTTCTTCCTAAATTTTTTTAAAAAATGTTTTGAAAAAATTGTTGCGAGTTTAAAAATAAAAAAAAATTTTTTGTCAGGTTTTTCACTTTTCTCAACAGGTCTTTTTTGTGATTTTTTAGAATTTTGTTTTTAATCGGCTTATCAATTCGTTTTTTTTTTTATTTTTGAATTGTTTCTATTTTTTAATATTGTTTCGTTTTTATTTTAATTTTTAAGTACCTTTAACAATTTTTATAATTAATCACAATTAAAAATTTATTCTTATTTTTACACTTTTTGCAAGTCAAGTTTTTTGTCGCGGGACAAAAGCTAAACCTTAGGGCCTTAGTTTGAGCTTTGGTTCTCTGGCTCACAAGTGCCGGCCTGGCCCGACCTCTTTAAATCTTTGTTTTAGCTCAACTTTCTTTCAGGTATATTTTTAAAACCTCATGTCTGGCCTGAAACTTCAGTTTGTAATTGTAACAAAAAAGTAAAAGCGCGTCGAATTGGCGCGCCACTTTAAACGTTTTTTAAATAGAATTCTTGCGGACGTTCAAGTAGGTAGCAGTTGCAACACTTGCAGGTAATTACTAAACCTTACCTCGAAATAGTTAAACAACTAGATTGTGCAACTTTCAGGCAATTACGGTTTCGTTTAAGTATTTTAAAAAAGCAAAAATGGTATTTTTGAAAAATCGAAATTTGAGGCTGGTGATGAAGGTTAATATGTGTCTGGTGTGGTTTTTAAATGAAAAGTAAATTTTAAATTTTTAAAATTTTCAAATATTTTTTTTGCATTTTTGGGCCAAGGCTAAAGCTAGGCTAGGTCTAAGACTCTGGACTAAGGCTTTGGGATAAGACCCTGGGCTAGAGCTATAGGCTAGGGCTACGGGCTAGGGATCTGGGCTATGGCTCTGGGCTAGGGCTCTGGACTACGACTCTGAGCTTTGCTTCTGGGCTAGAGCTTTGGGCTAGGGCTTTGGGCTGTGGTTTTGGACTAGGACTCTGGATTAGGGCTTTTAGCTAGGGCTCTGGGCAAAGACTATGGACTAGGAATCAGAGCTAGGGCTCTGGGCTCTGGGCTCTGGGCTAGGGCTCTGGGCTAGGGCTCTGGGCTAGGGCTCTGGGCTAGGGCTCTGGGCTAGGGCTCTGGGCTAGGGCTCTGGGCTAGGGCTCTGGGCTAGGGCTCTGGGCTAGGGCTCTGGGCTAGGGCTCTGGGCTAGGGCTCTGGGCTAGGGCTCTCGACTGGGGCTTCCAAAACTTAACAACAAAACGTAGATCATAGATCAAAGTTTCTGTCTAGCCTATAATAGTCTAATTACATCAGTGACTTCTTGCAAAAAACGATCTAGTCCAATGGAAAGTTGCAAACTATTTGTTGTCTGTAATGACCGGATGATGATTAACATGTTGTTGTGTAGAACTTGATCTTGCCCCTCGCCTTTCCGCTTACGCAAAGCAAGTGGTGCCAATTAGCGGACAAAAGGCATTCAAGCATTCTTACCTTCACTCACTTTTAACCGCCTTGATGGAGGTTAGTTATGTTGCTTTTGTATCAGCGATCGTTGGTGCTTATGTCGCAAGGTTGTTGAAATTTTAGCAAAGTTGTTGATATTTTAAAGGTGAGGTTAAAGCGGTAAGGTTTGTTGGAGGAACAAGAGTCTAGGGCGGCAAATGGGGTTTGGAGAGAGAAGGCTGGTACTAAGACTAATGCTTATGTAACAAGGTTGTTGATCCTTTAAAGGTGAAGTTGCAGGATTAGAAAAAGAAGAAGGGAGGGGGGGGGTCGGCATTGTTGAAACTGATGTTTATGAAACAAAATTGTTGATGCTTTAAAGGTGAAGGCAAGGCGGAGGATTGGAGGTACTTTTCTACGGTAGATTTTTATTTATTGTTAGCGTTGCTTTAGTAAAACTTTTGTTATAGGAGGTATACTATTGATTGTTAAGTTCTTTGATGTTTTGCAAAAGCTTTAAGGTTTATTTTTATTGTTAGGTCATTTTGTTTCTAGTTTTAGAACTTTTAGCAATTTGTTATACAACTTTTGCACTATAATTCATTTTTGTTGTAGGCTTTGTTTTTTTACGTGTGTGTATTAGATGCCGACATAAAGAACCCGCCATTTTTTACAGCAAATTACAGGCAAAGTATGGCGGGTTTTTTATGTCAACATCTAATATATACTACGCCCCAACGTTGCTTTTTTAAAGATCTACTGGAGCTGTGAATTTAGTTTTACATGGTAAATATGGAGAAAGTTCGTTTTTAGATTTGAAGAGGTTGAGGTTTTTAAGGTTCGGGCACTATAGAGTGCTTCTTAAATGGCTTCGGTACAGCTAGTGATAGTGCTTATTGTATGGTTAAAATAGAGCTCATACTAGGGTTACAATAAGGCTTAGTTAAAGGAGGAGAACATAATCCTATTTCTGCTCTTCCCTTTCTTACTTATTTCCCTCTACTATTTTTCCTACTTGTCTTTATTTAACCTTCCCCTTCCCGCTACCCCCTGCTTCTCCTTTGCTTGAATCCTCAAGATTAAAATTGTCTAATATTGTAAAATATATTTAGGCCATTTTTTATTTTCATCTTGCACATCCAGAAACGTGATTTTTTTCAGACAAGTAGCAACAATTATGGCTAGCGGTTTACAGCGAGATGTTTGGTCCGTCTTCTTGTTTACTTTGGGGCTGAATATTGCGCAAGCGCTAATTATTACATTTGTTTTTGAACTGATTCAAAACAAAAAAGGGCAAAACATTTAATTTCATTACGGTTTGTGACTACAACTTGGTTGTCGAAGATTTTTTTTTCAAATTTTCAAAAAATTTTTAGATATTTTTTAATTTTAAGGCAAAAGTATTATCAAAAATGTCATTTTATGTCTTTTTTAAGCATTCAAATCGAAAATTTTAAATTTTAAAATGCAAAATAAACAAATTGTGTTTAAAACATTTAATCACAGATTACCGAGCTAATTTGTTGTTCTACTGCATTACAATCACACGTTTCTGTTTATATAAGACGCATCACTTTACGCGCTATGTCCTAAATCGGTCGCAGCTCTCAGTTGTTCCTAAATAATTAAAATACTCATTTTTTGTTGTTAGAACATTTTTATTTAGGTTAGAGGGTGAGGATAAGGAGGAAAGGATATGGTAAGGCGGAGGGGGGGGAGGAGTTAAGCTTTTGTAAATTTTATGAAACATAGCCAATGCCGGGCGGTTGATTTTGGTTTTTTTGTCTTGGCTTAGTCTTTTAGCATCACCTTGAACGTACTTTGCCCTTACCTTATGCCTATGCCAGACGGGGACTTTTGGGTTGAAGGCGGGGGTCAAAAAAACGTACAGGACCACGTTCAACTTTTTTCGAAATTTTTAGTTCTGAGTGGAGGGGGAGCCCTACCCAGCGCCCGGCCTTGTCTTATGTCATTCTCTAGCTATAGCACTGACGAAGCTAAGCATCAGCTTTACATAAGCCTTATTTTAGTTTTACCTACTACACATTCACCACTTGCTTGCTGTATTTACTCAAGCTTTACCCTAGCCATAACCCTAGTCTTAACATTATCTTAACCCTGGATCTAGCTTTACTCTAGCCCTACATAATCACAATCTTTGCTATACATAAGTCGTAGTCTAGCCTTACATATGCCTTGCACTAGCTCTAGCTCAACCTCTTCAATTCTAAAACCAACATTCTCTGATTGCGAATGTAATAATGAATCCCTTTCTTACCCATGTAAACTCAAGGTTTACAGCCTCAGTAGAACGGCTTTTTGTTGATTTTTGCATAAAAGAGTTTCAGTCGTTTATTGCTGGCGACTCGTTCAACTCTCTCATCGCTAATAAACTGTGAATTTCGATACGGCGGGGGGAAATACGACGGAATCCGCTACTTTTTTCTACCTTAACTTTCTTATTACTTTCTATGTTTATCTTTCTTGTTTTTGCACTGTTAAACTTTTTTTGGCATTGTAAAATGGGTTAACTGGTTTTGGGGGGTTTTCTGTTTACGGTTATTGTCTACTGTAGCAGGTTTTATAAAATGCGGTATTAGCATTGTAAAAATAGAACATGGCAACCCCTGTTAGTTAAAAAACATTTTGTTAACACTACGTTTCAGTCAATTGGTTAAACTATATTTGTTGCTACCTATACAGATGTTTTTCCCTTAAACTTTTATTTAATTTGACGACTTTTTGTTTACAAAAACTTTTTTTTGTTTGTTTACCCAAAACTTTAAGCGTATTTTTATGTCATTTACCTTGCTTTACAAAAAAAAGTGATTTTATCTTACAGTACAGTATCTTTTGTTTTTTTATAAATAATCAGTGCTGAATGAAGAATAGGGTAGAAGTTGGCCGCAAACACTAGTTTAGGGGAAAGGGCAAGTTTTTGGGGATGAGTGGGGAAGGCAGAGAAGAGGGAGAATGGGGGGAGGGTAAACTGGATGGAAAGGGTTATTTTTTTAAGAAATTAATTTTTTTTTAATTTTAGGGAGAAGAAGTCTACTTTTCCAAAACTTTTTATGTAGAAATGCAAAAAGATTTTTTTTTAAAACTTTAAAAATTAATTTTTTTTTAAAATTAAAAGTGGATTTGGTTCTTTTTTTTCCCCAGGCAATTATAACATCAATATCCTCAATTTTATACACAGATATTTTTTTTGTTTTGATTGTAATCACTCCGCCTTACTCCGTCATTTCTTATTATATATATATTGTGGTAGATCAACATGAACCATAACTTGAAGCAAAAATTACCAAATGCTTTTACAAAAAGCTCAGAGACTTTATAGTACTGTTGTAGTACTAGCTTTTAGTACTAAATTTAGTACTTTAATACGGTTATTGAGTCTATGCCATATGTTTCAGTACCATCTTAGTACTGTTATGAGTAATAGCTTAGTACTATCGTAGTACTAACTTTGCGTCTATTTTATATTTTGAGTACTATTTCGATGTATTTTTCTTTTACTACTTTTCTAGAAGTTTTATTTTAGGCTTAATTTTGTAATTTTTGAAAATTTGTTTTGTAAAAAAACATTTTTTTAATAAAAATTTAATTTTTCATACCTATTTCTATTAAAAGCCCTTAAATTCTCACCAAATCCCCTATCACAATATCGTATCTGAGGTAGTGCCGTTCGCGGGCTCCTGTTCGCTTTTGTTTTTCTTTTTTTGCCCTAATCCCACGCGTAATGTTTTTATAACCGCAACTGGATAACATCAAGGAGAAAGTATGCGGATGCGGTTTTATCGACCACTTTCATCTTTTGGTCGTAAAAAAGTTTTGCTTACAAAAGGCGGGCCTTGTTCTGGATAGGAAGTCAGTTGTGGTGTTTTGCATAGATTATTAGGTTGTACAAGTTGTTGGGTGGAGCATACGTGGGCTTGGAAAGGGTTATTTGGTACAGCAGAAGCTTGAAAAAAAAGGTGGGAAAGGGTGGGAGTAGGGAAATATAGGGTAAGGCCCAATAGGGCGGATTAGGATACGGTAAGATAGGGTAGGGCAGGGTAGGATATAAGTGAAAGATTAAAAAAGGGAGCTGTGGTGATAGGAGTAGGTCAAGAAAGAGAGGATAGTCTTCTTAGACTGTATATGTCATTAAGGGGTGATGTTATGTCATACTGGCTATCTTACAGTATAATATCATTGTTTTTTATATTTTACATTCCGCGCCATTGATAAAACTTTAAATGTTTATGATTCTAACTGATATCGTGATTTAAGACTGTGGCAATGAATCACAGAGCTGTGATTTGGTTGCTCTGTGTTGTTGCAGTATACGCACAATATGGTGACAATAGTGCCCAAACACATGGTAAGTTTTTGAAGTTTTTTGAATAACTGTAGGGATATCTTGGCTTTTCAGTACTATCTTAACAAGTATATAACCAAAAAAAAATTTTTCGAAGAGAAACAGAAGAGTGAATTAAAAATTTTTTTTTGAAAAAAAGTTAGCAGTGGGCACCACGTTCACTTATTATATGTAAATTAAAATCGATTTTTTGAAAATTTTGAAATTTAAAAAAATTTATAGTTGTCATGAAAAATTAACTTATAATACCATTATATTGTATACTCTGACAGTCCGCTACTTTTCAGGTCCGCTGTTACGCGTTGAAGGTGAAGTTCACGCCGAAAAAGCCGAGGAACAAAAGTTGGGTGGCTTGAATCCGACAGGTAATTGCTTTCGAAATTCGAAATTTAATGTCGTTGACGTAACAACTTAGCTCATGGTTTAATTTTTTATTTAAAAAAATTTTTATTTTATTAGATTGTTCAAATATTTCTGAGCCTTCACTCAAAGAAAATTTTTTGAGTTAGGGGATTCAAAATTATTTGAACAACCTATAATAATTTTTTTTTCAAATATATTTTAAAGATGTGACAGTTTTTTATGCCTAAAAAAACTAGCCGTATTTTACCTTTTCAGACGTAGGCTACGGAACCCCCAGCTCACGATCCGTGCCGGCGTCGGTAGGCGTTGTGCCTCATTCAGCCAAGAAGACAGATGAATCTAGTGAAGAATCCAAAGAATCTTCCGAATCTGTTGCTCATTCACAGTCAGGTGGTGCTCCTGGATATGGTCCAGATGGTCCCACTACTGAAGCTACAAAGGAAGAAGAGGTTTTTGCTACTGGAATCCATGGAATGGACGTGACAACCGTTGAGAGTGCTGCTACTGAAAGTGGTGCTCATGATGGAGCTATAAGTGGTGCTCACGGTGCATCTGCCAGTGAAGCTCATGATGCTGACAACAGTGGATCATATGATGGCCATAAAAGTGGTGCTCATGGTGCAACAGCTCAAGAAGATGATTCTAGCGTTGCTACAACCCCAGAAGCTTCAAATGCCGCCACCGTAGCTGAACAAACTCATGACAGCGGCTACGACAATATCGATACGACCACTAACACTGCCGCGCCATCAACTACTAAAGCATCTAAGGAAACTGAAGGTAATGCTACAACACAACAGCCTTCAGACGGCTCAACACGTCAAACTGCTACACCACCACCCCCAACTCCAAAACCTTCGGATGATAACACAACTCCAGAACCCAAGTCTCCAGCTGTAGCCACGCCTGAAGTTAGCCCTAAATCCGAAGAAACTACCACGCCTTCTAAATCTATGGAGACTACAACTGAAGCTACAACTGAAAATCCGGAAAATTTTAAATTAAGCGCTGAGAAAGAGAGCTCAAAGTCGGCTGAAGAAGCTACGGAAAAAGAAGCCGAGAAGCTGATGGCTGGAGCTGGCAAGGTCGACGGTGCATCTGGATCTACTGGTGCTTCTGAATCCAGCACAACTTTAGAGACCACTGGTGCTTCAGAATCTGCTAGTGCATCGCCTTCAGAAGCTTCTAGTGAATCGCCTTCAGAATCTGCTAGTCCATCAGATGCTGCTGGACCATCACCTCCTGAATCCGCTGGTCCTTCAGCATCAGAATCTACTGAATCTTCACCATTTGAATCAGATGGCAAAAAGAGACCTGACGCCGGCTATGATATTCCTGGGGCTTCTGGAGCCAAAGAAACTGCTTCAGAAGTAACAACTGCTAGTCCAGCTACAGAAAGTACAGCTTCGTCAGAATCTGAAGCTATTCCAATGTCAGAAGCTAATACAGAAGCTAATTCTGAAGCTAAAGCTTCTGAAAACGTTCCAGGAGATAAGATGAATTCTAAAAAGCCTTCTGAATCTAAAGATGCTGCTCCAAAGGTTTCTCAACCAGCTAGTGCTATTGGTTATGAAGCAGCTAATGAAGCTTCAGCTCAACCGTCGCCATCTGATTCTACAGCACCAGCTTCTTCTGATGCCAATTCAAAACCAAAAGCTACTGGATCACAAAGTGCTGTAGCCTACGATACGGATTCTAGTCCAGCTCCACCAACTACTCAGGCAACGTCACGCGAAGTCAACACCCTACCACCAGCTGTTCAACCTGCTGCGCCTGGAATCGCGGCAAATGATCACGAAGACATGGAGACTACAACTGCTACACATGATCAAGAAGACTCTAAAAACAAAGAGGCTTCAGAAGGCCAAGGAACTTCTGAAAGTCATCCTAGAACTCACAGCTACGGTGATGATGTTGTGGGAGCTTCATTGACTGATGTCCTTTCAGCTAATGGTAATGCTGAAGCTACTACTAGTGGTGCTACAGAAGGTTCATCAGATTCTCATGGTACTAAGGCTTTAGAAGCTTCGTATGATTCTGCCCCAGTATCACTAGCTAACCCAGTTGCTGTAGAAACCACGATCGAGCCAGAAACAACAGAAGCTACAACACCAGAGCCGACTGAGGCTTCTACGGCTTCTGAATCACATGGCGGTAAAGCTACAACATCTGCAAGTAATGAATATGGTCCTTCTGGCCAAGTTACGCCTTCTACAACTTCTGAAACTACTGAAGGCGCGGTCTTAAGCACAGAATCTGCTTTGGTAAGCAGTGAAGCCACGAACAGTTTTGAAGGCGGTGCTGCTCCTGGACTAAATCCTACCACTACACCTTCATCTGGATACAATGCTGAAGCTACTACACCATCTGGACATGAGTCTGAAGCTTCACCGCCAGCTTCAGGATACGATTCTGGAGCTTCTACGCCATCTGGAGCGACTGGAAACGAAGAAAAACCTTCGGAAGTCCCTCATGCTACAGCATCTACTGAGCAAGCTACAACGGTCGAAAATGAAGCTTCTTCTTCAGCTACAGCATCAGCCGGAGTTCAATCGTCAGCTTCTCAATCTTATGACAATGCTCTACCAAATGAAAAGAAGAATCCATCTGCACCATCAGCACCCTCCTCAGCATCAGGATCAGTACCAACATTGTCCCCATCATCATCAAGATTAGCATCCTCATCACAACGAGTACTATCAGAACCTCACGCTACATTTAGCTCACATCCCGCTAGACCAGCCCAACCTTTACCTGAAGCTCAACCCAGTCCAGCTGAAGTTTATAGTCCAAGTGGTGGTAATAGCAAACCAACAGTACCAACTGCTCCAAAGACATGGAAAATCAGCCAAGGATTCAAGACGCCAGTTGATGGAGAGACTTCTAGTAGTAAGTTTGGTATTTTTTGGCAGCAAATGTAACGTTATGACTATAATATCTAACGTATATATTATATGTTAATGACAAAAATGTTGACAGTGAAAAGGCGTATTGACAATAATAACTCTAATTTGAGTTTGCCATAATATTTTATATTTTGATGTTTAACATTGATTTGTGTTTATAATATACTGCATGTAACAAAAATACTAACTTTTTAAGACAAACCTCACTATGACGCTCCAAAACCATCACATACGTTGGAGCCATCTGGATATGGGCAAAATGGTAACATATTTTTGTTTTACTAAAAAATTTTGATTTGAGTTACTTATAGTAAATGTTACGCTTTAACTATATGTAGCTTAACACAATGTAACCTATAAAATAGATTTAATATTGTAAAAATTTAGTTTACTATGTAAAAGCGTACTTAGTAGCATAAAAATTATGTTTACAATATACAAACGTATCCAATAACATAAAAATTAAGTTTACTATGTAAAAAAATACTCAGTAACATAAAAATTAAGTTTACTATGTAAAAAAATACTCAGTAACATAAAAATTAAGTTTACTAACCTAACATTCATACATGTTTCAGAAGTCACTCCAGTCCACTCTGCACCAGCACGTGTTGTCTGTATGTTACTAACTCAAAGTTTAAAAAAAGCATTTTGAAGCTTAAAATTTAATTATTTTTAAAAAGTTTTACTCAAAAACTTTTTGAATTTTCTTTAAATATAAAGTATACAGCACCTATTATAATACTTGTATTAAACGTAAATAAGCTAAAATTCAAAATTGAATTAACCAGCTAAAAATAATGTTACTCTTTCAGCTGTTAGTGAAGCCGTAGGCTACGATGGAGTACCCACATCACCACAAAGAGATGCCAAAGTTGACAAAGCTTCAGGTGGGATAGTAATGTTTAAAAATAATGTTTATATTATATCAGTTAATTCGTAATCTACATCTTTTTAAAATACGCAAAAAAGCATGGTCAAAAAAAGCTTAAAAATTTTTTTTTAAAATTAAAATGTTACGTTTTATATAAATAGTAAAATACGCAACCGAGACTTTTGAACTCAAAAACTAATTATAACCTATTTCTAGCTCACGTCAATGTACAGTCGAGATCAAGCTCATTGAGAAAACCATGTAAGTTACCGTAGTTCCCCTCCTATATTAACTTTCAAAAAAAAATAAAAAACTACAGCTATGTATAGTAAACCTTCCGTATTACCCAGGTCATACTATACTATTAAGTGCCGACATAAGGTACCATACTAATAGGTCCCGACATAAAGAATCCGCCATTTTTTACAGGAAATTAGAGGAAAAGTATGGCGGGTTCTTTATGTCGGCACCTATAGAACGTTCAAATAATCCTGTGCTTCATTCAAAGCAAATTTTTGGGGTTAAAGGGTCATAACTATTTGAACAACCCAACACTAAACTTCTAGGATAAACAATGTGCCACTTAGTATTAGTTTATCACTAAAAAAGAATCAAAAATGAAGATTGGCCTGCGGGTCTTTTGACTTTTGACTACAAAAAATAAAAAAATGTAAAATTTCACTAAAATTAAAATTTCAGGGAAACCCTTTGAAATGAACTGTGAAACCGAAGTTGATGACCGTGGGACAGAATTGTGTGCCGAATGGGCCAAGGGTGGACTTTGTGATGCCCACAAAGCTACCATGTTCTTGTTCTGTCGCAAAACTTGTCTTTGTGTGGGTCCACCACCAAGCTCGAGTGAACAACATGAAGTTCGAAGGGGAAGAAGACATCACAGGTTCTTCAGATTCAACCTATAAGAGGCTTTTTGGGTACTGTAACATCTGATGTTTGAAGTACAGTAGTTTCGGGATACTGTAAGATCAGCACATATAAAAATACAGTACTCCATGACTACTGTAACTTTTTGCATATAATGTAGTATTATCTTAAAGCTACTGTAACGCTCTGCATGCCAAATACAGTATTTTATGATTACTGTTTTTATGATTACTTCTTGCTTCTAACCTATGGTAACATAAGACTACTGTAGTAACCTTCATACAAAATACAGTACTCTAGAACTACTGCATCTTCTTGATTTTTAACTACAGTACTTTTAAAGATAGAAACCGTCATCTAAAATATTTTAGACTTACCGCAATGTAACAAAAACTATACTTTTTTTACTTTAATAGTTTATTGTTAAGCTACAGTAACCAATTACAGTAATTTTAAAGCGCAGTACTTTCAGAAAACTACGTCTTTTCTTACTGTATATTTTTAAAACATACTTTAATTTCTTAACAACTACTGTAGCTTACTGTAATAAACTAATTACTGTAGCTCTTATCTTTTCAACCACCAAAATTACTGAAACTTTCTCATTATCTACTTACACCGTAACGGTCAAACGACCAACTATGTTAATATAGGATGCCGTCTTGTTGCCATTCCCAGTGTCTTTCATTCAGCATACGGTTTGTGTTATATCTTGCTCTTCTACTATCATATCATTCGTTATTGTCATCAAATATGTCGCAAGTTTTCCATTGAAAACAACTTTGTTTGACAAAAATTTCGATATGGTACTTAATCGCTCAATTTGTAATAAGTATTAATTTTGAATTCGAATTTGTTGAATAAACAATGCATAATGAAAGTTTGGAGGTTTTTTGTTAAATACGGATTTGAATTCCTTAAAGCTGTTACTAAAATTTTTTAGAAAAATAGAGTAAACTGAGCAGTGTATTAACGTTAGTGCCACAGCTTGCTACGGCAAACGAGAAAGGTGCCCAACCTGCACGGCTCTGATTGACTTCAAGCTTTTTATATAGAAAGATCACGTAAATGTAAGACCTTCAGAAAAGTACTAGCCCGAGCTTTCCAGTCATTCTCGAGAAATACAAGATAAAAAAATTACGTTTTGTATTACCCGCCAAATTGGCATTGTGTTTCAAGCTTATAACATTGTCATTTTTAGGCTTTTAACCATATTTCTTTGACATATTAATAATAGAATAACCTTAAATAAACCTATATTTTTTAAATTTGTAAGCGTAGTTTGTTTAGAAAATAAAAAAAAAAATGCTTGAAACACAATGCCAAATTTGTCAAATTGGCAAAAAAACCAAAAAAATTCAAATTTAAAACTTAAAGCGCAAGCTAAGATTTTTTATAGATGCTACTAGTGGTACAAAGAATTTATATAAAAAGTTTAAGCTGAGTCTGAATGGAGCATGTTTGGCACTTTCCATTCCTTGCAAGATCAGGCTAGCAGGACCTTACTATTATATTATAAATATAATAATATGTAATGTCCTAGAGGAGTGAGAGTATGTTCACCAATATCTATCCCACAATCTTTCCTATAGATGTTTATTGTCACCGAAATTACCCGCGAAATACAATGTAAGAAAAGAATAAAAGTATGTGCAATATGAAAATGTGAGGAGTCGTATTGAGGTTGTTCATCTTCTTGGCAGAAGAGTAAAATGAGCGTACAATGTTGTAATATACATTATTGAAAGCGTTTTTCGTTTTTTTTAATTTACAGCGTTTAAAATGGTCGATAAATTGAGCCAGACATGTTATAGTAGATTCAAAGCATATGACAGTATGCTCAAGTAATTTTACAGTATTATTCAGACCTACTACAATCTTCTGAAGGCTTATTACGGTGTTTTCAGTAGCTACTATAGTATTCTAGGCTACTACAGTATAATAAAGCCAGGTTACAGTACTCCAACCGTCTGAAGCTGAGATTTGCCATTTCGTTTCTCCTGAAACAGATCCAAAGCATAAATGGCGTCAATGGCAGAAGCCTGACTGCCAGAATAGCTGTTGTTGCCCTTTCTCATCTCCTCTCTGATCGTCTTCAGCTCACATTCTCCACCAACCCCATCCAACCATGGCCATCGTTCATTAACCAACGGTGTTGGATCACTCTCCAACGTAGCGTCATTCTCTCTCACCACTTTAGCCAAATATGGTATGATGTTGGTATTCCAAAGCCGAATAAACCAAACACGACTTTGATCCATTTGTAACGGACATCTTAAGAAGATACGAGGCCCGATGGTGTCGAGACTATTGACATCTTTGATAAAGTCGTTGACGATTTGAAGAGTTTGAGTTAGAAAGTCGATGACTGTTTGGAGTTGTTCACCACATTTGCAGTAGCCGGTCAGTTCTTCTTGAGCTATTCGGCGGCGGAGGTAGCGGGCTAGGTATCCTGAAATGAAAATTTTTAAACTTTAAAAAAAATTATATTTGAAAATTTAGGTTCAATTTATACTTACCTTACCCTACTCTACCTGACCATACCTTACTTTACTCTACTATTCCCTACCCTACCATATAGTACAATACTTTAACCTACCCTGCCTTACCCTAAAATACGATACTTTACCCTACCCTACCCTATAATCCCCCTTTCGGTGCAGGATCTAAGCCTTACCTTTAACCGGCTCCATTTGGCAATACAACGAAAAGAAGTGGACATTGTAGTTGACTTGAAGATCATTCAACTGTATGTCACTCGTCTTGTTCAGAGTTATGATCACGTAGGGTCCGCGGCTTTTTCCGTTGAAAAATTCGTCGGCCGTGGCGAAAGCGCTGCACAAAACGTCGACGGCTTTGCGCGGTGTGTTGTCGATTCGGACAATGGCGTCTTCGCCGCTTCGCAGCAGCTGCTCCAGCTCTTTCTTCGCCGACGCGGACTGTTTTTCGTAATCATTGATAGGGAAGTTGAAGTCGTGTACATTGTCTAACTGAATATTCTGTTGACTAGCCAGATATTTGGCTAGGAAACGAGATAGGTTCGATTTGCCAATGCCTGTCGGTCCGTTTATGACAAGTCGTCTTGACTTCAGCAGCAGGCTCAGTAGTTTGTGAAGGGTTTCTTTGGGGAATAAGGATTCGATCACAAGAGAGTCCATGTCATTTTGAGCCGCCCCCTTTAGCTTGAGCTTAACTATCACTGAAGGAGTTATCAACTCATGAGGAGATGATTTTGGATAGGTATCAAGTATAATATTCCGAATATTATCTGCTGTACCTTCTTGATCTTGTTGATAATCTAACTTCAAGCCATTAAGTTGATCACCTTTCATATCTTGACCAAGTTTAGGTGATATTTGTGGACTATCATTTTTGGCTCGATTTGGTAGTTGAAGATGTTGTTCATGACCACCAACCTGACCCTTGTGGTACCCTACTTGATATCCAATCAAGCAATTTTGGCCAACCAGCCCCAACTTCTGGCCAGGATCAATTCTCCTCATATAATCATCAATCATACTATTCAAACACCGATCAACATCGTTCCATGTTGTAGTAGGTGTAACCACGCTCAGAGTGCCAATGTTCAACTCTTGTTGAGCACCAAACTCCATACTACCGCTGGTGTCCATTTCAACCACAACTCGAGCATTCAGACCTCCAGAAGATCGTTTAGATGATGTTGAAGATGAGCAACTTCTTTCCGGAATACTCGAGTTTTCAAGTTGCTCCTCTTCGTGACAGCACGTACTCAGCGATTGTCGTGAGCTAGCACGACTCTCTGTGCGCACGGCACGGCGTTCCAGGAGCACCGTGGTGTGCTTCAGGGCTTTGTTTTCGTTCTTCAGACGGCTCACGGTCTCTCGAAGCATGTCGAGTTCACGTGACTTATCCAAGGCTTCAAGGCGGACGTCTCCAAGCTGACGATCTTTCTCTTCCAACTCCATCTTCAATTGATGAATATCGTCGTCGGCTTCGTTGAGTTTGGTGGTGGATCCCTTGTCCTCAGATTTTTGCTTTTTTCCTTTGAATGCGCGGCTGAACGAGCTTCGGATCTGAAAAATGTAAAATGTTTTTTTGATAAGAACTGTTGATGATACTAACAATAACAACATCAAGACCTTAGATTTTTTTAAAAACCTTCACTTTTTCCTTCAAAACTCGCTTTTTCAAGTATTAGTAGCTTGAGTCATTGCACCGTGCAAAAAAAAGTTCATGGTAAATATTTGTTGTTCAAATAATTCTGTGCCCCCTCTCAAAACTAATTTCACTTTTTTTTATTTTAGAAGTTAGGGGTACAGAATCATTTGAAAAACAAAATAAAGAAAATATTCAAATAAACAACAAGACTTTACTACAATATACAATTTTCAAACACAATACAACATCTAACCTAGTACAACACCTAACTTTGTACAACATCTAACCATATGCAACACCTAAACTACCTGACTGCCCTCTTTGCTAGCGCCTAAGCCCTAAAATCATAAATTTAAGTTTAAATCGATATTAAAATAACCAGATCTTGAATATTTTATCAAAATATCAAGACAAGACGATGCTTTTATACCTTTATGTTGACATAAAAATTGACCAAAAAACATATTTTTAAGAAAATTAAGCAAAGGTAGACCTTTACCTTTGCTTTGATCCACATTAACATTAAACTTGATCCATATAAACCTTAGATTAGATTATATTAAGCCCAAACTTGTATAAATTACGTTAACCTACCCAGCTTTTCTTGCCAGTCTTTGTCAGCATGCCATTTTTATCAACATTTCGTTTCGAATTCACACTGGCATAGCTTTGTACACTTTCTACTGAAGGATGACGTTTCAATGAAGAGTCGCGACGTGTCAAGTCAATGCTCAAAGCTTTCAGTTCTTCAATTCGCTGCATCAAGGCTTCAGCTTGTGAGGGCTGAAAAGATAAGGTTTTAGTTAACATAAAACCATATTTTCAATTCAAGAAGATTTTAGGTAACAAAAAGTTTATTTTTCAACCAAAAAAACTATATTTTTCATAAATTTTTGGTATAAAATTCTACTTTTTCTTACCACTTTAGGTATAAACTTACATTTTTCTTGCAGACCTTTTGAACTTGAAGCTTGATCGACTCCAAACCGGCTTCGAATTGTTGTAGAGTATGGTCTTGGTTGTACAAATTGCGACAATAAGAGTTCATCTCATCATTCAGTCGATGCAATTCTTGTTGATGGTCAAACTAAAATTAGCTTTTTGAGTTTTCTAGATTATGGAGCACAAAATTATGTGAACAACATAATAGGAAAACCGATATTAAAGCCTTATAAACCAACTTACATTAGCATAAGGACTTTCGGACCGATGAGAAAGTGAGATTTGTGAACCGGTACATTGGCTGTTTAGGCGTACAAACGTTGGCTGTGAGCGTGGACTACAATGTAGTTCAGCGCCAAGTTTGTGCAGTCGAAGATTGTTCCGACTACCATAGTCTGGGCCTGGCAGTCGAGCTGATAATGAACCTAAAGTAATATTGAAGTAGATAAAAGTTTTAAACCTTAAAATGCTTTCATGGTACACGTGGTACCATAAAACCCTTTTTTGGTACACTTGGTGCGGATTTTTCAAAAAATGTTCTTTTTTCATTTTTTTCATAACTAAAGTTAAACAAAAAACTAATTTTTAAAATTTTAAAATCAGTTTTAAACGTTTTTCACCATTCTTAATACAGTTGTTACCTAAATTCCAAAAAATGTCATTTTGAAAACAAAGAAAACAATAATCATCCTCAATGTTAACATTATACCTTCACCATGGTAAAAATGAACAGAAACCCGCAACAAAAACAAGCAAAAAATAGTACTGTTTAGTCAAAAAGTAATCAGAGAATCACAAAAATGACCAAAATTGGTATAAAAATGCATTTTTAAACCCGTTTCAGCTTTAAAAACTAAGAAAATGCAATTTTCACAAACTTTGCGACTATTATATCCTATGAACTTTCTGCCAAACAGTACTAAAAAGAAATTAAACAAGCAGTACCGTTGCGATTAGGCCTCTCATTAGCCAGGCTAAAGTAAGCTCGACTGGGCCGCGGCGAAGCCCGGCTCAACGATCGACTGGTCGTGCTTCGCGGACTCGAAACCGCCGCCATCATCTCAGCGTACAGCCGTTCTCGCGACGTTAATTGGCGTGAATTGTTGTTAATTTTGTTGATATTGGTATCGGACTCGTAGAACACCATGGACCGAGACATTTGGGACGGACAGTTCATCGCGGAGACGGACGAGGACCGTGCTTGATGGGAACGGTCTAAATCGACAAGCAATAGGGTTAAAGCAAAATAACATAGGTTGTTAAGCATTTTGTTATCAATTGGCGGAAAATTAGGATTTTTGAAATTGTAGTATTTTAGGGCTTAGTTATTAGACTGTTCAAAAAACTCTGAGCCACCTAGGTTGTTCAATTAATTCTAAGCAACCTAAGATGTTCAGCTAGTTCTGTGCCACCTCTCAAAAAAATTTTCAAGATTTAATTGCTCAGAATTATTTGAACAATTATATTATGTTAGTGTAAGCAAGGAAAATTAGGAAACACACTTTTAACACATAGAAAGAGTTGTAAAAACATAAAAAAATTTTTAAAAAAACTAAATTATAGATCAGAAAAAACGCATTTTACAAATTTTGATTTAAAAAAAAATAGCTCCAAAATACTAAAACACGCACAAAAATTTTAAAAATTACCCATAAACAAAAAAAAACAAGAATTACTCATAATACACCTACCACTGTTCCTATGTGTCATATTCATCATGTATGGGTCAGTCGGTCGTCCAATCTCACTATAAGCACTCTGTTGTATTTGGTGACGTTGAGGCTCCAAATAGGTCTTCAAATGACCCTGTCGATCCAATGAATGGCAGTTGTAATGAACTGAGGAGGTTTGTGTACCAACTAAAGTGGAAACGTGTGAACAAAAAATGTAAAGAGAGGAATTCAACTCATAAAGACACTCGAATGGACATTAGTTTGAGTTGTTTTAGTAAAGCTGGGCTTTGAAATCAAAATTTTTTTAAATTAAGTAAGGTAAAATAAAAAATTAGGCTCAAAGCAAAATAAAAGTAAATCTAGGTTAGGATAATGTTAAATGTATAGTAAATAGCTATGGTAGGGCTAAGGCCTGGCTAAGGTAAAACAGGGTTAAGACTCAAGTAAAGAAAAGATAGACCTAAAGTTAGGTTAAGGTAAAGTGAGTTTAGGACAAAAGTAAACGGTAGAGTAGATGAAATCACGAGTAAAGCAAGAGTAAAGTATAGTAGAACAAAAGAAAGTAAGGTGAGATAAGTTAGGGTGGTGTATGGCATGACATGGCGGGGTATAGTAGGGTAGGTTAAAGCAGGGCATGGTATGGTAGAGTAAGATAAAATAGAGTAGAGTACTGTAGGGTAAGGTAGAGTAGCGTAAGATAAGGTAAAGTAAGTAGGATAGGGTAGGATAGAGTAGGGTAGGGTAGGGTCAGTAAAAAACTCAAGTTTCAAAATGTAAAACCCTTTAAAAACCACAAAAATTCAAAAAACGTACAATTTGGAGTATTGTTATGACTTCTTATGTGTAATGAATCCCCATCAGCACTCAGCTGAACATGTGGTACTCTTTGTGCAGCACTAAGCGTTGGTGCTGCCCCATGTAATGTGTGGTATACTCGGCCAAAATCTGTTGTACTGGTTGACTGAAATTGAAAAAATTATTTTAATTTTTTAAAATTTAAATTTTCAAAAATTATTTGAAAAATTTTAAAATTGCAAAAACTTTCTTTACACAAGTAAAAAATGACAAAAACATTCTTTACACTCGAAAAATGACAAAAACCGTTCTTTACAAAATGACATTTTAAAATAATTTTCAAATTCAACCCCTCTAGTACTAAATATTTGCCCCTCCCCCACCATGCCCCATCGTAATGTCCATTAAAGCCATTTGAAGCCGGCTGCCTTTAATAATTCCAAAAAATACGTTTCGAAACGTATTCAAATTGGGGCTTCGCGGAAACGCTTCAAAAATTTAAAACAGTTAGAAATGACCATCGGCCGCTCTTTAAAAAAGATTTGGACACCCCGGCAAAAACATTCCTTCCAAAGAGCCGAAATGACCGTTGCGCGAGCGATAAAATCTGCCAAGATTTACGAGACAAATCAATTTCAATAGGGGGGTTTCGAAAAAAAAGTTGACAAATCTTATAACTCTTGACTCATTCGAATACAACTCTTTTATTGAGTCATTCGAATTTGAATATTATGGTAGAAAACGGTAAAAAATGGGCGTTCGATTTTTACTGTAAAGTAAGATATGGCAAAAAGAAGAAAATTTGATGTGTCTTAACTAAAATGATCGTAAAATACTTTAAAATAAAGATGAAAATTTAAAAACTTGTGATAATATAGCTTAGTGTATTACCCATCGAACGGAACAAAAACGTTTTCAAAAATCACTATCTTTCCAAAGTTACAGTAGTTTTGCCGTAGCCATATTTTTTCATCAAATTTTGTTAAAATTTGATGATTTTTTGGTTTATAGTAAAACCTTTTTAGTCCCTTGAATAATCACTTACTTCCAACCCACCCCATCTCCCACCAAAAAACCACTCCCCCCCCCCTCCCCCCCCGAAAAAAAAATTTTACCCTTCCTAAAAACTCCTAAAAGACCTTAAAATAAAGCCCCCCCCCCTTCCCCCAACAAAAAAAAACCCAACCCCGCACCCTTACCTGAACACTGTTCTGAAAAGCCAAACCCCGCTGTGAAGACCTCGACTTCTGAAGCAGCTCCTCGACGACGGATTGTTGTTGTTCGACCAGCTTCCGCTGTTGTTCCCTCTGGGCATTCTCAAAGTTCGAGGCTTTCGAGGCCCGTGGGAGGATCTGGCCGCGCGATGGGACCGAGCTCGTCGCCGCTGTCATGTTATGGTCAGAGAGGGAGCTGTAAATACTTTTATATAATCACATTCCTTTTGTGAATAATAAGGGAGATGCAGGCCTACTACAATATGATGTACTTTGTCGTTTTTGGCAAAATTTGTAATATTATAGTAGGTTGAAACTAATTTTCTTATGTTGAAATAGGTATTGCCAAGATTTTTTATACTACGGTAAGTTTTAAAAAAGACTTTAGGCCAAGAAACGTAATTTTTTAGCCAATTTTCCACTAAAAAACCAGGAAAAATGCCATTTTTATAGCCATATTCATTACAAAACCCAATTTTCTGCAAACCCCTCTAATACTAATGCAGTATTAAGCCAGTATCAGAACAGTACTCGTAAATAAAAACAAGAATTTCTGAGAGATTTTCGTATTCAGATACTGCCCTAACCTCACAAATTTAATTAATTTTCATCTGACAAAATTAGTGACAATCGACTGGGTAAACAAAACATGATGTAACTAGGTGCTCAAATTGAACTGTATAGCCATTTTTACAAGTTGACAGTCTTTTAATTTAAACCGTAAAAATTTAAAAATTCAATGTAAAATACGTCATTAGACCCATAAACCCAAATCCCTCCAAATCTGGCCAAAAGCATAAAACGTAAGTCTTACAAAGCCAAGTTCATTTTTAGCAAAGCCGGTTTGATATAATATAAAAAATATGCAAATTTTCGCCCATATGGCTCTTGCCACCGCCCAGAAATGACAATTTATTACTGCTTTTCATCATAAATTTTGGCTGTACAGTAGAACTCCTCTAACTCGTCTATAACAATAATCTTGTATAACGAACATCTTTCAACTCTCCAAAAAGTGAGCCCCGCCCGGCTCTTTACAGACCTAGTTTACCGTGCTTAGCTGATTTTCAAATTCCCGACCTAGTTCCACCTTGATCATTTATTAGTTCTTTTTAACAAAATAATAATTTTTTTAAATATTAAAACTGTCATTTTATAACCTTCTGTTATCAAAACAACAATTTCTCTAGATGAAACCGCAAGAATTTTGAGAGAAATCGGCATAAAACCGCTTATTTTAGGCCAAAAATAAGATTATACCTTTTCGAGCTCATAAATTTATTAAGAAAATTTATTTTAGTGCATACTTTACCACAATTTAGTAAAGTAAGTAGCGCAAGAACAAAATTTTTTTAATTTTGTTAAACATAGCTCTTGCGTTTGTAATATTAAAAAGACTAACCTTATTACAACAAAAATATGATCATTACAGCCCCAAAAGCAAGCCCAAAACCCCTATAAAACCCCCATAATAACCTTATTATTGGCTATAAAACATCGCTAAAGCCTCAAGTTTGCACCAAAAAACCTTCCTTTCAAACAAATTCAATTAATCTAAACCCAGCGGCCAAAAAACCAACTTTAGGGCAATAAATAATGTCTCGAATTAACCGACCTGCCAGTTAAATCGTCCGTCGAAACGTCGTCCAGGTTCTCCGAGAGTCCGCTGGAAATGGATGAACTGTCTTCGAAGCTGAAAAAGAAAAAGTGAAAATGTTGGCACGATTCAGCACGTTTTTATCGCCGTTCAAGTGTTCTTCTAATTTGAAACAATCAAATGTGCTTTTCATTTATAAATGTCTCAATTTATAAAAAACATTTTTTGTAGAGGTCAAAAAACGCCTCAGGGGTTGTGTGATATTGTGTGTGGAAAAAATGGCCAATAGATCAGAGAACGATGGAGAAGAAGGAGATAATCAAAGATGACATTGCCGAGGCAATAAAGAGTTGATATGGCATTTAACACCAAAGTTAAGAATAGAAAATGTAAAAAAACTACTGTAGTTAGAAGCGTTGCTACAGATGTTTTACCATTTTTTAAACGGAGGAAGGGGTAAAAAACAAAAAAAATTTTTTTTCAATTTTTCACGATCAGATTTGTGAATTTTTTTTCCGGACCGGCTTTAGAGGAGTGGTTCCACCCTCATTTACCATCCTCTGTCCTAGAGAGGTTCATGACTATAGCATCAAATATAATATTAAGCTAATTTTTAGTACCCTAAAGCCCTATTGCTTCTGAACTTAAAAGATTTTCAACAACAAGTCTTTTGAAACACCTCAAAATGTTCACGATAATTGAATATCAACTTGACATTCTTTTAAATTTAAAAAAGTGCAATAAGCCCTCAATACAAACAGTTTAAAAACTAAAGTTAAACTCCTTTATATCACCAAATTATTTTTTTACCATAAAAGTTAAAGAAAAAGTTTCATTGTTTGATAAGAAAGACCCAAATTAAACTTTTTAACATAGTGATATTACTATTTATTGATAGTTTTTTTTTTAAATATGCTATCTAAACTTTTATCAAACTCGTACTTTTATTTGAAAAATATATTGCTTTATTATTTATTGATAACGATTTAAGGTAAAAAACGGCTGGAAAACATATCTTTTAAACGTTTTTCAAAAAAACTTTTATTCCACAAAACCTGTAAAGGGCAGGACAAAAATTGTCGACCCAGCCCGCGGACCAGGCTTTAGTTTATACCTCGGCCCTTGGTCCTCCAATGTGTGCGGGCCTTCGAATTTGACGTCCCTGGGCTTAATGAACCACCTTTGAGGTGTCTACTTTACTATAGGTTCCACTGGAGTCTCAAAACTCAAAAATCAAAATTTTAAGTTTTAACCACCTTTAACAATTTCAAAAACTCCTCTAAATAATCTATAATTTCCTCAATTTTAATTACCCCATCCTCCCCCTCCTAATCCCTACCTCCAACCCAAACTTTCCCACTTAACAAAGGCTATTCAGAGCCAGAACCGCCAATAAAAATAAATAAATTGAGAGATTTGTTGCAAAAAACCACTGATTTCTCCTCGTTTCCTCAACTCCAGCGACTTTGAAGAGGCCTGCGCGGTAAAGGGGATCAAATGGCAGATGCTACTACGAACGCACTTAAAGAGTTTCGTTTCAAAAAATCGCCATAAAACGAGGCGATCAAACGAGAAAAAAAAGACTTTGAATTGGAAGGCTTTATGGACTTTGCAAATTGGAATAAACTGAATTGAAATGGAGCTGCTTCGAACATAAAACTTGACCTTGCGCGTTCGGTTTTGTAGATTTTGGAAAGATTAAAATAAGAATGAAGCTATAAATAATTTTTTTTTGTTTTTTAAAACTTAAACTCAAATTTAAAAATAATTAAAAAATTGTTTTAGATAACAAAAATTGCCATCACATTCAAAGACGTCGCTATATTTAGCTACAGTTCTTTTGAGAAGGGTAAAAAACAAAAAATTTATAGCCTCCCGGTAACTGCTACTTATAAAAATTTTTTCGTTTCAACTGGAGGGGTAGATGCACCCTCATTTACCTCCTTTCCCCTAGCGCCATCCCTAATCATTGTAATTATTCTTGTACAAGAAGGTAACTTTACAAAGAAACAAGATCTCAAATCAAACATTTTTATAAAATCAATAGATCTTGTTAGATTAAAATCAGCTACATCAGTTCTTCAAAGGTAAAAATAAATGTGTCGTTAAAATAATTTGTCACACCTTTTTTTAAAAAACGCCGCCAAAGATGTCCTAATTTTGGTAATGAACGTTTCAGCTTGTAAAAGTCAAAACAGGCTAAAGGGTTGAAATAAACTATCGAAATTTTTTTTGCAAAAAATTTATTAGTAAAGATTACCGTAACAAAAAAAATTTTTTTGGCCACCTCTCCCCGCTCCAACATCAAAATTACCCTCTGGGCAAAAGTTGCTGAGACTATACTGCCTAAAGGCTTCTAGTGTAACTGAAAAACCTTAAACTATTCTACTCAACCTTGCCTTACCTTAAGTTACACTATCTTACTCTGCCTTGTCACACCCTACTCTACCCTGTCCTATCGTACCCTATCTCACTTTATCTTATCTTACCCTACCTACCCTACTACCCTACCCTAAACCCCCTCCGCCCTGCGATTTCATCCCTAATAACCTGAACAAAAGGTAAGGGCCGCAATCCCATAATGCCCTGGAGGCATATTGTGCGCGCGAATAAGTGGACCGTCGCTGTTGCCAGGGGGCATGGGCTAGAAAAGCGTTTGACCGGAAACGGTTCCACTAATGTGCTATTATTCAAATTTCAGGAAGAAGACGACGGAGCGATGAGTGCGCGACAAAACCATGGATGGGGCGCTTAGGAACGGTCCCCGACTGACAGAGTTTATGAATTAATTTAGCTAATTCTGGATCGCACTTTTAGTCAAAGTTCAAGTGCAACAAAAGACAGCGCGAAAACAACCAAATTAGACAATAAAAGATGGGGAGGGGGAGGCGGGGGGGGTAAAAAACGAAGAATAAAAAATAGTTAAAAAAAAGTATGGAAATGACAATACTAGGTTATGTAAAAATTTTTAAGCACAACATATTACAGTAACTAAAGAAATGCGTTTTTAAAAATTAGCAAACAAAAAAAATTTTTAAAAAAATTTTCTTGTCTATCTCCTCACCCAACCTTTAAATGTTTTGTTTTCATTTTTTAGTTTTTTACCTCTCCCCATTCTAGATTAAAACTAGGCCAATGTTATATCTATGTTATCCTAGATATCAAACAAACTGATCTATCCTCAATCCCAATAACAATAAAACTTTCATGACCTCTTTCAACTTTTGCAAATAGGAATTTCCAAAACTTTCCAATAAAATTTTGACTAAATTTTAAAAATAAAAATTTAATTAAAATTCAAAATTAAAAATAAAACTTATTTTGGCTAAAAACTAGTGTAAAATACGCCTAAAAATGATTTGATTTATCAAAAAAAAATTTAAAAAAACTAAAAAATATAATACTTCAAAAACATTAAAATTTTTTGTAGTCAATATCAAGAGCACAGCTAAGAAAGAGAGGGAGTAAATAAGTTCCATTAAAAAAAATCCACCCCCATCCCAAAGCTGGTCCAAAAAAATCAACGGGTAAATAGGCCCCCGAACGTAGTAAAATAAAAAAAAAATTGAAAAATAAATGCACAGGTAATCTGAAGCTAGAAATTTTTTTAGTATTCACCTCCCCCCCCTGTTTCAAGAAAATATCTATAGCGCCATCCCTGATCAATATACGAACAGATCATAGTAGGAAAAAATCCTTCAATATCCCTACTTTTAACCGTTTCTTTGTCCCAAAAGTAAAATATTAGCAAAGTTTCAGTGGGATTCACATTAAGCGCCCTTTTGGACCTCCCAACCTTAATACGTTGGCCAAAAAACGGCAAACGAAGCCGACGGATTTCCGTTTTTGAGAGATCAGATGGGATTGGAAAACAACATTTTTTTAAAAACAAAGGTTTAGGTGATAAAAAATAGTCAAACAAAGCTTAAAATTTTGTTTTGTAAACATTTTAGGTAACAATTTTCAATCTTGAACCAAAACTGATTTTTAGGTAAACCCCACCCCATTTTACAAACCAAAACACCCTGCCCAACGTCAATCTTAACATAACCTTCAAAACACCCTTTAATATAAGACAATATATCTATTTCATATCCATATTTGGCAATCTTTTTTTTCACACACAAATCACCCCTCTTTTCTTCAAAAAAAACCCCCGCCCTCCCGCTGTTTTAACAAATTAGGCCCCGTCTGCACTGACCTGTCGTGTCGCTCCCTGTGGCGATAAGCCAGCCGCATCACTCGTCGTATGGTCTTGGCATTATCCACTTGGCTCTGCATGGCTTCAAATTTGATTACGCTCGGCTCTAAAACATTAAATTATGTAGTTGTAAGGCAAGGGCGTGGTAGTTGGTGTGACAAAGATTAAGAGCATGGTAGTTGATGTAATAGCATAATTAAAGGATATGGCAGTTAACATTACAAGTTAAAAGGCATGGTAGTTAATATAAACTTAGCCCTAGCTCTAGCTCTAACCCCATCCCAAATAAAGCATGGCTAGACTAAAGTAACCATAAGTTGATTATGTAATGTTGAGCTAGTAGAAGATTACTTGGAAGAGCAAGAAGTAATAGAGTAAAATAGAATTAGAAGTTGATACTTTTTGGACAAGGATACGTGGTCTTTGAAGTGTAAACAAGTAATTGGGAGACATGCTAAAGCAAAAAAATACTGTTATGTAAATACATAATGACACAAGAAACACAAAAATCCAAAAATACAGTAAAACCTTTTTTTTGTATGACACTAAAGAGACTAGTCCAAACATTTACTTATAAACAGAATGTAATAGTACCCAGGTCCATCTTCATTGAATTTTTATTACAAAGAGCGGTCATGAAGCTTTCATTATAAAGAAGATGTAACACTATAGAAAGTCATAAATACTAAAGAATTTACACTGTAAACCACCATTGCCAATGTTAAATAAAAATTTTAGTGCCAACCTTTCTCCAAAAAGTTATAAATCTGTGAAAAAGAGCTGATCCCTGCCCTAGTGTATATCTCAGCCGCCTAACCCACTCTCCTACCATATCGTTTATATTAGGCTTATCAGCTCATTAATAAGATCATAACCCGCACACCTCATTAAAAACCACCTACATAAAATCTTGAACAACCTGTACACCTCCTCATCTAAACCTGTCTCCCAATCTAAACCAATAAACGAATATCCCTCCTTATTACGACAATATCTAATGCAACATGACCCCACATGTTCGTATTTCTCAGACCGATAAAATCTGGTCGAAAACTAATTAGAAAATGCCTCAAGTGGTCAGATTCTAAATTTCGATTTCATTTCATGAAAACACTGTTTGGAGGATCGAATTTCAAAAAAAAGAGCCGGTCACTGTTTCCGACAAAAAAATAAACATAAAATGTGAAAAGAGTGACCCATTAGCTAAGGTTATATTATACTTGATGTTACGTCAGGATTCTGATTATTTGAGAAACGTAAAATGACCATTACTCATTGTCAAAGGGCATGGGTGTCGGTTACAAAAGAAGAATGGAGGTAAAAGCGGAAGAGAATGGGGTAGAAAAGAGCAAAAAAAGTCAACCTACTTCGCTCTACCCTACCCTACCCTATCCTACCCTATCCTACCCTACCCTACCCTACCCTACCCTACCCTACCCTACCCTACCCTACCCTACCCTACCCTACCCTACCCTACCCTACCCTACCCTACCCTACCCTACCCTACCCTACCCTACCCTACCCTACCCTATCCTACCCTACCCTACCCTACCCTACCCTACCCTACCCTATCCTACCCTACCCTACCCTACCCTACCCTACCCTACCCTACCCTACCCTACCCTACCTTACTCTACCCTACCTTACCCTACCCTATCCTACCCTACTCTACTACACCTTCCCTTTCCCTAGTTTTAAATGTGCCACACACCAAAAAAATTTTTTTCTGTACACCTCCTTTTCCTTTTTATAATCAAAATACCCCTTCCACCGCCTTAAATAAAAATCTCAACTATTAACCCTACGTTTTGATCTATATACATTATCACAAGGCATTTTGCCTTATCCTACCCTTCAGAAAATAATTCCCATCGGGACCCCTAACAACACAAAAAAAATGTTTAAAACACAGCCTTAAACATAAATCACCCACCCACCCCCCCCCCTTCCCTCTACCCTACCCCAACTTCCTCCCGCAAAACCCTCAACCACTTTTCTCCCACCCAAACCCATTCAAATTATAACCGAACCCATTCATTCGACCTCCGCCTATAAATTTGTGCCTGAAGGTACCCCCGAAATAAATTTAAAAAAGAGAGAGAACACTGGCATTGTAATAGACAAGATCAGTGGCATAAACAAAGGCACATCTCATTTGACTACGGAATTTGAATAAAGACAGCTGTTTTGAGGGGTTGGGACACTAATCTCTTGTCACCTCCAAGGTTTTTGATTTTTGAGGGGATGGGGTAGTGCTTAATAGATATTGTTACCTAAATTACATTTTTTAGTGAAAGTTGTTATTTAAAATCCATAAACGACTTAAAAATCTATCTTATAGTACATTTTAATAACTAAAATCCTATTTTTGTACTCCTGGTTACCTAAAATAATATTGTCTAGTAAATCTGTAGCAAAAACCAACTAAAAACTCGCTATTATCCATCTCAATTCACTCATCTTTCAGCCGAACAAACAAAAATTGAGTCGAACCTAATCCCCAATTATAATATACGTAACCAGCCTAACACCTTGACATTGTCAAACAGGTCTATTATTAAATAATAATACCCTATTATTTTATTGACACGCTGTTTATTACATTTCTCCTCATTATTTTATGAGGTACCCCTACTCTAACTCTCCTTACCCTACCTTAACCTACCTTATTCTACCCTATCCTACTCTGCTCTACCTACCCTGTCATTAAATTTACCCTCCACTAAAAAAAATTTTCCGTACCCCTCCCCCCCCCCTCCTTCACCTTTTTATAATCAAAATACCCCACCCATCACCTTAATAAACTAAAAGCCCTACATTAATATAGACAAAGCTCGATTATAATAGACGCAGCTGTAAGTCGATTATATTACTATAGACATATTATTCTCACCTTGTTTGTTATTGCATAATAATGTCAGGTCGGAAGTGAGACGTAATGGGGGTGGTGGAACGGGCATGTCCTGTAGATCCGAATCCAAGCCTTCGGTTTTGTGAAGTTTTCGACCAGATTTCGGGGTTTTTAGCGGTTTTTGATCTAAAATTGAGTTTTAAAATTTAAAAAATCTAGCCTGGGGCTTAGGCACTCCTAACATCTGATGCCTTTGAAAGTGTAGGTAGTAATATATAGTACAAAAACATCTAAAAGTACTGCAACAAATATTATACTAGAGTCAAACAAAAATCTGGACGTATTTCAACCTTATTTCCAATAAAAATCAGCGTCAAGACTTCTCCTTCTATAACAATAAAAAACATAAAATCATCAATACCACCTTACCATGATTGACCAGTGAATGAATAACCCCAATTTTAGTGACCGGACGAAGTCCATCAGCTTCTGATTTCAGTTCTCTGCCTTCACTAACCCTCTCTTCGCTGATTTTAGGCTCTTCTGATCGATTTCTAGCCATAAATCCTTTCACAGCCAAAGTGGGCTTTCCGTCCTGACAATTCTTAACCACTGTATCGTATGGATTCGTAGCGTCAGATGAAATTCCGGAATCATCAACTAATTTGGGGCCTAGATCAATCTTCCTTTCAAGACTGTGATCAGCTCTCCTTTCAAGACTGTGATCCGCTCTCCTCTCAAGGCTTTGATCGATTCTTCTGTCCAAACTTTGATCTCTCCACCTATCTACGTTAATATTGGTCGTCCTGTCTGATACATTGGTACAAGATGGAACTTCTGGTATAGTTTCAGGCAGAACGGAGGCTGGGATTGAAGTAGGTTTGTGAAAAGTGGCCAAAGATGAGGTAGATGAATGAGTTGAACTGTTGTTGCTCAAAGAAGACCGCGGACTTGGGTTGTTGGTTATTGTCGAACCATAAGCACTGTCTTCTGATGCTGGATCAGCTCTGAAAATACACATTTTTAAGCTTTTTTCGAATTTTGAAGAAAAATTTTCATTTTCGCTAAAAATAAAAAAAAATTCTGCATGGATAATATACCACTCAATTCTCCTCGATTCCTCACGAAATTACTAATGTAAATGGTTTCTAAAGTTTTTAAAATATTATTACTTTGCTTTAGTTTCCTATATTTCAGCAAAACTAACGTTTTATTGTTGTTGTTTTATGTTTCAACAACATTACCAAGTTCAAGCTAAAACAAGTCACAAATGGATTGGTAAGTGTCTTTCAATTATTGTTTTTTTTGTTTTAGGTACCAAAAAAAATTATCTTAACGAAATTCTAAGTGTTCGCTTCAGATTTGAATCAATTTACACGAAATTCTACATCTTAACATTGTTTTAGCTCCATTTTTAGGTCTCAAATATCGACAAACTACTATAACAATATAAAAACGTTCGTCTTGATGAAAAATTGGAGATATAAAATAAGGGATAATATTTTAGAAGGTTTAGAAACCAATTACGTTAGAATTTTCAAAAGAAATTGAGGATAAAACTCGCTGAGAATGTTATCCATGGCAAAAATTATAGGAAAAATCTTTTGCGCGGGAGAATTTTGTTTTTGGGCCGCTATGGCTAAAAACCATGATTTGAAAGATGGAGGACTTCATTAAACTTTTGAAGGCTTCAGAAATTTTTAAAAATGATCAGAAACAGCCTACCTTATATCGCTATCAGCCTTGGTCACAGCCAACTTCGATTTCTTCTCCGGCACTTGAGGCGGTTTGGGTTTGGTGAATAAAGCGGTTCCAGAAGCTGGATCTGTTTTTTGTGGCGTGTTTGTTTCTTCCGCTACAGTCTTCTTGCTTGTTTCTGATTTCCGGCCCTTTCCGAAGAAGGACATCATTTTAGATGGAGAAGATCCTTCAGTTGGTCTTTTGAGTTTAGTTATTGAGCCGGGCTTGGACGAGGGTGGTACTAGCTTGTTTTCTGATTGGGTTTCCAGTGGGATCTGTTTTTCTTCTTGTTTTTTAGTTAACAATTTGTCGTCTGGTACTGCTGGTACTGGTTTTGTGTTTGTTACTAGTGGTGCCAATTTTGAATCAGAAACTTTTGTTACCACTTTTTGGTCTGGTTGTTGTGACACCAAATTTTGTCCAGAAATTGGTACAGCAGTGCTTTGTGGTGCACTTAGTGCAGTATGCGATCCCAGCTTACTGTTACCTTTATGTAACTTCAACCCACTACTCTGGCCAGCTTGACCTTTCAACCCAGTACCACTTTGAGTTAATGGCACTCTAACTGACTCGACAGATGGTGCACTTTTCAGCTTCTGACCTCCTGACTTTAGAATCTTGACTTCAGTAGTCTTCTTTACAGAAGGTTTTACAGTAAGCGGAATCTCCTTGGATACGGTAGCACTGGAAGAGCGATGTCTCAGGAAGCTAGGACCTTTAAGATTAGACCCAGCATGACCATTCGCCGTAGCCAACGTAGATGAAGCACTTGTAGTTGATGTAGTTGAGGTTGAAGAGAGATTTGAAGTAGCTAGGTTATTTGTTGAGCCGTGTGCTGAGGTTATCCTGCAATTTATTTGGTTATAAAGTTACATTAGGTGTCAGAAATTACTTTTATTATAGTCAAAGTGTTTCAGTAGCTCCAAAAATTGAAGAAAAGTTGCTTTAAATTATGTTATACTAGGTTTTTAATGTTACAGTAGGTAGTTATGCCTATAAAACTCAATTTTAATGCCTTTAAAAACAACAATGACAATATGGAACGCATGCAAAACAATTTTTCACACCTACTATTAATATAACATCATCCAGCTGAAAACTCTTATTTTACATCAAAAACCACTAAGATGTTTACGGAAAAAACCAATTTTCTCCAAGAATTTAGCTAAAAACTACTAAAAACAAGTTGTAAATCGAGTAGAACGAGTTGTAAATCTACCAAAATAGACCCGTCTGTCTTTACAAGTCTATTTACATTATGACCCCTCAGGGTGTTTAAGGGGAACATGTCATCAATTATGGAGACAAGCCTTTGCACAGTTTTTAAACACGAAATGCCTGGGGGAATTTTGGAGAAAATGAGGTTGTGGTGATAAAAAAGGGGGTTTTTTACAGAAATATTGGTTATAATGTTTGAAAATTAAAAAAAAAAATTTTTAAATGGAAAGCAAAATTTAATTTCGGTTCAAAAATTCATAGCAAGACAGTAAAAACTGCTAAAAAAATCTCTTATTTTAGGTAGTTTTACAGCAAAAAATTTATAAAACCCCATATTCTAGAAACTTTCAGGCCAAACAAAGCAAAGAAAATTTAAAATAATGTCTTTTTGATACCTAAACTTTAAAAAAATTTAAAAAGTTTACAAAAACGATTTTTTTATACCTAAAATTCTAAAAAAGTTAAAAAAAAGTTGTTTACCTTGACGAAGAAGCCTTAACAGGAGGTTTTAGCCGGCTAGAAGCTGTCGTAGTTGCTGGCGGTGGCGGAGCAGACAGTCGAGACCTTGGTGGAGCTAATTTTGTCGTTGCCTCAGGCTGTTTTGGCTCTGTTTGGGCCGTTGTGGGGGTTTGAACTGAAAAGAACAATATTTAATAATTTTTTTAAAAATTTAAAAAAAAATTAAAAAAATTCTTAATTTTTATTTTTTTTTGCATATCAACAATAGTAGGGTAGGGGAGGTTGAATAAATTAGGGTAGGGTATTTTAAAATCAAAAATTTAAGCCCGGAGACTATTTTAAAAATTTTTTGCCTCAAAAATATGGAAAAAAACTTCAAAATTTCAAAAAATTACAAAATCCATTCAACTTTTCTAAAACCTGGACCTGAATCTGAATGTCGCTCCCATACCCACTTCTCATTGCCCTTTCAGCAAAACCAAAACGGTCATTGTTTTCGATAAAACATAACTTTTTTCGTATAATAGAACGGACAGGTCATTCTAATTTCGCAAATCGTATTATTTGCCAATAAAACCGGGAAATGAAGGTAAAATAAGACTATATTATACGTAAATTTTTTTGTAAAATATTATATATAGTAAAATTAGTGAGAGGTTAAAGTGGTAGGGGTGAAAAAATATTTTTATTTTATAGGGGGGTATAGGTTGGTGAAAGGGTAAGTTAAGGCTAGGGCTATTGCCAGAGTAAAGCGAAGCAGGGCAGGGAAGAGCAGGGCAGGGCAGGGCAGGGCAGCGCAAGGCAGGGCAGGGCAGGGCAGGGCAGGGCAGGGCAGGGCAGGGCAGGGCAGGGCAAGGCAAGGCAGGGCAGGGCAGGGCAGGGCAGGGCAGGGCAGGGCAGGGCAGGGCAGGGCAGGGCAGGGCAGGGCAGGGCAAGGCAAGGCAGGGCAGGGCAGGGCAGGGCAGGGCAGGGCAGGGCAGCGCAAGGCAGGGCAGGGCAGGGCAGGGCAGGGCAGGGCAGGGCAAGGCAAGGCAAGGCAGGGCAGGGCAGGGCAGGGCAGGGCAGGGCAGGGCAGGGCAGGGCAGGGCAGGGCAGGGCAGGGCAGGGCAGGGCAGGGCAGGGCAGGGCAGGGCAGGGCAGGGCAGGGCAGGGCAGGGCAGGGCAGGGCAAGGCAAGGCAAGGCAAGGCAAGGCAAGGCAAGGCAAGGCAAGGCAAGGCAAGGCAAGGCAAGGCAAGGCAAGGCAAGGCAAGGCAAGGCAAGGCAAGACAAAGATAGGGCACGAGTAAGACCAGGGCATGGTTAAAGTAGGACAAGGGCAGGAAAGGTAGCGCATGGTGAATAGTTCAGAGTAATTTGGAAAAAAAGATTAAATTGAACCACTCTCTGTCAAAAATTTTTGGAATTATATTTCTAGCGCGCTATAAGTGTCATGCTTAAACAAATTACAATAATATTATTATAAAACAATTACTAACAAATAAAATTGAATTTCCCGTAATAAATTATAGTGTCTATTCTAATATACGGCTTGAAACGAAACCGGAAGAAGCATGTGCGCGAAATGGAATACCCAGTTCAACTTTAATTTAAGCCCTTCCTCTGGCCAACATGTCAACACTTGGCCATTCGGTGTGTTCACTGGCTTTTAAGGCGGTTTAAATTAATAGGCTTCATTATTCATTTTCTGTGAATATTAGGTTTAAGGGGGGGGTAGCAAGGTAAGGCTGTGGGGTCGGATGGAATAGGAGGCTATGTCCGGGGGCGTAGAGGGGAGATAAGGGGGGGGGTCAACGTTTAAAAAAGGGAGAGAGGAGGGCAATGGTAGTGGCAGGGGTAAATTTTGCTATTTGTTTGGTTAAGGGGGTGGAAGAAAAGAAAATTTATGTTTTTAACAAAAAATTTTATTTTTGCCCCTCCCCTCCTTCCTGAATAGTTTTTTTTATTCTCTACCCCAAATATTTTACATCCTCCTACTCAAAAATCCACGGAGGGTAAGAAATGTACTTAGGACAGAACAGGGTAAGGTATCATAGGGTAGGGTAGGGCTGGGCACGGTAAAATAAAATAATGTAGGGTCCACAAAACGTCTTTTAACCAAAAAAACCTTACCTTTTTTAGCAATCGAGCTAGGAACAATAAGTTTTGAGCCACAAGCTTTTGATACGGGTCCGTTTGCAGGCTTCTGAATGCCTGTTTCTGGCTTGGCCAAACTTGATCTGAAAACACAATTTGTTTTATTTGAACACATATTTTGATTCAAAACATTAAAATGTGAAAAAATGAAAGGAAAGCTAATAGGAACATGTTAAAAGAACATTAATTTATCAATTCGTTCCGGGCTTAATGATAATTTTTAAGGTTTTTTTACATACTATCATAGGGTTTGGGCTTTACATTTAAAAGTTTTGGCTAAAAATGCAAAAAAAATTTTAATTTTAAATCTTTTAAATTTCTTGCTCAAAATTTAGATAAAAAGGTATGAAACTATTTTTTTATATAAAAAATAAAAAACGAAGCTTCTAGTAAAGTCTTGTCGTTTTTCTGCGTGCATACTCTTGTTGAAAAACGACAAGACTTTTTACCTTCCCCTACCCCTTATTCTATCCACCCTACCTCAATGTCTTTATTAAATATAACAATATCAATAACTTACTTCCTCCCCGCCGGTGTCGGAATCTTCATTGTGCTTTGCGTTACGGCCTTGGCGGATACTGTAACTTTTGCGATTTTAGAGCCCTCCAATCCAGGTCCTTTAAGATGCTTTGGTGATGCCTGAACACATCCTTCCGTATTCTGTCGATGTAATTGTTTGTAGTGTGATAGGGCAAACAATAGGGCCAAGATCTCACCCAAATGACCTTGATTTAGGTCTGAAAAGGTGAAGTTTTAGGTTAGAAATGGAGGTTTTTTATTTAGAAAAATGTGGTTTTTAGGTAATAAAAAGATATGTTTTATCAAATAATAAAGGTTTATTATGAAGGCGCTAAGTATAAATACACAAAATGACGTTTTTGTCCAACAACTGACAAAAACTTTTAATATCAAGTACAATATTAGGTAACAAACTTCAAATTTTCAAAAATATCAATAAAGAAACCTCAACATAAAGTAAACAATCACGTATATTTAGTTGAAAAAAGTCTGTTGAACAATAGCTAGTCATGATTTTAGAAACAAAAATAAGGCAATGAGTCAGGCTTGGGTAATGGCCGAGTAAAAGCGCGTTGAAAAGTGAAACAAACGGTTTCGCGTAATGATCGGTGTATAATTTAACATTTCACCCTTGCCCCGTCTGCCAATGATAATAAAAATGATATTTTAGATGTTAGTAATACAATTTTTTGAAGCCCTAGTTGTAGCCCTAGGAGGAAAAACAGGCTAAGTTGGGCCCACTTTTAAGGCTCGGCCCAGGCCCTGATCCTAACGTTTAGTACCAGCCGGTCGAAAAAGTTCTAGGCTCGGCTTGGCCCGGCTCTTTTCGTCTTTAGCTTAACAAGACCTGCCCGACTAGACAATGTGGATGAGCCTATACGGCTCGTTTTTCACCCCTACTCCTAGCCAAGAGACCTAGCCCATAGCCCAGAGCCCAAGCTCAGAGCCCTAGCCCAGAGCCCTAGCCCAGAGCCCTAGCAGAGAGCCCTAGCAGAGAGCCCTAGCCCAGAGCCTTAGCCAGAGCCCTAACCTAGATTCTTAGCCCGGAGAACTAGCCCAGAGCCCCAGCCCCATCTTCAGCTAAACTTTTGCAGAATACAGTAGTGCTTCCGCTAATTAAAACCTAGTAGTCTGATAGGAAAGATAGTGTGTTTATAAAGGTACAAGCCATTTTATTAATGAGACAAACAGCAAGGACGTTGTGAGTCATTTAACAGTCAAATATATTATCATAGGTTAGCGCCACAAGTTCTTTGAAATTATTTTTTGATAAAGTATTAAGTAATGTTTTTTAAAACTTTAACAATCAAAAAAATTGTAAAAACCGTATTTTACCCTCACCCTCTTCAACGTCTTTTTTTACTCCTTTTCACCCTCCCCCCGCCTTTTTAAAAAAACCTATAATATAACATAGCCAATGCCACTTCAAAACCACATCAACATTACTATAATATCCACCTGACCAACGTCCCCATTATATTGCAACAACAATACGACGAAAAACAAATGGCTAATCGTTTTTATACAAATTTCGAGTATATTATTTTATATAAACACATGGCCATGATCAAAGCCGACGGACGACTTGTCAACTCTTGACACTTCTCAAAATGTATATTCAACAACCGCGCGGCTTAAGGCGTTCCGAATGCGAAAATGGGTTGAGAAGTGGATTAAAAGGAGGAATTTTGAAGGCTATGACAAAAGTATTGGGGCAAGGTTTATGTCGGAAAATGTTTATTTAATAGTGATTTTAAAAAATTTTTAAAATGTTTTTAAATATTAAAAAAAATAAAATTAAAAAAATATTTTAAAATTTATTTTGAATCCGATACATGTAGTATGAACATATCAAAAGTTATGTCAAATTTGAATACCAACACAAATTTAAAAAATTTTTGAAATTTAAATTTTCCCCCTAAATCCTGCAAGAAAACAAATTTTTTGCCTCACCCACCCTTGCCAACCAAAAAAATTGTTTTCCTTTTCTACCCTACCCTATTCTACACTACCTTACGAGCCCCAGATTTACCCAAGAAATTCCAACTCGTTCCTCTCCCCGCTCCTTCCCCCCCCCCCCCCCTCCTTATAAAAATCTTGATCCAATCTCTCCTCTTCCCAAACTTTTGACAATAGTACCTTAAAAACTAGTATGAAAACTTCAAGTACCATATCCTCCAAACTTTAGCCATTTCAAGTACAATATCCCTTTAAACTTCAACTACAAATCGTACGCAAATCCCAGCAAAATCCCGATAAAACGCATTTTTCGTTGGGCTTCCAGTCCCTTTGATAAACAACGATAAGGGAGTTATGAGAAAGGCTATGAATCAGCGTTGTCACAAAAAACAAATTAAAAAATGGCGAAGCGAAAGTCGTTTTTGAATAAAGCCTGATCGGATTAGCGCCCTGAGGGGTCAGGAATCGAAAGTCTTGTAAGGCAGATCCGTCATCTGAATTTAAGCCTGTCAGTGGATTTGTCGCAACATACAAGGATGAATTGGGAGGTATTGAAATGATTTTTGTGAGTTTAAATACCATAGGTTACATTTTGTTACCATACCATACCGTACTCTACCCTACCCTACCCTACCTTACCCTACCCTACCCTACCCTACCCTACCCTACCCTACCCTACCCTACCCTACCCTACCCTACCCTACCCTACCCTACCCTACCCTACCCTACCCTACCCTACCCTACCCTACCCTACCCTACCCCTACCCTACCCTACCCTACCCTACCCCTACCCTACCCTACCCTACCCTACCCTACCCTACCTTACTCTACCCTACCCTACCCTACCCTACCCTACCCTACCCTACCTTACTCTACCTTACTCTACCCTACCCTACCCTACCCTGTCTTAGATATGCTTTAGATGTAACCTATAATACTTGTACCTTAGTCTAGCGTGCCGTTTCGTGTTTTACTCTACATACTTTTCTTTACCATACCCTCTACCTTACTCTATCATACTACAATAGATATGACGTAGCCCCCCTTATCCTATTACATCTTTCCCAACCCGTCCCTTAATTACCCTTCTGTGCCTTCAAAATTTTTTTCTGATACCTGACTTCTACTTTATAGCTACATTACCCTGAAAATCCGAAAAAAACCATCAAACTTAAAAACTAGCTTATCGCTAAGTAGTTGAAGCCGTAAACGTATTTTTTACGCTAATCGCAAACAGTAAACCCGACGAAAAAAGTAACGACACTTTGTCAAGTCTTCTACTCTAAAAAACAACTTAACGCGGGAGGTAAGAGATAACAACAACAAGATAAATTATATTGCCGAAACGAATGAACAGACATCAACAAAGGCTTTATGTTAGTACAGGTGTTTTTTTAGCTGCTAATATCTACATAGTATACATAGTAGTAGCAGCTAATGCTACATGTAATATACCACCAGGAAAAGTTTGGTCGAAAATAAGAAAAAATTAAATTAAGCGCGCCATTTTTTTGCATCAAAATCAAAATTTTTAATATTTAAAAATTATTTTTTAACCAAAAATTTAAAAAACTGTTAAAAAGCCTTACTTTCTTTACAAACTACTTTAATTTACGTCTTTTACCCTACCCTAAAGTACCCTGCCCTATTCTACCCTTTCTTACCCTACCCTCCTTACCCTACCCTGCTTTATCTTAAATCTAAAGTACTAAAATCACCTAAAATATGCAAATTTTAAGAAATTTTGTTAAAAAATAAAAGAAAAACTTGACAGCTTAATCAACGCCTAGAGCAAAGTTTGGGATTCCTGTAGCCATTTAATGCAAACAGTTCATAAATTATTAACAAAAAGTGTCTTCCCTATGTTTTTCGTGCTCTTCAGGCATAAATATATTAAGATGTTCGAAAAAACGGTCGTATTTTCATCCTGAAGCTTTTTTCAAAAACTATTAAAACAACAATTTTCAAAAATTAAAAAACCACCCCCAAAAAATTTACCATGCCCATTTTTTATTTTCAAATGGCGTGTAAAACATAAAAAACCATATTATGTTCACCTTTTTTTGAAGTTACAACAATTTGCTGACAAAAAATACCCCGCCTTTGTCGTAAAAAACAAAAAATTACCCCGCCTTATTCCTAAAATTAAAAACATTAAAATTGGAAAGTATGCATAATATAACATTTTGAAGACTTTTCGGAGATGCGTGAGCTATAAATATGCAAATTTGGCCGATCCGTTGGCCCATTTACACTATAGTTATGAATAAATTGCAAAAACAGAAGACAAATGTTCTTTTAATATGCAGTAGTTATTAAATTTTAATGTTTTAAAATGAAATTATTGTGCGAAACAATGTTTTTTTATTAAATTCATGGGACAATAATATTGTTGTAGATCCTAATATAAAGGTAGAAGTGAAAAACTGTTGTAAAAATTAAATTGTGCGGTATAATATTAGAAAATTTGTAAAGTATCAAAAGTTTTTTAAAATATGATTAATTTAAAAAATCATTGTCAAAAAGTTACAAAACTTACCTTGGGCTTTGAGGTTGGCTACGTTCACGCCCAGGCCGGCCAAATAATGAAGGCACTTTTCAATGCACTCAATCTGAAAAACAAAGTATAAACGTATGTAGTAAGTTTATTTATTTTCGAATCAAATGTGGTAAGACAACGTATATTTACAATATTATTATGTTTAACGTTAAGATCTAAAAATACTAAAAAGTTGCTTGCAACAGAATGCCAAAGTAACCAGGGCTTAAGCTAAGGCTAAGATTATGGCTAAGACTCAGCCCAAGCTCTAGCTCTATCTCAAGCTAAAGCTCAAGCTTAGGCTCAAGTTCAAGCTAACCCTAAAGCTAATATTAAATCAGTAAGTTACGCCGAGACAGTCCAGGTTCTAGCTATTTACAAAACTTAACTTCTTTGAAAAATTTAAAATTATATGCATATTTCCCTTCGCAAAACCCAGAAACTTGAAGTAGTTTTTAGATGCAGAAAGGCGCCAACACCCGCGCACGTAATCGAAACAAGCAGGTTTGGGAGGCGCGGCCGACGGCATTCGAAGAGCCCTCATCTCCGTTCTCTCGGCCAGCTAATCAAGCGCCTTCTTCCGCCCATTTTACATTATGCCTTAAGGGGTTTTGAGGGTTTAAATTGAAATGTGATGAAATTAACCGCGCCGAGCTAATACTATTAATACAAACCTTGAATTAGGGGATTTGGGGCGGGGTAAAAAGGGGATTTAAGGGAGGGGTGCAAGTTTGAAAGTTTATAGGGTGGGCCAAACTTCAAATCCCTTTTAAACCCATTTTATTGCTCTGCCGGTACAAATTTCAAAACAAGATACCCTTGGCTTACTCATAGTGTTTAATTAAAAATATTCGGTCGGGTCATTAGCAAACTTTCATTAATTACTGCGACTGTAAAAGCGAAAAACCGCAAAGAGAAAGTTACAAAAATTAAATATTGTTCCAGGAAAAACGTATTATTCAAGGTTTTTGAAAAAAGAGTGAAATTAAATATAGTAAAATTTTGAAATAATTAATTTTTACCTCAAGCTAGTAAACCTTTATGTATAAAAAAATTTTTTTTGAGCCACGCTTTTGGTCTACTACTTGCCTTCAAAAATTTAGCACGAGCCTTTATTTTAAAGCATAATGCTATGAGTTTACCGAACCCTGCTTTACTCTAGTCGACCCGGACGGTCCCTTACCGTATCTTACTCTACCCTAACCTAGAAGTGAGAAACGGGCTTGGTATCCTACTCTACCTTACCCTGCCCTAAAAAACCTTTCTTTACATTAATTCAGCCTACTCTTTCTTTACTATTCTCTTTATACTATCGTACCTTACTTAGCTCTTCTTTTGCTCTATCGTTCTATATCTTAACGTAGCTTTTTCCTACCTTATTCTATCTTCTTTGAAAAACCAATTTTAGATTTACCCTAACAGTGAAAAAACTTCAAAATTAAAAAAAAAATCCATTATTCAGTATTATCACTCCTAATCAAAGAAATCCAAAGCAACCCCTTATAAACTTTAAATTTAAATAAAAACAAGCCCAATCTTCTAACTCCAAATCAGAAAAAAGTAAAAATTGGAATTATCGAAAAAGCCCTTCAAATTTCGAATGTTGCGTAATAAATAATCGAAAATAAAAAAAAACTCACCGGCGTTGGCGCGTTGAGTGAGCAGAGGAGGGTGGTTTGGGAAGTGCCTGGACAGCCCAAAGCTGAAAAATTGAAATTTTAGGAAATACAGTCAGATGAGTAATGAGGTCCGCGATTACTTCCGTCTTACGGATAAATTTCTCCAACGGAATTTTAAAGGTTTAGGCGGGTTAAAATTTAGAATTGTAAGGTTTTATGGGGAAAGGAGGGTGAGATTTAGAATTTAAAAATTTTTAGACTGGGGTGAAATTTTGAATTTTAAAATCTTAGGGTGGGGGTAATACTTGGAATTTCAAGGTTTTAAGGGGGGGTAAGATTTGGATTTTAAAAATTTTAGGGGATAGAAACGAAAATTTTAAAGATTTTGGGCAAGGTAAAATTTTTTTTGAACTTGAAAGTATTGGGCGTGGCAAAATTTTAAATTTTAAGAATTGTTTGATCTCCTTCCTCCCCCCTCTATCCATACCAAACAAAAAAATTTTTTTATTTAATTTTGCAATCATCTGCCCAACCTAAAACTATACAACCATTCCAAGAACTTTAGCATACCAACAACATAATCTTAAAGACATAAGCGGCTGGCGGCCGATCGGCCCATAAAACCGTTGGGGTTCATCTTATGGCTCTTAACGGACTCTCGGAACTACCCACATGTAATATTAACAGGCCCATTTTATGAGCTTTGGCAGGGTGATAACACAATTGTCAGAGATATTAGAATTTAATTTGAGTCGGGGCTACTGTGTCATAAAATTGAATGAAATTGAGTTTAGTGGATCATATTATAACGCAGATCGTTAAGGCCAGCACTTTATATTGTTAAAGCGTAAAAGGTTAGCGGCTGATCAGGGTTTTCCTATATGATGAGAAGGTTCTTAAGGGTAAGATGAAGTAAAATAGGGTAAAGTAAGGTAAGATAAAGTAGGCTAAGGTAGAATAGAGTAGGCTAGGGAGAGTAAGATAGGATAGGCTACAGTAGGGTAGGAGAGAGTACAGTAGGGCGCGGTAGAAAAATTTCTTCTTCTGTTTCCTTTGTTCTCCCCGCTGCTTACCTTCTGTCCCCCCACATTACATACCCCTAAGTCCCAGATCATATACGATAAGAGTCAGAACGGCACTTAGAATATAATATGTTAGTAATATCTTTTTGCAAAAAAAGCGAAATTTGTTTTTTTCATTCCATAAACTTGACAACTGACAATAATGCCGCAGGGAATGCTTTCAGACCACTTTGATTGCTTTTTCTTAGTTCAGTCCATTCGATATTCGAAAAGTTTGGTTATTCGATACTATGGATTGTTTTAAAGTTTTCAAAAGTGATATTACTTTAGGGCTATATTATTTGAAAATGAGCACGTATTTTACAAAAAAAAATTTTCTTAGTTTTATTTTTTTAAAAAATTTTTTACCCCACCCAGAAATATAATAAAAAATTTCACCTCACCTCCTTCCAACCTTAAAAAATGATGAAAATCAAAACAACTTTACAGTAAAAACCCTCTGACATATGATACTTACTCACTGCATCCACAAGATTGACCAAAGTCTTGGGATCGCGCAAGTCTTCTGTCAGATCGTGGATCGGGGTTCGGCCGTATTTTGTTAGATACCGGTTGGCCCAGTCCGTATAGATCTGAAAAAAAACACAATATAATAAAAAATAAGTAAAAATCAACAAACATCATGGATAATATGATAGATCATGATAGATGTGCAAAATATTGAAGTTTTAAAAGTCTTGTCCTTTTTTAATTTGCAAAACATCGAAAATTTGCGACAAGACTTTTTTTTATTTAATAACTTAATTTGTCGTTCATATCCCGTTTTTTTAAATATTTTTTATTAAAAATAGAAGACCCACAAAAACCTGAACGTATTTTACAATTACAAGGGAAAGGCCAAACTTGGCCCGCTCAAAATCAGCTCAAAATTTTTATATGAATTCTTTGTACCACCAATAGTACTCACAATAAATTTTAACTATCTTTGAGTTTTAAAAAACATATTTTAGTTTCCCTCGAATTTGACATGTTTGGCATTGTGTTTTTATCACTATTTTTGGCTTTCCAAGCAAGCTACAGTTAGAAATTTAAATATGTAAGTATAGTTAAAGTGTTTTCTACTAGTATATCAAAGAAAAATTATTAAAAATGAAAACATTACGAAGTTATAAGCTTGAAACGCAATGCCAATTTGGCAAAGAGTTCAAAAGGTAATTTTTTAAACTCAATTTTTCTTGAAGTTGATTAGAAAGAGCGATTTAGTACAGTGCTAAAGATCTTATAATTACGTAATTTTCTTATTTAAAAATTTTGAAGTCAATCAGAGCAGAGCGGGTCGGGCATTTTCTTCTAAGCCTACTATACCCTACCCTTCAAAAGCTAACAGCTCTGTTGAAAACAAACCTCAATACCAAAAATCTTCCCCCAATACCAAAAATTTAATTAACAATTGTTCGCCCGTATTTAACATTCAAAATTTAGTTTTTTTTTTAAATTTTTAAAGATTATTTTTCATTTAAATTAAATTTTTAAAAATTTTAGTTTTATTTCTCCCGACCCCTCAAAAATCATAAAATAACCCTTTGGAACGTCAAGATGTACTTGATTATTATATCAAATCCACATGTTTTCCAAGTGTTCGCGCTTAATTAAACAATTGTTCTAATTGTACGAGGTGGGAAGGGGTAACTAGCCACTTGTGCAAAGGGTTAATATAAATACAATTGCGCAATTAGTCAAAATATAGTTTTCTCACCAAGTTTTTAAAAGTTAAGGTTTTGATAGTGATTATGAGAATAAAAAGCAATTATGTAATTAATTGTTTAAAATTTTTTTTTTAATTTTTGCTTAAACTTAAAATTTATCAAAAAAATTTTTTTTTTGTAAAATACGGCCGTCTCAAAACACTTTTTTATTTTCATGCCAGATTTCAAAAAAAACTTTTAAAACCTCCCGCTAATGTTAATTATGCAACAAAGAAACCCCGACTGATTACTTACTCTCCCCTTCTCATCCCTAACTCTATGTTTTAACAAAACAGCTGCCCATTAGAACCCCAAGACAAAGTCATGAATCTTTGCAGAACATTACAAAAACAAGCCTCGTTTCGAATTACCAAAGTAACTTGGAGGGAATGACCGATGGGAGCTTCCCGGATGCTCTTCCGAAATGTTCGACTAGGTGATGACAGCTGTGATTGCGCCACCGCCTCGAATAAACTTGGCCTTAATTTTGCTTGTTTAATTCGAGAAACGTTCGGGAGCAGGGGGGGGTCAAAATTAATCCTAATGTTTAAAGTTTTGAAGGAGCTTAGGGCAGCTAATTTAGAATTTTTCTGCCCTACCCTACCATACCCTAGCGTACCCTAGCGTACCGTAATCTTGCCAAAACACTACTCAAATTATTCCAGCCCTGCCCATTTTTTACCATAGCCCTACCCTAGCCCTTCTCTTGGCGTACTTTAACCCAACCCCAACTTACACTACTTTATCTTTCACTACTCTACCCTAAAACATTAAAAAAACCCTCCAACTCTGAAAAATCCGTATTTTACCACCCCCCTGTTCTCAGACTTTGGAAAAAAATCATTTTATTTTTGCACCTTCAACATTTTTAAAAAAAATTTTTTCCCGCCCCCTCCCAAAAAGCAATTTAATACTACTAAAACCCTAGAAGATCCATCCAATTTAAACCCAAATATTCAAATTTCGTAAGCACTGACTCATTAGCTGAAAGACAAAGCAAAATTTAGTGATTTCCGCTCACGAAACAGTCGGATCCGCTGCTTTGTGGTCATTTTTGCCGAAAAAAGGAAAAAAAACGAGTGTTAGAAACAGCTGACCAGCCATTCCTGTCCCCAAGGATGTTAAGGAATGCCCTCAAAACTTATCGCTTTTAATCTTTAATACGCATTTTTACGCTTTTTGAGAAACATGAATTTTTCTTAAAATTTTTGAAATTTTCGATTAAATTTCGATTTTTTAAAATCTAATTTCTGTTTAAATTTGGCGCCAACGTTTTATTTCAAACTCAATTTTAATAGTTTTCAAAGCATTTTTGGTTTAAAAACTGAATTTGAAAGCGATGGAGGCCAACGTATTTTACCAAAAAAAATTTTTTTTTGTTTTTAAAATTTTTTTAAAATTCAACTTGCAACACAATGTCAAAATTTTAAAAAACAAAAAACACGGCGTTTGGAAATGAATTTAAGACTTTATTATCATAAAAGTTAAGGTAACAAGTTCAAAAAACATATTTTTGGACCAAAAAACAACATGAAACATTATGCCAAAAAACCCGCCAAATTTAAAAATTTATAAATTGAAAATTTATTTTGAGTATTCAAGCAATAAAAATTAAACTAATGTTAAAGTACATGCCTAAAAAAAATTTTTGAACGTTTTCATTCGATCGAAAATAAAAAACATCAATTTTAAAAAATCAAAAAATTTGAATTTTTTTTAAAGTTTTGCCATACCTTAACTTTTAAAAATTTTTCTTCAACCATTTACCTCACCCTCTTCCCCTTCCCCTAGACCTCTGTCAGCCTTTTCTTACCCACCCCTTTCGAATTACTGTTCCCTTCTGGCCTAAAGGCATTGTTCGATCCGCCAGGCTTAACCAGATTATCCTGCGCAAGTCCACTTTTGAATAACCCCAAATTAGGCGAAAGCGCGCGTCCCCCAGGCACCGAACTCATTAGCGCTCTCGAATTAATTTGATGTAATTAATGCTCACCGGAATCAGCTGCTGGTTGGTGTGCTGTGGAGGTTTGGCCGGCTGGATTACGTTCCGCGACTTCAGCATCTTGGGTATTAACAGGTTTTTGAAACTGTTGAAAATTTAAAAGGTAAATTTAATGGTAATACAGCGTAGTATAATAGTAATGAGGAGTGATATAGTATTTCTAGTAGCAAAAGTAGTCCTTGGGTTAATAAGTGTAGTACGATTGTAATAGGAGGAGTAGTAGCAGAAGATCGTAGTAGTAGCAGTAGTACTAGCAATAGTAGTAAGAGCAGTGGTACTATTAAAAGTAAAATAGTACTAGTAATAACAGTATTTACAAGTAGTAGTGGTATCACTAGTAATACGGATCTTATAGTACCAATACTTTGGTAAAACCGATAGTACAACTTTTAAATAAAAATAGAACTTTATATCAATTTACTTTGTTACCGTCGTAAAATTAATACCAGTAGATAAACCAAAAAAGAAAAATAGCACCGTATTGGAAAATCCAAGACGTAAAATATATTGTAGTAGATGATCAGCCTTGTTATGATATGTTAATTGTAGAGTAACAAAAGTGAACGTGGAATATTTGTCATAATTTTGACTTTTTTACAATGTGAGATTAACCTGAAATTGAAAAAAAAATCGTACTAATAAAAAGTGGCATAAAATGCTAAGTCTGGTCTATATCACGGGCACAAAAGATTAAATTTTAACGGTTGGTGCAAAAATATTAAAATTCAAAATTTTGAAGGCTAGAGATAAGTAATAACCCAAACTTTTAGAGATAAGTAATAACCCAAACTTTTATCTTGCTACCAAAACCCCATTAAAACTTTTTTTGAAATTTTAAACCCTGAACAACTTGTAAACCTAAAAACACACCGATGACAAAGGTCAGAGATGTTAATCTCGGCGCTTCGGTTCAAAAGTAATCAGTACGGAAACGGCCTTCGGAATCGGTCGAATGTCTCGGAAACAAAAAACAAGCCAACGGAATTGCATACCAAAAAGACGATGTTCTACGAACTACTCCCCGGAGGTTTCCCCCCAAAGTGGCCCCACATGAGATAAAGGAAATGCCCAACTTTTTTCGAGCGAAACTTATTGTAAAAATATTACTTATGGCGTGGGTGGCCAACAAGAAAAGGAAGGAGACAGTTATTAGATGAGTTGATATTGTGATTACAATTTGGAATCAAAGAAAAGTATAAAATAGATAAATACAAAAGTAATAGACAAAATACGAATCACTAGATCAAGTTCTACCTCTCTATTCCTAGCCCTAGACCAAAGCCCTACCTCAGAGCCCGAGCCCAGAGCTTTAGCCCAGAGCTCTACCCTAAAGCCCTACCACAGAGCCCTAGAACAGAGCCCTAGTTCAGAACCCCAGCCCAGATCTTTAGCCTAGATCCTTAGCCCAGATGCTTAGGCCGGAGCCCTAGTCTAGAGTTCTATTTCAGAGTCTAAGTTAAGAACCCTAGTCTAGAACCCTTGCTTTAGCTCTAATCAAAAGGTGACCAATCCAATTTAACTAAATCCTCCTACAATTCTACCCTATCCTACTGATTATACACCTACGAGATATCAAATTTTCTACAAATTCGTCTTGACCTAGATCCAACTTGTTGTTAGCCTGCTCCTAATATAGGCTACTTAGCTCAGGCTACCAAAGACATATACATTAAAAGTTGAAAAAAGTTAGTTTACTGCAAAGTAAATCTAAAAACCGTTGTAGATATACCCAAAAACCAAGCATTTTGTCATAAATGACCAAATCCGTTTTAAATAAAATAATTGTAAGGCTTTGCATAAGAATAGCCGGCCATTAATCCTCCATCTATGAAGCCCCGATATTAAAATTTAAACCTCTAGGTAGAGGTTTATATTAGAATTTAGCTAAGCTGGCCAAATAATTTTGGCTCAAATACTATTTATGTGAACTGGTCAACAAATTTTTAGCTAAAAAAATAATTTTTTTAAATTTTTGCAAAGAAAGTGATAAGAGGTAATAAAATTCAAAAATAAATGCAATGCTAAAAAAATTTTAAAAAAAAATTAAACATAAACGTCATTTTTATTGTAAAATACGTGATCCACAATACGAACATATAAGACATTGTGTTTACCCAAGTTTAAAATATTTTTCGATATGTTATGGTGACTAATCACTTGTACAAATATTTCAAATGCGCCAACCATCATAAATATTAAAATTCTGATAAAACGAAAAATGAAATTTTAAAGTCAAACGTCGAATTGAAACAGTAAAACATTATTTTTGTCTTGTAGTAAAGATAATATAATGGAAAATCAGTACCGTTAAATTGTAAGTTTGAAATGGTCTGCTGTGCCCTACTCTTGTAATTCTCCCTGTCTTGCCCTAGCCCTACTTTTGCCTTATTTTGACCTTACCCAAATTTTCTTTAGCTCTCCTTTTTTTACCATAACTCTACTCTAGACTTATTTTAGCCCTACTTCTGCTATAGCTCTGCAATAGCCTTATCTTAGCCCTATACTAGCTCTACTTTACTCCTATCATAGCTCGAACTTAACTCTACTCTGGCCCTAATATCAGCCTTACCCCAGCCCTACTATAGCTTTACTTATCTTTATTATAGTTCTTACCTAGCCCTACCCTAATCGTACCCTAGCCGTAATATTGTCTTATCATTTCCTATAATATTCATACTCTACTCTAACTCTTTCCTAATCGTACCCAAGCCTTAATCAACCCAATACCCAAACCAACCCAAACCAAACCATATTCTAGACCTAACCAACTCTACCCTTAAGCCCACACTAAACCTTTATTGCCCTATTAAAAATAAGTCAAAAATTTGAAAAATAAAACAAAATATACTCTATCATTGTACGCAGTCTCACTAAAATCCAACCGCAAAAATTTGGGTTTTAAAATAATGAAACCTCAAAAAACAAGAAGAAGAGAATCCATACCCAATACTCATCAAACCGAAACCAAATTGAATCTCGAGTCCACAAAAAAGACTCTTATCGCATTTGGCTTCAGATTCTCGTCAGATTCTTAACTGCAGAGATGTGACAGAGATTCTTAACTGTTATTTACTATGGAGGATTTTTAAAAAAGTGAAAAGGTTTGTTTAAAAATGGCAAGCAATATTCACTGAACTAAGGAAATTGACCAAAAAAAGAGAAAACTCTTACAAAATTAACATAGATATGTCTTGTATTAAAGAAAAAAACAAATACTATTAAGTAGAGTCTGTCATTTGGCAGTAAAATCAAAAAAGTTAATTTAAAAATTAAAAAATTTATTTTAAAACTAAAAAAAATTAAAGTCTTTCAAAATTCCCAAGAAAAACCCAAAAAATCGTAAAAATGGACTTTTGTGGACAGATTTGCGGTGATGATAACCTCGTCATAAAGGTCGACTTATTAATGCCGCTTTAATGAGGATGCCTTGACCGCTATGACAGCAAAAACCGGCGGACAAGACATCAATCAAGTGGAATATGTTCAAACCTGCCGGCCATCTATCAAGGTCCAGTAGATAAATAGCACTACTAACGCTTTTAATATACCAAAATTTTTAATTTTTTTTATCAATACGTATTTTACATCAATCTACTTGTAAATCCGTGTTTTAATTTTTATTTTAATTGAATTTTCAAACGTATTTTACATATGAAATTTTTTTCATAATAAAAAAAGATAAAACTTTGGTTTATACCCGAAGAATGCAACACCAAAGCATGATGAGCACATTTCAACACTCTTATAACGTGCCAAGCACGACGTCATAGAAAAAGCTGTCAGTTTCTATCATTATATTCGTCACAATGGCCTTAAGAAAAACCAAAAAAATTAACAAAAAAAAATTTTTAGTCATCTCCTACCCTACCCTACCCTACCCTATCCTACCCTACCCTACCCTACCCTACCCTACCCCTACCCTACTCCACTTTATCTTATCTCGTCCTAACCTACTTTACCTTACCTTATCCTAACCTACTCTACTTCATCTTACTCTGCCTCACCCTAATTTTCTTTATCTTACCCTGCCCTACCCTACTTCATCTTATCTTGCCCTACCTTACCCTAGCTTGACCTTGAAATCTTTTCCTATAAACTCTCCACCTTGACCACCGTTCGACCTTTTAACTAACCTGCCAAATGTTCCTAAACCCTCCAACAGTTTAAATTGTGATTATAGGAACAAAGATGAACGAAGCCTTCAAAGATCTTCAAAGGCCGCAGATTAATCGAGTCCGACTGAAAAACGCCTTCCTTCTCGCCTTTGGAATTCGAACCGCGAAAAACCATTCACACTCTCGACAAATAGCCTCCCAGATTATGCTAATTTGGCTCCGGTTTACAAAAAAAACTCGAGTTCAGCTCGAAAAACTATTAAATGCCAGAGGAGATAAACCCTCGGACAAATGACCGGGCCCAGGTAATCGGCCTTGGGATGATTAATTGCTTTTCAAGTATTTTTGCGTCATATTTGAAAAAATTTAGTGATTGTTTTGACAATGGTTATCAGATGACAGAGAAGAAATCAAAGTTTAAATTTTTTTGTGTAATAACTACTAAAATACAATCCCAATTTGTATTAAAAAAATTGTTAATTCAAAATTAGTTTTAGGCAGGGCAAAGGCAGAGCAAAGGCAGGGCAAAGGCAGGGCAAAGGCAGGGCAAAGTCAGGGCAAAGGCAGGGCAAAGGCAGAGCAAAGGCAGGGCAAAGGCAGGGCAAAGGCAGGGCAAAGTCAGGGCAAAGGCAGGGCAAAGGCAGGGCAAAGGCAGGGCAAAGGCAAGGCAAAGGCAGGGCAAAGGCAGGGCAAAGGCAGGGCAAAGGCAGGGCAAAGGCAGGGCAAAGGCAGGGCAAAGGCAGGGCAAAGGCAGGGCAAAGGCAGGGCAAAGGCAGGGCAAATGCAGGGCAAAGGCAGGGCAAAGGCAGGGCAAAGGCAAGGCAAAGGCAGGGCAAAGGCAGGGCAAAGGCAGGGCAAAGGCAGGGCAAAGGCAGGGCAAAGGCAGGGCAAAGGCAGGGCAAAGGCAGGGCAAAGGCAGGGCAAAGTCAAGGCAAAGGCAGGGCA